TAGAAAAAGTAATGCTGCACGTAAGGCACCGAGCTGCATTTTATAAAGCTTGCCATTAAAATTAAAATGTGTTTCCCCTGATAATTTTATGTATGAAAGCAAAATGCTGCTGGCTGCTTATGATATGAATACAACGAGCCAACATTTTTAAAATCTTGATTTAAATGACTTGGATAAATGGAAGCATTAACAGAAGTTGGCCTATATTTTACTGCATTTTAATCAGGATTTTTTAAAAAAAGATAAATTTGTGTTATAGTTGCTCACGGGTACAAGAACAAATGGATGGGGTATCAAAGGAGTAAAAATCTTGATGAAATCTCCTTAGAAGCAACATGCAGGGAAGGGGGGTCCTCATTATGTTGGAAACTGAACAGAAAAACAAAACATATGAGGGATAGTGCATGATATGTAACTTTTTGGCTTGGTAACAAGTCTATTTGGGTGAGGTAGGTAGTTTCTCTTTCCACACCCTTGTCCTGGCAAATATTTCGTTGGATAATATTTGTTGTTTTTAATATATATATATATATATATATATATATATATATATATATATATAGTGGTTTTATATTTTGATTTTGTTCTGTGAACTACCCTGAGACCTCCGGGTATAGGGTGGTATATAAATTATATAAATAAATAATATTTGTCTTAAGTTTACCAGATACTGTTAGATTCTCATTCGCTCCAGCTGGTATGGCCATTTGTTAGGGATGATGGGCGCTGTAGACCATCAACATCTGGAGGGCCAGAGGTTAGCCACTCCAAACAGGAATCAAAACCAGACTTGACAAATTGAAATTGAGAGACCTTTAGTTAAGTCCAATTTCAATGGGTGTGTTTGAATTACCGTATTTTTCCTTCTATAGGACGCACTTTTTCCCCTCCAAAAATTAAGGGGAAATGTGTGTGTGTCCTATAGAGCGAATGCAGGCTGCGCCGCTAAGCCCAAAGCCAGAACAGGGAGACGGAGCACTGCGGAGCGCTCCGTCTCACTCTTCTAGCTTGGGGATGGCTGCGCGCAAAGCCTCTGCAGGGCAGCGGGGCGCTGCGCTCCAAAGGCTTCAGGGATCTTTGAGGCTAGCGGTGGGGAAAAGCAGCGCTTCCCCCCACCGCCAGCCCCACAAGCTCGGGTGAATGTACCTTGAACGCACCTTGTTTTATAGGGGGAGAACAAGAAAAGAAAAATTTTCCCTGTTCTCCCCCTCCTATGGTCCGGTGCGTCCTATGGTCCGGTGCGTCCTATAGAGCGAAAAATACGGCACTTAAGTCCAGTGATTTTGACAGATCTGCTCTGGTTATAACTAACACTGGGTACCACTAATCTTCCATCAAACCATTTGACTAGAACCAGGATCAGGGACTCGCTCGATTGGATGCCTGTTGAGACCCACACCCCTGCAAGGGCCTCACTGTCATTCTCTGATGCTCCTTCTGCTCTTCCTCCTCACTATCTCCACTTGTTTGCTTATCCTCTCCTAGCCTTGGCTTGATCCTGGAGCATGGGAAATAGTAAGGGAGTATGTTGGAACTTGGGACGTGGGTGGCGCTGTGGGTTAAACCACAGAGCCTAGGGCTTGCCGATCAGAAGGTCAGCGGTTCGAATCCCAGCAACAGGGTGAGCTCCCGTTGCTCAGTCCCTGTTCCTGCCAACCTAGCAGTTCGAAAGCATGTCAAAGTGCAAGTAGATAAATAGGTACCGCTCCGGCGGGAAGGTAAACGGCGTTTCCGTGTGCTGCTCTGGTTCGCCAGAAGCCGCTTAGTCATGCTGACCACATGACCCGGAAGCTGTACGCCGGCTCCCTCGGCCAGTAAAGCGAGATGAGCGCCACAATCCCAGAGTCGGCCACGACTGGACCTAATGGTCAGGGGTCCCTTTACCTTTACCTTTATGTTGGAACTTGGGACACCTCCAGACCGTCTGTATTTTGTGGGAGGGATTTGAGTGCTTATCAGGAAATTCAGGCTTACACAATGATATTGTTGCAGGCACAAAGCCTGTAGATCCTGCTTTAATATGGGACTAAAGCACGCTTTAAAAACAAAATGCATCGTAGAGCATGGAATGAATGGACAATGGACAGAAAGATGTGTAAACACCCACAAGCAAATCAGGACAAATGCTTCATCGCCGTGTAACTGCACCATGAATAAATCAAAGTGAATGCTCGATAAAGAAGCTGTCTGGAGGAGCCTACGGTCAAGAGTGCATTTCTTTCACCATAGAAGAGCAACCCACCTCCGTTCATCCAGAATTAAGGAGCATGGCTTTTTCGGTAAAGGTGGCAATAGGGGTCAGAAGGGTCTGAACCTTGGCACCATTCTGAAAAGCAGCTGCTTTGTGAAAAGTGTCCTGTTAGATCAGATCCCCAGAAAAGAGGAAAGAAGAGAGCAGTTGTTGACTGTTGGATCATTCCCTGCGTAGCTGCAACCAGCAAGAGGACAACTCCTGCGGGCTCCTCCCGTCTTTCCCTATAGATCCTGAAGCGGCAGGGGAAGGAGCTGGTGGAGGTTTGGGAATTAGTATGTGCGTATCTGTTTGCGTATGTTTAGAGATCTGTGAATACCGGTGCCCTCTTGGGACCCAGACTTTCCCTTTAGTCTCAGGGCTGGTTTATTATAGTGAGCCGAAGATCAATGAAAGCTAGTGCTCAGTAGCAATAAGAGGATTGGGGTAAAGCATTTTGCTAGAGTGTCCCAAAAGATGCATTCTCCTAATTGGCTTGTGTGGAGGTGCCTGTCGTCGTTTGCAGACTGACTAAAGAACCACAAAGGGAGTGCATATCGTAAACCCTTAAAAGTATCTATAGGACTGATGAAAACCCCATTGTAAATATAGACTTCTTAACTGGAGGGCGAAGGCTTAGGGAGCTGTAAAAGTGTGGTTGTTGTAGAAAAAGGCTTTTGGTGGCTTACATCTGCTGTAGTTGCCATTCTGCTGTGGCTCCATCACACAGCTCTCCAGGAAGAGATACAATACACCAGAACTGGTCAGTCCTTTGGGGCCAGGGAGCACATTTGGAACTTTTTGGCCGTGCTGTGGGTGCCAGTCACAAAATGGCGGCAGTGGGGGTCATGGCATAAAGCAAAGCAGCTGCCATGTCTAAAAGAGAAAACCTATCGGACCAGAAAATGATGGAGCATGGCTCCCCCAGGGGCAGTGGTTTAACAATCTGTCCTTCTTCCCAGGGAACTCTGGGAATTGTCGCTGTACAGGGGGAATAGGGGTCTCCTAACAACTCCCAAGCCCCCTTAATCAACTACAGTTCCCAGGATTCTTTGGGGAAGCAATGACTACTTAAAGTGGTTTGATACTGCTTTAAATGTATAATGCAGATAGGGCCTTAGTCTGTAAAATGCACTAGGAAATCCCCCCACAGGGGAGGGAGGGAGACGGAGATGTCAGCCCGTACGGCTTCTTTTCCATTGATGATTATATGCCATCTAAACACACACAATTTTTCATATGGATTCTTGGATATGTGAGTTTAACGCTAAGCTTTCTAATAGATGTGGGCTAAGAATGCACAGTAGATCTCTACTTAATGGCTTACTCAACTCATTTGAGATTTCAGGCATTCTCTTTATGACAGTCAGTCATCTTCAGCGACGCTGGGAGTGAATGGAGAGACTCCATGCCTTCATCTTAAAATGATTTTGCTTTCTTATTCAAGCCCTTTTAATCCCTTTGATTGCAGAAGCTGAATCTACCTGCAGTCCTGCATTTGCTCTCCTGGAACCGAGCAAGACTTCCTCCCATGTGATCATGTTTGGGAGTGGGCTGCAGCGCATAGCTGTCAACCTTCCCTTTTTTGGGCGGGAAATTCCCTTATTCCAGCGCCGTTTCCCACAGCTTCCCGCAGCTATCCCGGATTGTTAGATATCCTGTAGACTGTCCCCGGGACAGGTGAGGCTGCTGATCTCTTATTTTCAAATCTGAAAGTTGACAGCTATGCTGCAGCGGGAGAGGGAGGTGCCTTGCTTGTGAGTAGATGGGGTTTAAATGACCTAGGGTTCGTTGCTTTCAAGTTTATAGAGAGAGCAGGGGTGGCGAACCGTTTTCAGACCAAAGGCCTCATTCCCTTGTGGGTCATCTTTTGGGGGCAGAAAATCAGTGGTGGACAGGGCTAGAGACAAAAGTGGGTGGAACGACAAATATGGCTCTTAATTTTAGTGCAGCAGACTGTATTCTAGCCTTGTAAATGTTAGAGGTTTCTTACACACAGTCCTCTATATCCAGGCAAGCAAAGGGCATTATTACAGATCAGAATTTCAATCTAGCCACGAAAAGGCATTCAAGGAGAGAGACTTGGAGACTGTGAGAGAGGAGCTGTGCCTTGGGGAGGGGGGGTGGCCATGGGGAAAGTCCCAAGGGCCACCCACTTAGGATGATCCCTAATTTGGTGAAACAGGGCCAAGCCCCCAGACGTGCGTAGCTCACAGGCCAAAGTAGATCCATATTTGTGACACTCCATTTCCAATATCAAGATTCATTATCCGCTGCCCCCAGTAGTATACACAGCAGGATGCTCAGCTCTACCTTCTGAGTGTTTTCTTTCATTTATTCTACAATAGCTTCTATTCCATTGACTTAAAAGCCAAGAGGGCATTTGTTTTTCAGTTTAATGGTCTTCTTGAAAACCACAATTGTCTACAGCAGGTTATCCCTAGTTCAATATATACCATGGCAGCTGCAGATATCTAAAGTTAATAAGCTGAGATAAGAAGGAGGCCAGACCCCCCCACCAAACACACACACACACACAGAGAGAGAGAGAGAGAGAGAGAGAGAGAGAGAGTGCTAAAGTTTTCCGATTGCACAAACCAGCCACCATACAAGCCAGGAAGCCTTCCATTAATAGTTTCCCATTATGTCCAGGCTGGGAAATGGTTAACAGCTGACTGTTGTGAAGGGAGGAGCAAAGTGCTAGCATGTACAGAGCACAAATGTCATTTGTCATTAAGCTGACAGATGACCACCCAAATCTGACCAGTGTATGAAATGTAGGTTTGGGTGAATCGGTCAACTTTGCGTTCTCTCAGTTTCTTCCTTTTCAAATCCTAAGTTCTGTTTCCCACATTTGCACATCAGTTTGTAAGTGTTTAAAAAAACAAGTTCTCATGAAAATTCAGCAGCATTTTGGTGTTCATTTCTCCTAACGGGCACATCATTGTGTGCAGTCTTGCTTCACGTAGTTTTGGAAAGCAATTTCCTCTTATTCACTTGCTTCGTACATCTTCCTCTCTCCACCTTTCTGCCAGCCCCAGTTGATAGTGGAAAGCTGATAAACTTGCCAGTGTCAACCAACCCCAGAAAGATGGTTTATTTTTACCCCATCATCGGGAATTGGAAATTCTTTGCCAAGGTGAGCTAAACTCTATGCAAAGGAGACCTGACTTTTGTGATGATGTGTTTTGTACATACTTGCAGACCTCCTCCAATGTCTTCATTAGTGTGCCTAAATGTGAGTGCTGTATCCATGAATGGTAGGCATGGGGATCCATGCCAGCCTTCTCCCAGCATCCCCTTATGCACCTACCCCACATTGTGTCCCTTATCATCCGCACCTTGAACCGGACTTTATCAAAGTTTCCCCCCGGAAAATCCAAGTATGTCCTGTCTGGCAGATCACCCCATGTTGTTGTTTAGTCGTGTCCGACTCTTCGTGACCCCATGGACCAGAGCATGCCAGGCACGCCTGTCTTCCACTGCCTCCTGCAGTTTGGTCAAACTCATGCTGGTAGCTTCGAGAACACTGTCCAACCATCTCATCCTCTGTGCCCTCTCCTTGTGCCCTCCATCTTTCCCAACATCAGGGTCTTTTCCAGGGAGTCTTCTCTTCTCATGAGGTGTCCAAAGTATTGGAGCCTCAGCTTCAGGATCTGTCCTTCCAGTGAGCACTCAGGGCTGATTTCCTTCAGAATGGAGAGGTTTGATCTTCTTGCAGTCCATGGGACTCTCAAGGGTCTCCTCCAGCACCATAATTCAAAAGCATCCATTCTTCGGCGGTCATTGTTCTTTATGGTCCAGCTCTCACTTCCATACATCACTACTGGGAAAACCATAGCTTTAACTATAGGGACCTTTGTTGGCAAGGTGATGTGCTAATTGACACTCTTGAAGAACTATAAAAGGGGCAAGGGGTATTTGTCTCTTCTTTGGCATCCCACTCAGTAGACAAGGAAAGTGGAGGGTGGAAAGAAAAAGAGAAAGAGAAAGAAAGAGAGAGAATAGAGTGATCCCACCCACTACAGGCTCTGGTCAGCATGCATCCTCAGATAGAAAAGAGGCCTCCTTCTCCTGCCACAAACTGCGGAAATCCGACTCACACACCACTCTGGATTCTGAGGCTCACATGTTTACAAACCTGCCTTGATGAGTATTATTGGCTATGGCTATCGGGAAATCTTCAAGCATATGCTTGTTTGTTTTTAAAAAGAAGGTTCAGTACCTAATAGCAGCTGCCAAAATATTTTTTGGCACGACTTTGGAAGGACTCTAAAGTGCCAGATGTTAAAAACACGGTTAAGATGTGGGATGTTGTGTGTTTGTGTGTGCGTTTGTGGAGAAAGTAACCAATTATATTAAATTGAGAGAGGCCAGAATTTCTACAGATGCCTGCCAAGTAAAATGACTCTTGGGTATATAGTCTTGGTTCTCTGCTGGGTTGGTGAGTTGGAGAAATGGGTTGGAGAAATGATCCAGAAATTGGTCTTTGCTTTGTGTTGCCGAAAGACACTTGGACTACTACAGTTCTTGAGAACTCTGCAGATTAAAGGGCTAGAAATAACAACAACAACAACAACAACAACAACAACAACAACAATTGAAGATGCTGAATATTACGGTGACAAGTGTTATTTTCCACCCTAGCTGTGCAGTACCAAAATTCACACATGGCTCTACCTGAACTTTCGAGGTGCATTGCATAGGACAGTATCCCCATGTCACTTAAATCTACCCATATGGAGTTAATGCACAGCTACATCTGGACCACTCCTGTCCCCGTACTGATGCCAGCAAAAGGGATGCTGGTGGTGCAGATGCGGGGAGTGGGATTCTTCCATCTGCTTTTTACAATGGCGATGTTTAGTACTGCCCAGGTGCTGTGTGCTGTATTGATCCCTATATACTCCCCTTTTCCCAGCAGCTGCTCCTAGTGCCATCTGAATATTACAAAACTGCCGGTATAATGAAACTGGTCCTGGCATGTTAAGCAAGTATGTGGAATTCATAGATAATCTGGATCTTCTCCTCCTGGTGGTATTAGGAGCAGTTTTCTTTCTCTGGTGGGCTGCAGCTAGTAGACTCCGTGGAAAAGCACAGGAGGGGAGAGTGTTGTTGTGCATGTGCTTTTCCTACGGGCATCTGGTTGGCCACCGTGAGAACAGGATGCTAGATGAGATGGTCTGTTGGCCTGATCCAGCACAGCTCCTCTTATGTTCTGAAAAACCAGAAAGAGATGATGGGTCATATTTTATACTTAATGCACCCAGTCTTCATTTCTGCAACCTGTATTGGTTTTCTTTCTTCCCCTCATCTTGAATGCCTACAATCTGATGTACATGTATTTTTGTTTATTCGTTTTAAAAATAAATCATGATGCGCAGGAGGGGGGTTGGCATTTCCCTCTACTCTCCCCAGTTCACGCAGTGCAGGTGGATCAGGGAAAATTGGGCCAAGAGATGCTTGCAAATCCGAGGCAGGACGAAACTTGGGGGAGCCAGCATGATTGGACAAACAGACCAAGAGATTCATGGACTTGCTTGCCAGCTTGGACTGCCAGCTTATCATTCAGCTCCTGTGTCTCTTAGCGTCGGATTGGAGCACTGATAATCCATCGTAAAGAGCAGTTGCTTTTTTGCATCACATGGTTAAAATGCGACTTGTAAATAAGCAGTGTGAATTTATTTTATTTTATTTTTGGTTATGTGAAGTTGAGGGCAGGGTTGCCTTGAACCGGGTCATTTCTATCCAAGCAACGGCAGGGTTAGCCGAGATGTCTGAGCGAAGAGCTGGCCGTGGCTCCTGCTGGGCAGGGATCTCTGCTCCACATGCCCTGCAACTTCCTGTCGGCGCATAATCCCCCTTAATCCTGCTTTGGCTCTGTTAATTTCCCTCCTTTCCTCTTTTTCCGATCCGCTTTCTCCGTGGCGGTGCACGGCTTCGCCCTCTTCCTCTGCCGGGCAGGCAGCTGCGGGAGCAGCGGTGGCCTGCCGACCTTCCAGGCTGTCTCCAAAGCGCCTCGTACCATGCGGCAGGGGCCCTGGGATGGTGGTGCCTGAATGTGTCCCATTCTCTCTGTCTTACAGGCTGTGCAGTCTCCGCCTGAAGAAGCTGACCGTGCTGAGGGAACTGGACAAGGAGCTCAGCTCTGTGCTCATTGCTGTGAAGATCCAGGTAAGCCGCTGATCTCGTGTCCTCAGGTATCTCTGGTTATGCGACAGGTGCCTCTCTTTGCCATCTCGCTCCTACTGCCTCTCCATCTTCAAGCTGTTACTTCTTTCCATTGTGCCAGACATCTAGCCCCTGGCCTTTACATGGGGGCTACTTCTTGCCTGTTTTCTGCAAGACTTTTTTTAAAAATAGAGATGGAGGAAGGGCACCACCCTCCATGTCTCTGTACATTGACCTTTGACTTCTAGGAAACAGCGAGTGTGATAAATGTGTTGGAGCCGGCAGGCTGCTATAGAATGACGAGATTGTTTAGGAAGGGCCCAGAAGGGCAAAACGTCTTCCTCCTTTGTGCAAAACTTTGTTTACGAGCTCGTGGACTTCCCTAAATTGCTCTGCTATTGCTTCATTCTTTTTGTTTCGAGAACATAGCTCATCTCATTCACTTTAAGGCAAGGGAGGGCTATTATCTCGGACATGGAAACTCAGAAAGTGGGACCAGCCTTTTGCACCCTGTAAGTCAAGGATAGGGAGCCTGCAGCCTTCCAGCGGTTGTGGGACTCCAACTCCCATTTGTGCCAGCCAGCCTGGTCAATGGTAAGGGATGATTGGGGTTAGAGTCCAGGAACAGCTGGATTGACAGGTTTCCATCTTTCCCCTAGCTTCCTATGTTCTAGGAGTTAAATAGAAGTCTAGGGTCTGTTTGGATCTGGGTTTGTGGTCTGTCCTCCCTGGTATGGCTGTATCTTGTTGATTTCCAGTCCCTCAGCTGGGGAAAAACCCTCCACAGCTTTATTTTCTTAGCATCTGTCAAACAAAGATTTACCAAAAAATATATAAATTGAACAACCAAATGAATGGAATTAAGCGCGCCAACAGAATTATGCAGATTCATGCGACCCATTTCTGTCTCAAAACTCAGAGCAGAGTTCTGCAACAGGAAACCAGTCCCCATCAGGCCGTCTTGCCAGGAATCGCTGGGATTGTGGCCTCGTTGTGCTCCAGGGTAGGCACCCGCAGAGCACAAATCTCCCTATCTTGGGCCTGCCTCAAATGCTGGACCGAGGGACCGCCTCGTAAAGCAAAGAAGCCATCTCGTAAATGAGACAAACTGCCGTTTTTAATGAAATATTTGCCTATCGCAAGGGAGGCCTTGCATTTTGAACTTTGGAAATGCTGTCAGGGGCGCTTCAGCCTTCTGTGTTTTCTGCTTTTCTTGGATCCCTTCCACCTGGGGATTTTGAATGTGCTGTTCTTGTCCCTTGGGGCTCATAACCTTCTAGGAGTAAAGAAATATATGGCGTGCATTACAAGGATATATGGGTACAGTCTCTGAAAGGGTAGCTACCCCGCAGCGCCAGAATGCAGCAGCTATTTCGTAGCCTTCAAGCAGTTAACACACAATGGGATAGAAGGAGGAGCAGGAGGAGAGTTTTTGTTTAAGTATTTATTTAACAATTTTTATGTACTGCTTGATTGCAAGAAAACTTTTAAATTTTTAAGAAATGTGTTAAAATTATCAGTAGAAACAATTAACACAGGTATTTGAAAATCATAGAATCATAGAGTTGGAAGAGACCACAAGGGCCATCGAGTCCAACCCCCTGCCAAGCAGGAAACACCATTAGAGCACTCCTGACATATGGTTGTCAAGCCTCTGCTTGACAATGTTCAGGAATGATTTAAATTAACAGTAGCGAAAAAGAAATAAAGGGCCTGTAACTTGTACGTGTCTCGGAGGCTTTCCTAAAGAAAAGTGCTTTGTGCGGGCAGCAGAAAAAGTTCAGCGCCTGCCTCATGTCAATAGGCAAGGAGTTCCAAAGTTAGATGAGTGGGGGTATAAGTAATACATCATCATCATCATCATCATCATCATCATTTATTATTTATACCCCGCCCATCTGGCTGGGTTTCCCCAGCCACTCTGGGCGGCTTCCAACACAATATTAAAATACAGTAATCATCATCATTCTGCAGAAGGTATTGAATAAGAACTTTCCTAAATGGGGCGCCAGAAGTAAAAAGATCAGCCTACTTTGCATCTTATAGTTTTGAGACATGTACTTGCCTATGTGCTTAAAACTGAAATGTTTGAATGAGCAAGCATGTATTTAAGCAGACACATGTCATAACACACCAGCCTTCCCCAACCAACTACCCTTTAGGTGTTGCTGGATGACAACTCTCATCGGACCCAGCTGGCATAGCCAATAGTGAGGGGAGTTGTCATCCCAACAGCATCTGAAGGGCACTAAGGGACAGCTGATATAGGCAAAATCCAGGGAGCCACAGGTGTATGAAGCTCCCTGTCGAGTGCACGCTTGGTGACAAACCTAAATTTGTGGCTAGAATTTCTAGCGGTGCTTGGAGTACAGGGGGCGGCAGAGTGGCCCCTTCTCCTTTTCTGACAGCTCCTTAGCTCTCGTTTTTAGAAGACTATATTGGGCACTGTTTGGCTAAAGTTGAGGACAATCAGGGCATGTGATGGTGATGTCATGAACTTCTTTGCCCTCCCCTTCTAAAATGCATGCATTGTTCGTAGGAAGGAGGGGGAAATCTCCTGGATCTCTCTAATAATGATTTGGGCCCAGGTAGTAGATAGTTATTGTAATAATAGCCCTTTTGAGCAGGGTGGGTGGGTGCGTGGGCAGAAGGTGGGTCTCGGTCTACTGCTAGATTTCTGGGCATTGTGCAAAAGATCAGCAAAGATCTCTTTAATGTTCCCAACGAAATGATCACTCCCATCCCCTTCAACGTAGACTGCTGAAATGAAGGAAACTTGAGCTAACCAGGCATGGTTGCTGCCTTTTTCTGTGGAAGCCCAGTGAGCTCAGACCAGTAAATCCCTGTGCTAGCAGCATCCTGCTATTTAATTTAAAATGTGAGGCTTTTGCACCAGGCCCCAGTTGTTGGATCTCTGGGTTTTAGAGAAACACAGAGTAGATCCTGCAAGCCTGAAATCTGCCCGCCCCTGCCACAGAAGAGCTTTTCGGAAAAGCTGCCTTATACCGGAACCACTCATTGTCCATTGAGTCTAGTGTTGTCAGCTCTGACTGGCAGGAGCTCCCCAGGTTCTCAGGACATTGTATCTCCTTCCACCCAATCCTTCCCCCGCCCCCAGTGTCACCCACTGAGCTGCAGCTCCCTCCCTTTCTTGCACACCTGTTGGCAAATCCTTTCATGTTGAAGAGGACTTGCGGTCTGTTCTGAAAGGCCCCCCATCCCCAAGTCTTCCCAGACTTCCACTCTTCCCTTTCTAGTGAATGTGTCAAGAGAAGGATGGTTGTATTGAAAGAAGAAAGTGGGAGAGCTCAGTCAGTAGAGCATGAGGTTGATGATCTCATGGTTATGGGTTCAAGCCCCATGTTGGGCACAAAAGGGGTTGGACTAGATGATCCTTGTGGTCCCTGCCAACTCTACGGTCCTATGATTCTATATTGCTGAGCAGACATATTTGGATCCTTACCTCAGTACGCAGCAAGTCTCTGTCCTCCTCCTCCTCTAGCCAAGTTTTGTTTTGTTTTGTTTATTTAATTGCTTACTTATTTTGTAAACCACTTGCTCAGAAAATAAATTCTCTAAGCAATGTATAAGTCCATGTTTATGTGTGTGTGTATACACCAAATACAGTGGTACCTCGGGTTACATACGCTTCAGGTTACATACGCTTCAGGTTACAGTCTCCGCTAACCCAGAAATAGTACCTCAGGTTAAGAACTTTGCTTCAGGATGAGAACAGAAATCGTGCTCCGGCGGCGCGGCAGCAGCAGGAGGCCCCATTAGCTAAAGTGGTGCTTCAGGTTAAGAACAGTTTCAGGTTAAGAACGGACCTCCGGAACGAATTAAGTACTTAACCCGAGGTACCACTGTATACATAAAACCATAATTAAAATCAATAAAACGTTGGAAACAAATGTTAGCTAAATCACTAGGCTTTCTGAAACGGAAAAGTTTCCAGTGGGCACCTAGAAAGCGCAGCGAAGGTGCTGACCGAATGTCAATTCCCCCATCCGCTGACCTTCTCCCTCATTCTGCAGCAAGCGGAGCAGAGCAAGATGGGTGCATAAATTCCTTTGATGGAAATAAAGGCCTCGCCACCCCTCCCTCTCCCAGCTTCCTGGCTGTGCCCTTCTTGTGCTCTTGTCAGCTGTTTCGTAAAGCCGCTGATGCTCCCGACAGCAGGCAGGGGCGAAGGGCCAGCGAGAGCTTTGCGTCCTGCCCGGGCGTTTCTGTGCACTGCAGTCATTAGGATTTAAATCCGGGATTAGTAGCCGAAGCTGGTGTGTGTTTTAAAGTCGCCCCGGGGCCTGGTCTTCACATGCATATCGAGGGTTGTCCAAATGGCATGTCCGAATGGGAGCCACAGGGAGGCATGGTGCGCAGAGAACAGCTGGCCATGTGATACCCACACGCCCTGCATTGGATGGAGACGTTTCAGAGCCATGCTTGGAAATCTATGTGTTGTGCATAAGGCCCAGCCTCAAAGAAAACTAGCGAGACTCTAATATGGCAGGTTGTGGTGGAGGTTTGTAGGAACAACCATGTTTATTGAGTCAAATTCAGCCGTGATATGGGGCAGAAATTTTTCTAGTGCTTTATTTTTCTGCAGAAAATTGGGTGGCCGCTGGCTGCAAAGAATCATCAAGCTTGGCAATTTCAGAGTTTTTAGCTTTGTTTACCAACTACAAGGGTTTTTTTATCATACGTGCTAAATTAGATCATTCTCTAGGGCAGGGCTTGGGAACTTGTGGCCCTCCAGATGTTGTTGACCTACAACTCCCAGCAACCCTGACCAGCATTGGGAGCTGTAGTTTGGAGGTGGTTGGAGGATGGATGGTGGCTAACAGATTGAGGTTGAATCCTGACAAGGCAGAAGTACTGTTTTGGGGGGCGGGGGGGAGGGCTCCCTGGTCCTGAATGGGATAACTGTGCCCCTAAAGGACCAGGTGCACAGCCTGGGAGTCATTTTGGACTCACAGCTATACATGGGGGCACAGGTCAATTCTGTATCCAGGGCAGCTGTCTACCAGCTCCATCTGGTGTGCAGGCTAAGACCCTTCCTGCCCTTAGACTGTCTCGCCAGAGTGGTGCATGCTCTAGTTATCTCCTGCTTGGACTACTGCAACGCACTCTACGTGGGGCTACCTATGAAGGTGACCCGGAAACCACAACTAATCCAGAATGCGGCAGCTAGACTAGTACTGGGAGTGGCCACCGAGACCACATAGCACCGGTCCTGAAAGACCTACATTGGCTCCCAGTACGTTTCCGAGCACAATTCAAAGTGTTGGTGCTGACCTTTAAAGCCCTAAGTGGCCTTGGCCAGATGGGCGGGGTATAAATAATAAATTATTATTATTATTATTATTCCCAAAGGAGCGACTCCACCCCCATTGTTCTGCCCGGACACTAAGGTCCAGCTCCAAGGTCCTTCTGGTGGTTCCCTCCCTGCAACAAGTGAGGTTACAGGGAACCAGGCAGAGGGCCTTCTCAGTTGTGGCACCCACCCTGTGGAACGCCCTCCCATCATATGTCAAGGAAATACAGTCATACCTCCGTTTACGTAAACTTGAGGATGCATGCCTGACAAACCAGGAAGTATTTTACCAGGTTTTGCCATGCGCGCATGCACAGAAAACGGTCTGCACATGCGCAGAAACAGTCCTCAGGTTGCAGAAACCTCAGGATCCTACTGGACCTCCGGAATGGATCCCGTCCACAACCAGAGGTACTACTATAAACAGCTATCTGACTTTCAGAAGACATCTGAAGACAATCCTGTTTAGGGAAGTTTTTAATGTTGGATGTTTTATTGTGTTTTTAATATTCAGTTGGGGGCCGCCCAGAGTGGCTGGGGAAACCCAGCCAGATAGGTGGGGTATAAATAATAATAAATTATTATTATTATTATTATTATTATTATTATTATCATCATCATCAATGACAACACCTGGAGGGTCAGATGTCCTAGATTATAGCCAGCATCATTTAACAATGAGGCGTGCTTTTAATGATGGAGTGCGGGTTTTTTTTAAGTGGGTTCCACTTAAAAGAAAACTAGGTCACAGTGCGAAAGGGGACACAGGAGTTTGTGGAGGGTGTGAGGGGAAAATAAATACTAGAGTGGATAGAAAGCATGTCACTTCCTCTCTGCAGTGCCCCATTACTTCACCTCTCCCCCAGTCTCCTATATCACTCCCCTTGCCCCACTCAGAGGCGTAGGAAGGGGTGTGTGGTGGCTGTGGCCTGCCCCGGGTGTCATGACTGAGGGGGGTGACAAAATGGCAGGCGAGTGGGCAGCACACCTCACGCTCGGCAGCGGCAGCTCTTTTGACCCGGCGGCAGAGAGCAGCTCTCCACAGCTGTGGCGAGGCGCACCCGGCCGCAGCAGCTCCCTTACCGGCTCATGTCTGAACTGTGGCGCATGGGAGGGCACCCTCTGCGCCCCGCGCCCCTTGGGAGTGCGCCCGACCTGGGCAGCACAGGCATATGCTCTGCTGCTGTCCCCACTATCTTTATGGTCACTCTGCTTTCTGTTCAGCAACCAATCTAAGCTTTGAGAGGCATATACAAATGAAAGAGGAAGTCTTAGATGGTGCTCGTCCCACTTCTTCTTTCTTGTCTATCTTAGGGTTGTCATATGTCCGGAATTTCCCAGTCATACCCGGAATAATGCAGTTGGAAGCAGTGTCCAGACAGACACAATGGTAAAATGTCAGGGAAAATCTGGACATGGCAGCCGTGTCTTTTGCTGGTTTTCCTTAAACATAGCTTTAAAAATTGTCAATTTTTCTTTTGCTTTTTTGCAAAACAACGCTTGTGTCCGGATTTTTGAAATATGTATGCCTTAGTATGTTCTCTTCTCAAGGCTCCGATCTGCACCTCAGCAAAGAATATAATGCAGTGGCAACAATGTTAACAATCCTTAAGTCTTAACTAACAGTTTACATCAATGTTAGCCACCAACCTCTCATATACGACTCTTTATATGTGGTATATAAATCTATAAAGCAAAACAAACAATTCTAAGAGAGCAACCTTTAAGCAAAAACGGTCCAAAGCACACCAGCAACATTGAAGCCATAAGCACCTCCATGGGGAGGAAATTCTACAGCCTGGGGGACAGCACAGAAAAGGCCCTGTCTCTTGCCCCCGCCAGCCAAATCAGTCTGACAGGCGGGCACGCAAGCGGGGCTTCAAAGGCAGATTTTAACCTGACAGGTTTGTAATGGTGTTGGTAAGAAGTTGTCAACCTTTTGGGGGCCCAAAAGAGAAAACACAAATACATTTATTATACCCACCTATGAATTCTTAAAGGCCACCCCCCCCCCCCGGCTGAAAGGTGAGCGAAATCCTGGAGGATTTCTGCGGCTGGCTGTAGTGTTGAGCTGGGCTGTCCACAACACTGTTTTCTTTATAACGTCATAAACACCCTGCCCTGTGTATGCCACAGACCCATGAGATGTTGGCTTCTACTAAGTCAGCCCTTTGGTCCCCTTAGTTTAGTATTGTCTACATCAGGGTAGCCAGCATGCCTTGTACCCCTCCCCCAGATGTTTTGGTCTTCAAATCCCATGAGCTGTAGTTAGCGTGGTGAATAGCCAGGGATGCGGGAAGCTGTAGTCCCAAATATATGGAGGGTATCATGTTGCCAACGCCGGTCTGCGGTGACTGACATCAGCTCTCAAGGGTTTCAGGCAGGGGTCTCTCTCAGTCCTAGCTGGAGATTTTGGGGGCTTTGCACTGTGGGAAATTTAAATGGTGATGCTAGGAAATCCAACCACCCAGCTGTGTCTTCTGTTGGTGTGGGTGGGATACGTGGATGTTGACAACAGGCCCAGTATGAACTGTTCCAGATTTGGACTACTCCAAAAGAAGGGTAAGACTTTCTTCCTGTGCCTGCTGTTCCCTTCTGCGATTGCATCTATAGGATCCACAGTCTGCAGGTTGCAGCAGAATGAGAAACTGCTTGGGGTGGTTATGTGGGTTCCAGTTGTAGCCCTTGGGGTGTGGTTTTTCTGCACGTCTGTATACAGTCATACCTCAGGTTAAAGTAGCTTCAGGTTGAGCGTTTTCAGGTTGCGTTCCGCAGCGACCCGGAAGTAACGGAACGGGTTACTTCCGGGTTTCGCCACTTGCGCAGGCGCAGGCGCTCAAAATGATGTCACGCGCATGCGCAGAAGCAGCGAATCGCAGACCCGCAGACGTGGGTTGCATTCTGCTCAGGATGTGAACGGGGCTCCAGAACGGATCCCGTTCACACCCAGAGGTACCACTCTACAGTGGTACCTCGGGTTAAGTACTTAATTTGTTCTGGAAGTCCGTTCTTAACCTGAAACTGCTCTTAACCTGAAGCACCACTTTAGCTAATGGGGCATCCTGCTGCTGCCGCGCCGCCAGAGCATGATTTCTGTTCTCATCCTGAAGCAAAGTTCTTAATCCGAGGTACTATTTCTGGGTTAGCAGAGTCTGTAACCTGAAGCGTATGTAACCTGAAGCGTATGTAACCTGAGGTGCCACTGTACTCAGAATTTTCCGGCGATAACAAGAACCGAGTGTGTCAGGGCTTGGTTCGTGCTGAAAATGGGAGTGGGTGGCAAAAATAGGTTCTGAGAGTCAGAGGCGCTGAATGTGGGACTATATCTGAACTGAGTGCTAAGAAGGCCGTTTATCTGCCGGCTTAAGTTCTAATGTTTTAAAACAATTTAGCTAATGTCTGTAGCAGCTGTGATACTAACTGTGTACTCTACTCTTGCCATCAGTGTAGTATTTTTCCATTGTAAAGTTTGAATGCTGCCACCGTCAGAAGCCTGTGACAGCAAATGCCATTGTTAGAGCGGATGGGAGAAATGCCAGCGTGAACATGAAGACTTATCAGGGTTTTTATTCCATTAAAAATTAATGGATTTCTTAAGCAACTCTGCAGACCTCATCACACTCCTTTTTCATAGTTTGCATCTAATTTTTCAGGACATGCAAATCGTATGGTTCTTATTAGAGTTTACTTGCATCATTTTTGCACCCTGGATTGCAGCGGCTTTTTAATGCAGTAAAGAGGAATGATTCCTCCCCCCCCCCCCCCTTTCCCCTACCGTTTTGTTTGTGCTTGTGTCTCAAATGACTGGAGGGATTTCTTTGAAACCAACCAGAAACATGTTCAGAAAACAAGAAAACATATGCCCCAAAGGGTGAACATTTCTCAAGACTTTTTAGTATCTGGGACACACAGCCGCAGAATGGAAATGGCTTTGAGAATGCATTGTGGAGGCCTTTTGCCATTCAAAACACTGGCTAGGCTGGAAGTGTCCAGTCCTGAGAGATGGGAGTGTGTTAGGAATACAAATGGGGGCATCTAGTTGACAGCAATTCCCCCCCCCAATGCCGGCTTAATCATGTTGCTGTGGCCTGCAGTGCAATGATGGCTGGGGTTTGCGTGGCTACCATCCTAGAAATCCTGCAATATGGCACAAATGTCCATACCTCTTTATTTTATTTTTTATTAATTAAATTTATATCCCGCCCTTCATCCAAAGATCTCAGGGCCATTCACAAGATAAAAATACGAAATAAAAGCACAATATAGTTAAAACGAAACAATAAACCCCCTCCCACAACCACATTTAAAAGGCCAGGGAATATTAATCAGACAAAGACCTGGTTAAAGAGGAACGTTTTCGCCTGGCGCCTGAAGATGTATAATGAAGGCGCCAGGTGAACCTCCCTGGGGGGAGCATTTCACAAACGGAGCCACTGCAGAAAAGGCCCCGTTCTCGTGTTGCCGCTCTCCAGACCTCTCATGGAGGAGGCACACGAACAAGGGCCTCGGGATGGTCACAGTCAGGAATGGGGCTGTTTGTGTTCAACATATTCTGATACCTAGGTTGGTGGTGGCGCTGTGGGTTAAACCACAGAGCCTAGGGCTTGCTGATCAGAAGGTTGGCAGTTTGAATCCCCCCGTTGCTCGGTCCCTGCTCCTGCCAACCTAGCAGTTCAAAAGCACGTCAAAGTGCAAGTAGATAAATATGCACCACTCCGGCAGGAAGGTAAACGGTGTTTCCGTGCGCTGCTCTGGTTCGCCAGAAGCGGCTTAGTCATGCTGGCCACATGACCCGGAAGCTGTATGCCAGCTCCCTCGGCCAATAAAGCGAGCTGAGCGCCGCAACCCCAGAGTTGGCCACAACTGGACCTAATGGGCAGGGGTCCCTTTACCTTTACCTAAGTTGGTGGCAGGGATGCTATGGGGAGACTGGCAAGCAGAGGCCTTAACTGATGTGACTCATCATTTGCCCTTTCCGAAAGGAGCTCAGGGTGTGGGGTATGTGCTTCTCCTCACCACCACCTATTTTCTTCCCACAATAACTCTGAGAAGGTGGCAACTGATCCCAGCTCACTCTGTGAGCTTTATGGCTAAGGTAAAGGCTGAATGGGGATCTTTAAATCTGGGTGTCTCTAGGCCTAATCCACCGCTGCAATCCCACAGCTTCTCTTTTGCTGCACTCCCTGTTTGGGCATTCAGAGTAACACAGGAGGGTTTAAACTGGGCAGTGGCAAGCATGCGCCTGCCTGCTCCATCCTCACCATCTCATGTTGAGCATGAAGGGGGTTGTAAGTGTGTTCGGCTGAACGTTGTTTGTTTGGAGCATTTGTGCCCCAATTTGTTCAGCCGAAAAAGTGGCAAAAAAGTGGCAAAAATGCTACTAATTCAAATCTGCAAACTGCAAACTGATGCAGAAATGTGGAGAACGGGCTGGCGGAAAACACACAAGATTGACGGATTTGCCCCACCCTAGCAAGCACTTGGATCGACAGCTTCCTCATCCTCCAGCCTCTTCCAGCCTTTGCAGAAAGGTGGACCTTCTATAGGAGTGCCTGACAGCTGCCTCTCCCAGCTCCACCACCTGGGCGAGGGTAGACGATGACGATGGCATAGTGATGAGGATGGTGGATGGACCATGAGCTGAATTACCTTTGGCCTAATTTGAAATGGAGCCACCCCACTTCCTTATCCCCCATCCCGCTTTGAGAATTGGTGGGAGTTGAGTGGAAGGATGGAACAGCGAGGAGTCTGAAGTAGTCACGGCCTATGGCAGGAATGGGAAACCTGTGGCCTTCCAGATATTATTGGATGATTCTTCCCATCACCCCTGACCATTGACCATACTGACCAAGGCTGAGCCTCTTGCTTGCTGGATGTAGGGAGAAGGGGGTGTTAGTGTGTGTAGAAACCAGTCCACTGTACGAAAATGAAATCGACATTGGTTGTCAGTTGCCCATCACTAGCATGCTGCCCTCAAAAGATTGCCCAAAATGGAAAGTGGCCCTTGAACTGAAAATGCTTTCCAATGCCTGTTGTAAGAGTTCAGGACAGTATAGGGAACCTCCTGGTGGTGCTGGGGTTGTTGTTGTTTAGTCATTTAGTCGTGTCCGACTCTTCGTGACCCCATGGACCAGAGCACGCCAGGCACTCCTGTCTCCCACTGCCTCCCGCAGTTTGGTCAAACTCATGCTGGTAGCTTCGAGAACACTGTCCAACCATCTCGTCCTCTGTCGTCCCCTTCTCCTTGTGCCCTCCATCTTTCCCAACATCAGGGTCTTTTCCAGGGAGTCTTCTCTTCTCATGAGGTGCCCAAAGTATTGGAGCCTCAGCTTCACGATCTGTCCTTCCAGTGAGCACTCAGGGCTGATTTCCTTCAGAATGGAGAGGTTTGATCTTCTTGCAGTCCATGGGACTCTCAAGAGTTTCCTCCAGCACCATAATTCAAAAGCATCCATTCTTCGGCGATCAGCCTTCTTTATGGTCCAGCTCTCACTTCCATACATCACTACTGGGAAAACCATAGTGTTTTCTATACGGACCTAATGAGTAAAACTGAAGTTTGGAGAGCTGCTGTGTTCCTCTCCTGCTTCCTGCCAGGGAGGAGATAGAAAAGACAGGGAGGCAGAAGCTGAGGCCGGTCCAGGCTCATTTCCTATTTGCATTTGATTTCCACAGCACAAAATGCTTCCCGGCATGAATAATTACAGAGGCAGAGGAACAAAAACAACTTGTTAACTCAATTTGTGGGTGATTATTTAGGTGTCACAACCAGCTGTTAAGAGGGTGGGATAATAACACCCAAAGAACAGAGAGGGAATAAAAATAAGGGCAAGAAATTAACACAACAAGCCATTCAGCTGAAAGCAGTGCTACCAAATTCGCTTTTGAGAAAGCTGAGATGACCATGTCATGTAATTGAAACAGTGCGGAAACATTTATTTCCCAAATTTTGGGCCAATTTATGAAAACAGATTCATATATTCGGTAAACTGATGTGCAGTTTGGTCCAAACAAAAGAGGCATTCCATAGCTTCACTACCGACACCTCTTCCTTTCAGGTCAGCCTGTATCTACCACAGCACTGGAAATGACCCATAGCTCAGTAGGTAGAGCATGAGACTCTTAATCTCGGGGTCATGGGTTTGAGCCCCACATTGAGCGAAGGATTCCTGCATTGCAAGAGGTTGGACTAGATGACCCCCATGTTCCCTACAATTCCATGATATTTCTTTGTTATCTTGGCTCATGGCCTGTGGATCTTAGGAGCTTTGAAATCAGGTGTTTGGTATTGTGGTTTTGCTGAACTACAATTTCCGTTATCCCTGAACATTTGTTGTCCTTGCTGGGACTGACTGGAGTCCAGCAGCAACCTCTGGAGGGCCACAGCTCTGTATTACTATAAATTTTGGCAACCACTATCATTTGCAGATGACACCAAACTGGGAGGGGTAACTAGAATCATAGAATCATAGAATCATAGAGTTGGAAGAGACCACAAGGGCCATCGAGTCCAACCCCCTGCCAAGCAGGAAACACCATCAGAGCACTAATGCCACAGAAGACAGAATCAGAATTCAAAATGATCTTAACGTATTAGAAAACTGGGAGCAAGCTAACAAAATGAATTTCCATAGGGACAAATGTAAGGTTCTGCACTTAGGCAAGAAGAACCAGATGCACAAATATAGGATGGGGAACACCTGGCTTACTAGCAGTACATGTGAAAAGGATCTAGGGGTCTTGGTGGACCAGAAGCTTAACATGAGTAAACAGTGTGATGCAGCAGCAAAAAAAGCTAATGCTATTCTAGGCTGCATCAACAGAAGTATAGATCAAGGGAAGTAATAGAAGCATTCAATTCTGCCTTAGTCAGACCACACTTGGAATACTGTGTCCAATTCTGGGCACCACAATTTAAGAAGGATGTTGACAATCTGGAACGTGTGCAGAGGAGGGCAACCAAGATTATCAAGGGTCTGGAAACTAAGCCTTACGAGGATCGTTTAGCCTGCGAAAGAGGAGACAGAGAGGAGCTGTGATAGCCACATGGAGGAGGGAGCATGTTTGGCTTCAAGTTGCAAGAAAGGAGATTCCGACTAAACATTCAGAAAAACTTTCTGACAATAAGAGCTGTTCAGCAGTGGAGCAGACTCCCATGAGAGGTGGTAGACTCTCCTTCCTTGGAGGTTTTTAAGCAGAGGTTGGCTAGCCATCTTTCATGCTTTAGCTTAGATTCCTGCATTGCAGGGGGTTGGACTAGATGATCCTTGGGGTCCCTTGCAACTCTAAGATTCTATGATTCTATGGTTGATAGGGATGAGGGAGAAATTCCATTTAGTTCACATTTAAAGGTGAACCTGACAAATCCATACCTTCCAAAATAATATGCACGCCTTCCTTCAAAATTTGCTCTTTTCCGAATTTTGGAGTGCAGTTTTCCAGGCAGTTGAAGTATACAAAAACATCGCTATGGTAAAGTGTGCATAAAAATTCATATATTAGTGGAAATAACATACAAATGCATTATAAGAAATGTGTATATTAGGGGAAATTACATACAAAAATCTGCTTGTTAGTAGAATGTCCTAGTAAAATGCTGGCAAATTTCATGACTGTAATATAATATAATATAAATGCAAGTTGCTGCAGAAATGTGGAGAATGGAATTTAAGGTTGGGAAAATGAGAAACCGACAGGTCCATACATCCCTACTGTTTGAGATACTGGTTCTTGTTCTCTAGATGTTTTTGGGTCTCTGTTGATGGGAAGGATATTTGTATCCAGAGTTATATTAATGTGGGTTAAGTAAGTTATGTAAAGACATATTTAACTGTGAATCGAGAGGGCTCCATAAATTGGAGAACAGGATGGTAGATAACTGCACTTCAAAGATCTTCAAAGAATGCCAGTTAGTTTTCTTTCTGGTAGTCAAGAGCTTCTGAAAACATCCCAGATACTTTTGATTCCTGTCGGGAAGGTGGTTCTCCAGCGTTCCCTTTGTTCTTTAAAGAGTCTTTTTCAAAAATGCATTACCATTAGGGGTGCATCTTTGCAGCAATGGTGGTTCCACCGTCAACTCTTAGATCTACACTTTACATCAAATGGCTTCCCAAGATAAGCTGTTTCTGCCTCCCCATTGAAGGGAAGTGTTCATTCTGACAGACAGTCTCACTCCCAGCAAGTGATCTCTCTAGTCCCCTCCAGATTGCCATTATTGTGTAGGGCAGGATTCATTCGCATACCGGAAATTTATATTTGAGCAATTAAAGTGGATTAAAGCACTCTGGCACAACAAATCCACTCCCTCCCCCCTATAAAACCCCTGACTTTTTGCAATTAGGAGAGTGACAGGGATAAACGTCTGATTAACAGGAAGATGTATAACCCTCACCCAAGCAAATCAGAATGAATGTTCATTGGCATGTAACCTCCCTGGCAAGCAAATGAGGATGAATTCTCAAGAGGTCAACTGGAGGAGCAGGTCAAATGGCTGGATGCAATTCTGCAGAACAGATGGTTCTGATAGTTACAAAAGAGTTATCTTAATATAGCCCAGGTGTGTCTAACTTGTGGACTGCAGGTTGCATATGACAAAACTTCAGCAAGCCCACAACTTACACAGGGGTTACATTCGGGGATTGTGCCTAAGGCCAAAGTCGCTTACAGTCATACCTTGGAAGTCGAACAGAATCCGTTCGACTTCCAAAATGGTTGAAAACCAAATTGTGGCTCCTGATTGGCTTCAGGAAGCTCCTGCATCCGATCAGAAGCCCCGTCGGACGTTCAGGTTCCAAAAGAACATTCACAAACCGGAACAATCACTTCCGGGTTTGTGGGGTTCGGGAGCCAAAGTGTCCAAGTTCCAGGGCATTCGGGATCCAAGGTACGACCGTATAGTAAAAACCATTTGTTGGTGGGTGTCAAGGAGCTGTCAGGCGAGCACAAGTCATCTACAGAGCAGGAAAGAATGTGAGGAACAAAATGAAGTTAGCTTTTATTCACAGGAAGTGACAACACAGCCGAGTTCCTTTGGTTCATCTTAATCCAGCTGGAGACATTACTGAAACTGACCACTGGCCCTTCCCTTCCCCTCTAACCTCTCACTCTCGATCCCTCCCTAGCCGACGGGGCTCTTCCTCTGGGTCTGTCTGGCTACTTGCTCAGCAACGTGCAGGACTCTCCTCGAGCAGGGTATCAGAGGGAGACGAGAGCCAGCAGGACTGGGTCTGGGTAGCAAGGGCAACCTCTGACTCCTCTCTGCCTGAGTCTGTGCTCACACTGCGACTCTCAGCCTCTAGCCCTGTCCTGCAAGGGCCTCCTCCTTCTGACACCCCCCTTGATCGTTGAAATCTTGCTTCAAGCAACTCCCAACTTGTCCCTTCCCCAGGCTGCTCCCCGGTGCCCCACCACCACGATCCAGGGTCATCTTTCCCCCTATCCTCCCTGGGGGGCTCTTGGGCACTTGGTGCCCTCCACTCTTCCTCATCCAGCCAGTCCCTGACAGTGGGTGGGATTGCCAAAGTCGTTTTCACCAAATCCCTGCCCCCTTTCCACCCCTTTTAAAATTTCTGCCATGTGCGTAAAGCTGAACGTTCGCAGATTAAAAGTGCGTAAGTTGAAAACCAACTGTACCACACAGTGAGCTTGGGTAGAAATAAGTCTTGCAGTGAGCTGTGGGGGGTCTGAATAGAGAGGAGAAAGCAATGGTTTTATCAGAGAATGTTTGATTGCAGATCAGGGTACAGGCAGTAAAGCAGTATATCTCATTCCTGTGAGAACTGGGTGGATACAGAACTCTTAGCAAGTCTTAGGCGGATGCAGCATATAACAAGGCATGCAAGTCCTGTCTGGGGAAGGTAAGTGGCAGGTCAGCACCCAATGGATACGTTCTGACCTGTGTTAATTGGAGGGGGGAAGCAGGATGGGAGCCAGAATGGATGGGGACGGAGGAAGAGGGGAAAGCAGACACACATGGGGGGGGCCTCTGCCCATCTCCCTCATGCTACCTCCAATATATTTCCCCCAAGGAATGTGACCCTCAAAGGTGAAATAGAAATAAAAAAAAATACATCTCATAGTCCATCTGAATAAGTCTTCAGTTCTGATTTCCAGATTGACTCCTGGGCTGTAAGGTGATGCCTCTATACTGGAATTGGAGCAAGTTTTTCCCTTCTAAAGCGCTTTACTGCTGGAAATTCAATCTTGAAGCATGTGCCCATGTAACTGTCCTGCAGTAGCAGCTGAGGAAAGAATCTTAGAATTATAGCATTTCAATCCTTCATTTTATAGTCCATAAAATAGTGTTTTTTTCTACTTAGTTTTTTTAAAAAAACAGTATTGTACCTGATCTGCTCTGGCCCAACCCTACTCAGAGTTTCAATACGCCAGGTTTGTGCCTCTGGTGTTTTGATCTATGGATTTTGGAATAAGTGGCATAGACAGATTTTCAGGAGCGAAGCCGAGATGAAGTGAAAAGCCAGTAGTTTAGAAGTTGAAGAATGAAGGCATAAATATCTCCATAGAGGTTCTTTCAGTTGTGCTTTCCCCCTCCTCAGACTTTCACTAAGGGAATAAATAATACGTCGCATGGTGGCAGCTGGTTTGCTGTGGTGTGATTGGCACCATTGCAACAGCTAGGGTGACTAATTGCCTTCCGAGACCGAATTAGTGCTCCTCCCTGGGGGTGCCACGGTAAAAATAGAAGTAGTTACTTACCAAGGACCCCTAGATCTGTGACAGGAACATTAGAGGCTTATTCCAACCACAGCATAATGGGGCACTTCACTTAAATTAATGTTCATTTCTCCCCCCACCCCCCACCGCCCCGAATGTAGAGTGCAGTCAACACAAACCAAAGGAGGCAAAATAATTTTTAACAGTTTTCCTGCTTCATTTTTAACAACTGCCTGCAGGTAAGATCTGCTAAGAGGATGAAGCAGTTAATGTACCATTCAGTCACTCCATACTTGCTTTCTGCTATGCTTCTACTTTGTTTAAATTGGGAAGGAGATATCCCAACTTCCTTACCTCCACTAGTTCTTATCTCCTCCAGATTGCCTTCTTCTCCTGCCTGCCCCTCCTTTAGCAGGTAACCTCTCTTTTCTCCAGGCTCCTCCCATGCCCCTTCTCCAGTGGTAGCTGGTGGCCATTGTGGGTGGTAGGATGGAAAGCAGGAGGGGCCAACAGTAGGTGGAGCCATAGCTAGTTGAGAGAGCCGACTAGTTGTAGTTTTGCCCCGCTGGGGCTAAGGAGGAGGAAACCAGCAAGCAGTGCCACCCCTGGACTAGCTATGAGGAAGAAGGCAGGCAGGTGGGAGCTCAGGGCATTGGGAAGGACCCATCTTGAAAGTTTGCATCATCTCACCATTCCCATTTTCCCCCCATCTGCAGCCTGTACAAGGTGAGTGCTGGTCAGGCTACTTGCAAGTAGCCAGCTGGCTTGGTGGCTTCTTCCACCTGTTCCCTACACAGTGACTTGCAGTGCTGAACCAGTAGTGCCTGATGCATTTTGACTCTTGGTTCCATTTTCTTTGTTCTTCCTTTTTTCCTATTGCCTCCAGGCTTACAGTCACTCCCCACTTCCCTTGAAACCAAACTGAATGTCAGAAAAGAAGGGGTTTGTCTAACAAATCTTTTAGCAGCAATAGAGCAGTGCTAGAAGAGAGCGATCTCTCTGCCTTTTTGAGAAAGAGAAGTTAAGCCCTGGGGATTCTAGAGCAGCGTTCCTCAACTTGGTGCCTTCCAGATGTTTTAGACTGGTGCCTTCCAGATGTTTTAGACTGGCTGGGGCAGATGGAAGCTGTCGTCCAAAACTTTTGGAGGACACATGTCAGGGAAGGCTGGACTAGAACAGGATCTTGCACTCTGCAGCCTGTGGAAAGTATCAGGGTGGGCCACGTAGTGAATACTACCAAGAGCTGTTTCACCTCTTTGTGTTGGATGAGTGGAAGTTTCTGTGTAAATACTGGAGAGAGCAGCAATCAGTAGGAAGTTGCCTGCTGTGTCTACCTGTATCACACATATGCTTTGGAACCCAATCATTATGTTTTCAGCTATATGCACATGTGTGTAGTTGCTTTTAGCTGGAGGGATCTTGCACTTATTAAGTTGTCTCCTGATCCATGGTGATATCCACCACCAAGAGAAGGTGATGGCCCAACTGAAGAGATCAGTTGTCCTGGGGTTCTGGAACAGATGGCCAGACCTGTGAATAAGGACCAAGGTGCTGATTCAGGACCATGGTCAGCAGTCCTGTAGCTGAGGTAGAAAATATAAGTTGTCTCAGCAGTGTCTTAGAACTAAACAGCAAGGGTAGATGAAAGATACCACAACCACCAGTAATAATGTAACCACAGCCATTACACCATTTCAGAAAGAGAACAACCATTTACAGCCCAAAAACTTTCCTGAAAAAGGAAGGCTTTGATTTTCTTCTGGAAGACTGTTAGAGATGGGATGAGATGAGGGGGGGGGACATGTTCTGGGCACAGTTGCTGAACAGACCCTCTCCCTGTTCCGAACCAAGTATATTTTTGGGAATACTGGAAAGTATCTGACAATGATCTCACAAGGCAGCCAGGCTTACACTCCTTCTCTTGACACCAATAATTATGTCATTATTATTGCCAGTTGAGACGGAATCATGGAAGTAAATACCACTCAGAAGTGGCGCTGCACATAGCCACACCCAGAAGTGTACCGCATCAAATGCTATTCCTGAAGGCAGAATTTGAGCCTTAAGAGCCACACCGTATGAGGGAGGACTAAGTCGATCTGTAGCATTCACTACCTTGTTTAATTCTATCTCAAAGCAACCTTTGAAGTAGGTTATCGTTCCCTTTATGCAAATAGAGAATTGGCACGGAAACGTGGCGGCTTCCTTGAGGCCTCCCAGCAAGTTATTAATTGGGTTGGGCTTTGAACGCTCCCCTTCTAGGCCTTAATTTACACTTCAGCCAATGGGCCACATTTGCTTTTATTTACAAGTCATGTGAGAGCACTGCAGGGTAGGCCCTGGAGCAGCAGATAATATCTTCCTTCTTGTGGAGCTTCCTTCCTCCCAAAACACTTCTCTCCAATGATTTCCCCACCCACCCAAGCAACTATTTTTGACATTGGCCACATGCTATGCCTGTTTTAGGTTCATTCAAGTCCATCTCAAATTAGCCCTGTTGTGAGTGTCAGGAGTTCTATCTCGTCCATTCCTTCTGGCTCGTCTTTCATCTGGATTATTCAGAGCATCTACCAGAGGCATTCGGTCCATGGTTTTACCATAAATTCGGACCTGCTCAGAGTTGTGCCCTTTGGCAAGGCAAATGATGTCAACTTTCTGAGAGTTTGGAGAAGACAGGGACAATTGGCCATTAAAGAGAGTAGGGCATTATTTAGGCCTGGGAGTTTGTTTCAGAACAAAATGGTAGAAGTAGAAATACTGTGTGTGAGACTGTTTCAGGTGTGGGGAACCTTTGGCCCCTCAGATGTGACTGAACTACAACTCCTATGATCCCTGACCGTTCACCAAACTTGCTAGACCTGAAGGAAGTTGTGGTTCAGCAACATCTAGGGGACAAAGGTTCCTCACCCCTGCCCTATTTCAAGTGCTGAACACCTCTGGAATTGGTAATAGGCTGAATAACAGCTAATTAAAAGGTAAAGGTAAAGGTACCCCTGCCCGTACGGGCCAGTCGTGTCCGACTCTAGGGTTGTGCGCCCATCTCACTTAAGAGGCCGGGGGCCAGCGCTGTCCGGAGACACTTCCGGGTCACGTGGCCAGCATGACAAAGCTGCTCTGGCGAGCCAGCACCAGCGCAGCACATGGAAACGCCGTTTACCTTCCCGCTAGAAAACGGCACCTATTTATCTACTTGCACTTAAGAGTGCTTTCAAACTGCTAGGTGGGCAGGAGCTGGGACCAAACGACGGGAGCTCACCCCGCCGCGGGGATTCAAACCGCTGACCATGCGATTGGCAAGTCCTAGGCGCTGAGGTTTTACCCACAGCGCCACCCGCGTCCCTAACAGCAAATTAAATCTAGACAAAATGGTGGCACTAGCAGTAACTGCCTCACTGGATTAATAGGGTGATGTTCAACCTGTTTTGGATGGGGTTGCAGTTCCCCTTAAGGATCACATTTGTCACTGTTAAGTACTGTTAGATTGGGGCCTTAATTTGGTGGCCTGAATGATCCTTGACAAGAAAGGAGATTCCGACTAAACATCAGGAAAAAGTTTCTGGCAGTAAGAGCTGTTCGACAGTGGAATGGTCTCCCTTGGGAGGTTGTGGACTCTCCTTCCTTGGAGGTTTCTAAGCAAAGGTTGGATGGCAATCTGTCATGGATGCTTTAGTTGAGATTTCTGCATTGCAGGGGGTTGGACTAGATGACCCTCAGGGTCCCTTCCAACTCTATGATTCTATCCGTGTGGCACAAAGCACCTTTCACCTGCTTAAGTCTGTGAACCAGTTGTGACATTTCCTACACAGAGCCTTGTGACTGTTATTGATGCCCTGCTAATGTCCAGCCCTGGTTACTGCAGTGCATTATACATGAGACATCTATTATTTCTTTACTGGCTGCCAGTTTGTTTCCAGACATAATTTATTAGGCTGATTTTGACCTATAAAGCGCTCTATGTCTTGGCACCAAATTAGATGAATGACCATTTCTCCTGCATGCACCACCCAGTTTCTTAAGTTGTTGTTGTTGTTTGTTTGTTTGAATTTATATACCGCCCTATACCCGGAGGTCTCAGGGCGGTTCACAAAATAAATATAAAATATAAAACCACAAAATACATCATCAGAATAAAAATAACCCAATAACACCCCCCCCAAAAAAACCCTGAGCAACCTGGTGGCTGAATTCTGCCCTAGCTGAAGTTTCTGAACCGTCTTCAGAGGCAGCCCTACATATACTGCATTGCAATAATCTAACCTTGAGGTTACCACAACATAGACAACAGTAGTTAGGCTATCCCTGTCCAGATAGGGGCGTAGCTGGTCCACCAGCCGAAGCTGATGGAAGGCACTCCTGGCCACTGAGGCCACCTGAGCCTCAAGCAACAGCAAAGAATCCAGGAGTACCCCCAAGCTATGAACCTGCTCCTTCAGAGGAAATGTAACCCCATCAAGAGCATCAAGCCCATCTCCCACCCGTCTGATATAGGGAACCACCCTAAAATGTTTGTGGGAGGTTTTTCTCAGATTAGCCTCAGTTACTGGTGTGAGCCCTACTCGTGTCAAACAAGAGGCCCTCGATGTTGGGCTCCCCTCCTTCCTGCACTGGACAGAGTGGTCAGTGGTCAGGGACAGTGGAAATTGTAATCAAGCAATGTCTGGAGGACCACAGGTTCCCCATCCCTGATGTAGGGTTCCACCAGACAGACCCAGATGAAGGACGATGAACCCTGCAAAGCACAGTTTCGAATGAATGCATTGATGGAGAGCCACAGGTTCCTCACCCCTGTCCAAAGAATCCTAGAGCGAGCAGTGCAATCTCCTTCTGTTTGTGATGCCTAGGACTTTGGCCTACAGCATACACCAAGCAGAGGCTGGTCCATAAGGGTGAGTGGGGCTCTTCCCCAGCCTCAGTCTACCTTTGGGCACCTCCACCCCAGTCTGTCATCTTGCTTATAACCAGTCCAGTGGATGACACCACCTGCCAGCTTCCTTCCCTTCCTTAATTGGTGTAGCTTTTGTAAAACTCAGCAGGGAGGCGGATGGTTGTCAAAACCAGACCCTGTTGACTCTGCGTGTGTGGCACTGGCTCCACCTACTGTTGACCTCCTGCCTTGCGCCCCACCAGTCCCAACTGGCAGCCTGCACCCTCATCTTCCTTGTTGTGGTTCACCTTGTAGACTTAACCCCAGAGGATTACCGTATCCAGCAAAGGCTACTTTTCCCCCTCACACATTGAGTGCCTTTGAGCTCCGAAGGCACCAGAATGCCTTCTTCGATAATGCTTGGTGGATTAATATTATTTTAAAACTAATTAAAAGGGCATTACCAGCATAACACCTTGGGAGTCCTGGTGGGCAAAGTGGGAGAGCTGCCGCAACTCTCCGCCGGCTAATCCGTTTCCTTTTCCCCTCCCAAGGTGAGCAAGGTTAATCCTGTTGGAAGTGGAATCTCTCCACTCAGACAGATCTGTGTAATGTTTGCCCCCGAGCCAAGTTAATTCCGCGCGGCTTAATAAGGCGAGGTGGGTGGATAATTTGGCTATACTCTGCTCTTTCTCTGAACTTCTCACTGGCAGTGGAGCGACCCTCCCTGAAGCATGGAGAAAATCGCCCCGGCTCATTTGAGCAGGGAAATAGGCAATTGCTTTCTTAGCAGTGGCTTGGCTGCCGAGGTGGAGGATCTAAGCGACTCTGCACGGTGTACCAAGCATTTGGGGCAGCCTCGGTTCAGGAATGCCCAGCTGGGGCTTGATAAGTTGTGCTTGCTTTTTCCGGATGAGAACTGGAGGCACACTTCAACCTTAAAAACCTGGGAAAGTTTGTTTTTAAGCACAGGTACGAGCATAAGATTGGGACGTGGCTGGCGCTGTGGGTTAAACCACAGAGCCTAGGACTTGCCGATCAGAAGGTCGGTGGTTCAAATCCCCGCGACGGGGTGAGCTCCTGTTGCTTGGTCCCTGCTCCTGCCAACCTAGCAGTTCGAAAGCACATCAAAGTGCAAGTAGATAAATAGGTACCGCTCTGGCGGGAAGGTAAAGGGCGTTTCTGTGCGCTGCTCTGGTTCGCCAGAAGCGGCGTAGTCATGCTGGCCACATGACCCGGCAGCTGTACACTTGCTCCCTCGGCCAGTAAAGCGAGATGAGCGCTGCAACCCCAGAGTCGGTCACGACTGGACCTCATGGTCAGGGGTCCCTTTACCTTTACCTTTGAGCATAAGAATTATTCTGACAGCACCACGCTCTGCTTTTCTGTCCATTCATAGCAGAGCACATGATCCTCTGTGCAGTAGATCCCTAGGCTCACCTTCAGTTGAAAGGATCTAGGGTAATAGGGTTAGGAAAGAACTCTACCTGAGACCGTGGAGAACTGCTGCCTGTCAGAGTGACCTTTTGCACTTGTTCAAACACAGTAGCAAAGATGAAACCCCAGAGTAATGAGTCCTTTGCAGTTTTGGGCTTCATGCATTCAGACATCATATTGCTTACAGCAGTCTTCCTCAACCTAGCACCCTTCGTATGTTTTGGATTAAAACTCCCATCATCAGCCAGGACTGATGGGTGTTATAAACCTAAACTTACGGAGGGCACCAGGTTGAGAAAGGCTGGCCAACCAATGGCATACTTGTTGCATCCAAAATCCAAAAGAAGACTTGTAACATTAAAGTGTGGGAGCTCTCTTCATTTCCTACAACTCTTGACATTTCCCCCCTTCCTCACAAGCCAAACAGTGGACAAACCTTTCAACGTGTCTCGTTTAAAACTCTGTAAGACCACCAGGCTTGGGAGGAAAGCAATGACAAACCTAGACAGCACCTTAAAAAGTAGAGACATCACCTTGCCAACAAAGGTCCGTATAGTAAAAGCTATGGTTTTCCCAGTAGTGATGTATGGAAGTGAGAGCTGGACCATAAAGAAGGCTGATCGCCGAAGAATTGATGCTTTTGAATTATGGTGCTGGAGGAGAGTCCCATGGACTGCAAGAAGATCAAACCTATCCATTCTTAAGGAAATCAGCCCTGAGTGCTCACTGGAAGGACAGATCGTGAAGCTGAGGCTCCAATACTTTGGCCACCTCATGAGAAGAGAAGACTCCCTGGAAAAGACCCTGATGTTGGGAAAGATTGAGGGCACAAGGAGAAGGGGACGACAGAGGACGAGATGGTTGGATAGTGTCTTCGAAGCTACCAGCATGAGTTTGACCAAACTGCGGGAGGCAGTGGAAGACAGGAGTGCCTGGCGTGCTCTGGTCCATGAGGTCACGAAGAGTCAGACACGACTAAACGACTAAACAACAACAAGACCACCAGGAGCATGTTGAAATCATTGGTTGCAAGGAGGAGGGCTAGTTGACCGTGTCCTGGTCTTCCACAATTTGTGGGTGGCTGAATGGAAGGACTTGTCTTATGCCTTTGGCTCAGATCCAGATCAGCTGGCTGATGGTGTGCTGTGGGAGAATTGGGTGGTGAAAAAGAACCTGTACCACTTGCCTGTCTTTGCTTGTATATATGTATTTATTATTTTTTAAAAGCATGACATAAATGCAAGATATATTGAAATATATAGGTAAAGCTCAACGCAGTCCTTCTGTGGCTCCCCGGGTCATCCTGTGTGAACTCATTCACAGTGAATTTTGCTTGCTGTGTTCATTTATTAGGAGAAGGTCTTCTTAAAGCATTTGTACCTAGTTGCTTTTCAGTGTCATGGCGCCACCCCTTGCCCCTACATTGCCCATTTCCTTTTCTTTAAGGCTCAGATCTCTGGAAATCATCTTCTGCTTAATACAGACTGCTCTGTTGCTTCACCTTGTGTCGTCAAATTCTTAGTGTTGTGTTTTTCCTCCTTCACACAGGCCAGCTGAGGTTGTGATGCGATAATTGACTCTTAACACTTCAATCCGGGTCTTGTTGCAGGGTTCAAAGCGAGTCCTGAGATCCAATGAATATGTTCTGCCCCCTGGAGGCCTGATGGAGACTGACCTGGAACTGACATTTTCGTTGCAGGTAATTTGAACTTTGCTTGCCAGATAGCAGAGAACTGTCCCTCGACAGGATGATTAAAATCTTTTCCCTGCGTCTCTGGCTTTCTGAATGGACCGTGCATTTGGGAACAGACAGGAAAGAGCTTTAGGAGTTTCCTTGAGATTCTGTTGAAGAGGCTTTCCCTTGCACACGTAGGGTATGATTGCTATTCTGACAGCAGCTCTAGACATGTTTACCCCCCGGAAGTCAGTTCTGCTGTGTTCAGTGGGGCTTGCTTCCTAGCAAATGTGTTTAGGATGGCAGCGAAAGGCTCCTTTCAAATCAGTCATTCATGAGAGTCTGCCTGCCCCAACCTGGTGTCCCCCAGCATGGCCTAGAGTATGGGAGCCAGTGTGGTGTAGTGGTTAAGAGTGGTGGACTCGTAATCTGGTGAACCGGGTTCGCATCTCTGCTCCTCCACATGCAGCTGCTGGGTGACCTTGGGCTAGTCACACTTCTCTGAAGTCTCTCAGCCTCACTCACCTCACAGAGTGTGGGGAAGAGAGAAAAGGAGATTGTTAGCCGCTTTGAGACTCCTTAGGATAGAGATAAAGCGGGATATCAAATCCAAACTCCAACTCCTCCTCCTCCTCTTCTTCTTCTTCTTCTTCTTCTTCTTCTTCCTAGAGTCAGGGATAATGGGAGATAAGATCTAGTGAGCATCTGGAGCGACACCAGAATGGGGAAAGATGGGCTAGGCCGAGTGAACTGCTAGCCATGGTGTAGTAGTAGTAGTAGTAATAATAATAATAATAATAATAATAATAATAATAATTTATTTATACCCCTCCCATCTGACTGGGTTTCCCCAGTGTTGAGGAGATGCATGGAAGAAAACATGGAGAGCGTTTGAGAGATCAAGCTTGTTTCTTCTTGAGTTCTCTGCTGGGTGCTTATTTATTATTTACTTGCTACTCCTACTATGTTTATATCCCACCTGCTCTTCAGGGAGCTCAAGATGGCGTATATGGTTCACCCTTTTTTAATTTTATCCTTGTAACAACTCGGTGAGGGTGGCTGAGAGACTGTGACCGGACCAAGGCCATCCGATGAGCTGCATGGCTTAGTGGAGATTTGAACGCTAGCACCACCCAGCTTATGGAATGCTCTCCCTAGGAAGGCACGCCTGGTACCATAACTGGCTACTTTTAGGTGCCAGGCCAAAAAACATTTCTTTTCAGCCGGGCTTATGACCTTCCGTTTGGAGAGTTTTGGATAATGTGACCTCTTCAGTGGCTGGGATGTGTTAGACCGTCTTCCGCGTGTGTGAATGTTTTAGCTTTTGGTTCGTTTTCGTTTTATGTTGGTTTAATTTTTTTCTATTATACCATAAGTCACTTTGCATTTACTTCTTGCAAATGGAAGAAAAAGTGGCTAATAAGTGTAATTCGTTATGATCTTCTTCTTCACCCTAACCCAGGGGTTGGAAACATTTTTTGAGGCTGGTCCGGTCCACTCCCTGGCAGACCTCTTGGTGCGCCGGAGCGTGTGCCCCAGTGCGTGCACTCAGGCTATTTCTGACGCTCTTCTGGATCAGAAGTGCACCGGAAATAGCGTGTGCGCAAGGGCGCTCCTCCGTTCCGGAAGTGCGCCAGAAATAGCGTGTACGCACGCGTACAGGTGCTCCTCCGGGTGAGGAGCGCCCGTGCGCATGTGCACACACTCTATCCGGCACTCTTCCGACCCAGAAGTCGGTCCCCGCGGCGAGAGAAAAATGGCGCTGCGGGGGGAAAAGAACACGGAATCCCCACACCAATCCACAGAACCGCCGTGGGCCGGTTCCAGGAAGCTCATGGGCCAGAACCAGCCCATGGGCCTTAGATTGCCGACCTCTGCCTGAACCGCTACACCGAACGGGCATCTCAAAAACAGCATATTATCTGAATTTGTCTCCTCCTCTCCCTGTAGTACCCACACTTCCTGAAACGTGATGGCAACAAGCTCCAAATCATGCTCCAGCGCAGAAAGAGGTACAAGAACCGCACTATTTTGGGCTACAAGACCCTGGCAGTGGGCATCATCAACATGGCTGAGGTAAGGGAAGCAGCAAGGTGGGCAGTTATGTGGGCATCCCATGCCTTTAACCATCTCTGAGCAATGGGCTCTTGGTGGTGCCAGAGCTGATGGGAAGCGGGAGAGGCACCAGGGCATCTTCTCAAGATCTTGGGAGGTTGTGCTTCTTGTACGTGGGAGGGGACTGGTCTGTTCTAGAAGCCTCCTCCTGCGCAAGGGAGTAGAATTGGAGCCCCTCCTCTAGGTAGATCCTGTATACGGAGCTCCTCTTCCACATGGAGGCCCAGATGTAGCCGTAGTTCCCATCAGCCCCAGCAAGCAAAGTCAATGGCAAGGGATGCTGGGAGTTGCTTGCTTGTTTTTGCTGATGTTATTCATTGTATTTGCCGGTCGCTGTTTTCATGGAGGGAACCAAAGCGAGTTACCTTAAAGCCAATTAGGAATTTCCAATAAAAAATCAAAAAAGCACAGCTGTACAGAAAAAAGGCAGGGCTTACAGGTCCCACCCCACTAAAAGAGGACACAGTTTCACCCTTCAAAATAAGGGCCGAAAGCCTGGGTAAAGTGAAAAGTCTTTGCCTGGCGCCTAAATATAAATGGGATGGGTGGGGTGTGCCAGGTGTGCCTTCCTGAGAGCATTCCACATCTAGGGGGCCACCACTGGAAAGGCCCAATCTCATGTTGCCAACTTCTGAGCATGGAGGGGCCACACTAAGGAGGGTCTCAAGATAATGATCATAAATTGTAGAGTTGGAAAGGACCACAGGATTCTTCTAGTCTGACCCGATGCAGTGCAGGAATGTTTCGTCCAACGTGGGGCTCAAACCCACAACCCTGAGATTAGGAGTCTCATGCTGTACCGACTAATTGCATGGTCCAGGCTGGTTCCTGTGGGGAGAAGTGATATCTTTTAAGGTCCTGAGTTTCTAATCTGCATAAGGCGTTACAGGCGGAAACTAGCATTTTGAATTAAGCCTGGAAACTAATTCGTATCCAGCACAGTCATCCCAAAAGTGGTGTTCTTTGTTCAGACAGTCCTGCTGTGATCAACATTCTGCTTGTTGAATTCTGCATCAACTGCAGTTTCCAAGCCATCTTCAAAGGCAGCCCAATGTAGCCCAAATACATGTTATTCTGCCTCCCTATGGCAGGTCACTGGCCTGCTCCAGAGGCTTCCTCCTGTGTGCTGAGTATCATTGATCCCTTATTCAGGTCATGCAGCACCCGACAGATGGAGGGCAGCTCCTGGGCCTCCACAGCAACATCAAGGATGTGAGCATCCGAGTGGCCGAAATCAGCATCTACTCTCTCTCTAGCCAGCCCATTGATCACGAAGATGGAAACGTCCCCTCTGGCCCCAAAATCAAAGCTGGTAATGTATTACTTATTTTTATTTTATTTTATTTATAAATTTTATTTTTCAGTTTTTCAAAAGAAATTTACAAACATGCAAATAAAAAAAACACAAATCACATATATTTGACTGCCCCCACCCCACTTTTGTGGTTTCTTTTAAATTTTAATTTTCATGCTGCATTTTCCACATTACTCCATCTTTATTTTATAGTTTCTCAATCTAACTGCTAGTTTTACGTTAGTCCTGCTAATGAGCTTATTTGTATACATGAGTTTTTCAAATATACCACAAAATTTCCCCAATCTTTAATAATTTCTTCTTCTTGGTTTCTTATTACACCCATTAATCTTGCCATTTCAGCATAATCCATTAATTCTATTAGCTAACTATCCCTAAAAGAAAAGCTTCAGGGGGTGGGGTTGTTAAAAGTTATCGCAAACATAGTAATGTATAATGTATTCCTTAAACCTAAAGCTTCTCTGAGCCTAGTACCTAAAAACTGTTTGAGTCAGGTTCTCATCCAGCTCTCATCTGTACCTTCACTGACTTTCGGTCCTGTGATATGTCCTTTCCTACATCCATCCAGAATAGCTTTGTTTCCTAAACATGGCCTCTATTCTTTCACTCTGCTTGTGCCACACCTCTTCCAGAATCCTTACAGTGGCTCCCTGCCATCAGTGACAGATTCCTAGGCCTTAATAGCAAACTCAGTGGCTCCGTACCATGTTTTCCCCCAGACTCCCTTCCTTTCCCCTTGCTGGCTCAGTGCAGTTTGGCCATGGTCTCTGCCTTTTCCCATTCCAGATCGCTCTCCAGATATTGACAACTACTCTGAAGAAGAGGACGACAGCTTTTCCTCCGAGCAGGAAGCCAGCGATGATGCTGTGCAAGGCCAGGTAGCTACTGATCAACCAGCCTGCTGTCTGTCTCTCTGTCTATTCAGGTCTCACCTTCCCTCTATGACAGCGGTAGCCAATGTGGTGCCTCTCAGGTGTTGCTGGACTAGAACTCCCATCATCCCTAACCATTGGCTGTGCTGCTTGGGGCTGATGGGAGTTGGAGTCCCAGCAATGAAGGCAGCACATTGACATCTGCTGTTCTCCCCGTGTTGCCTTCCAAGTAATGCTTCTTTAGCAGCTCACCAATATCCAGTCTCTGAGCAGTATTGCCATCAGTTACGTACAGTGGTCTTGCTCAGCCTGAAAATGGTATTTCCATCCTGAGGGCCACAGTCCTTTCTGGGCAACTTTTCAAGGGCCACATGGCAGGTATGGGCAACAAATTCTGCCTTTCTACAGCAAGCTAGTTTCTACTCTCTCCTCCATTCAGACCAGCCAGAGTCTTTATCAAGTTCAGGGACACATTCTGCCCAGTGCGAAATAAGGCCAGTGAGGGGAGCTGCCTGGTGCATCTCTGAGGGCCACGTGGAGAGGGGTGGAACTTCACATTCTTCTGATTCTGTGCTGCCATCTCTCGCTTCTCAGGATTTATATGATGAAGAGGATGAAGTGAGGAAGCCGAAGAAAGCCAGGCGGAAAATGATCAGAACCACATCGATGACCAGAGTAAAGACAACCTTCCTTGCTTTTCCAAAGGGGAGTTTGTGGGGGTTGGAGTTTTTATTTTATTTTATTCCCAGTGCAACAGACTAGATGCGGGAGGCTCTCCGATCCTCCCCAGCAGGTGGCGCCATAGAGGATAGTGCTCAGGCTAGAGTCTGGTTGACCAGAAGTTGAACTCGTTGGTATGCTGGAGAAGTTCATCTCCAGTTATTTCCCCCCAAATTAGCAGGAGCCGAGTAAATTGTGCAAAATAAGCAAATGTGCTCAATCTGCGTAATAGACAAGCTGCGTAACTCATTGATCCCATATAACAGTCTTCTCCACTGATGCCCTCTGGATATTGTTGGACTACAGTTCCCATCATCCCTGACCGTTGGCCATGCTGGCTGGGGCTGAATGGGAGATGGAGTCCCACAATATCTGGAAGGCCACGGATTCTCCACCCATGCTCTTAACACATGCCTTTGTGTGGCAGCTGCTTTTCAGCAACCCGGCACCTTCAAGCCATCCATGCATGCAAACCCCCATCCACTGTTGATTCCTGACCTCCACATCCCTCCATCCAAATGGCCGTCTACATGGCAGGCTTCTCGTGCGCCTGCTTACGCGCAGCACTTAGGGGCACACGAGTCAGCTGCCACATTGATTTGCTTTTAGATGTGGCTGAAAGGGCTGCTTGTCAGCTCTGTCAGGGCTGGGGCAATAATGGGTCTTGACATTTTCCCACCCAAAGCCTGTATTCCGGCCTGGCAGATTCCAAGTCCTCTGAGCAAAGACCATGGCTGCTCCCACATTCTGTTCAGTGCTCAGATGATTTATTAAGTAGTTGTACGTTGTGTTCTTGTCGTTGGCCGTAGTTCAGCGGTAGAGCATCTTCTTTTCATGCAGAAGGTGCTACGTTTAATCCCTGGCATCTCCAGGTAGGGTGCAGAGAGACCCCTGTCCGAAATCTGGAGAGTCGATGCTACTGCTCAGTGCAGACAAAACTGACCTAGATGGACCCAGTGGTCTGACTCAGTATAAAACAACTTCCAGTGTCCCTGGCTTCCAATGGGAGGCTGGAGGAAAGGTAGTGTTGATAATAGGCAGTGCAAGAGAACTGGCCCATAAGCCGCTGTGGGGATTGGGGTGCTGTCAGCACCCATGGCAAGAGCCCTGAGTGGAGGTGGCGGTGATAAGTACAGTGGTACCTCGGGTTGCATACGCTTCAGGTTACATATGCTTCAGCTTACAGACTCCGCTAACCAAGAAATAGTGCTTCAGGTTAAGAACTTTGCTTCAGGATGAGAACAGAAATCGTGCTCTGGCAGCGCAGCAGCAGCAGGAGGCCCCATTAGCTAAAGTGGTGCTTCAGGTTAAGAACCGTTTCAGGTTAAGAACGGACCTCCGGAACGAATTAAGTACTTAACCCAAGGTATCACTGTACTGGGCAGGGGGTGGCTGGTGCCGAGGGGGCAGCCTGCCCGACAATACCTGGAGCTGGGCCTTCTTAGGGTTTTCGCCCCTATCGTTATTATTTTGGCTAGTGGGTTTTGCCTTCAGGAAAACTTTTAAAAAACCAGCGAGGCATGTTTCTGTAGCCAGGGTAGGTGGGAAGTGAGAAGCCTCTAGCACTGTGATTGAAATGTTTACTCCCATCCCCAACTTCCTTCTCATTTTAGCAACCAAACTTCAAGCAGAAATTTGTTGCCTTGCTGAAGAGGTTTAAAGTGACGGACGAGGTAAGAAGCTGTGAGTCTGTCCCTGTCAGGCGTGTGGCCAGCCGGCTTTCTCTCTTCTGCCCTCCTCTTCCTCTCCTTCCCCCCCCCCCCACATAGGTTCCTGTTTGCAGGAGCAACACAACACCTGTCTCTTGGGCAGCTGGCACCCCGTGAGCAGGACCCTGCTGAGGAAGGCTTAGCTAGCTCAGTGGTGGAACATTTGCTTAGAGCGCAGAAGGTCCCTGGTTCGTTCCCCATCATCTCCCGGGAGGACTAGCAAAGACTCCCTGTCTGAAACCTGGGAGAGCAGCTGCCGACCAGTGCAGGTGCTGCTCAGCTAGATGGTCCCATTGTCTGACTCGGTATTAGACAGCTTCATTGTCTACGGTGGACTTCATGCCTGTAAGAAGGTGTGGAGAACTGCAGACATCCCCCCCCCCTTACACGGGGGTTACATTCCGGGGGCCCTGCGCACATAAGTGAAATCGCGTAGGGAGCATCCTCTATAAAACACCCTTTAAACGCCCTCTCTGCCGCTCTCTCTTTAACCCCTGCCAAAAACACTGCATCCCCAAATATCCACAACTAGAATTGGCGCTCCAGGACTGGCTGGCACGGGAAAGTGGCTGCTTCTGTGCCACTACACGGATCAGCTGTTAGGCGGGGAGGCTGAACAGAGTAAACAAAGTCCCGCTGCACCTCCGGTCTCTTCGGAGATTCCCCTGCCCTCACTGACGTCTTTCTTCAGGCTCCGGGGAGGGTCTCCTTGTGAGCCACGATAGACGCTCGGGCTCTCCCTCTCTCCCGCCATTTCCGGGTTTGAATTGGATTATTTAATTATTTCCTGGCGCCGCGCACGAGTCGATTAGTGCGTTAAGTTGGGGGGAGGGACGACGCCTATAGCTGGAATGGGAAAGGAGGAGCTGCATGGGGTGGTCTCCCAGCAGACCTGACACAGACTACTCTGTTTGCCTAATTTAACCCTTGCTGCAGACAGATGAATGGCCACTGCCAGGAGACTGTGGAGGGTGAAGAATAATAATAATAGTTTGTTATTTATACTCTGCCCATCTGGCTGGGTTCCCCCAGCCATTCTGGGCAGCTTCCAACAGAATATTAAAAACCCGATAAAACATCAAACATTAAAAAATTTCCCTAAACAGGGCTGCCTTCAGATGTCTTCTAAAAGTCAGATAGTTGTTTATTTCCTTGACATCTGATGGGAGGGCGTTCCACAGGGAGGGTGCCACCACCGAGAAGGCCCTCTGTCTGGTTCACTGTAACCTCACTTCTCACAGTAAGGGGACCGCCAGAAGGCCCTTGGTGCTTGACCTCAGTGTTCAGGCTGAACGATGAAGGTGGAGACGTTCCTTCAGGTATACCAAGGGCAGCTGGTTTCTTGCAGAGGCGAGAGAACGGCCTGCTTCCCTTCTCCGCAGCCTGACGGCAGATCGCTTGCTTTGAGTACAGAAGGTGCAGTCTTCCAGCACCAGCAGTAGAAAAGAATCTCTGGCAGCCAAGTTTGGGGTGGCTTCTTCTGGAAGGACCTCTGCATTGCACAGCGGACCGGCCTTTGACAACCTGGTGCCCTCCCAATGTTTTGGATGGCAACTCCCGCCAGCCCCAGCCACCACTGGGAGTTGTAGTTGAGAACATCTGGGGGTTCAGGTTGGCAAAGGCTGCAGGAGATAAACCTCAACTAGGTGGGCCATTAACCCAGTATAAATCCACTTTGTATATTCATAGCTGAAGTACAGATGGGATTTACACTAGGACAAGGAAGATCAGAACCTTTCACCCCATGCTTGGTGCATGAGAAGTAGGTTAACTCTGCTTCCTCCTCCCACTCTGGCAGCATACAAATGCCTGTTATTTCTTGCTTGCTTCCCACCCCCTCAACCTTGCTAGATCCCCTTAAACAAAAAACAAAAACCATTTCAATCCGTCCTTACTTAGCATTCACAGCTTTCATCATTAGTAATATCCGCAAATGCCATTAACATGCTGTTTTAATGCCATCTTCTATGAACAAAAGGGGCGGGTGGGGGGGGATGAAATTAAAAATCCTGCAGATATATTGCCCCTTTACAGTATTATTTATTTATCCTTTCGGCCTTGGTTAATCGGCTGGCTTCAGGTCACCAAAATGTCATCGTTAAGGGTTTCCAAGCAGGTCTTAGCAGATAATGTTCGGACGGGCAGAGGGAGCACAGCACACACACACACCCTCACCACGTTTCATCTGTTTGATTGCATGAGATTGATGAGAAGTATTTGTTATGGCCACAACTAGAGAGAAAGGGGAGATTGGTGGGTGATGTTGTCTGGTACCAAACAGCTGAAAAATGCTCTATCTGTGGTCAGAGTGTGTGCATTTTGATACTGCAGGGGAGCAAAAAGGGATTTCCCCCTGTCCCCGCAAATTCATTAGATTATTGTTTGATTTTTGCCTGGTGTTGCAGAGTGCACTCCAAACTCCACTGGCTTTAGAAACCTGGGCAGCCCAGGATGCTGCAGGCATGTGCTTTCTACTTCTCTTAATTTCCCCCCGTGGCCTGGTTCGAGCTTGAACTATTTATTTGTTTCATCCAGGATATTTGTACCCTGCTCTTCAGCCAAAAAAAGTCTCCCAGAGCAGCTGACAATAAATCATTTGAAATGAGACACTCCTGACTAGCAGGCTGGCCATCTAAAAAAGACACAGCACTAAAGGGAAAAGGAGCAGGGAGGGTGGAAGAAGAAAGCAAACTCACTTTTAAAGTTAAATAGTCTTAACAATGACCAACTGGTGGTGTTGTTGTGTTTTTGTTGTGTGTGTGTGTGTGTGTGTGTGTGTTTACATGATGCACTTCTGCCTTAGAAAGGTAAAAAAAGGTGTTTCAGAAGGGATAATTAAAAAAAAAAATTAAATCTGCCTGGGGAGTAAAAAAGCTTGTTCAAAAGGGGTGGTGGTGGAAGTGACTTGGAGAATCAATTGTTTCTGTAGCTATACACAGAGCTGTTTGTCTTCTCAAAACTCCCAGTGAGGATAATTTCGTATGGAATCTGATGCCTGGCACAGAATCTGGTAATTGGATTTTTTTGAAAAGACTTTTTTTTATTGAAGCACAAGTATATGCATTGCGAGATGGAAAAGCAAATAACAGAAAACAAATGTGGATAAGACAGCTTATAACAAATATAAATTGCCATAGCCCAGAAGACCTATAAAGAGGATTACTTTCATGAGTTGGGCAAGTGTGCCTTTCAAATTAGAGGATGGAAGATGAATCCCCGGCACCCCTTTGTTGGTGTCAGATGGGTGGGGAGCAGGGGCAGAGCTGGGTCTCCGGCACCCGGAGCGGCACACATTGCCGTGCACCTGGGGGCGGGGCCGACCCGCCCAAGGGGCGGGGCAATCCACCCAAAGGGCCGATTGGCGTGACTGCACAATACTCCTTGGGGGCGGATATTGACGCAGCGCCACGATCCTCCCCTACAGCAAGGAAGGAGGAAAGCCGCAGCTTTGCCGCTTGCAGCTTTGTCGCTCACCAGGCTTGGAGTAGTTGTGGGTGGGGGGGCCACGCCGAATGCCACCCCCCTTCAGGATGACACCCAGGGCGCCCCACACACCCCGCACCCCCCTTCCTACACCCCTGGTGGGGAGCGGCTTTCACTCCAAGGGCCACGCAAACTTATAAGGAAGCTTTGGGGGGCCAGCAGTGAGTGTGGCCAGACAGAGTCATTGGCAGAATACAGGCGATGGCTCTAACCTTGGCACAATAGGCCACATATTCCATCCACTCAAAAATCAGAGGTTTTCACATCCACACCCACAAGACCCGCATCTCTTCCTCTTCCTGCCAGGCAAGCAAGGAGGCATCCTCTGAGTTCAAAGACACATTCCCAGTTAGGCAAAAACCTCCTGATGAGGCCGTGGGGAAGGGCCAGGGAGGTTTATTAGAAGGGGGGGGCGGTCCTGGGAAGGAAATGTGACCCCAAGCGCCAGATAGAGAGGCCTAGAGCGCTTCATTCATGCCTGAGGCCTAAGGTTCCACACCCCCCGATAAAATAGATTGAGGAAAGCGACAGTCACATCCACACCACACATTTGAAGCACTTTTATACCGCTTTAGCAGGCAAGTCTCTCCCCCCCCCCAAAAAAAAAATTCCAGCAACTGTTTTTTTAAAGGGTGCTGGGAATTGTAGTTCTATGGGGTCAGCACCCTTAACAAACAACAATCCTCAAGATTCCTTGGGGGGATCCCTGTCTGTTAAAGTGATATCAGAGTGCTTTAATATTTTTAAATGTCACTGTTGGCTTTTAAATTTTGTTGCATAGCGCATAACACAGGTTACAAATGCAAAAACAACAGAACCGCCGTAGCATAACGGGGCACATCAGTTGCACAGAGAAGTGTCACATACAGACGTAAAGATCAGTTTGAGAATCTGTAGGGACAATTTAATCAAGAATATGTCTAGGAAATAGCTCCAGCTAAGAGGTGTCCCTTCCCCTCCAGTAGTTGGGGGTATTTTGCCTCCCTGCCTAGCTGTGTAACACAAAAAGGGATTCCATGTGCCTTAAAATTTGTCACATGCAGGGTTTTGTTTTTTTTTAAAAAAGAAACTTTCCTATATTTCACGCTACAAATATAAATAGAGTATGCTAGAAAATCTGTAATCTTCAACCTTTTCTGAATGGATTACAACCCTTGATGACTTAATTTTTTAATTTTTGGTGTTGGAAAGACGGGGTTACAAGTGGCGAAATTCATTTTCAAAATGGTCTTGTGGTGAATGTGAGAGTATACCCACCCCCACACCCCACTGTGTGTTTTGGGTTCTGCAGGTTCTGGATTCTGACCCAGTGGATCAGACGCAGGAGGTGGAAGAGGACCTGGGTCTGCTCTACGACAGCCTTGAGGAATGCAACAACAGTGACAGCGGCCCCGAGATAGAGGATAACGAAAGCGTCCACAGCACTCCAAAGCCCACCCTGAGGTAAGAGCCGGCAGGAGGTGAGGCAAGAAGCTCAGGCCTCGTACTAACGGGAGACTCGTAGGGTTGCAAGGTCTTCCCCTGTGCCCTGGAGGCCATTTCCTCCTTCCCCAAAGCAGACACAACCCCCCAGGCAGACGCCGTGCCGGGCAGGGGGTTGGACTTGATGGCCCTTGTGGTCTCTTCCAACTCTATGATTCTATGATTCTATGAAAAACAAGACCGTTCAGCTGCATGCACACCCTGCATTTAAAACACCTCAGGAATCCTGGGAACTGTTAGGAGTTGCTATGGATTGTAGCACAGTGCAGGGCATTTATTATCTACTTCTTTATTAAATGTGTAACGCCACCCTTCACCCAGAGATCTCAGGGCAGCTCACAGCATAAAAAACAGGCCATTTGGGCAGGTTAGAATGTGCTTTAAATACACTTTAAATGTTCGCAGCCTTGGTTTCCTTTCCCACCGTGAAGCCAGGCTCCTTGACGGTGCCCCAGCGGCAGGGTGTGACTTATGAGGCACAGCTCCTGCACTTTTGATTCATTTCCTGAGGGGGAAAGAGGGAGGTTTGGGACTATAAAGTAGCTGGGTGATAGATGCTGATAACTTGAGGCTGACCTTGGATTTGACAGGCTGATAGAGAGCCCTGTGTAAGCCCCACCAGAGACCGACGTGGATTGATGGAGCAGGATAGCCCCTCCTTCGAGAGGCTGCACTGCCTGAGGGAGGGGAGGGCGTTACGATCACATCCATCCCTGCTTCAGAAGCAGCCCTTTCGCGTGTGCGGTTGGAAGAGGGGCAGAGAGGAAGATGGTGGAAAAACAGTTGCATCTCAGAGCCTGGTAGAGGAGATAGGCCCAGCCACCTCACTTAGCAGCTGTGTTTAACTGGCTTGTTCTCTGCTGGGCCAGGCTGGAGCAATGTGGAGAGACAGAACATACATATTGGTATTTCATATTCTCTTACGATCCTGCAGATCCCCTATCTCATCATAGAGCTGAGGAAAGGGTGCAGAAAAGCACAACCAAATGATCAGGGCAGGAGCAACTCCCCTGGCAGATAAAGATCAAAACTTCTGGAACTTTGGGGTTCAGAAAAAAAAACACTCTTGGGAGATGGAGATGATAAAGCAGGACTGGGGAGCCTGTGCCTGGACTCCTGACTCCCAGTTGCCACAGGCAGCATGGCCAGCGGTCAAACATGACGGGAGTAGCAATTTTACTACATCTGGAGAGCCACAGGGTCCCCAACGCTGGGACAGAAGTTTTGAAAAGTGTACATGGGTTTGAAGAACGGGGATGGTAGGTTTCAATCAAGGTAATGGATTTGGCAGTGGATTCAAGACTACTGGCCTCTGTAGTTGCAAAATGTGGTGATGGGCACCAGTTTAGGACAGGGATGGTGAACCCATGGCCTGCCAGATGTTTCAGGAGTCCAGCTCTCAGCATCCTCAATTGTGGGCCATGCTGATTGGAAGCTGATTGAGTCCAGCAACATCTGGGGGAGCTGTTGGTTCCTCACCACTGACTGGCTTTGATGGTTTTCAAGGGATGGAGATGGGACAAATTCACAAAGGATACGTTAACCCAATGGTTGATCCTAATTTTAAACTGGTACCTCCAATTATGTAGTCAGTTGCAGGGTTGGGGGGGGGCGCTTGTAAAGCTTCTAGGAAGTGTCTGGTTGGCCTTATTGCAGATATTAATGTTGCACAGCTTGAAGCAGCTGGATGCATAAAAACTGACTCCTTTTGGAACCGAAGCATTGGCCAGACCCATTAGATATTATTCAAAAACGACTTCCGGCGTGGTGCACTTGAGGAGCAGGTCGGGGAAAGTGCTCTGCTTCAGTCAAGCACACCCATTGTGGAAAAACGAGAGGGGGGGCACGAAGGTGACGCTAACCCCCCGAAAAAAACTGGAGAGGAGGTCTCCAGCCAAAAGCACTGAGCGGCGCAAAAAGGGGTTTCCTCTTACTTCATACCACCGAAAAATATATAAAAGCAGTGAGGAAGGAAACAGGGGTCTGTATCTCCTCACAGCCTGCATTCCAGACTGCATCCTTCCTTAGGATACGCAGCTCCTGGAGAGTCTTTTACATCCCTACAGAGTCTGGGAACAAAGACTTCAGTCAACACCCTTCCAAAATGGCAAATTTGCAATTCAGTACCTCTCATGTGATGTAAGGTTAAAACTCCAGCCTGAGAACAATAACAGTTAATTATCAGCCCATCAAGGCAGCTCAGAGAGCCTTTTTTGCTCTGAATTTAGCTTCAGAGGAATCTTCCAGTTAAACCCTTCCACCAGTGCACACTGGCATTCCCATTTCATTGTGAATTAAACCAATTATACTTAACTGGTTTCTCTGTGAAACAGGATGCTGGATTAGGTGAGTTTTTTGACCTCTGAAATATTGATATCCCTGCTGATCTCCAGCCATCAGACCCAGCAGGAAAAGGTCCTGCTCATTGCAAAGGATGAGAATGTGGCTTTATGCAACCTCCCAGAACGCAGAAACTCCATAGTGAGGGAGTGGCTGCTGGGAGTGGCCTCTTACATAGTGACCTTGATGCATGGCCAGTGAAAGGTCAGAGGTGCACATCAGGCACAGAGGTCACCTTGAGACATATGATGGTTGTCCTTGCAAAGGTTACAAGCCTACTTGGTTGCTACATGTGCTTGCTAAATGCTTTGCAGCTCACTGGTGACCAGAGAAGAGCAAGGGAAACCACTCTCTTCCTGTTTAACAAAAGCTTTTTGGCTGCTCACCTGGAGGCAACTGTGACTCTTCCAACATCTTCACCTACATTTGAGGTTCCCAGTCATTACGTTTGTCTGTACTGTCTAGAGCTGCAGCTCTGATGCACCAGGAACAGTCGGACAGGGTAGGGGGAGCTGTTGAAGTTGTGTCAGGCGTCTGAAGTCAGACACAGCCTAAGTCATTCCCATCCCCTCTGCTGACACCCCAGCAGAGGTCTGTACAGCACTCAGGCAGGCCCTTGGCGTAGATCTTGCAGCTATAAAATCCAGGCCAGAGCTTGAACCACTTGCCTTTGCCTCTCTCTCTGGGGCTTCTTAACAACCTCATCATATTGCAATGTCTGCAGTTTCTTGCTCAGCGAAGTGCTGTGGCTCAGCGGCAGGACATGTGCTTTGAATGCAGAAGGTCCCAGGTTCATTCCCTGGTATCTCCAGGTGTAGGCTGGGAGAGACTCCTGCCTGAAACCCCGGAGAACCTCTGCAAGTCAAGGCAGACCAGGGTTAGCAAACCTTTTGCAACCCGAGGGAGGCGTTGCCTTCTGGGCAACTTTTCCAGAGCCGCATGCCAAATGTAACTTTTGTGCAAATTCTAGCGTGGCAAAAACCACTCGAGAGCACAAAGCAAGGATGGTGAAGGGAAAGGTGGTGGTGTTGCAGAGGGTGTGTGGTCTGGGCCAGATGAAGAAGCCTGGGGAGCTGCATCTGGTCCTGGGCCTGAAGTTCCCCACCCCTGGGTGTAGCCAATAGATGGACCAGTGGCCTGAACTGGCCTATAGCAGCTTCCCAGTTTAGTGGAACGGGGAGGACGTGACTTTTTCTGCCTGGAAACAGGGGTGCTTTGCTCTTGCGGTGTCCTTTCTCTGCCTCGAAGGTGAAGACTTGCTTTCACGCTGCTCAACGGGCCCCACCACCTCCCTCCACCCACCCCCCGCAACTGTCTTTGTGTGTCCATGTCAGGCCAGGCCAGGGCTCTGGTGACGGGTTTTTTTGCTTGTGGTGCTTCCTGGGGCAGAGGCTGGGGAGGGGTTTGAGCCCAGGGGGCGGGGCGGGTGATGGTGACTTCACTTCTCCCTCATTTCTCTTTCTCTCTGTCTGTCTGTCCGTCTGTCTCTCTGTCTGTCCGTCTGTCTGTCCGTCTGTTTCTCCTGCAGGCGCTTCTTTGAGGGCGTCTCTCACTCTGGTTCCCAGACTGAGATCAGCAGTCTGCACGGCCAAAAGGGGCAGGAGCGAGAGTCGGGCAGCCCTGTGAGTTACTCCTCCTCCTCCTCCTCCTCATCTTCCTCCTCCTCCTCCTCCTCTTTCCCCCTGCTAGCAGCCTGCCTGCCTGGGCCTGCCCCCCGCAGAACAGCAGTGGGGAACCTGTGGCCCACCTGATATTTACCGGACTCCAGCTCCCATCAGCCCCAGCTTGCACGGGTAATGGGAGTTGTAGTCCAACAACATCTGGAAAGCCTCAGGCTCCCCCCGCCACCGTTCCAGAACCGGCCTGCTGTCGAGAGCAATCCCTGTTACATTTCTTCCTCCTTTCCCCCACCCCACCCCCTGTCTTTTCCTGGATAAGCTGCTTCTTTTCACAGTATAGGAGAGGTGGGTTAACTGGACTTACTGGCTCAGCCGCTGGGGTCACCCTGGTCCCTGCAGTGCTGGGGATTGGGCTTCCCTGCCCCCTGACCTCCGCCGCCATGTTGCTTCTCTCCTGGGGCGCCTAAACCAAGCAAAGTGTGTTTTGGAAGGGTTTTGTTTTCCCTGTGCTCAGCACCGACCTGCTTCCTCTCTCTTCTTGGAGATGCCGGAGGTCCTATCTACTAACTTATTCAAACTTTTATTCTCACTCCTCTCCCCACTGCCTCCTCGCCTGTCCCCGTTCGCCCAGGGAGAAGCAGAGAAGCGGAAAGTGGGTGTCCCTCGTGCCCAAGACGAGGGTGTCATGGAAACAGCGGCTATGGTGAGTCCAGCATGATGGGTGATTACCAGCTCTCTCCAGGCAAGGCTTTGCTCATTTTGTTATGCTGTTTTTGTCTGGTCAATATGAAGGGTATTTGCCAGAAAAACCGACATTCTGTCGCCTATCCCAGTATTCCTTCAGCAATTAGAGCTGTCCTGCACTCTAGGAACTCCCAGAGCACAACTGGATCATCTGTGTGGATCTCAAAATGGTCAGCTTCCTGCTTGGACAACAGAAAAGCTTTACCTGAATAACAACAGCTTGTAGATACCACTGGGAAACAAAAATAGCAGTCACTTGTGTGATCCTTTGGTTCTCACCAAACCATGGGAACCCCAAAAGGCATACTCTTCCATTTTCCTTTTGTCCAGTCTCTAAGCATTTCCTCACAATTGTGACAAACAATATGCAGAGCCCATTTCTTGTCTTGGTTGCCCAGGGGAATTTCAAAATTTCAAAATAGCTTTTATAGGCACGCCTCACAAACGCTGTTATATTGCATCTTTGACGAGGAAGTGCGTAGCAGCCACATCCATAACAAAAGGCATCAGGCTTGTTTACACATTTTTGTCTGCTTGAAGAAGCCATGGTCCGATCTGAAAAATACAAATATTTAGGTTACAAAACTATAAAAATAAAGAAAAATTAAGTTTGCAAGACAGTAATTACCATATGGTTAGGGTAGATCAACATGTTCATGTATCCCCAGTGTAAATATGACATACAGTGGTACCTCGGGTTACATACGCTTCAGGTTACAGATGCTTCAGGTTACAGACTCCGCCAACCCAGAAATAGTACTTCGGGTTAAGAACTTTGCTTCAGGATGAGAACAGAAATTGTGCTCCGGCGGCGCAGCGGCAGTGGGAGGCCCCATTAGCTAAAGTGGTGCTTCAGGTTAAGAACAGTTTCAGGTTAAGAACGGACCTCTGGAACAAATTAAGTTCTTAACCTGAGATACCACTGTATCGGCAAAAGTCGGAAATTGAAAGATAACAATAGCATGTACACAAAAATTGATTTCAGATTTGAAATCAGCATTGAAAGAACATATAAGAACAGTTGAAAAATCTCATGCAACAGAAAATGGAAAAAAAAAAATTGTTCCCCAGTGTAATTTAATGAAGAATGTAGTGCAATAATTTTTATGAAGGATTATTTATTACAACAGCAGTCATAAAGATGAAACATGAAACACATAGAAAAAGTGAGGTATGCAAAAATTCTCACAGGGACGCTGAAACATAAAGCAACATAAAAGCAATACAAAATAATCGTTAACATGAGCAGCTGATCCCGAAAGCTTGTACAGCTGCGCAGGCATAAGAGGGTTTTCAAGCTGCTCTTGGAAGTCAGAAGCAAGGATGCTTGCCGGATCTCTGCCGGCAGAGTGGCCAGGGACACCAAATACCCAATTTCTAGCTGAAGCTGATCTGCAACTTGGGGGGCAGAGGGTGGGAACAGAGCTCTTTTCCAGGGCTGGCTCTGCGCATTTTGCCCAAGGGTACCTGCCCAGGGGAAGAGAAGCTGGCTTGCTCCTGTCAGTCAGGCAGGGGAAGCGGCTGGCTTGGTATACTAGCTGTTTGATGTTACCAAAGAGTGAAAGAAGAAAGACTTTCTGTGCATCCCCTCAGGAGCTGGAGGCTGAGGAATCCTGCCCAGGAGGACCTGGCGAGACAGTCCTGAAGGAGAGCAGCGTGGACAGGCTGACCCAGCTGAGCAGCAGCAGCAAGCCAGAGTTCCCAGCCACGGTTTCTCCCAGGTAAAGAAAGCCTCTCTCTTGTGGCTGGTGGCGGAACAGCGGCTGCTAGCCTGTCGCTGTTTTGCGGGTGGGATTCTGTCGCATGCTGGCAAATCCAGGCGGCGCGACTGAAGTGCTCAGGCGACCGCAAGCCGCCTGTGGTCGCAGTGCTCTGAATGGGGATGGAAGAGGAGCAGGGCCTGGTGGAGGGGACACTGCAAGAGGAGCGGCTTGATAATGGCGCAGTCTGGATACTCGGGGAAAAGCGAATGAACAAAGCACAGCAATCCTGAGTTAAAACACCTTGTGTGGAAGCAGCTTGAAAGAGCTAAAATGCAATGAATTGTAACTTAGCTGATTTGACAGGCACCCACCCACCAAGAATGTCTCCCCTGGAGATCCTTCCAGTCCTAGGTTTGGCACGTAGATACTGAAAGCAGGGAGAGGTGATCTTTGGAGGCATGGTGGCTCTTCCCTGCTCTCTGAATCCATGTGAAAGCCACACACACCCCGCAAATGTCTGGGACCCAGTGGGGTCTCTCTGAGCCTGGGCTTGTCACTTCCGCCGCTGACTTTCCTGCTGCAGCTAGTGGCAGCTGCTCAGTCGCCTGGCAGGCTTCTCTTTTTGCCACCCGCCAGGTCCAGCTTCCTCTGTATCACTTCGACAAACCAGACTTTTGCCTTTCAGCAAAGTTGAGAACAAGCAGTTGTGGCGGCCGCGCAGCATGTCCGTCAAGGACAGGCAGAACTCCAAGGGCCAGGGCGATCGGACCAGCAGCCTGGACAGCGAGAGCTCCCCAGACTCACGGCAGGGCACCCAGGTCAGGCAGTGGGGTGCGGGGAGGGGCTTGCAGGGGGAGGAAGGGTTTCCCCCCCCCCTGGGAGGGAGGTGAGTGAATCGCTTGGAAGCGGTGGGTTGATGGGTTTTCTTTCCTCCCTTCCTTTTTCTTTCCTCCCTTTCTTTCTGTTGTCCCTTTCTTTTCTTCTTCCGTTTTTCTCCTTATGTATCTTTTGTAACTGTAATTTTACCGTATTGTGGGAAAAGGTCGATTAAAAAATATAATAATAATAATAATAATAATAATAATAATGGGGTGGGTTGGTGGAGCTCTGAGATGAAAAGAATTGGCAGCTCCTGGCATCAGAAATGGGCCAAGCAGTGAAGGTTGGTCCATTAGGGGGAAAGGGAAACTATCCCATCGTCCTTAACAACCAGTTAGGAAGTGATTCTGTTTATCATTGGCTGTGGCGCCACCTACTGGTAGTCTCCTCGGCTTCGGCCCTACCAGTCCCAATGGACACCAGCCACTGCTGGGGCCACGAGGTCTTACCTGCCTTTGCCATCCTCTAGGTCTTTGCATAGCCAGCCCAAGGGTGGCTGTGGGTTCGTGCCAGTCTGTGAATGCTCCTCTGTTGTGCTATTGCAGGTGCCCCGAAAGTCTGTGTATGATCAGCTCAACCAGATCCTGGTCTCGGATGAGCAGCTGCCCGAGAGCATCATCCTGGTGAACATAGCCGAGTGGCAAGGCCAGGTAAGGGAGCCCTGGGGATGGGCAGGGAAGCCTTGATACCACCTTCCTGCATCTTGCATGCCTCTAAAGCCAGCCTTTCCCAGCTGGATGCCCTTTGGGTGCTTGTTGGACTCCATCTCCCATTAGCCCCAGTCAGCAGGGCCAGTGGTCAGTAATATGCATGCTGGAAGCAGCTCTTTGGGGTTTCAGGCAGGGGGTTCTCCCAGCCCTACCTGGAGATACCAGGGATTGAACCTGGGCCCTCTTCTAGGCAAAGGCAGGTGTTCTACCCCTGAGCCACAGCCCTTTTCAGTGGGTTTTCAGCTCCCCCATAAAATGTCACCCTCTATTATTATTATTTGGACATTGAGCCAGAGCTTTGCAAATGCTGCTGGAGGCTCCGGCTCAAGGAAACTCCCCAGCTTGAGAGTAAAGAAGAGGCTTAGTTCACATGAACAAGCTGGGAGAAACACCCCAAGCCCAAGTGATCTGGAGCAGAGGCCCTAAGCTCTCTTGAGTGCTTCCAGATGGGTATTTATTGTGGGATGAACACTCCTCATGCATGCAAAAAATATATATTAAAAATGCTGCATCCCTGCAATATAATTGGCATCAAGATGTCAGCTCCCTATCCCTTCTCAAATTTAATTTTCCAAGAAAAACCCACTGTTAAATAATTAAAAAACACAACTGTTGCCAATGACCCATTTGCAATATTTGAACCACCCTCTTACAAAATTAAAAACCCTCAGCTGGAAGCACTGCCAACCAGGAAGCTTCAGTGGCTACATGTTTGTTTCCAGAGCGGATTTTTAAAGTGTGGGTAAAAGCCTCTCCAGGCTCAGGCAGGTTCATATGAGCACAGAGACTCCTTCAAGTAACCTGGGTCTAAAGCCAGAATGGGGAACCTTAGAAATGCTAATGATTCTCAAATCAAGCCAACAAATAAATGAAACCAACCTGTGGCTCCTCTAGATCTTGCTGGACTGAAAAATCCCATCATCCCTGACCATTGGCCATGCCGACTGGGGGCAATAGCTTGAAATTCAGCATTCTAGAGGGCACCATGTTGGCGACTCCTGGATTCGGGGGAGGGCTCTGGTACCTCCCCAGCAAGTTATTTTTGCAAAGTGTTTGCATTTCTTCTTCATCCCATTCCTGCCTCCTATTTCTGGTTTCCTCTCGGCAGTATCTGTGCGACCAGCTGCAAGAGCACAAGCAGCCCATTGTCTCCACCTGCTCCATGGCGGATGTGCAGGCTGCTTTCAACACCATCGTCTCTCGCATCCAGAGATAGTGAGTATTGCCGGCGGGCAGCAACAAACCAGGGTCCGAGTGCCCCATGTTGGTTTTTCAGGTGGACCCCGAAGAAAGGACTTTGGGGGTTCATGTATGCAGGGGTTGCAGCCACCCAAGTTGCTAAGTGGTGTGCGCCTGAACCCTCAGGCTTGCGCGCCACACGCATGAACTCAACATGCAGGTCTCTAGGAGGATTGGAATCTTCTGTGTTGAGTTGCGTTCATGAAAAATGCCTGTGTGCCTTTAACCCTTATAAAGAACGTGTCATGCCAGGATGTAGGAAAAGATTGGTTTGCTACACGGAAATAAAACAAGAATACAGTCATACCTCGGGTTACAGACGCTTCAGGTTGCGTTTTTTCAGGTTACGGTCACGCCAAAACCTGGAAGTACCGGAACGGGTTACTTTTGGGTTTCGGCGGTTGCGCATGCGCACAAGCGCTAAATCGCTCTTTGCGCACGCGCAGAAGCGCCGATTCGCAACCTGCACGTGCGCGCACACGGTGCTACGGGTTGCGAAAGTGATTCCCGCACGGATCATGTTCGCAACCTGAGCATCCATGTGTGGGCAGCAACCATTAGACACCCACACCTTGAAATCTGTAAAGAGAGGGTCTGATGACCCCCCAAAGCCTGGAAAGTAAGTGCAGAAAAACCTGATCTTGAAGAAAACGGAACTCAAAGGCACAGAACAGAGATTTGAGCCTTCTGCAAGTGCTAAGCTCTACTCTTCAGACCCCTGTGCTTGGCAAGGGGACAGCTTCACTCACCGTGGTCCAGCAAACTATAGGATTGATCCTTGAGGTCCTTGAGGAGCAAAGAGGGGGTCCCATTGAAGCCGTGAGCTGGCCAGCCATTGAAAATACGGAGTTTATAGTTTGTGGAGAGGGAGTTTCCTGAGTAACGTAGTTCAGAAGTCCTTTGAACTATGTGTTTACTGGTTTGAAGTAAAGAGGATGAAGCCTTGCTTTTGGGAAGACTGCATCTTTATCTCTGTGGTTTCTGGATAAGAAATGCACCTTGAAAGAGATGTTGATGTCTGAGTAAAGTCTGGTTCCTGCAATAATATAAGCTTTTCTGGTAAATACAAGGATTAGTGTGCTGATGTTTTCTGCAGCTATTAGGTCAGGATGTTAGTCATTCATTCCAGGTAGTGAGCAGAGACCGAGACAAGACTGGGCAGGGCACCAGTGTTTCTCTCTCTGCCACCCCTTCTCCCTCCCTCTTTCTCCCTCTTTCTGCCACCCCCCTTTCTTCTGCCACCCCTTTCCCTCTTTCTCTCTCCCCCCTCCTTCCCACTCGCATGGAACCGCTCCTGGTTTTGTCCAAAGGGTGGTAGATTCTAGGCTTTCTGATGGCAGTGGAGTAGTGAGGCGCCAGGGCGTGGGGTCAGTAGTTTGGCTGTGCTCTTTCCGGGGGGCTGCTTCTTTGTGAATCTCTCAGCCTCTCTCTTCCTCCGGCAGCTGTAACTGTAATTCCCACATGCCTCCCCCAGTGAAAGTGGCCGTCGCAGGGGACCAGAGCTACCTGAGCATCGTCCTGCGCTTCTTTGTGGAGCAGCTAGCCGGCAAGACCCCGGACTGGCTCAACTATCTCCGTTTCCTCGTGGTGCCGTTGGGTAAGAGCTTTGCCATGGGGTGGGGTGGCTGTCCTGGAAGGCCGCTGTGTCTTCCCTGCTAAGATGTCCGCCCTGGTTGACCTGTGGGAACGTCCCTTTGGCCTCTCCAACTGGAAAAAGAAAAAGATGGGCTGGAAATAGTGGAGGCAAACCAGGCGAAACAGGATTTTGCCCTTTGGCACAGCTTCCTAAGGCGGTACAAGCTTTGCTCTGCTTGCCTTCTCCAGTGTCGTAGGTATTTATTTATTTATTTTACAAAATGCTTCCTTTCCTCTGTGTCGTTCGCAGGCTCTCATCCTGTGGCCAAGTACCTTGGCTCTGTGGACAACAGGTACAGCACCTTGTTCCTGGATGCAGCCTGGAGAGAGCTGTTTAGCAGAATTGAGCCCCCTAGTTCAGGTAAGTAGTCCAAGCAGGACTTTTTAAAGACAACATCTTTATTGAAAATCCAAAAAGTACATAATTATATTTGAGACGTAGATAAAAGAGAGAGAAAGAGAAATAGAACCCGTGTAGAAGGGGAAAGAAAGGGGGGGGGACCCAAAACTATATTTTACAAAGTTGTTCTTGTGCTTCACCAGATCTTAACCTATAACAGTATTTGTAAGAATGGATTCCAAATATCATGGAATTTGTCCATGGCAAGTCTGCGTTTATATGCAAGTTGTTCATAAGTTGCGAGTTTGTATACTTCTTCAATCCAATCGTAGAAGGGAGCCACATTTTTATTTTTCAGTCTTTTTGCTGTGGTAAGGGCACGGACAGTCCACTCGTATTGTCCTTTTGTAAGGTTCCATGTGCTGGGTATATAACTCAAGAGGATGTTTTGCTCTGTAAATGTCAGGTTGTTCCGTACAGTTCTGTTGATAGTTTCAGTTACCTTCTGCCAAAAATCTTTCAATATAGGACAAAGTAGGCCTGTCTCCAGCTGGGGAGGAGCAGGGTGGGACCGGGTGGGATGGGGCAGGGGCCTTGTTCCTTGAGGATGTTCTGCCTCGTCTAACTCTTCCACTCGCCTCCTTCCAGACACAGTGGATGTCCCTGGTCGGGTCGTCCAGTTCATCACTGGCGCCAATGTATCCCACCAGTTGCCCATTTCCGAGGCTATGTTAACCTACAAGCAGAAGAGGTAAGAGACCATCTTCCTTTCACACACACACACACACACACACACACACACACACACACACACACACACACACACACACACACACACACCATGGGCAAACGAAGGAGCTACTTAGACCCACCTTCTACACCACATGGGACCCTATCATGGGCCATGACTGCTTCCCCGGATTCCCAAGGGATAGTGTGCTGGGTTGGGCAGTGGTGCAGAAGCTACATAGAGAGTCCCACTCTTTGTTGCTGGCTTTTCCCTGGCTCCTGGATGGCTCCAGTGTCTCTGAACCTGCTCCTGAAGCACAGTAGGGTTGAGAGCAGAAGGAACAGGCAGCTCTTCTGTCATGGGGCAGAGAAGAAAACCTTCTCCCAGGCGCCAGGAGAAAGGCAGGCCCGGTCAGTGGTTTTTGGGAATTGCAAGTACTGTTTCTGTGCTTCCTCCCCCCGCAGTTCAGGTGTGTGGGGTACTTCAAGCCCTGCTGTTCTCTGCTTGCCCCTACAGCCATCGGGGACTGGCACACAGTACGTACGGCTGGCTTGCTGCACTCCCCGCGGGAGCTTCTGCAGGGTTAGGGGCTCTGCTTTGGGCCGGGACATGTCCTGGGATGGGTGTCACCACGCCCCAGCCAGGCAGGGAAGCCTGTGAGTTTTGGGCACAGGGGAACTTCATATCCGTCAAACTGGGGGTGGTGGTGGGGTGTCCTTCAAACTCATTTCAGAGTCTTGGAGCATCAAGTGGAAGCAAAATGGGCGCTGGCTTCTGAGCACTGCATCTCCACCTCCAACTCGCCACTTACAGTAGTTTTACTTGCCACTAAGTTAGACCTTGGACGCGGGTGGTGCTCTGGGTTAAACCACAGAGCCTAGGACTTGCCGATCAGAAGGTCGGCAGTTCGAATCCCCGCGACGGGGTGAGCTCCCGTTGCTCGCTCCCAGCTCCTGCCAACCTAGCAGTTCAAAAGCACGTCAAAGTGCAAGTAGATAAATAGGTACCGCTCCGGCGGGAAGGTAAACGGCGTTTCCGTGTGCTGCTCTGGTTCGCCAGAAGCGGCTTAGTCATGCTGGCCACATGACCCTGAAGCTGTACGCTGGCTCCCTTGGCCAATAAAGCGAGATGAGCGCCGCAACCCCAGAGTCGGTCACGACTGGACCTAATGGTCAGGGGTCCCTTTTGTTGGCTATTTGCAGTTTAGTTGCGCTGCAGAAAGCTTGCTGGGGAGACCACACATTACAAGGAACTCAAAAATAACTTTAACAAGGTTTTAATAAAAAAAACAAAAACTCCTTTTACACTAAATATATCAATAAGCATGACCCATCCACCAGGGTGCTGAGAGAGCTAGGTGCTGCTCTTTATATACTATACCCAATTGCTGACACAGCTTAATTAACACAACTTAGCAGCACCTGCTATACTGTTTCACAGCTGTAAAACTGGGTCTCGTTATTTGCTCTGGCCCTTAAAGACATACACATCTTGTGGAACCATAATGAACCTTCACATTTAAAGAGACTATTCAACACCTTAACCTTTACCTTTAAGTTAGACCTTGGACTTGGCAAAATATGGGCAATGAAGCTCATGGAGCTGGGGGTTTTTTGCAGGCATGGGCAACATGTCATTGATGCAATAATAGTGCATTAGTGGTAGATTTGTACTGGACCGTTTTCACTTCATTATGCTTCATTAGTTGTTTGGTGATGCTTCCTCGATGCGATCTCATTCTTGGCATCAGAACAGGCCCTACAGCAAGGGTGGCCAACTGCAGCGACCACCACGTGCAGAATTTGGCACAGTATTTTGTGTGCAGACTGCAGAGCTTCGCTTTGGGCAGGGTTTGGCTTTTGACGTTCCTTTTCAGACATCTGCAGCGGTGGATGCCGGAGGTGTAGCGATGCGTCACAGCAATGCATGTGTGCAGCTAGCTTGCCCACGGGCTGCCACACAGTGTGCCCAGGCGCTTCACATAGTTAGCGCAAGCTTGTGGTTGTGCAACTCAATGCCGCTGTCGGAAAACTGAGGCTGGGGAGAGAGGTTGCTTTGTGTTGGGGCAGGGCGGGGAAGAGTCTGCAGTGGTCGACTTAAGAGGAGTTCATCCATGGTGACCTGAAAACTCTGGGCTAGCCTATCCCCACTGCACTCTGGGCTGGCCTAATGGGAGGGGGGCCCAGTGGCCCTGCAGCTGTGTCATATTCCCATCAGTCCCAGGCAATGTGAGTTGTGGTCCAGCAACATCAGGAAGGCCGCAGGTTCCTAACCTCTGAAATAGATGGTTTTACTACTCCACTGGCAACTAGCCTACATGTAGTTTTCAGTCCTTCGCCAAGCTGGTAACCTCCATCGTTGTAGGACTTCAAATGCCATCAGCCTCAGCCAGAGTCCCAGTTAGAGGGTAGATCCACCTTCCCCAGCCTGTAGTTGGACTCCAACTCCCATCATCCCTGACTGTTGGCCATGCTGGCTGGAGCTGATGGGAATCAGAGTCCAACAACATTTGGGGATCCAAGGTTGGCCAATGCTGGCGTCGAGCAGAGTACGTATTCTGGAACCCACTGCAAAGTGTAGCAGCTTTAGGGCAATTTATTCGGGGTATTCCAGAAGCCGTGTGTGTTAGATGCGGAAAATGCTCTTCAAAAGCGTGAAAACTGTGGCATCAGCTCCAGCATCAGCCTACTAAATCCCAAGATCAGGTGGAGAGGACTCTGGGCGTGCTGTTGTCATTTACACGGGACATTTACAGGTCTGCCAGGGCATCTGAGTAAGACTGTGTCATAAAAAACCCCAAACAAACCCAATTATTATTATTATTATTATTATTATTATTATTATTATTTTGTTATGTATATGCTGCCCATCTGGCTGGGTTGACCCAGCCTCTCTGGGCAGCTCCCAACGAAACCCAGCGGTGCCTGCCAGGCCTGGCGCCAGGAGTGGGCCCAGCTCAGTATCTGCCTGTGCCTCAGCAAGGGGCCGTTGGCCAAGGATGGAAGAGAGGCAGAACCCCTCTGGTGCTGTAAGACATTATGTGTACTGACAGCAGCCTCTGCCAATCTGGTGCCCAGCCAGTAGTCCAGTTCCAGGTTTTACAGAACCATCCCAATCAATTCCGTTTAGGCTACTGGATGGAATGGAATGATTCTGTAAATAAAGATGGTTCGCCGGCAGGTAAGAAGACAGTCTTTCCCAGTCTGATGCTCTGCAGATGTTTTGGGCTGGCCAAACAAGTTTTGCCTTCCTTTCTCTTCATGCAGCTGTCTCCCCTCCACCACCTCTTTTCTCTTTTTGGCCCTTCTGCAGGAGACCCACCCCACCCCACCCCACCCTGGCCCTCCCTCTCCCTCTAACTAAGCAAGAGCCTCCCTCTTCTTTGGGGTCACTGTGCAGTTTGGACCCAGAGAGATGAGGGCGCAGGCAAATGGGCTGGGGTCAGAAGGCTGTGGGTCTTTAATGGGGGGGGATGAGGATGGTGATGATGATCATGAAATTACCCACCCTCCATCCTAAGATCCTAGGGTGGGTTACTAGTATTAAAACATGTTAGAAACACTTCAAAACAACTTACAAACATACAGAAAGGTGGGTCCTAAAAGCATGCACCTGAAAAGCCAGGTAAAGAGGTGATGTCCCAGTCCCCCCTCCCAAAAAAAGATCTGGAGCCAAATGACAATGCCTACATTTTTAGTATGATTATGGTTAAATTCATTTAATCACCGGCAGGGCTCAGTGTGGCTGCCAAGTGGAGCATTAAAAACAATTGAAACAGATGGCAATCACAGGGATAGCTGTTTGTTTACTATTGGGTTTGTTTCCTGTTGCGCAGTTGTATAGGCCACCCCTTATCTGTACTGATACCAGCGAAGGGCAAGCCATAAACCCAGGGGGTGGGGGCCATTTTCTAGCCCATGGTTGCATTCCTTTGTCTCCAACATCCGCCATGTGTGATCTAGTTGAGATTCCTGCTTTGCAGGGGGTCAGACTAGGTCCCTTTGCACTCTGCAGTTCTATGCTCCTATAAATAGGCTGGGCAACCAAAACACAAACATCGCAGGTGTCCCAAGGCCAGGGTAAACAGGTGTGTCTTCAGGGAGACATCCCCCTTCCCCTACTTCTGACTCGGTTCACAAGCTCAGAACCTGGCTGCTCAGATTCAGCCAGAAGAAGCTTCTCCCCCTGCTGCTCAAGAGTTCAGGACCCCTCTCCTCCCCAAAGCCGCCATTCAGACGGACACCACTTCCGTGTGTGTGTTTGGGTCACCTCCCGGCGCCCGTCATCTTAGTGACCGCTTACGTTCCAGCAGTTCTTTACGCCTCTCCCTCTTCTTGGTCTTTTTTCTTTCTTGTTTGTTTTGGCATTCAAGGAAAAGAAGCCTCTATTTTGATTTTTATATCAGGTATTGGAACTGTGGCTTGCTGCAGTGTTGCCCTTCTTCCCCAGTGTCTGTCCGTCTCCTCTTTGTCCAGGAAGAGAGCTGACTCCTGCCTCCTTTCTCCCGACCCCTGTCTTCTGCCTTGTGTGAGACAAGGGCTGCTGCCTGTTCCTGGTTGCATGTTGGGGAGGGAAGGAAAGCCCCCCCCCACTTCCTCCTGAGCCTCTTAAGTGCATCCATCCCTGTGCTCCTCGTCTTATTCCTTCCCTCCTGCAACCTTTCCTACGCCGTGTGATCCTGTGCTCAGCATTTGGGGTGGCCGGGGGTGGGGTTGCTTTGCTGCGTAAGGCAGAGGAGTCTGTCCTTCTTCCCTCGCCCCCCCCCCCGTCCCATCCTAAAGATGAGACGACATCGCTTTGGCTTTCTCAGAACGGCTGCTTGTTTATAACTCTTTGCTGGCTGGGGGGGGTGGGGCGGGGCGGAGGCTGCGCACTGACGAGACACGTCAACAAGGACAGGGACAAAATAGCCTGGATGAAGGTGAGGTGGGGTGGGGGCCATGTCCCTTGGCAGCTCAGGAGGATGGTGAGCAAAGGATGATGGGAGGTCCTGCTGGCTGCATGAGCTACCCCCTTCTCCACAGTTGCCTTTCCAGGCCAAGGATTCTTTCCAGGAGGGGGGGCGGGTTTGCAGCTTTTAATTGCCTCTGCTCCATTTCACAGCCCTGACGAGGATTCCTGCCAGAAGTTTGTGCCGTTTGTTGGGGTGAGTGCTGTTGTTGGGGGGCCACTAGACCACTCAGAAAAGCCCTTGCCCTTCTCCTTGGCAGCACCCATATAACTTGTCTTGCAAGTTAATGTTAAGAGAGCCAGTGTGGTGTAGTGGTTAAGAGCGGTGGACTCGTAATCTGGTGAACCGGGTTCGTGTCTCCGCTCCTCCACATGCAGCTGCTAGGTGACCTTGGGCTAGTCACACTTCTCTGAAGTCTCTCAGCCCCACTCAGCTCACAGAGTGTTTGTTGTGGGGGAGGAAGGAAAAGGAGAATGTTAGCTGCTTTGAGATTCCTTCGGATAGTGATAAAGTGGGATATCAAATCCAAACTCCTCTTCTTCTTCTTCCTTTCACCTTCCCCAAGAGAGGAGGTAGTTTGGCAGGAAGCCACAGTCACTGTCCTGTGAGGTGTTTGTTCAACCTTTGCTGATCTGGCACCTTCCAGACATTTGGGACTACAACTCCCATCATCCCCTGCCAGCATGACGAAGGCTGTGTTAGCCGCTCCTTGGCATGGAAAGCTGGCTCTTGGCAAGTCTTTGGGTACTGACTGAGGCTTTTCTCCTTGTTCCTTGGCAGGTGGTGAAAGTGGGCCTTGTGGAGCAGTCCTTCAACACCTCAGGTGAGAAGAAGGCACTGAGCCAGGTGCCCGTAGGCTACGGCCAAGACAGCCTGGCTCTGGTCTCCCACCCAGCCTGCATCTTGCAAGGACCCAGCACAGATCCTTCTCCAATTTGCTGGTGGGATCTGGTGGCTGGGCTCTGTCTCCACAGTTAGAGGCAACAATGCTTCTAATAGCAGTTGCTGGAAACCGCAGGAGGGGAGAGGTCTCTTGTGGTCATAGCTCGCTTGTGGGTGCCCCATGGGCATCTATCTGGGTGGCCACTGTGAGAACAGGATGCTAGACTAGATGGTCTTATGTAATAACTGGATCTTTTAATGCTTGGTGTTTTATTGTGTTCTTATATCTGTTGGAAGCTGCCCAGAGTGGATGGGGCAACCCAGTCAGATGGGCAGGGCACAATTATTATTATTATTATTATTATTATTATTATTATTATTATTGACTAGGCTAAGCTGTGTCTAACAACAGTAAGCTCCCCAAGGTGTTTTTGGTGCAAGGCTGTAAATCCCAGCTTTGGGAGAGCAGGTTATATAAAAGATGTAAAACATACAATGAATGAGGGTGCTTCCAGGTGTCACTATTTCCAGGCAGGATTCAGTCACAGGCCAGAAAATTAAGATTGTGCAGGCTGTAAGGTTGCTATTGCGCAATAGAAACACATGCCTGCATGTAGTGGTTCTAGGGGTTGCTCATGCGTAAGCCGGTGCAAACACCTGGCTGGGTTGCCTGAGTGAACCTTTTGTGTCCGGACAGCCACTCACCCGTGGCTGTCTCAATCGCTGGCAGAATCCGTCAGTGGGCGTTTCTTAAACTTCTTCCAGCAAAGAAGCTCTTTGACGCCTAGTCTCCTCCTACTCTCTCTGCACGAAAGCCTTCTGCGCAAGGAGGGCGTAGGCAGCGGAGGACCCCTACTCTCCCCGCTGGTCCCCGGCAAGGAGTCATGGGACCACCTCGCCACTTCCCCCATCTGCCCCCCTTCTCCACTGGTGCTACGCTGATTCTCTTCCCCAGAAGATGGGCTGCCTCTCCCAATCCCGGGACGCTCTCTGGAATCCCTCTGGATTTTGCTCTCTCCCTCCGGCACTGATGGCAGTTCCCTGACACTGCAGAATCAAGACTTTTTTGCAAGAAGACGAATGATGGGGGAAGCCATTGGGAAAGGTGGAGCGGCATTTGATTGATGCAACATCACCTAACCTTCCTGCAGACAAAGCATAACAAATTATTATTATTATTATTATTTATACCCCGCCCATCTGCCTGGGCTTCCCCAGCCACTCTGGGCGGCTTCCAACAAAATATTAAAATACAGTATGCATCAAACATTAAAAGCTTCCCTAAACAGGGCTGATATCTTCTAAAAGTCTGGTAGTTGTTCTCTTTGACATCTGGTGGGAGGGCGTTCCACAGGGCAGGTGCCACTACCAAGAAGGCCCTCTGCCTGGTTCTCTGTAACTTGGCTTCTCGCAATGAGGGAACGCCAGAAGGCCCTCGGTGCTGGACCTCAGTGTCCAGGCAGAACGATGGGGGTGGAGACGCTCCTTCAGATATACTGGACCGAGGCCATAGTAAACATCTAAGACAGTCGTCTAAGCTTCCCCCAAACTTTGTGCTCAAGAAACGGGTCATCTGGAAGCACTCTGAATTGGATGGATGATAAAATGCCACCCGGGTCCTGAAATCAGCCACCATCTCCCTGGTATAATATGGCCATTTCCCCCCTTTCCTTAGTTGATTCTGACGATGTGACCATCTGCACCACTTCGCTGCTCAGCTCGTCGTCTCCATCTGGCGGAGGCGTCCCCTATACCAAGGAGGTGGTGGGTACCCCTCCACCCTCCCCATCGGTCAGCAGCGGGCTCTCGGGAGCTGGGTAAGTGGCACGCTTCCACCTCTGTCCCCCTCAGAACCTGCGGTGGTACAGTCCGGCCTCAGCTATGCCATGTGGTTCTGCTGCTCACCTAGCTTGGCTCGGGGTCCATTTTGGTTGCAGCTTCTGTTTCCCCTCTTCCTTCCAGCAACCTGAGTCCCGGCGTGGAGGTGATGGGCCTGCAGGTCGATTACTGGACAGCGCAGGGTCCAGAGAAGAGGAAAGAGGCCGAGAAGCGGGAGACGGGCATAAAAAACACCCTGAAGAGCAATTTCCGCTCCCTGCAGGTCAGCCGCATCCCTGGCCCTGGGGAGCTGACCGCCCCCAACACCATGGCCATGACTGTGGTCACCAAGGAGAAGAATAAGAAAGGTAATCTTCCCCAGAAGCATCACAGCTCTTTGTTGTCTGCCTATACCAGCTCAGCCTGCTCGTTTATTTATTGCTGTTATTTTACTTTTGACATTGATTGGTTTCCTACTAGCCCAAGAGTCTTCTAGTTCAAACAGTGGTCCCTGAATTACCAGCGATCCCATTTAGGTGGGCCAAGACGTGCCAATGGATTTGTGGTTGAAGACAGGAAACAGAACGTTCCACACAATGCATACAGTGGTACCTCGGGTTACAGACGCTTCAGGTTACAGACTCCGCTAACCCAGAAATAGTACCTTGGGTTAAGAACTTTGCTTCAGGATGAGAACAGAAATCGTGCGGCAGCGGTGGGGCGGCAGCGGGAGGCCCCATTAGCTAAAGTGGTACCTCAGGTTAAGAACAGTTTCAGGTTAAGAACAGACCTCCAGAACGAATTAAGTTCTTAACCCGAGGTACCACTGTATTACATTTTAATTGCATTGTAATTGCTTTTCTTATTTCTTACATTGCACTTCATTTTATTACGGTTCAAATTTCACGGAATTCAAAATGTTATACAATGAAATGCAGTGTGTAAGAAACAAAAGAAGCAGTGAAAACACAATTGAGAATCATAATGCATCATAGCTGCCGCTTCAGGCAGAAAAATTGGTGAGTGGGCTGGCAAAACCCTCAGCAAATTTCAAATGCTCTGTGGGGCAGGGGGGAAAGTTTGGGAACTGTCCTTATAGTCCTCATGGGCAGACTCTTTGCATGCGCTGTGGAAAGGGGCATGAAACTTTTCCAGTGCTTGCTCAGCGATAGGATTTCACTGTGTGGACATCTGTTGAATCTCGAATGGTTATCTTTTGGCAGTCATGTTCCTGACTAAGAAAAACAAAGAGAAGGACTTGGAACCGAAGAGTCAAGTAATTGAGGGGATCACACGCCTGATCTGCACAGCCAAGCACCAAAACACCATGCTCCGTGGTGAGTGGGCCTTTTCTGTGGCGGCTGAGTTGTTGTCCTTTTCTGAATAGCCCTAGCCAGAGCTCCGTTCGCCTCGTGGCTCCGCCAGCGCTCTACAACAGGGTGTTCGCCAACCTATTTGGAGAGAGTACAGTCATTGTTACTTCCAGCCCTCACCTACCAACCTGGTACTGATTGTGGAGATCACACAATAACGATTTCACACTCACATGCTGTTGATGTTTTAATAAAAGGGGAGTTTCCCCCCAGTACCAGGGGAAATCTACTAGGTGGCTAATAATAGTAATAATTTATTAACTGTACCCCTCCCATCTGACTGGGTTCACTCTGGGTGGCTTCCAACATACAGTGGTATCTCGGTTTAAGAACAGCCCTGTTTACGAACTATTCGGTTTACGAACTCCACAAAACCGGAATCAGTGTCCCGGTTTGCGAACTTTACCTCGGTCTCAGAATGGAATCCGAACGGTGAAAGGGCACCGGCGGCAGTAGGCTTCATTAGGGAAAGCGCGCCTCTGTTTAAGAACTGTTTCGGTTTAAGAACGGACTTCCGGAACGGATTATGTTCACAAACCGAGGTACCACTGTACTTAAAAGCTTCCCTATACAGTACTGCCTTCAGATGTCTTCTAAAAGTTATATAGTTGCTCATCTCCTTGACATCTGAGGGGAGGGTGCCACTACCAATCCACACTCACTCATTCTCCCTCTCTCTCACAGACCACACATTCACTCATACTTCTTTGTGTCTCTCTCACACACATACCTCTCCTTTTCAGACCACACATGCATATGCTCCGTCTTTCTCACACACAGACCACATGTGCATCTCTTCCTCTCTCACACACCTAGACATGTGCAAGACTTTTCCAAGGGCAGCAGGGAGGCACAAGTACAACGCTGAAAGAGCAAGCAAATTTCTCGCAAACCATAGGCAGAATGGTGTGTGCATTTGGCTTCATATTGCACATCCTAAAAACACTTCTTACTCTCTTTTTAAGTAGAAGATGGGAATCTGGGGCTTAATGGATCATCCTGGGGGCACAGAAAAAGGCCTCCAGGGGCAGCACAGTGAAAGTTCGTATAAGAAGGTTAGTGGAGAATGTAGGCACAATTCAGGCTGCGGGATTATTGCCTGAATTCTCCACCAATCTGTTACACCGTGGTATCTGCAAGCCCTAAGTTAGCAACCTCTGGGCTTAACTTGAACGGCATTTCCTCCTCCACCACCAGCACACAAGAGCCAGTGTGGTGTAGTGGTTAAGAGCGGTAGTCTCGTAATCTGGGGAACCGGGTTCGCGTCCCCGCTCCTCCACATGCAGCTGCTGGGTGACCTTGGGCTAGTCACACTTCTCTGAAGTCTCTCAGCCCCACTCACCTCACAGAGTGTTTGTTGTGGGGGAGGAAGGGAAAGGAGATTGTTAGCCACTTTGAGACTCCTTAGGGTAGTGATAAAGTGGGATATCAAATCCAAACTCTTCTTCTTCATCATGTCTTGCTCTTCCCTGGAAGCCCCAGTTCAGCTTCTCTTCTGAACGCTTGCTTCCACACCTTCCCTGCTCCTGGCCTGAATGTCCTTCCTCTCTTTTGCCTCCTCTCCTGCAGTTTGTATTGACGGCATCGAGTGGAACGATGTGAAGTTTTTCCAGCTGGCCGCACAGTGGCCGACACACGTCAAGCATTTCCCCATCGGCATCTTCGGCTACACAAAGAGCGCGTGAGGATAAAGGAAAGGAAGCAGCCCGAGGCAACAGCCTCGGGGAGGACTTGGGCTCTGCCGTGCTGAACAGAGGAGGGACAATCCAGCTCCTTGCTTCTGCCGAAGATGACTGACTGGACTGGACTGGACTGCCTGATGGCCCAGGGCTGGAGCCCTGATCCGGCCAGGGCTCTCTTTGGCTCCATTTGTTCTGTGCAAGGAGCATCCCGATTTGCTTTACGTCTCACCCATGAGGTTTTTTTTTTGTTTTCGTTTTAGTTTTTAACGTGAACTTGGTCCTAGGAAACGGAAGGAAGGCACACACACACCTGCACCATTCACAGAGCTTTCTCAGCCTGAACTCTTGAAGACTCGGCCGTAGGGCCAGTCTCCCTTGTTCCAGGAATGAAAGAGGCCAGGGGGGAACTTGCACAGCTCCCCAACCAGCCGGCGGCTCGGGGCAGCTGGGGCTCTGTTCCCTCCCATGCCTTGCCATGGGCAAGAAAGGGGGTTTGCTCAGCCAGGCTCACCCCATTGCATTCTGGGCAAGCTGGACCTCTGCCCACAAGTGCCACTCTGCAGTGCCCGCCCCCAGTGCACAGAGGGCTCCTGGGATCTTGGGTACCTTGCCATCTTTTAACACAAAGTAGCTTTCCCCGTCTCTCCTAAAAAATACTTGGCCCCTCCTGCTTGGAGTGGGTCTGGCACTGCTCAGCTTCTCATGCCCCGAGGAGATGCCAAGGCGGGAGTATAGAAAGCAAGTGGTACAGAGATGGCAAAAAGGAAAGGCAGGGGCAGCTCGTTTCTGCAGCAGGCAGCTGGTCCAGGTACGAGCTGCTTTGTGTAGTTCAAGACGTTGGCAAGACAAAAGGCTGGAGCTGCTGCGCTGTTGTTTGCTTCCCCCCATTTGTCAGGGGGGAGGTGGCACAGGAGTGCCTCAGCCCAGGGCAGCGCTTGCCTCTGGGACCCGATACAGATCCACAGACGGCGGGATTGCTCTGGTGCAGCAGAGCAAAGGGACTGAACCCTAGAACGGCTGGTTCTTTGCCACTTTAAAGCACAGTAGGCCGACCTCCAGGGCAAAAGGCGGGAGAAACTCAAATGAGTGCCATTCCAATGGAATAGGAAGGGGGAAGGGCCTTGCTAAAGCAGCACAGCTTCTATAGGGCTGGAGGGGGAAGCCGAGGGGCTTCTTCACTAACCAATCTGTTCTGGCTTTTATTTGTGGGGGGCAGGGGGAAGTACAGAGAAAGCAGGACGAGAGAAAAAGAGAGTTGCGGCAGGGCAAGGCCCTCTTCTTGCAGGATGTACTGCAGCTGTGTGTAAAACAGTGTGTGCTTTGATTGCCGCATTGCTGGGCCCTGCTAGGTAGGTGAAGCAAGAGGGGGAGCCATTGCTCGCACAGCTGGGGGAGGCCAGGCCAGAGGCCCCTGGGGCCTGTGCCCCCGGGAAGGCTTTCTGGCCAAGGCGCTGTCTTGCGATGGAGCACCAGCTTACACGCCATGCACTCCATTGACGGCCACTGCACTCACTGCAGCGCTCTCCTGAGCTCCGCAAGCCGGGCCGAGTTGCACCTTCGCGAGGCAGGTCTCTTGCAGAACAGGATGTACGAGGAGGAACAAGTTCCTTTTAAAAATGACTGACACACAGACACAGATATACACATGGACACATCCTAAAATCCAACACGAGTACCAGAACGAGAGAGCCAGTAACTGCAGCAAAGGTGTCCTGAGCCTCGCCTTCCCGTGGCAGCTATTTGTGCCTCTTTGCCCTCCTCTTCCCTGACGAGACCCGCCAGTGCCCCCCCCAACCCCTTCCCTTCTCTCTCCTTTTCTCAAAAACCAAGTGGACTCCAAGGCCCAGGCCTCCCTGCCTTCCTGGAGCTCCTTGTGTCACTAGAACTGCCAAACCAACCTTCCCCTGCCTTGAAAGTGTATCCTACCGAACTCAAGAGACCTAAACTGTGGTATTGCGCCTGCTCGTCGGACGCAGCTGCTCGAGGTTAGGAGAGCAGGGATGGTGGGTTAACCCCATTTTTTACAAGATTCTATTTTTGTTAAACTTAATGTAAGGTTGCTTTCTGGATTAATTTTAATAAATTAATGCTGGTACCATTGTGACTGACGAGGCTTCGGGTCAATTTGTGAGTCGGCTTGGAATTTTTGGCTTGTTTTGTAAAAGGTCAAAGAACTATGGCGACTAATTCTGTGAGCAAAAGGGGAACCTGGGCTTGCCGTTTTTGAAAACACCGGCCTCTCCTACTGCCATGCATGTGGCAAACCGCAAGGGGGGCTTCGAAAGCGGTTGTAGAGTTTGCCGGTTTTGAGAAAACGTAAATGCAAAGGCACCAGGCTACTGCAAGCTCCTTGCATGAGGCCAGAGCAGCTTCTGCAGCACATCAGAAGTTGGTGACTTGTTCCTAGACTCTTCCTTCTTGTCTCTCTTCTTTAAAAGCTATCTGAATTCCAACCAGCCCATATCGCCAAATGTTTCCCTGTTCAGATCTTCATAACGGATTGATCTTTCGGTGTCAAAGGTAGCGGGCCAGCAATGAAAACCACTTTCCAGTATCTCAGACTTATCTGTTACCAGGTTAGAAACAAAAGCATGCCACACATGCATACTTCCGAGAGGAGAGGCACTCTAAGCCTTTGGATAAATGTCCATCTTTTACTATTGGCAGCCCCTCCTGCCTCCTGTTAAACCTGACCCCAGCATGCACAGTTAGACGCTGTCTACCAGCATGCTGATCTTGGGGAGAAAAGGTACAGTGTGGGTGCAAGAAGCCAGCTCCAGAAGCCTCTGCATTGGCTTCCACAGTTCCACCTGTCCCTAAGCAGTTGAAAATTTGCTTTCCAAAGAAGTTCAGGCCTGAGAGTATAAAGCCTTTTGTGATAGTTAGTTTTCCCTTGTCTAAAGAACCGGTACTTCTTTGTTCCACATCCTGTAGTAATCTGCTGAAATCTTTGGCAATGGGAGGGTATTTTTTTAAAAAAGGGTGGGTGGAGAGAATGGGTGTGTAAAGATGGCTGAAACACTTGTGCAAAGTTGCTTGTGCTTAACTGGTTAAGGAGTCCAGCTGCCTGAAGGCAAGACACGTACGGTGTGGCCACCTATGAGATGGCCATGCTCAGACTGCCTTTCAGGAGCTGAGTCCCACCGCCTTCCTCCCTTGTTGCAAGCTGAAGTCCATTAACCCAGGCACCCGATCACATTTCTACCAAACAACACACCGCCTGAATTCAGTTGCTGCAACAAAGACAGTAACTTGGTTCATGCTAACGTTATACCGCTGGACCCACGATAGTGCAAGGAAACCAGGCCATGGATTCTTAACCAATTTGTTTTATTGTTACTATTATTATTTGGACTTCAGCAGTTAATGGGATTACAGGTTTTGGACTTCTTCAGAAAGGAATGAAATGACAAAGCAGCTGGCCATTGCATTGAACGAGGCAAGAGAAAGCATGGGAGGTAAAACAATATGCAGAAGTACCAGTGAGTGAGATGTTGTACACCTCATTTTTGACCCTCCAACAGGGCAGTCCAATTTTTCATAACAAGTGGGCCGCCAAGAGTACTTTGACACAGAAACTGTGGGCTGCACACTGCCCTGATGTGTGGGAGAGCGGTGGGGGGAGCAAGGTGAAAATATGAGCCCCCAGTCCTTACACTGGCTTCCCAAAAATTAGGTACTGTGCTTTGGGATGGAGGCATGAAGCTCTGGCAGGATCCTAGAGCCCTCCCACCTCCTTGCCAAAGCTGGGAAAGTGCTAACTAGGCTTTGGGGAGGAGGTGTGAGGACTCTGGAACCCCAAAGCCCAGCACCTCACATACCTGATTTTGGGAAGATGACAGATCCTGTTTATTTCTGACCCCCGGTCATGCTGGCTGGAGCTGAGGAAGGCTGGAGTCTTAACAGAAGGTCAAAGGCCACATGGCCCATCCCCACAAGCCATATCAATGTGTAATGTTTAAAAACTGGGTGTCTCCAACCATCCCTTCCTTCAGTGACAGCTATAGGTCCCTATAGACCTCTACAAATACACATATTACCTACTGGGGATGTGGACATTATAGCTACTACACAAATTGTGTGCACTTGTTATGTAAACGAACTTGCTCACAAGCTACATCTGAGAGTACAAACTTCTAGGTCTCGTTTTAAAATTAAACAGCTGGCCCTAGCAGCTAATTTACCGCACCGTGGTTCACAGTGACCACCCCAGGCCAGGTCTGGCCACTGGCAAGGGCTTCAGCACCCATCAAAGGCTGACTCATCCATTGCAAAGCGAAAGGTGCTGGCCGTTCACTCTTCAGCCTCTGCCCAATGGCACTCACTGTTAGGCTAGAATGCGAGTGGCTCAATCATTATTGTGATTATTTATTACATTTGCATACCACCCTTCGTCCAAAGATCCCAGGGCAGTTCACAACACAAAAATATAAAACGAGAACACAAAATACACTAAAAATAAAAAATAAATAAAAATAAATACACCAGCACTAGATTCCTACACAAAGGCTAGGCCGGATGTCCTGTCTTATGGACTGAAAGGATGTCTTAAAGAAATCAGAGCACATGTAGCCAACAGGAGGCACTTTAGATGACGATGGACTACAACTCCTGAAGATCCTGGACCACTTGCTATCTTGGCTGCAGCTGTCAGGAGTGGGTAGTCCCAACATCATCTAGAGGACACCATGTTGGCTAGCCCTGGATTTGAGGATTACAAAAAAGAAAAACGGACCAAAAGTGGCCTGAGTATCAGCTCAGTGAGGTGCTAGCTTTGTCCAGCAGCCAAACGAACATGCAAGGATGGGCGATGCACCTCCCCTAAGGCCAGAGACATTAATCAAAAGATCACATTCCCAGTGAGGGGGAAGGAAGCAATCCTTCCATTGGGCCATGTTTGCATGGCAATTTGACACTGGGGGAAATAAGGCAAGTATACAATCTGGAGAAGACGCTTCCCGAGTTGCCTGGGTTATACAACCCCAAGCGATTCTGGACATTCAGGAAAGGCTGTGGTTGCTTACCAACCAGTCTTTGTTGCATCCTATTGCACCAAATAACAGGCCAGCTGCTAGCCAGGGAGGCTTACGGCAGTTAGGCAGTGGCAAACCCTTGGCTCGAATAAAAAACATCCACCTTCTGGAAGCAGCTGCTTGCGGCAACTTTTCTACTTTCTCCTTGCAGGAGGGAGCCAGCTCTGTCCACCGCAGCCCGTAACGTTACTGAAGCTCACTTTGCTCTTTGCTGAAAAGGCAACTTGCAATCTATTAGGAGAAGGAGGAGTCCGCCGTGGAGCAAAAACACCCGTCGCCCTCCTCGCCGTTGCCTTGAAAACACAGGAAGGCAGCATTCTGGGCAGCTGTGTTGGCAGGCTAGCAGCCAGTTCTACCTAAATGTAGAGAACGCCTGTCTCTTTTCTGGGCAGGGTGCAGTCGGTGCTTTTTTTATCTCAACAGTCTGGAAGACTACTTGAGGCTGGTTCCTTGGTGCCGGCAGGGCGGGGGGCTCCGTGGAGACGCACTGCAGGAGATGTGGGTGGTCTTCCCGGCGCTGGATGGAGCCCTGGTTTAGCAGGTGGAGCACACAGGACAGGACGTCAGCGCTGCTGCAGCAGAAGCTGGAGAACTTTGGGACTGAGCCCGGCTTCGGTTTCTGGCAGGCATCTATCACCTGGGATAGGCAGAAAAAGTGGGTTAGTCTCTGGTACTGGCTACCAGCCGGACTGCGCTACAAGGCCAGACCCCTGCATTTCATACCCTGAACACCAGGCTGTTGATGTGCAGCTCTCTCTCCTCTTTCAGGATCTCAAGAAGGAGGCAGCAGATGGTGTTCCTCTTCCTCTCCAGAGCCCTGCCCTTGTTCTCTTCCACATCGAAGTAGGTCTGCTTGGGCAACAGCCACAGGCGCTGGCTGGGCGCTTGGGCCAGCGTCCCCTCACTCAGCCTCAAGATACCTGGAGCCAAAAGACATAGGGCAGGCATAGCCAAGATTGCAGGGGCTGGTGAGAACTGTAGTGCAGAACACCTAGAAGGTTGGCTACCCCTGATGTAAGGACTTCAGACTGGCAGAACTTCTCAGATTTCCAGCATAGCTGGCTCTTTTTGAGGCCTAGCTTGGGAAACTCTCCTTGGCTGTAGTTTTCGAAAGGATTTGGGCAAAGCAAGTGCTCCATGGAAGTAGCTGGAAGTCAGGATCCCACCCACCTCACTGGGAAAACTCAAGATCCCATCTCCATATTTACCCTGGCTCTGGGTCAAGATCCCATTCGTCATCAGAGGTTTCAGCGCACAATCGAGGAGCTCAGGGGAGAGACCTGTGGCTTGAAAGAACCTTTCCACAGAAACCTCCTAGGGCCAAAAGGGAAAAGAAAACAGAGGTAAACGAAGACAGCCTCAGAGGAATTCTTGAACACCTGTCATGGTGATGGAAGCAGGTTGAGTTAGTGCCTCCTTCAAGAATTGGGGGGACTTGCAAATATAAAATAACAATGATTTTATTATTTATACTCCGCCTATCTGGCTGTGTTGCCCCAGCCACTCACAGGAAATAGGAAATTTGCAGGGTGCATGCTCAAATCCACACAGCAGGAGTCACTGAACTGCTAGTTTCTGCCACAGCAGCAATGACAGGATGTGGGGATAACCATGAGGAGGTTTTGCAACTTCTGAAGCAGATAGTTTAGGGAAGCTTTTAATGTTTGATGTATCACAGTATTTTAATATTCTTTTGGAAGCCGCCCAGAGTGGCTGGGGAAACCCAGCCAGATGGGCGGGGTATAAATAATAAATATTATTATTATAGAAGGCAAGCTAAGCATTGTCCAACAAAGCACATCTGGAGTTAGTTAAAGTTAGTTAAACAGGAACTGTGCTTGGTGCTAAGGGCTTTCAATCTCTACTGTTCAAAATTCAGGCAGTGGGGCTGTTTCAAGACAGGGTCACCAACATTTCAGGACCTGTGGGCAGATCTGCAAACTGGAGGATGTGTCATGGGCAACACACACACACCCTTGCAACCAAGCACACCCCTAAACCAATGCTGTTGGTGGCAACAGATTGCTTCTCTCAAACTAAACTTCAGTGAGTGGAGGAGCAGAGGAAGCCCTCTCTTGAGCACACCTGTGCTAGCAGGCATCACACTGGCAACCCATGTTTTATGCAAACGCAGGCCATCCTATGAGTCACGGAAGATGCCCTGCTGATGGCAAACAAGTGGGGACCAAGGGAGTGTCAGACCTTGGCAGTGTTGAAGCAGAGGAGGATGTACATCTGCAGGGTGGAGACGTGCAGGAGGCAGCCCTGGTACTCAAGTTCCGCGTGGCCCAGCCACGTCCACTGCAAACGCCGCGGCTTGGTGTGCTCCAGCCCAAAGCGGCTCTGACCTGAGAAAGACAAGGGCAACGGTCAGGAAGAAATACTGCGGCAAGACGGGCAGCACTCTCTCTGCCTCTCTGCTCAAGGACAGGAGATCACAATACTGGGGTTGGAGAAGCATGAACAAAACACAAATCTTGTTGTTTTTTAAATTGTCTCATCCCACGTTCCGTAGATTAGCCAGATTTTCCAAAGATTATGAACCTCTTAATGCTGCCTCTCTCAAAGTATGGTTTAAAGACTCACAGCTCCCTGCGAAGGTTTGTATCATTTCTTTATAGATAGTTTGATGGTTCTCACTTTCCAAGTTCAGAGTCTTGGGTCAAAGTGGGGTCCACCTGCCCCCCAAAACTCAGCCTGAGAGAGGCAGGGCTGGGCTCAAAAACAGCCTGGCACTCACTCTGGGTGTAGAAGTCAGCAAACTTGCTCAGGTGCTGACTGAGGGATTCTGGGAAGAACCTGGCAGGATCCTCCAGGTAGCAGAACGAGGAGATGGTCCAGCAGCGTGGAGACAGCGCCAGCACCTTCACCTCGGCCTCTTCCTTCCGAGAGAACAGCTGCTGCGCCTCCACCATCTGGGGAAATACAGAAGGTCTGTGGCTTTGGCGGACAGTGGGGGCTGCCCAGGCAGTGTCAGCGGAGGAAGAAAAGGCCTTGGGGGCAGAGGACCTCCTGCATGGTCCACAGGGATGGGGCTCTGCCCTGCTGGTCCCTCCTTCGCCTCTCACCTCGCCTTCCTCCATCTCCTCCTCCGCCTCCCAGTTCCCGTCCTGGTCGAGTTCCAGCAGGTGCTTGTCGAGCTGCTCCAGCTGGAAGAGGTGGAACTGCTGCTGCTGCTCCTCCAGCTCACTCAGGTTCTTCAGCATCTGCTGGGGGAAGCGGTTGGGGAAGCAGAGCCCAATGTGCTCCACCACCGCACACTCCAGCCACGTCTTGCCCTGAGACAGGAGCCGGTCTCCCAGGTAGTACCTGCGCAAGCAGAGAGGGCAGACCCATCAGCCCAGACCCCCCTCGCCCCTCCTGCAGGGCAGGCCAGCCTCACGTACAAGAGACCCAGGAAGGAAGGAAGGAAGGAAGGAAGGAACCCAGCAGCTGAACCGGCGCTCTCAAGTCATTCTTCCTTATGGAAGTGCCAGGAACAGGCTGCACCACTTCCTGCCCGACGCCTGCGCCGTCTCCCAGAACAACGTGATAAGCAGCTCCTTGGGAATATGGGAAGCTGCCTTGGACTGAGCCAGGTCCCTTGGTCCCTCCACTGACTGGCAGTGGCTCCAGGGCTTCAGGCAGGAATATCTCCCTCCTTCCTGGAGACTGAACCCAAGACCTTCTGCCTGTACGGCAGCTGCTCTCCCCCCTGATCTCTGGCCCTTCCCTCCCCACTACGATTCCGCATATCTGCCCCACGAAGGCCTCCTCACCGGTAGAAGTGCTCGAAGGTGTTGGCCAACTCCAGGCCTGCCAGGAAGAGGACGGGCTCCAGGCTCTGCTGCAGGCGCCGCAAAGTCTCCACGTTGCCAGAGTCCGCCCAGCTCTCCTGGATCCACCGGTCGATGTAGCGGGCAAACTGCTCACTCACCTGTTGGCCACAGAGCAAGAGGCACCAGTTGAAGCTGGGAGAAGAAGCAGGTGGAGCTTCCATGAAGGGGGGTGAGGGGGGGTGAGGGGGCGGAGGGGATTCCTCCCTCAAACCAGCAGCAACGCCTCCAGGGAAGGGGATGGACAAGGCATCTGGGGAAGATCCCAGAGGGGGAGGCTGGCTGCTCTGTGATCAGGCCAGGGGAGCCAAGCAGGCTCTGAGATGAGGCCACGCTTGACATCCCTGGAAGTGCAAGGGGCAGGCCAGGCTGCCTGCAGAGCCGGGGGGGGGGGTGTCAGAGGGACAGTTCCTGCAAATGAGCTCCCCCGTGACTAGGCCGTGCCCCCCACCCTTCTGCCCTTACTCACATGCATGGCTGTCAGGAAGGAGAGCTGCAGCAGACCCCCCGAGAAGCCGTGGGACAGGGCCAGCATGAAGGACATCTGCTGCCCAAAGAGCTCCTCCATGGCGGTGCGGAGGCGCAGGTAGGTGTTGCAGTAGCGCTCCACAAAGTCCGGGGCCTGCCAGGAGGACTCCAGGAACAGCTTCACCTGGGCAGAGGGACGGCAGGAGCACAACAGGGTCAGAGCAACCCACACGCCCTTCTCTGGCTCCCTGGGGCCTGCCTGGAAGTCTTCTTGCGGGCAGGGATGCCTGGCTGGTTGCCTGTCCTGGGTAGCGCTAAACACCCTTTAGCTCATCTTTTGATTGGCTGTCAGTTGTCAGGAAAGTCTGGGCATGTGACTGGAACTGGGGCAGAAGTGTCAAAATCAGAACGAGGCTCCCACCTAATTTAGCAGCACCACGTAGAGCTTGGAGCCAGGAAACCCCCTTTCCTGGGAGAGTCTGGTCCACACCCCGTCCTGTCCTGCAGCCTCAGCTCTCCCCAAGGCTGCCTTCCCAGTAACTCCTTAATAGGCAGGGAAGCAGCTGCATGCAGACACAGTGAGAACAACGCAGCAGGACTAGTGAATGGTCTGCCATGGAAGACGTGGCCAGGAAGACATCTGTTTGCAGCAATGGAGAGTCACCCTGCTTGGCGCCCCCATTTGCGCCTGGTCCTCTGCTCCCCCTACCTGCTGCTGGACCACCCCTTTCCAGCACTGGGTGATGCCAGTGGTGCTGCTGGGCTTCTTCACGGCTGCCTTGACAGTCCCAGAGCTCGACTCTTTGTTCTTCCCGTTCTTCCCGTTCTTCCCGTCTGCAAAGTGGGGGTTGTGCGGCGTTATTCACGGGGACCGGAGCACCCAGGCACCCACTTCTGACTATACGGGACCTTGAGGGCTCTCCTCCCTCCCCAGTTCTTCCTCCAACGCCACCCCCCTTGCAGCCCCGGACGCCAAAGACACTCTTGCTCTCCTGCCAAGGTCTGCCTGGCCCATAGAGGCTCCTCTGCAGCGACCTTCCCCCCTTCAATTGGGAAAGGGGACCTGCCCCTCCTGGGCTGCCCATCTGCCCAAGCAGGGAGACACTCACTGGATTTCACGGGGGGCTTCAGCTCCTCGGCCTCAGGGCTGCTGGAGTCCACGTGCACCAGCAGGTGGCTCAGGCGCCGGACGCGAGAGTTGAAGATGGCCGCCCGGCTTTTGCTGCTCCGGGAAGCCTCCAGGTTCTCCAGGTATTGGCTCAGGAGCCAGGAAAGGGGGCTGATGCCGCTGGGATCTGGAGGGCAGGAAAGAGTCAACACGGAGGGCTGCTGGGAGAGGGGAGGGGGGGAGGGTGTGGCTCCTGAGGACTTGTGCCAGGAAGGAGATGCCATACCTGGAGTGGTGATGCTCTGCACCAACGGGCTGATCAGAGCCTCCCAGCAGGTCTTGCCCAGGGCCTGGGCAGCTTCGTCGTCGGGAAGGAAGCGGTCGGCAAAGACCTGCTCGTGGCGCAAGGCACTGTTCAACCTGAAAGGGCAAAGGGGTGGAGGGTCAGCTGCTGACTTGGGCGACGCTTGGAGGCCTATGGAGCTCAGGGGCAAATGGGCTGAGAAGCAATGGCTGCACAGGGTGCGGGACACAGCAGGGCCGGAGCTTGAACAACATGAAACCCAGCCAGATGGGTGGGGTATGAATAATACAATTCTTCTTCTTCTTCTTCTTCTTCTTCTTCTTCTTATTATTATTAAGATGGAAGGGGGGGAGGAGCAGGATGGATATCTTCCGACAGGGTTTCCCAAACTTGGGTCTCCAGCTGTTTTTGGACTACAACTCCCATCATCCCTAGCAGGACGTATGATCAGGGCTGATGGGAATAGTAATCCATCAACAGTTGGAGACCCAAGTTTGGGAAACCCTGTCTTGGGGTAAGCGTGGGAAGGGCTGGGAATGTGGACCCCCTCCCAGCGCAAGAGGGAGACCCCTCCCTGCCCCGCAGGACACCCTGCCCCTCCCCACCTGCGGCCCCAGGGAAAGGGCAAGACCTGTTGAAGAGCTGCAGCAGCTGCATCCGGTCTTCCGAGATTTCCTGGCACCAGGTGTGCGCCTTGGTGGTGTAGAAGAGGTACGTGCGCCGGCACAGCTGCTCCTTGAAGATGGGCCAGAAGGTGGGCTTGGGGCCCAGCACCTCGATGCCACGCACGCGAGTGTCAATGCCCCCCTGAGAACGACACAAACCTTTCCAGTGAAATCAAGGCAGCACCCGTGGGGAGGGCCCACCAAAACACGGCAAAAAGCGGACAGTCCTACCTGCTGACAGCGCTTGATCTTGATCTGTATGATGGGCCAGAAGCAGTTCATGTTCTCCAGAAGGCTCACTCTGCTGGCCGATGGCGGGACAGTCACCTTTGGGCAGAAAAGGAGAAGATGCGGCTTGGATTTGTCATTCTGAAGATGCCTCTTCATCACAGAGGAGGAGAAAAGGGGCAGAGAGGCCCTAACGTTGTCTTTGCCTAATTCCCTTGCTCTCTTCTTCCCTCCCACAGGGTTGTTGGTGTCAATTGCCTCTGCATGTGTTTGTGCGTGCGTACTTAATACAATAATTCTGTAAGTTGCGTGTCTTTGTTTCTCAGTTTGATCCTTTTATCTGGGGGGTTTTTATGGATCGTGCAATTTTATGCTGTTATTTTTATTGATGAATAAATTAGAAATTATTTATTGCAATGATCAAGAGTGAATTTCTGTTTTAATTATTATTTTCTGGTGTTTAATTTTATTGTGTAAAAAGCTGTGTGTTTTTTATCGTGACTTTTTTTGTATCGGGTTTTAAGGGGCGTGATCTTCATTGTGTGTTTCTTGTTTCTGCAGCTAGTGATACAGAAAGGTGGAATGTTAATTAAACATGAAACGAGATGAAATTTTAAACGTCCTCCAGATGCTGCTTGAAGCACAACTTCCACCATCCCGGATAACTGGAGGGATGCTTGTTGGGGCTGATGGGAGCTGCTGTTCAGCAACCCCTGGAGGACCAAAGAAGAAGAAGAGTTTGGATTTGATATCCCGCTTTATCACTACCCGAAGAAGTCTCAAAGCGGCTAACAATCTCCTTTCCCCTCTTCCCCCGCAACAAACACTCTGTGAGGTGAGTGGGGCTGAGAGACTTCAGAGAAGTGTGACTAGCCCAAGGTCACCCAGCAGCTGCATGTGGAGGAGCGGGGAATCGAACCCGGTTCACCAGATTACAAGCCTACCGCTCCTAACCACTACACCACACTGTCCCCTGCGCCTGGTCCACTCCAACTGGCAGCAGCTCTCAGCCAAAGGTCTTTCCTATCGCCTGATGATTCCTCCTTTGAACCAGAGACTAACCTTCTGAAGGCAAGGTACGCATTCTCCACTACTTAGCCTACAGTCCTTTCCCCTTGAAGCTGTGCCAACAAAGGCAAAACCTTGACCAGAGAGAAGAGACGGTGGAAGAAGATTGGAAGAAGTTTAAAGAATATTTGAAAAAATATGTTAATATTTAAATCTGAGAATAGCTTTGGAAGTGGATATAGGCTGTAGGTTTAGACGTAGAAGACAGTGTATTTTAAAATAGTATTACTTGTAAGGGATAAAATGTGAAGATTTTTATGGTAAAAGTAAGTGTGGTTTTAAAAAATGATTAAAAATTATGATATATGTAAACTGCTAAAGATGAGGTAAAATGAAAATCAGATACGGGGGGCTTGGGGAAACTCACCTAACAATGTTTAGAAAAAATAAGGGTAAGACAAGAATTTGTTTGTATTGTTGGTTTTTCTGTTTGTGTTGTTAAGTTGTGTTATAAAATGAATAATTTTTTTGGGCGGGGAAACAAAAACAAAGGCAAAACCTTGTCAAGTGTGGTGTGTGTCTCAGAGACAGGAACCCTTCTGTGGCACGGGGAAGAGCTTGATGCTCTCTAGCCACGGAAGCACCTTTCAGGCTGAAGCACTGACCGTATTGAGTTTGATGCTGACAGTGGCTGCGCTCTCCCCTCCCATGACCATAATACGCGCTGGCATGTAGCTGGAATCCTCGCTGGTCACCAACAGAGACAACTGCCTGTGCAGGGAGAGAGCAGGGGTTTCAGAGCAAAAACCAGGCACCCTATTGGGAGCCTGGGACCTTTTCAAAGAAGGCAGGAGAGCACGTCTGCCTCGTTCCACGAGAACCAATATGTTCACACATTCCTGGCTCAACAAGAAACTTGGCTCTCTATGCCTGGCATCCAACCGTCTTATTTTATTTATCTGTGTTAAATTTTCTGTTTTACAATTTAGAATATTCATTTAGACAACCTTAAAATATCAGTGACTTCCCTTCTTCTCTTTCCGCAGTTCATTTTGCATAGCATAAATCCCTGCATATTCTTATATAAACTAAACCATTCAGCATTCCATTGTTACTTCCATCAAAACATATTTACACTCTTGAGTTTATCTTAATGCTGCCTCTGGCTCACAGCAAGAAATCTCAACTCATTTGAAAATGACTATGTTAAACTGTGGAAAGAGATTAAGAAAGAGCTGGAGATTTGGGAGAGAATGACGCTCTCCCTGCTTGGCAGAATCTCAGCTATCAAAATAAATCTATTGCCCAGGATGCTGTTTTTATTCCAATCAATACCAACTGTAAATAATGCAGGCTGCTTCAAGGAGTGGAAGAAGGATATTTCTAAATTCATCTGGCAGGGGGGAAAGCCAAGAATTAAACATAAAATTATGATAGACATATTTTGTTTGTTGTTTGTTTGTTTGTTTGTTTGTTTGTTTATTAGACTGATACGCCACAAGAGATCACAAGATCTCAGGGCAATTCGCAAAATACAGGGTTAAAGCAACAAATAAACACAACAACAACAACAACAATTTATTATTTATACCCCGCCCATCTGGCTGGGTTTCCCCAGCCACTCTGGGAGGCTTCCAACGGAATATTAAAAACAATACAGCGTCAGACATTAAAAAATTCCCTAAACAGGGCTGCCTTCAGTTGTCTTTTAAAAGTAAAATAATTGTTTACTGCCTTGACATCTGATGGGAGGGCGTTCCACAGGGAGGACGCCACTACCGAGAAGGCCCTCTGCCTGGTTCCCTGTATCTTCACTTCTCGCAGCAAGGGAACCGCCAGAAGGCCCTCAGCACTGGACCTCCCTGCTTGTGTATACTCACCGGATTACGACCCCACGATGCATATAGATGTTGATATGGTGGGAGGTGCTGTTGCCATTAGACTCCCAGTAGGTCTTGGGGTTCCCGTCTGTCAGCTTGCTGGCTTGCTGAGGGTTGGAGGAGACTTCCACCCTCTCCCAACACTTGTCGTCTTTGACCTCCATGCTGCAGCCTGAGCAAAGAAGAAATGACCCTGGGCTTGGTACAAACGGCCAGAGCCGTAAAAGGAATGAGACATTGACAGCTCTGAAGGCTAAAAGGACACTCACCTTGGCAAAGACTGTGCAAGAACACATCAAAGAACGGGATGTTGATAGGCTGGTGCGTCTGCCTGTGTTCTTCTATTTGACCCAGAACCACCTGTGCATTTGGGAGGGGAGAAAGAGGTAGAAGAGACAGCAAGAGACACCAACGTATCAAAGGGCAATAAGAAGGCAGAGCTAGCTTTATGGAAGCTCAAAGTGTGCAGGTACCAGTGGACCAGCATAAGAAGGATATTGAGAAGCTGGAAAGTGTGCAGAGGAAGGTGACCAAGATAACAAAGGGTTTGGACTCACAGCTGTCCATGGAGACGCAGGTCAATTCTGTATCCAGGGCAGCTGTCTACCAACTCCACCTGGTACGCAGGCTGAGACCCTACCTGCCCGCGGACTGTCTCGCCAGAGTGGTACATGCTCTAGTTATCTCCCGCTTGGACTACTGCAACGCGCTCTACGTGGGGCTACCTTTGAAGGTGACTCGGAAACTACAACTAATCCAGAATGCAGCAGCTAGACTGGTGACTGGGAGCGGCCGCCGAGACCACATAACACCGGTCTTGAAAGACCTACATTGGCTCCCAGTACGTTTCCGAGCACAATTCAAAGTGCTGGTGTTGACCTTTAAAGCCCTAAACGGCCTCGGCCCAGTATACCTGAAGGAGCGTCTCCACCCCCATTGTTCTGCCCGGACGCTGAGGTCCAGCGCCGAGGGCCTTCTGGCAGTTCCCTCATTGCGAGAAGCAAAGCTACAGGGAACCAGGCAGAGGGCCTTCTCAGTAGTGGTGCCCGCGCTGTGGAACGCCCTCCCATCAGATGTCAAAGCGATAAATAACTACCTGACATTCAGAAGACATCTGAAGGCAGCCCTGTTCAGGGAAGTTTTTAATATGTGATATTTTAGTGTATTTTTGGTTTCTATGGAAGCCGCCCAGAGTGGCTGGGGAAACCCAGCCAGATGGGCGGGGTACAAATAATAAATTATTATTATTATTATTATTATTATTATTATTATTATTTGGAAACCAAGCCTTATGAAGAATGGTCGAAGGAGCTGGGTATGTTTAACCTGGAAAAGTGACAGGAGATATGATAGCCATCTTCAAATATCTCAAGGGCTGTCACATGGAAGATGGAGCAAGCTTGTTTTCTCCTGCTTCGGAGGGTAGGATTCCAACCAGTGGCTTCAAGTCACAAGAAAGGAGATTCCGACCAAAGATCAGGAAGACCTTTCCGTCAGGAAGCGCTGTTCGACAGTGGAACAGATTCCCATAAGAGGTGGTGGACTCTCTTTCCTTGAGGGCTTTTAAGCAGAGGTTGGATGTGTTAGTATTTCGCGCCTCCGATGCTGCAGATGAGATTGGTGTGAATCACATGCCTGTCTGGGAAGAGCGTGGGAACGGAAGAGAGTCTTATCTCTTCCGCTGTATGTACTATTTGTACTGTACTTTTGCTTTTACTTCTGTCTGTTTCTTCTCTCGGAGCTGGAAAGAAAGGACGCCATGAATCCTATGTCTGTGCATAGTTTGTAAATAAATACGTAGATCAGCTCTACAATGTCTCACGCTTCTTGGTGTTATGCCAGAAGATTAGTGTGCCGATATCATTTGATATATGTTGCTGAAGCGCACTGGAGAAGAAGGAAAATGCCTTTTCCAGAGGCTGCGCATACCGAAGGATGCTCTGAGTTCGGGGGCTGCAAGGGCACCCCAGGGCGTTTTCCAACAGGGTGGTCGTAGGAAGTGATTCATGAATTAAATTATTATTATTATTATTATTATTATTATTACTATTATTAATAGAAACATAGAATTGTAGACTAGGAAGGTACCACAAGCATTATCTAGTCCAACCGCACGCAATGCAGGAATCTTTGGCCCAACGTGGGGCTCAAACCCACAACCCCGAGATCGAGAGTCTCATGCTCTACCAACTGAGCTGGAAGAAGCCTGGGACTCAGAAGCTGTTTGGGGAGGATGACTCCTTCCTTCCTTATGGAATTTTTATCCTGCCCCTCCTCCCAAAGAAGCCCAGGACAGCAATGTCCAAAAGCAAGGCAAAGCTGCCATGACATTTCTTCCTGTTTCCCTAATTCATTTGCCTGGTTTTCCTCCATACCAGAACAAGAGAGGGGGGCGCATCTTGCTGAAGGACCTCAAGAAGCCAGAGAAGGACGAGTGGGGCAACAGCCTGGATGCCCTGCAGTCTGCCCTGCAGCTGGAGAAAAGGGTGAACCAGGCCTTGCTGGATCTGCACAAGCTGGCAACAGAAAAGGGAGACCCTCATCTGTGTGACTTCCTGGAGTCTGAGTTCCTGGAGGAAGAGGTGAAGGTCATCAAGCAGCTGGGAGACCACCTCACGAACCTGAGGCGCCAGGGACTGCCCCAGAATGGCACAGGGGAGTACCTGTTTGACAAGCTCACTTTGAAGAGCAGCAGCTGAATCCTCTCATCGCTTTAGAAAAAGAGTAAAATTTGTGGTCAAGTTTGTGTAGAGAGCCAGTGTGGTGTAGTGGTTAAGAGTGGTGGACTCGTAATCTGGTGAACCGGGTTCGCGTCTCTGCTCCTCCACATGCAGCTGCTGGGTGTCCTTGGGTTAGTCACACTTCTCTGAAGTCTCTCAGCCCCACTCACCCCACAGAGTGTTTGTTGTGGGGGAGGAAAGGAAAGGAGATTGTTAGCCGCTTTGAGACTCCTTCGGGTAGTGATAAAGCGGAATATCAAATCCAAACTCTTCTTCTTCTTCTTCTCCTCCATGCAATGCAGCCAATGCTCAACGCAGCACTGAATCTGTAAGCGACTCTGCTCCACCTGGCCTGCACTCCCAAGCTAGATTCCCCCACAAAAGGTACCGGGATTTACCTGGATGCAGCCAGCCAGGATGCTGGCAGTCATCTTCTTATACAGGCCGGCGTACTTCTCGCACTTGCTCACGAGGTCCCTCAGTTCCGTCACCCGTGGGAGACTGGAGCCATGCTTCTCCACAACTTTGGCCAAGGCTTCCTCGGTACGCAGGCAGCACATGGAAACAGCACAGTCTCTGTCCAGGGTTGCCAAGTGATGAAGGAACTCAATGGACTCCTGGACAACCTGCAGGCAAAGGGAAGAATATAAACGCACATCAGGAACTGATAACACTATTTAAAAAAAAAAAATAAACACAACAACAAGTAAGTAGTTTGCATAAAAATGCTGAGATCAACTTTTTCTTTAAAAAATCACCATTCACAAAAAAGCGTAGGAAAAGAAGGCACTAAGTGGACTTTTTACTTTTAGTGGGAAAGTTACGTTTAAATAATCATCATCTGTTCTACAAATTCCATAGAACATCTGCAACGTATGAAACGGGATCACAGAACATACTTCAATAGTTCTTCCTCCCAGCTCCCTCCCCACCGATTCTTCCTCCCTACCTCTTGATCATTTAGGTGAGCACTCATGGAAGACAAGCAAGACTCAATGCACTTATGCCAGGGCACCGAGTCTTCCCAGGAACTGTCCAGGAACTTGTTCAAAAGCCTGGAGCAAAGAAGAAAGAAGAGGAGGAGGAGGGAAAGCTCTGAAAAGAGACACGTTAAAAGCAACAACTGAGCTCCTCCAAAGTGATCGCTCCAGACCCTGCCAACACAAGACCCTGCCAACAATAATCTTGCGATGCAACAGCTAACTGCCTTGCAACCACCCAAAAGCATTCTCTACTTTCTTTCATGCTTCTGGTTTCTTTATATTATTAATCTCCTTCATATTATTATTGACATGCACAGCTTGGCACTCTCTCTGGAGTTCTAGTTTGGGATAAGGAATGTGCATCACGGCACATTTCCCACGGTTGAGAAAGTGTCGGGTTTTTAAAAGCAGTCAACGTGCTTTGTTGATTTATCCTGATGTCTGCATTCCCCATTGAAATAACGTTCAGTGCCTATAAAAGTCACAAAATGATTGGAGAGCTCGACTAAACATTCTGATTGGTTGGACTTTTGTTGTTGTTTGTTTGCCTGTTTCCAAATGGTTGCGAAGGACTTGTACACCTCTCATCCATTTCCACAAAGTCTGTGTTTGCTTTTGCAAAGTTCCGAACTTGCCCCATTTACAAGGTGAGAGAGTTATGATGGGCTCCCAGCCTTTGGGGTGAGTGCAACTCTCTTGGGTCAACATGGCAAGCTGCCATCAAACTACGTGAGCCATACCTTAATGTTCCCAGCAGTACGTCCCTCTCAGATCCCAGTGACACCAAGTCTTTGAGCAGAAGCACGTCTGCCAGAAGCTCACAGCTGTTTCCCAGGGAGAAGGCACCCTGGCCATAAATGCAGACCTCCAGAGCCATCACCATCTCCTTGCAAACGCTGCTGGTGTGCAGACTGCTCAGCAGTTTGGGAACATCAATGTCCTTCAGGCCAAAGGAGGCTGCAGAGACTGGTTGGTTGGGGAGGGAAGACATTTTGAAGGGCAGAGCTTAGAACTTTGCTCTTGGATAACAACAACAATAACAATTTTATTCATACCCTGCCCATCTGGCTGGGTTTCCCCAGCCACTCTGGGCAGCTTACAGCATAACTAAAACCATAATAAAAACACCAACCGTAAATATTTGAGTAAATATTTGAACTATCTGAAAAGCAATTGTAATAAACAGATTACGTTAGTAGGACTGCCCTGGCCCTGGTGGAGGATAACCTGACTTCCTTAGGGCCTGGGACTTCTAAACTATTATTATTCATGGACCTTAAGGTCCTCTGCAGGGCATACCAGGAGAGGCGGTCCCGTAAATACGAGGGCCCTAAGCCACAAATAACATTACTGAAAAATGAAAATTTAAGGCAGCGCGGTAGCATCCGTGTGTGACAAATTGAAGTCAAAAGGAAGAAATGTCCTGTGCCACAGAGAGGAGAGGCAGCGCCCTCTTGGCCCAGACGTCTTCAGGCCCACAAGGAAGGAGAGCACAGAGATACTGCTGCTAATGGAGAGCGTTCACCCTCCAGCCAAGATCCATCCTCAAAGCCTCAGCCACGTCATACCTGCATTCTCCTGGCTCAGGGGCAGCTTACGTCCAGCCAAGCGGCTAAGCACTATCCGAGCCAGCCTCTCGTTGGAGCTCTGGCCGGCTTGGCAGCAGCTCTGCAGGACTGCATGGAGGTCACAGTTTTCCAGCTGCTCCGCCAGACCCTTGTGGTAGTCGATCAGTCGGTTGAGCACCAGAAGCCCATTCCGAACTGCTGCCGAGGCCCTGGGGGAAGAAGGCAAAGGGAACCTGCATTGAGAGGCTGCGGGAAAGAAGTGGGGTCTCTCCTTCTCTAGAGGGTCTTCAGCAGAGGCTGCACAGCCGCTTCTCGGGGTGTCATAGTGGGTTTGCTGCGTCAGCAGAGGATTGGGCTAAATTACCTTCAAAAGGTCCCTTTCAAGTCTATAATTCCATGAGGCAGACTAGAACTCAGGCTCATACAGGATTTTCCAGCCCCGGAAAGCTAGGAGCCTCATATTCAAGGAAGAGGAAGTGAACCTTCCCTCCAAAATCTCAATAGAAACGAAAGATCCCCTTGGTCTGGGCTCTCCTTAGCCTCAGAGTAAAGATAAATACCATACTTTCCCATGTATAAGACGCCCCCATGTATAAGAAGCCCCCTATTTTGGGAGACTCAAATTTAAGAAAATGGGGGGAGATGGCTTTTTTGCAGAGGATTGCGCAGGGTTGTTTAGCTTGTTTTATGGGGGATTGCCGAAAATCACCCGCTTGCGTCCAAAAATCCGCCTCTCATCTGTCCCCTCACTGGCAGAAGCTGTCAATCGCCCCCTCAATTGCCGCAGTGTCAGCCAATCAACAACAGCCATTGAGGCAGCAACCAATAACACACTCAATAGCCGATGACAGCCAAGGCAGCAACCAATCAAACGTCCACCCTATGCACTATCCATGTATAAGACGACCCCCATTTTAGCATAATTTTAAAAGAAAACAATCTAGTCTTATACACAGAAAAGTATGGTATTCATACAATTTTTACTGAAGTTTTAAAATTATATCTCCTCTCTCTTCCCTTTCTCATTTTCCTTCTATAAATTTCCCTCCTCCTTATAATTTGAAAGCGTCAGATACGAACGCTCCTTTGCCTCGCCCAGATTCCCCCTTGAACCTCACCCAGGTGTGTTCAGCATCTTCTCGATGGCAGCAGGGACGGCGCAGAGCAAATTGCCAGGGACTTTGCTGGAAGCAGGACCGACGCCAGTGAAGATCTCTTGCATTGCCCGGGCATCTGAGGGTTTCAGAGGGTAGTGCTTCTCACAGCCTCCTGGTAGCTCACAGTTCCCAGCTCCCAACAGTATCTTCAACGCCTGGGGGACAAAGACAGCGGCTGAATGGCAAGGAATAAAGCAGAGAGAGGAATGGCGAACTGTAAATTCAGTAGACCAGTGGTTTCCAATTAGCGATCTCGTTTTTCAAAAAGTCATGGTGTCAGAGCTGGCTCCAGGTCCCAGCTCACAGAGGACCAACGCTAGCCGGCAGTAATGTGCAAAAGTCTTTATTGAAGTACAGTTTCCATTTTCAAGCCGGAGCGCCCCAGCTCTACGTCTAGGGGTTAGATCGGCGAAGCTCCATCTGAGTCTCCGCCCCCTGTACACCAGTTTAAGATTCTAGCCTTACTCCACCTCTTACGGCTCTCCTTTCTCCTCTGGGTCCTGCTACCCCCCGGGGTCCCTTCCTTCCTGGATTCTTCTGACGCTGACCCTCCTGACTCCTCCCCCGGGGGTCGGCGGGCTTTGGGACCTGGCTCCCTATCCGGGCTGCCAACTGCGCCGCCCTCCTGTACATTTGAACTTGGCGCGCGCCCCCAGCCTTCAACCTTCCTCTCGACCGTTTCCTCGCTCCCCGATGGAGGCGTGGCCAATCCTGACTCATGTCCTCCCACTGGCAGTGCGCCGCCTGATCCCGATGCCTGGGACTCCTCCCCCCGACTGCACGCGGGTGTGGACGCTGGTCCTGATTTCCAACTGCTGCTCTCTGAGTCCCCTCTGGCCCCTTCTTCCTGGGGTGTCCCCCTCGGCACCCCCTTGCTCTGACCAAGGGAGCCCCTTTCTGTGAATCTTCCGATTCGCTGGAAAGACTCAGAGACCTCGGACCGCTGTCATCGCTAACATTTCCTTCGGACTCCTCCCCCTCGCTCTCTATTTCCTCCCTTTCCTGTGCCTCTGCTCCTGAACCCCTGACACATGGATTTCCTCCCCCCCACACACACACATTTTTGAAACCGTTGATATCTCTGTGGCTGGTTGTGTTATGTGAATGGTGCCATGATACCCTCCAAAACATGTCCCAGCGCAAAATGGGACACACAACTTCTGGGCTGCGCTCCCACCCGAGTCACATGATGTGCATGGCGGCCAGAAATGGAAAATGCTGGGCAGTTGAAGGGTACGTGCTGCAGACCAGCAACTGGAAACCACTGCAATGCACATGCATGAAATTACATTGCACCCAAACCATACAGCATACGACAGGAAACGTACCGCTAAGCCAGCCTGCTGCACTGATGCAGACATGGAGTGCTTCTGCATGCATTGTAGCATGGAGCGCAGCCCCCCTCCGAGGGCAAAGAGGACCCGCCAGTCATACTTGGCCATGAACCGGGACAGCATCTGTAGTGCCAACACCATCACCAGCTTCTCCTCCACTCGATGACTCAGCAGCTCCACCAGCAACCTCCCCATTTTCTCCCTGTGGGCAGGAGAAGGGGCAAGTCATCGCAGGAGCCTGGCCCCTCAACAGACGGCTGGAGACCAGGCCCCAAGCACACAGAACCAGGCAAGGCAAATACTTCTTGCTACTGAACTGAAAATAACTTGTCAATAAATTGGTGATGCCAACTCTGGGAGGGAGAGGTGCTGTCCAGGTGGTACTGACCCATGACAGGGCCTTTTCAGTGGTGGTTCCCCAGTTGCGGAATCCCCCTCCTAGTGAGGTGTTCCTATCTCCGTCATTATTTCAGGAGGAATTTATATCAAACCATATTATCCACGGTAATGTTTACACTACACATGAGAAAATCCTGCCTTTGTTTCCATCTGCTTACAATGGTCTCCTAAATTCGGGGGCCACCAGGTGGCGCGTTGGAAGATGGCCGACAATAACATCTCTCTGACCCATACGAGGTACTAAGGGGCTGCTATGGGAAGTATGCAGCCTTCCTAATCCCCCCCTGGATGTGGGGGGGCACTGTCCTGCCAGCGGTGTTCACAATGCACCCCCTGATACGAGAGATGGGGGTGCCGAACACTTGGCACAGGCCCTCGGTGAAGTCAGATCTTCCTGACGCCGATTCCAATCAGCGCGTGCTGCTTGCTTCAGCTCGGAAATATAATTGGAAACATACGATTGGAAATGAAGCTGAAAGCACATACATCAAGTAAACCTCGACTGATAAGACTGCTGATTAATGGATCTCTGCGACCAGGAGTGACGGACGGATAAGTAAATCTTCTGATGAATTACCACAAGGAGACTGTATGTTTGGAACGAAGGGGGGGTGGAGGAAAAAACTCTTTTTTTCTTTGCACGATGTGATATTAATAACCCTTCACCCCGAATAGAAACAAGATCGTCGCGTTTTTATGAATCATAGGCAGGATTTTAAGAACTATGTGGGATGGATTACAGCAGGAGAGAAGACTGGTGAACGGTGAGAAAAGAGGAAAAATTTTATGACGCAGTTAAAAAATGGCGTCTCGCCAAGACAGGCTTGCCGGAGAAAGGAGGACAGGGGGAGGAGAATCAGGATTGTTCGAATGAGAAGGAATGTTGGAATGCAAGTTTGACCTGACAGAGCCCCCAGACTCATTTGATTTATTTGGTAAGCCTGAGAAAAATAAAGGACAGACCGGAGATTAATTTTGTTTATGGAAGCGTTGTACAGAGGCTGTCCCTGACCGATATGATTTTTGGAAGAGTACAAAATCCACATAGAATGCCAGCTTTCAACCTGCTTGTGAAAATCATCAGAGATCGCAAAGAAAGGAAGTAATAAAGGACTATCCGGATCAAACTGGACAGAACTGTCTAATTAAAGCAGTAAGATAAGTGAAGCTGTTTTGGACTCGTGCGGAGCTTGATGTATGGGTACCCCCAACAAAATTTAAAATTTGGCTGTATAATTTGGAACTAATGTGATATGGATAATGTGATGTGATTGGCCTGTTAATAAAAATTATTTTAAAAAAATATATACAATGGTCTCCTAAATTCAGGTAGGTAGCCGTGTTGGTCTGACGCAGTCGAAATAAATAAAAAATATGTATCTGAAGAAGTGTGCATGCACACGAAAGCTTGTACCCAGAACAAACTTAGTTGGTCTCTAAGGTGCTACTGGACAATTTTTTAATTTATTTTGAATGGTCTCCTAAGTAACTTATAAATTTTTCCTATTCTTTCATAAAGATTTTGTCCTCTTGGTTTCTCAGTTTTCCAGTCAGTTTTGCCATCTTGGTATAATCCATCAGCCTGGTTTGCCATTCTTCTCCGGTAGGGCCTATATATCTGAGTTTCTAACCCTGCTGGGGTGGGGTGTCAAATGTTACTGAGGACCATCAAAAACAGGCCTTGACCCTGGTGTAGATGTTACTGAGCTAGTATGCCACAACAGCAGCAAGAATTCTCATTGCAAAGTATTGGAAGACACAAGATCTACCCACCTTGGAAGAATGGCAGATGAAGGTGATGGACTATATGGAATTGGCGGAAATGACTGGCAGAATCCGAGACCAGGGAGAAGAGTCGATGGAAGAAGATTGGAAAAGTTTAAAGACTATTTACAGAAATATTGCAAAATTAATGAATGTTAGAATGATGTTGGATAGAAACTAAGTGGTCTTTAGCTGAAATGTTATAAGGGAATATGAAAAAATGGTTTATTAATAGGTTAAAATCTAAAACTACAATATTTTATGATTAATGATTAGGATACATAAAGAGGGGAGGATTTGTTGAACTAATAATTGAATTGGAATACAAAAAGGGAGGTGTGAGGAGGTCCTGAAATAAGCAAATGAAGGATAAGTAATGGAAGGAAGGAATTGTTTTTAACTATTTTTACTTTGTATTTTTTCTTTTTTCTTTTTTCTTCTTTTTGTCTTGTAATATTCTGAAAATCTTAATAAATATTTTATAAAAATAAAAAAAAGATGTTACTGAGCTAGATGGAAGAATGTCCTGAATCAGCTTCCTTCCTATGCCCAGAGCCTGTGGTAAGCAGTGGATATTAAAAAAGAAAGAACGAGGAGACCAGAACTGACCTTCTGGAGAGCTCACACTCCATCCTGACGACATGCCTCTCTTGCCTCTCTCGCTCAAGCTCCTCCTCCAAGATGCTGATGGTGAATCTGAGACCAGCCATCTGCTGTTCAGCGTCACAGCTGGGCTTCTGGATCATCTCCAAGGCATCGGAGAGCTGCTCGATGGTGCTCTTCTTCCCGACCAGCTTCACACTGCAGAAAGCTGATCAACAGATCTATCAGCACAACGGTCCTTCAGTCAGTTTCATCTCAGCATCCTCGCACCTGCTTGCTCCTCCTTGTCACCCACAGCACACAAAACCTTTTTGTCCCTAGAGGCTTTCCCTAGCATTCCCTTTTTCCTGACAAGAAGCTACCCAGGCTATTATCAAACCAGAAACTTGATCATGTTCTCGGGGTTGTGGGTTCAAGCCCCATGTTGGGCAAATGAGTCTTGTACACCGCCTTCCCACTGGTTCACAGACACACAGATAAGAAAGACCGAGCTAGACCTGACAAGAAACACAAGGTTGCCGCTGCGGGAAAAAGTAGGCCTCTCTCCAAAAGCCTGATAAAAAATTTCCCTTGTGCTGCTATGTTCTGCTTTTCTGCCCTCCTCAGCCAATGAATGGGGGAAATACAAAATGTTGTGAAGGGACAATCTCAACTACACAAACTTTATAGAGGGCGAGGAGGACTCGATACAAGTCTCTCATTTTAGGTGGCTCCTGTTGTTACATCTACTTTAGTCCAAGGTGAAGTCTCTTGAACACAAAATTAAGTCCCAGTGTCTGCCAGTTACTTACCTTTGGTTTTCTCATCCAGCATGTCTGGGTAAGAAAGTCCTTCCATTCTGAGGAGCTCATGAACCAGCTGGGTGTCTGTTTTCTCTTCCGGGGATGGAGCTGGAGAAGGCGCTTCGGTAGACAGTGAGTCCTCCTCTGTCTTTTCGGGCGCTGTGGCTTTGGAAAGGCTGCCACACTTCGCAAGGGCCAGGTCCACCTTTTGTCCACCTGTCCCTCCTTCGCTGGAGGAATACTTGAGATAGACGTGGGAGCTGTGCAGATCACTTTGGGCGTTGCCCTGGCAGCGCCTGCTCAGGAACTGCAGCACTTTCTGAGCTAGCTCTACGGAGACAGACAGCGGAATCAGGCCTTCTTCGTCTAGCTCTGGCAGCTTGAAATACAGAGAGAAAGATTTGATGTACAGAGACCCCTTCCAGTTTTTTGCAACTAGAATCCTGGCGGCAGCTGTCGTGTATAAGAATTCTTTTTATTATTATTGAGGATGTCTTTTGTCAATACACCTAGAAGAAATGCTTTTCCTTTCCTGCCCCAATCTGACCACAGCGATCCATGTGACGGTCACCTCCAGGCTTGACTACTGTAATTCGCTCTACGTGGGGCTGCCCTTGAAACTGTCCCACAAACTCCAGCAGGTGCAGAATGCTGCAGCGAGACTCCTGACGGGGTCCCTGCAATGGGAGCATATTCACCCAGTGCTTTACCAGTTGCACTGGCTCCCAGTGGAGTATAGGCTCAGGTTCAAGGTGCTGGTTTTGACCTTTAAAGCCCTTTGTGGCTTAGGGCCCTCGTATTTATGGGACCGCCTCTCCTGGTATGCCCCACAGAGGACCTTAAGGTCCATGAATAACCATAGTTTAGAGGTCCCAGGCCCTAAGGAAGTCAGACTATCCTTCACCAGTGCCAGGGCCTTTTCAGTGATGGCTCCGACCTGGTGGAATGCTCTGTCCCATGAGACTAGGGCCCTTCAGGATTTAACCTCCTTCTGTCGGGCCTGTAAGAACGAGCTATTCCGCCTGGCCTTTAATTTGAATTCAGCCTGATCTTTTATTTCCCTTCTCTTCCCTTCCCCTCCCCTTTTATGAAGATCACCCACTCTGAGACCCCACAGCTAATTCTCCCCTGACCTCCTCGCTGGCCCAAGTAGGACTAATTCAGCCAGCTAGCCCTGGTGACTATCTAATGCTTATTAGATGGATTTCCCCTAAACTGATTTCTGAACTTTGAATTTTATTATTATTCATGTTTTTGTACTGTATTTTAGGTTGCTTTTACAATTAAGTGTTTAAAATTTGTTGTTAGCTGCCCTGAGCCCGGTTTTTTGAACTGGGAAGGGCGGGGTATAAATAAAAATTTATTATTATATTATTTTGGTCTTTTCTCGAATGTTGTTTTAAACATCTTTTTTAATTCTTCATGAATACCACCCCAGAACTTTTTGATTTTCTCACATCCCCACCATACATGATACATTGTTCCTTCTGACATCTTACATCTCCAGACTCAGAACCTTCTCATTCTGGAACAGGGAGTACCAACAGAAACAAGAGAGGCACCGGCTCATTCCTAACTTAAATGAATCTCCCACTACTGGTTCTTCCCAGCTCTTTACCTTCTCGTTCTGCTGGATGAGCTGGACCACTTCCTGCTGCTCCTGCTGTTCTAGCTTCTTAACGAAGAAGAGGAGCTCCCACCATTCAGCCCGGCTCAGAGTCTCAGACTTCTCCTTCATATGATCTGTCAGGTATGGCGCCAAGTACAGGCCCCGAAGCGGTTTACGGTACGTTGCCTGGTTAGCTTGCAGGTGAGCACAAAATAACAGAGGGGTGTTTTATGGCTTCTCAAGAGAGCGCCGTTTTAAATGCTGTCCTCAAAGCAAAAATCCCCTTGCAGAGCAACCTGGTCCAGGTGGAAGAAGCAGCCATTTTTTCCCAACCCCACAAAGCAACTTTAACCTCTGACACTATAACACACTCCTACAGATGCGCCTACACGGAAGTAGGTCCTGCTGAGTTAAATGAATTCAATGAATTCAAAGCCAGCGAAATAATCTCTGATGTCATACGCAGGAAGACACATGGGAAGCTGCTTTGTAACAAGCCAGGCCATTGGTTCATCTTCCTCAGCATTCCTGACACTTGACTGACAGAGCTGCTCCAGGATGGCCGAGGAATGGGAAAATCCAAGAAGGCGGGTGGGAAGCCTTTTGCCTTTGTTTTTTTAATTCCTGTTATTTTTTACCTATGTCATTTTAAACTGTGATATTAATGCTGTATTCTTAGTTTTAGATTTTTACTTATGTGGAAACTGTTTTCCATTTGGTTCTTTCTTTTTTTTTGATGTGGTTTATTTATTGTTTATGACTTTCATAAATCTTGCCATGTTGTAAGCCGCCTTGAGCATTGTTTTTAACTATGGAAAGGCAGCATACAAATAAAATGATGATGATGATCGCCTACTAGCTGACCCTTTTAACTGGAAATGCCAGGGACTGAACCTGGAGCCGGCGCTGTCAGGCAAGGAAAGCCGAGAGGGAAGATTTAACTCTTTATTGTCAAAAGTACACCTACAAGTTAGGAAAAGGCATGTGAATCAGTCCAACGCCTCTCAGCTGCTCCTAGATGTGCAGCCAATGAGGCAGTTGCCGCGAGAGAGAAGCACCACCCCTCAACCTCCACTTATGTATCTTCCCCACCCGAGTTGCACACAAAGAAGCAGAGACTACACCTGTGTAGTCTGCTCCTCCCATTTCAACCCTCTCCTGGTCCAGGGAGACAGTGGAGCAGGAGAGGTGGGGGCCGCAGGAGGAGGTGTGGAAGCCCTCTATACCAGCCAGACCTCTCCCTCCCTCCTCTGGCATCGATTCTTCACTCTCCAGTCCTCCAGCTTCTCCTGCCTCTGCCTTTCACCTCCTGGTTGTTACAGGCTAAGCCAGATCACTGATCCCTTCTCCCTAAGTCAGCCTCCAACCTCGCTTCTCAGCATCCAGCCAGTTCCTGACAGCAAAGCATGTGCTCTTATTGCTGAGCTTTAATAATGGAGAAGGGGAGAGGGGAATATCCTTTCAACAGTCCATTTCACCTATTCAGGACTCAAGCGAGCCAGGGAAAGAACGGACTGAAGCCAGCCTACAGAGAAAGTGTAAGCAGCAAGAACACAGCTCAAAGACAGAGATTAGAACCATGAATGATCAGCTGAAAAATAAGCCATTTGAGGCTTAGGGCCCTCTTATTTATGGGACCACCTCTCCTGGTATGCCCCACAGAGGAGCTTAAGGTCCATGAATAACCATAGTTTACAGGTCCCGGGCCCTAAGGAAGTCAGACTATCCGCCACCAGGACCAGGGTCTTTTCAGTGATGGCTCTGACCTGGTGGAATGCTCTGTCCCAGGAGACTAGGGCCCTTCAGGATTTAACCTCCTTCCATCGGGCCTGTAAGACAGAGCTATTCCGCCTGGCTTTCAATATGAACTTAGCCTGATCTTTTATTCCCCTTCCTTCCCTTCCCTCCCCTTCCCCTTTTTATAAAGATTACCCACTCTGGGATCCCACAGCTAATTCTCCCCTGGCCTCCTCGCTGGCCCAAGTAGGACTAATTCAGCCAGCTAGCCCTGGTGATTATCTAATTATGCATATTAGATGGATTTCCCCTAAACTGATTTCTGAACTTTGAATTTTATTGTTATTCATGTTTTTATACTGTATTTTATGCTGCTTTTACAACTAAGTTTTTAAAATTTGTTGTTAGCCGCCCTGAGCCTGGTTTTTGAACAGGGATATAAATAAAAATTTATTATTATTATTTATTATAACATCCCAGCACTGCCTTACCTGTGTCCCGTCTCAAAGAAGCTGTAAGGCTGGTTAACTTTTCTTGGGCTTTCTCATCTGCATGCCCCGAGGAACCAATGATCTCAACCATGTGCCAATGCACCCAGTATGTGCGGCCCAGAGACTCCCAGTAAACCTGGAAACAAACAGGGGCCAACATAAAAAAAAAGAAGACTCAGCCTGCTTGTCTTGCAAGCAATTTGACCTTGCCCCTTATACCATTCAGCAGCCATAATGATTTATTATTTATATGCCACCCATCTGAAAGGGTTGCCCGAGCCACTCTGGGCGGCTTACAACAAATTTTAAAACCACAGTGAAACATCACACATTAAAAACTTCCTGATACAGGTCTGTTTTCAGATGTCTTCTGAAATAGTCAGCTTATTTCCTTGACATCTGACGGGAGGGCATTCCACAGGGTGGGCACCACCACCAAGAAGGCCCTCTGCCTGGTTCCCTGTAACCTCACGTCTCACAATGAAGGAACTGCCAGAAGGCCCTTAGAGCTGGACCTCAGTGTTGAACAACAGAGAGGCTCCCCAGTCAGACCAAAACCCTCCTCTTGACACAGTGGTGATTCTGCTGCTCATGCCCCCAAGGCCAGAATAGCTTCAGAAACCCAACGAGACCCCCAAACATCAAAATTCCATAGCTTACGGCAGTGGTTCTCAACCTGTGGGTCCCCAGATGTTGTTGGACTACAACTCCCATCATCCCTGAGCTCTGGCCTTGCTAGTTCAACAGTTGTAGTTCAACAACATCTGGGGACCCACAGGTTGAGAAAGGCTGGGTCCCAGAAGCCAGGATGTTCCCCTCTCCCAGCTTTGCCCCCAAACTCAGCAATACCTGGATGGGTGGCGTGCCGTCATTGCTCTGGAGGAACTCGCCTTCGTCTCCCGCACAGACTTTCTCATAGTCTTCCAACATGCGCACGCACATGCCCCGCACCAGCTTCTCCTGCACGTACTCCACATAGCTGTTGCGACTGGGGAAGGCTGAGCGCAGTTTGAAAGTGCTGGTCTCCTTCTGGGGGACCTGAGTGGCTGGCGGGACGGTGGCGCCACTGGGAGCCTGGGACTGGAAGATAGACTGAGCTGCCCAGGGCGGCTTCCTGCTGAGAGTCCGGAGCTGCCAACCGCGATCCCAGCCCATGGCCTGCACCAGCTCTGAAATAAGGCTGGCCATGGCCATGCTGAAGTCAAACTCACGCTGCAGCCTTTTGCTGTCCCCAGAGCATGCACTGAAAGGCTCAGAGGTTGCATGCTCCCCTCCCAGGTCTGTGGCGCTATGGCGTTTGTCCACGAGGGAGGTGGCACATAGGTAGCGCTTCACCAGAGAAAACAGCAGCTTCCCTGGAATCTGGAGCAGGGTAGAAAATGAAAAACTATGAAGAAATAGCCATGTAAACTTGATTCACATCCATTATTTAAAGCGGCCTTTTCTTCCTTGCTGATTGAGACCATTATTTAAAGTGCCTCAATTTAAATCAGCCTTTCCCATACTATTTTGGACTTTTAACTCTCATCAGCCCTGACCACTGGCTGTGACGGCTCGGAACTTCAGTCCAAAACATATTCAGGGTTGGTGATGCTTTTTGCAAGGCTGATTTTGTGAGGCACCTTGAACGTGCAAATAGAGAGGATATAAATAAAGTAATGGGGGGATCTCCGTGCACTTGTCCCCCTGCCTTCAATAAATAAACTAATAATAATAATAATAATAATAATAATAATAATAATAATTTATACCCCGCCCACCTGGCTGGGTTTCCCCAGCCACTCTGGGCGGCTTTCAAGAGAATATTAAAATACAATAGTCGGTTAAACATTAAAAGCTTCCCTAAACAGGGCTGCCTTCAGATGTCTTCTAAAAGTTTGGTAGTTATTTTTCTCTTTGACATCTGGTGGGAGGGCATTCCACAGGGCGGGTGCCACTACAGAGAAGGCCCTCTGCCTGGTTCCCTGTAACTTGGCTTCTTGCAGCGAGGGAACCGCCAGAAGGCCCTTGGCGCTGGACCTCTCTCCAGGTATTTTTTTGCTCTATATTTTTTGCTCTATAAGACTCACTTTTTCCCTCCTAAAAAGTAAGGGGAAATGTGTGTGCGTCTTATGGAGCGAATGCAGGCTGCGCAGCTATCCCAGAAGCCAGAACAGCAAGAGGGATTGCTGCTTTCACTGCACAGCGATCCCTCTTGCTGTGTTGGCTTCTGGGATTCAGAATATTTTTTTTCTTGTTTTCCTCCTCCAAAAACTAGGTGCGTCTTGTGGTCTGGTGCGTCTTATAGAGCGAAAAATACGGTACTTCACAATTACCTCGCCCACACACCCCTCGAATATACCCGCAGACCTGTACTGGAAGCAGTCCCATCTAGGTCAGTTAATACCTGTGGAAGGGGGATCCTCTCAAAGGACATGCAGTGCTCTTCTGAGGATGTTGTTTCTGCAAACAGCTCAAGGAGGGTGTAGCGGCTGTCGAAGTCCATGTGTTGTTCAATGCCATCCTGCCGGCTCAGGGACAAGAGGACATAGGCTCGGCTTCCTGAAACCAGAGATAACTAATATGGCGCTTCCTTTGCATATGTACTAAAGCATCTTCTTGCTCACAGAACTCCCGTCTCCACAGTAAGATGGGAATCGGTTCTTTCACAGAGACATAAGCAATAGAACATGTAAAGGAAAAGGGACCCCTGACCATTAGGTCCAGTTGTGGGCGACTCTGGTGTTGCGGCGCTCATCTCGCTTTATTGGCCGAGGGAGCCGGCATACAGCTTCCAGGTCATGTGGCCAGCATGACTAAGCCACTTCTGGTGAACCAGAGCAGCGCACGGAAACGCCATTTACCTTCCCGCCAGAGCGGTACCTATTTATCTACTTGCACTTTGACGTGCTTTCGAACGGCTAGGTTGGCCCCGTCGCGGGGATTCAAACCGCCAACCTTCTGATCAGCAAGTCCTAGGCTCTGTGGTTTAACCCACAGCGCCACCCACGTCCCAATAGAACACATAAAATGAGGCAATTCCAGGTAGCAGCTTACAGAATGAGGCTCGGGGGATTAATTCTTGTCAAAAAACTAAGTCAGAAAGCTACGAGGAAGCAGTTAATGGCCTGGTTCACACCTTACGCTAAGCCAAAGTATGGCTTAGTGGGACTGGCAAAATGCTTCTGCCCACACAGGGCAGCTCTTCATGCTCGAGGCAGAAATGTGCATACTAGGTTCCAGGCAAGAAAATGTCTGGGGTATCCCTTTTTGCTACTGTGAGGTGCATTCATCAAATGCAAACAGACTCCTCATCATTTAAAATAAAGTCAGTGCCCTAATATGGCTTTGGGAATCATAACTGACAGTCACCCTATAATGTTTTGGTAATTCAACCATTTATTAGAAGTATTAACCAAGGCCGAACAAGAAATAATTTTCATAGGAGATTAAGGGGGCGGGATAGTGTCTGTTTACAGTGGTAGGGGGATGAGGATAGCATTGGCTAGGCAGTGTCATTTTATGCAACTTACAAAAGAACATGTCTTAAGATACTTTAGAAGCCTTAGGTCCAAACCAGACTTGTCGCATCACCCAGTGAGGTTGATAATTAATGGGATCAGAGTAAGCAGGGAGGGAATTCAACCCTTTTGGCTCCTTCTGCGGACTGAGGAATATTCCTCCTCTAAAATTAGTATTTCCATTAGGAGAAACCTTTCCCCCATCCCACCCTTGACACCAATAAGAGTCTGCAAACACCAGCTTGAGAGGAGGACTTTCCTTCAGGACTGCTGCACAGGAGGAAAGGATTAAATACCCATTCATGCTTGCTGCAATCTTGATAATTATCAGTACACACATACCACCTGATGCTAGTTGCATTTTTAAAAACCCTGCACATTAAATACAAAGGGCTAGTGTGGTCCGTAGACAGGAATTGCATCATAGCTGGAGTTAGTCCCTAAAAAAGAACAAATCTTCTGAGTCTCACCTGCATCGTGCGAAGCCAGAGCCCTCAGGATCTTGCCTGCGCTGCGACGGATCTGCTCCTCCTCGTTACACAGCATCTTCATCAGCAGACTGAGGGCACCCGTTTCCTTGAAGACCCCCATCAATGAGCCAATACTGGCATAAGCACTGAGCACTTGAATGGTGTTCAGGATGGAGGACTGAGGGACTGTGGGGCTGGCCATTTGCCAAGCAGCCCGCTGCACTAAGTTCCTGACATCGGCCTTCATCTCCAAAAGAGATGCTTCATCCAACGTGACATCGGGAGGGAATATTCTGCGTGAACTCTCTTCCTTGGGTGTCCTCTTGCCTAAGAGTGTTGGGCAGTTGGCATAGGCATCATCTGCCGACATCCACATCAGGAAATTCTCCATGCTGCTCTCTGCTGAACAGGTGCCAGGCCTACTTCCTGTACCATTTTCCAGGTTCCAGCGAATCAGGTATTCAATGTGCCCATCGTGACCACGGCGCTGCCGGATTAACTCCTCAGGATAGGTCTGAATCTTGGGCCCGAGATGCACTAACACATTCCCATTCTGCCTCTCAATCACCATGACAGGGAAAGCACCTGCCAGTACAGAGAGAAGCAGGTCACGTCCTCTGGAACCACTATAGAAACGTTGAGTGAGATAGCCCAAAATACAGGAACATTGCTTTGAGACACAACTACGGCATGTTCAGTGTGCTGTTAGAAAATACTACCCCAGGAAGATGACACATTCCTCAAACTTGGCAAATAGCTGAGATCCTTGTTGGAGTTACCTCTCTTCTACTGGATCTCAGAATACTAAAACTCTGGACCATGCAATGAAGCGGAACATGGGAAGATTCAAGGACAGACAAAAGAAAAGAACTTCTTCACACAGTGCATATTTTAATTTGTCTGAATTAATTTTAAGGTGTATTTTAATTAATTGATGCCTGTTTTTATGTATACTGTGTTATTTACCGTATATGATGTTATCTGAGCCTGGCTCCAGCCAGGGAGAGCAGGGTACAAATAATTATTTACTATTATTATTATTATTATTATTATATTTAAACTATGGAATTCACTGTGGCCAAAGGTAGCAATGGGTACCAACTGGGATGGGTGAAATAGAGAATTAAGACAAATTTATGGAGGATATAAGTATCAATAATTACTACTAGTAGGTTCTACTACATTGTCAGATGCAGTACGCTTCTGAATGCTAGTTGCTGAGAATCACACATGGGGAGAGTGTTGTTGTGCCAAGATCCTGCTTTGGGCTTTCCACAGGAATCTGGTTGGCCATTGTGAGAACAAAATGATGGATGAGTCACTTGCCTGACTCAGTTCGGATAGTTTTATGTTCTTATATCCACTCATGCCAACTTGGGCTGCCCCTTCAAAGAACTTCAACCAGGGTCAACATATTTTGTGAATGTCAGGAAGCCTTACAGTGAACATGCTCCAAGTCTAACTTAGGCATCCATAACAGTTTGCACTAATTATTTGTTTCTAAAGATAGACACTGCGCTGCGCTGCAGCTGCAGATCGGGCTCCGCCACCTCGCCCAAGCTCCCCACGGGGTCTCCTGAAGCGACGGCAGGGGGCGGGGTCCCCATGGAACGCTGGTGGCGCGCGAGCCTTGGACGCTCGACAGCTGCGGGTTCGATCCTGCCGGAAGCCTCGAGATTATAGGCTAACCTCACTCGCACCCCCCCCCAAAAAAAACCCCTCACAACATGAATACACATACGTAAAACAACAACAGCAACAACCACCCGCAACCCTACGGGCGGGCGAGCCTCGTCGGCAGCCTCCCTTATTTTATCCAGCCTAGCAGCTGCCTCACCTCTTCCGCCTTTCCTGCTCGTGTCCCGCCTTCCCACTGACGCGCTACGGCTGCCGTCGCGAGGCAAACTTATTACTTTCGCGGAGCGTCTCATTGCAGAGAACAGATGGAACAAAATATCTCTTTTTATCCCCCTCCCCCTTTTTTTTTTTTTTGTCTTTGTTGGATTAAAGCGTATTATTTATGCATTCCCCCCCCTTTGCTTATATTCTTTAATTATTTGCTTCATGAAATTTATATGCCTCCTGATTGCAAGAGGGAGGCGAACTTCTCAAAAGCTGGTTGGCCGAAAAAGATAAAACAATAATATTACTTTAAAAATAAACAACCACCATATTTTAAAAAAAAATACAGGAAGTTTAAAGCCCTGCAATAAGGTAAAGGTAAAGGGACCCCTGACCATTAGGTCCAGTCGTGACCGACTCTGGGGTTGCGGCGCTCATCTCGCTTTATTGGCTGAGGGAGCCGATGTACAGCTTCTGGGTCAAGTGGCCAGCATGACTAAGCCTCTTCTGGCGAACCAGAGCAGCACATGGAAACGCCGTTTACCTTCCCACCGGAGCAGTACCTATTTATCTACCTGCACTTTGACGTGCTTTCGAACTACTAGGTTGGCAGGAGCAGGGACCGAGCAACGGGAGCTCACTCCGTCGCGGGGATCCGAACCGCCGACCTTCTGATCGGCAAGTCCTAGGCTCTGTGGTTTAACCCACAGCGCCACCCGTGTCCCATAAGCCCTGCAATACAATGGACTAAAAACAGAATTGAAACCCACACCGGGCTTTCTAAAGCATCTGGGATTATAAATCAGTTGGACAAATAATTATTTTTGCATGAGTGTGCAAACATGTGGGTGCTTGTGAACACACATGTAACTTCAGTGAGTCCCCATCCCTGGGATGGGCAATAAAAATATTTTACCATATTAAAAGATGTCATCGTCTGCCTCAACTGAGGTGTGTCAACCGTATTAGGGGTGCCTACAGGGCAGTCCTATATACATGTCTGCTCAGATGCAAATCCCATTAAGTTCAATGAGATTTGCTCCCTACTAAGAGGTATTAAGACTGCAATCCTCTGTGTACTCACTGAGGAACAGCCCCCATGGAGCACAACTGGGACATACTTTTGAGTAAACCAGTAAAATTGATGCCACATGTATTAATGCAAAGTTTTATATTTTTGAACATGCAGAATTGCCATTGCTATTCTGCAGCCTCTCTGCATCATGAAATTCATTTTGCATCTATCAGAGACTTGACGCTGCAATTCTATATGGGTCTACTCAATGGTAAGTCCCACTGATTTCCACAAGCCTTTCTCCCAGGTAAATGGGTATAGCATTGCAGCCTAATTCAGTCTAACATTTGTTGGAGCAGCTGGGCATAGAAAGGGGTCATTTTCCTTCAGCCTAATTCACCCCATGGGTGAGGTAATCACAGGTGCAAGGTCAAATGAGCCATTTGCTGTGGTAATGGCTCTGAGCACTACATATATCTATTAATGTATGTCAGATTCCCAACATTTTCATTGCATCTCAAGACTCTCAACAAGATACAGGCTTTTACTCCTGAATCATGCCCAGATTTTCTTATCCTCTTTCCCTACCCACCCCATGTTTTGCTGAACCTCTAGCCATAAGGGTTCTGGTCTGGAGAACGTTAAAGCACGCTTGCTATTTTGGGGTGACGTTTTAGTTAATCCTAATTAAGGCATCGCTCTAACACGATTTTTTTCGTACTGCATCGCAATCTGCCCACATTACCCTAACAATCGGATTCTGTACTGAGTCAGTTATACCCAAGGACACCGATTTAAATGGGTTCAGATCCTCCCAATTCTGACTAGGATTAGGTTGCTTAGTGTGTCAACCCCAGTAAACTGTTCTCTCCAGTTGGATTTATGGTATTCTTTCAGCAATCGCCCGTTTTGCCAGAACTATATGATTATCAGTTTATGGTAACAGAGAGGCAGGCTTTTTCATGCCATCCCTGCTGAAATGAGATGCCCACATCAGTATTGGCATTCTGAGGGCTCCTGAAGACACACTTGTTTGGGCAAGCATTGCCCTGAATGAATTTCCGATGTTATTATTTTAACTCTTAAAATTGTTATGCTATTAAATCCAATTTTGTTATATATTTTAACTGAGGGTCTTTTAATGCCCCACTGCAATTGTACTGATTTTATAGCCGTAATCTATAAACGGCTCAGGACCACAATACCTCAAGGACCACCTCTTCTTATATAAACCAACCCGGACTCTACGTTCATCACCTGAGGCCCTTCTTTGTGTGCCTCCTCCATGTAAAGTCCAGAAAGTGGCAACAGGAGAGCGGGCCTTTTCTGGAGTGGCTCCGTTTGTGGAACGCTCTCCCCAGGAAGGTTCATCTGGCATCTTTATTATACAGTGGTACCTCTGGATGTGAATGGCATCCATTCCGGAGCCCCGTTTGCATCCTGAAGCAAATGCAACCCACGCCTGCTCGTGCACGGGTCATGATTTGCCGCGTTTACGCATGTGCGTGATGTCATTTTGAGCGTCTGCGCATGCACAAGCGGCGAAACCCGGAAGTGATGCGTTCTGTTACTTACGGATCGCCGCGGAGCGCAACCCGAAAACGCTCAACCCAAAGCTACAGTGGTGCCCCGTAAGACGAATGCCTCGCAAGACGGAAAACCCGCTAGACGAAAGGGTTTTCCGTTTTGGATGTGCTTCGCAAAACGAATTTCCTATGTGCTTGCTTCGCAAGACGAAAATGTCTTGCGAGTTCCTGCGGGGTTCCCCCCCCTTTTTCCCAAGCCGCTAAACCGCTTATCAGCTGATCGGCTAAGCCGCTTAACAGCTGATCGCTAAGCCGCTTATCAGCTGATCGTTAAGCCGCTTATCAGCTGATCGTTAAGCCGCTTATCAGCTGATCCGCTAAGCCCGCTAAGCCGCTAATACTGTAGCGCTAATCCGCTAAACCGCTAATGGGCTTGCTTCGCAAGACGAAAAAACCTGCAAGACGAAGAGACTCGCGGAACGGATTCTTTTCGTCTTGCGAGGCACCACTGTACTTTAATCCGAGGTAGGACTGTAGATCTTTAGGCGCCAGGCAAAAATGTTCCTCTTCAACCAGGCCTTGGGTTGTCTAACATTATACAGCCTTTTAAATGTGTGTGGGTGTTATTATGTTGTTTTTGTTTTAACTATTTATTGGTACTTTATCTTGTATTTTTTATGTTTTAATGTTTAAAGGATTCAGATCCTCAAAGTTTTTAATGTTTTATTGTATTTTTATATATGCTGGAAGCTGCCCAGAGTAGCTAGGACAACCCAGTCAGATTGGCAGGGTACAAAAAAATCAAAAAATTGTTATCATCATCATCTTGTGAACTGCCCTGACATCTTGTGTATATAAATCTAATAAATAATAATAAAACTGCCTAGAGGCCATTTTGGCATATAAGCGGTAAATAAATTAACAACCAGCAACAACAAGGGATGTACTCTGTAACCTTAGCTGAGTTTACATGTCAGAAAGGATAGCCTTTATTGACAGAATCCTGCAAAATCACTGACAACACAAACACAGGCATCAAGCATGTGCAGACGCTGATGGGATGTTGACATAGCTCTTCATGGGTGGGAGGGGCCTGATCTTGCGGCCTGCCCATCCCCCTTTGCGATGCCACAGGCCACTCTTGGGCCGCTTCCCTAACCACCGGTTCCGACCAGCCTTCCCGATGATCCGCTTGTTGTGGTCAACGTTGGAAACGCGGCCCACTGTTGCCATGCAGGTCTCCATCACCTGTAAGAGTGAGAAAGGTTATGGAGCAGGAATACAAACCAGGGGTGAAGAACCTCAGTAGACACATTGCCTCACTTGTACAAAACCTGCAAGACTCGATACTCAGCCTCATATGTCTGCATCACCTATGTGGGAAAGTGTAGACTGAGCAATGATAACGTTAGAAGCTTCACGTGTCATTATACCCCCGATTTTTACATGTTGCTGGATCTTTCTGGATTTAACTTCCTTCCGCAGGGCCTGTAAGACAGAGCTATTCTGCCTGGCTTTCAATTTGAACTTAGCCTGATCTTTTATTCCCCTTCCTTCCTTCCTTCCTTCCTTCCTTCCTTCCCTCCCCTTTTTATGAAGATTACTCGATCTGGGATCTCACAGCTAATTCTCCCCTGGTCTCCTCACTGGCCCAAATAGGACTAATTTAGCCAGCTATCCCTGGTGATCATCTAATGTTTATTGGATGGATTTCCCCCCTAAATTGATTTTTGAATCCTGAATTTATTGTTATTCATGTTTTATACTGTATTTTATGCTGTTTTTTGTTGCATCAATTAAGTGTTTTAAATTTGATGTTAGCTGCCCTGAGCCTGGTTTTCCGAACCAGGAAGGGCGGGGTATAAATAAAAAATTATTATTATTATTGACAACTTGGTTCAGCACAGAAGGCCCAAACAATACAACCTGGTGGCCTCCGTATTTTCTTGGACTACAACTCCCACTTGACCACTGGCAATGCCAGCCGGGCCTGGTAGGAACTGTAGTCCAAAACACCTGGTGGGCACCAGGCTGAAGAAGGTTGCCATATGGATGGCTCAGCAAGCAGCTGCCATCTGCCATGTGGCGGCATATATACCCAAATTGTTTACCTGCATTTGCCTCTTGGAGGGCAACTGGATGATGACCGTTTCGTTCACCTTCCTTAGTATCACGCCACAGGTCCCTGGAAGCAAGAACAAGGCATCAGCAGGGCTTCAGTCTGCTTTGACTCAGCCCAGCACACATTTACTGGAAGCAGCAAGGAAGCGAATTCCCCATAAGCTTCTTTACAAACTGGTGGCCAGATCCTGATCTCCCACAAAGCAGTGTGGGTCACCTTTTTTTTTATAAATTCAAGGCATTTATATATTATTAGCATTTCTAAGCAGTATACAAAACAACAACAACATACAGAGAATAAAACAGTAATAAGTTCATCACAAAGCAGGCACCCCCAAACTCGGCCCTCCAGCTGTCTTGGGACTACAACTCCCATCATCCCTAGCTAACAGGAACAGTGGTCAGGGATGATGGGAATTGTAGTCCCAAAAAACAGCAGGGGGGCTGAGTTTGGGGATGCCTGATCATAAAGCTTAGAATGCCTACTGGAATAAGAAAGTATTTTCTGTTGTGTGCCTCAAGTTGAGCAATGTTCAGTCGGGAGGTAGTACCACAGGCTGGGGCCCACAACACTGAATGAATGGGGGACTCTAAGTGGAGACTTCCCCAAAAGATTTACTGTATATGTTGGGGGCGGGGTAAATACTCAGTGTTGTACGCCGCATTAGAAATATTTTGTTGTGAAGCAGTTTATAAATCCTTAAATAAGAATAAAAAGGGGCAGCTCCTCCAAAAAAGGGGGAGTGTGTATGGAAGGAGGCAAGGTAAGATTCTTTTGGGACACAGACTCCATTTGTTCCAACAGATTTAACCTTCTCCTTTAGTTGAAAAGGAAGGGAGGAAAAGGAGGCAACTGCCTTGATTCTGACCACCTGCCCAGGTTTGCTACCTCCCTCAAAGTTGTTTCTGGCCTTGATCTGGTGCTGACCTGCTGCTCGAATATACTGGGCTCCTTTCCCGGGATGGCTCTCTAAATTGTTGATCAGGGTCCCTACTGGCAGAGCTCCAACTGGATAGGCATCCCCTTCGTTAGCCGACACTGAAAGACAATAAATAAATAAATCCCACCACCATATTCACACCGAAAACAGCCAAGGCACAACAACTCCAAGTAGAACTAAGGCCCAAGCAGCATACAGAACTCGAAGGGTGAGTCCAGTGTGCAGCCTCAGTCTGTCCTCCTTCAGCAGATGGACAAGCACAAGGAATGTCGTGCACAATGTTGGTGCCACCACTGAAAAGGCCCTGTTATGGACACAGGGCCATCCAATGTAAGGGTGGGAGTGAGAACAGAGCTTCGGGTGCTAATGCTTCACTGTACATTTAAGTAGTGTTTCCTCAATATTTTCCCCCCATGGATCAATTGAAAGTTGCTGGTGGTCTTGGTGGACCACTTAAATGCTTTTGACATCCACTGTAGCAATTGTGATGTGCTATGCATAGATGCTGTATGTGTTTTAACTGTATCATTGCTGTTTCCATCTCTTATTGCATTTTAGTGCATTACTGTTTGCATTACATCAAATTCAACTATAAGAAATAAAAGCAGCAATAAAAATAGAGTTAAAAATCAATGCAGTTATTGATATTGTGCGGGGAGGAAAAAGTGGGTGTCCTAATAACTTTAGGCACCCTCAACAAACTACAGTTCCCAGGATTCTTTGGGGGAAGCCGTAACCCTTTAAAGCGTCATGATACTGCATTAAATGTATGGTGCAGATGGAACCACTGCCTCTTCCACTGTCAAAACAGTTCTTACTGTTAGGAAATCTGCTTCCCTGCAATTTCCACACATTAGTTCCAGCCCTACGCTCTGGAACAACAGAGATTGAGCCTGCTCCCGTCTTCTGCAAGACAGCCCTTTAAATATTTGAAGAGTGCTACCCTATCTCCTCTGAAAGTTTCTCTTCTCCAGGCTAAACCTAATTAGCCCTTAAGAACTATTCGTGGGCCTTGGTTTTTTCAGAGTCCTTGCCACCTGCATTACCCAGCTGGTCAATGTCCTTTGTAAAATGTGGCACCCAGAACAGGACACCGTCCTCCAGATTTACCTGCCATCCTGCCAATTTGTCCTGAAGTTTTGAGGATGTCACCAGCCTGCATGTTTTCGGTCGCAATGATCCACCGTCTCCTCTTCCCTCCAGCCACGAGAGCTATGTCTGCAGATCTGCCGTGGGCAATAACAAAGAGATACCAAGAGGGCATGGTCAGCTCAAGCTGTCATCCTCATTCCCAAGTATCAAAAAGGAAAAAAACCACCATAGTCTCCAGACCATGTGTCTGCTACTCACCTGCATGGGTCGTACCGCACCTGAACCACTTTCTCCTCAAAGGAACCAGGCTCTTGTCCAGCTTCATAGTTCAGCCTTCGGAAATCAATCATGCGGTAGCGCTGCTTATGCCCGCCTCCAATTCTATGCACCCGGATACGACCTTGTGACGGACACGGAGCTCATTCAGCATCACACATTGCAGTCAAATGAATAGATAAAAATACTGGACCAAGCTTCCCAGCAACCACCCTACGTCTATGAAAGCGGTCAGAAATGAGGTCTGGCTAAAGGTAAAACCCGAAACGAGACTAAAAGCTTTCCGGTTTCAAAAAGCAAGCTTCTAGTCTTCATGGTGGTTGATACACACTTGGTGGGGCAGAGGGAAGCAGGAATTAACTTGAGGATTAGAAACAGAAACCAAAAGATGCCCAGATTGTTATTCATATTTACTTGGCAACAATACAATATGTTTAGCTAAGAGTCCTAATTGTAAAGTTGCTTCATTATTATTTTGATAGTTGACTCGAGCACATCTTATTTGAGTCAATGAATCCCCAAAATAAAAATATTAGAGAGCGCTGGTGCAGCTATGATCTGGAAATTCTCACCTCACCCATGAGTTCAATCAGTGGCTTTAAGAAAACTATCGTCCTCTTTGTTCCAGTTCCAGTCGCCCATGGGTAACATGGAGATAACTACCCTGGATAATGCTACACTGGCCTACTGGGTTGTTGTAAGAATTACTTTATGTGAAGCCCTTTGAAGACTTGAAACGCACAATACAAATGCTAAGTATAATGATCAGAAGAACGCATCTCCTCCTAACTGGAGCTTGGCATCCACCATTTTCTTTGAGGTGGGTCACAGTTCAGTGGCAGTGCACAAGCTTTGTGTCTAGCAGTTCCAAGGCTCGCTCCTGAGCACCTTCAGTTAAAAAGCAGTCCCAAGAACATTAAAAGAACCTGCTGGATCAGGCCAATAGCCCATCTAATCCAGCAACTCATTCTCAGAGTCATTGTTGGACTTCCACTGCCTTTCCAATGTTGCGCCTGGTTTTGGGAAGAGGCGTCAGGGCTCTGGCAGGGTCCTAGAGCCCTCCTACCTCCTTCCCAAAGCACATTCCCATCTTGCTGCCAGTATTCGGCCCCTAACAAGTTGTCCTTGAGAGAATATGGCCCTCAACAGAAGAAAGGTTGCCCACACCTGCCTTAACGTAGTCTAAAGATTTAAAACAAAAACTGTGTTGTTGTTTTTTAAAAAGAAATTTCCTTGCCATAGGAGAACAGCGTCAGAAGACTTGGCTTTTCCCCCTACTTGGTCTCTCCTGACAGAGGAGGCTGCCTTTGCTCACTTGAGCGCAATCCAGCTGTGAGGGGCTGCAGACATACCTGTGTGGTCTCGCCCTCCTGTCTTTTTCATGCCGATGGGCTTTGTGGTATATTTGATCCTGCATTTCCACAGTGGATCGGAGGTAGATAGAACAGCAGAGGTGCTGATTTCACGGTATGCATGGACAAGGCCAGCAAGGCAGGTAGGCTTGGGAGGCACAGGTATCTAGGAAAGGCGGAAATCAAGCATCATGAACTGAATTTTCTACCCTAATTCCTATGTTCAGGATGTGTTTGAATTAGATCTATGCCAGAAGTCTGCAGCATAGTCTTCCATTAGCACCCAGAAAACATCTTTGTCCTCCACTATTACTGCCCCCCTTGGTCATGAGGTGATGAGAATGACTATCTTTTCCTCCTTTATAAAGTACATAGAGCTGAAGGAGAAAGCTGGAAGAGTCGCACTCCCCCCACACACACTTTCAGCTCTATGTGCTTTTAAAGCTTGTTCTGTGTCCATTTTCTGTCTGAATGTACCCATGGTCTTAAACAGGTTGGTAACCTAGGCCATAATCTCGCAATCCTTCACTGTCTATTGTGCTTTGGAAATGCGGCCTTAAAATGCAGTGACAATCTTATCAGCAAAGATCTGAATTTTTATTTATTTTTTGGTTCTGAAAGCAAGCCTTAATTTAATTAGGAACAGAAGGAACTGTCTTATACCACATCAGACCCTTTTTTAAAATCATAGTAATATAATGCATTACTATGTAAAAGATCTGAAAAAATTATCCCACTGCAATGCGTTAAAAATGCAGCAGTTGTTGCAAAACACAGGGTCAAAAACACTTGAAAAGTTTGTGGTGCTTAACAGTCTACAGTGGAAGGGGCTGGGACTGAATCCTGTATTAGATGTCACAACCTCCAAGCCAAACACTGTTCTCCTTACTTTCAGATTTTTTGGGGGAGAGGGGTGTTGGTTGTTATTACTCAAGAGAGCAGAAAACAAATGCTCATAAGAATTTTTCCTTATTATATCTGCATGCGTCATTTGGTCAAATCCTAAAACAAACAGCAACAACTAAAACGGAATTGGTTTCTAGGCTGAGCCCTGGTAATTCCACACAATTTAAGGCCTTGGCGTCAGGAAAATAAGCAAGTTTAATTGCGCTGCAAGGTCCACAGCAAAATTCTATCCAGAGAGAGGACATTCTATATACATAGTGCATGCAATAATAAACCCACAGTGGAAAAAGATAAGAAACTGATCAACGTGGCTGCTGTACCTGGGAGAGACGAGGGCTTGAGGACAACAGCAGGGACCCAAAGCTCCGAATCAAGCTAGATACAGCCATTATCAGTAACACCTGTTCCTGCTGAAGATGGGGAAGAACAGATTATTAGTTTACTGATACGTGTGAAGTGATGTAAGCAAATAAAACCATTAACACAAAACAGACAAAAAGCCTTGCTGGGATAAGTGCCACTACTTCCAGGGGGAAAGCTGAAAACAACCATTTATGATTTTATTTGTTCCATAAAAAAAATAAAATCCAAACCATTCTCCAAGAAGCTTATAGTGACATCCATGGAGTTTGTTCCATTTGATTCTCACAAGCCCGTAAGAGATGTTAGGGGGAGAGGTGGTGATTGGCCCAAGGTCACCTAGTGATTCAGGATCTAAACCCAGCTTTCCCAGGTACAAATTGACACTACTTCAAGGATGGGGAACCTGTGGCCATTCAGATGGTGTTGAACTCCCAATTCTATCTCCCCAGCCAGCAGGGATGATGGGAGTTGTAGTCCAATGTCTAGAGGCCACAGGTTCCCTATGCTTGCTCTACACATTATGCCACCAAAACATAGGTAACTGGAACTGGGGAGAATCTTGGAACCATCTTATTCCAAAGCATTATCCTGGAGTTGTAAGACAACTTGTGAGGTGTCTCTCTAAGGAAAGCACTTCAATGTATAAAACAGGATGAAATCCACATGCAGAGTGTGCTTTGAATCACAAGAAAATTTATCGGTAGCGATGGGAACAGTGCTTGCATCTTAGGCTGCAATCCTACACCCACTTGAGTAACCCTCACTGAACTCAATGGTTACTTCTGAGTAACACTGTTAGCAAACAGATTCTAGGACAGCTCAGGAGCAATGATTGCCTCATCTGGGGGAGAGGGGACCATCACAAGTCTTTATTAAAGGTAAAGGTAAAGGACCCCTGACAGTTAAGTCCAGTGGCGAACGACTCTGGGGTTGCGGCGCTCATCTTGCTTTACCGGCCGAAGGAGCTGACTTTGTCCGCAGACAGTTTTTCCGGGTCATGTGGCCAGCATGATTAAGCCGCTTCTGGCGAAACCAGAGCAGCGCACGGAAACACCATTTACCTTCCCGCTGGAGCGGTACCTATTTATCTACTTGCACTTTGATGTGCTTTCAAACTGCTAGGTTGGCAGGAGCTTGGACCGAGCAACGGGAGCTCACCCCCTCGTGGGGATTCGAACCGTGGGGATTCGAACCACCAACCTTCCAATCGGCAAACCCTAGGCTCAGTGGCTTAGACCACAGCGTCACCCGCTTTATTATTCCCCTCTAATTGTTGTGCCTGATAATTAAAGGAAAAAACCTCAAAGAGCTTTTCTGAGATGTGCAGGGTAGCAATTCAGCCAAGTTTTTTCTCAGAGTCTAGATATTAAAGAGTCTCGTGCTCTACTGACTGAGCCATCCCTCCCACTGAAGTTAATGAGCATGCCTAAGTTAGGTCCATTAGTTTAAGTGGGAGTACTCTGAGTAAAATTTATATGAATACCAGAAGTAATACCCCACCCAAACCCAAGGGGTTAGAATGAAAGGTTGTTGCAGGGCAGAATATTTGCAGCAACAGCAGTCTCTTGTGCAACATTGCACCCAGCTTACACAGATGTAAATTTCACGATGTTCAAGGGCACAGGACAGCAGCCTTAACTGCAAGAAACGCAACTAGGCGGCAGTCCTCTCCGCCCACTTGCCTGGTCGTAAGTCCCGTTGAGTTTAACGGGTCTTACCTCCGAGTAGGTATGTATAGGGGTTGCACGACTGGACTCCGACCCGAACCCAGGATCGGAGTCTGGTTTCAGCAGCCCTTACTTCCAAGAAATCCCTGCACAGAATATTGCAGCTGGAGGAGGGCTTTTGCAGAGAAACGTCTCCGGCAGCTACAGGGGTCGAGGCTTTCCAGGAAACTATATCCCACCCCAGAACGGAAATGTTTTTCAGGCAGGCATTATGGCCATGCTCAATGCGACACCGGGAATGAGGCCGCCTCCACTCACCCGGAATTAGGTCCCACGCCACTAGTCCTGTGCCTCCATTCTGCCTTCCGGAGCCCACGGAGCATGCGCGCACCAGTCCTGGGCGGAGCTCCAGTTTTGCTTTGACGTAAGAAGGGTCGAGAATCCATAAAAGGGATGGGGAAGAACGGAGTCCCCCAGGTGCTGGTTGGGCTGCAGGTTCCCCGTGAAGGAGGTTGGGAGTTGTAGTCCAACAACATCTGGAGGGCCACTGTAGTACTGCTTAACTACTGCTGCGGACAGGTCTCAGAAATCCTTGTTTCACACATATTATTTTGCAAATAATGATAGTAATAATAATAATAATAATAAATAATAGTATGTAAAGGTAACACCTCAACCGCTCTAGAAACCCAATGAAAAGCTGTTGTTGTTTAGTCGTTTAGTCATGTCCGACTCTTCGTGACCCCATGGACCAGAGCACGCCAGGCACTCCTGTCTTCCACTGCCTCCTGCAGTTTGGTCAAACTCATGCTGGTAGCTTCGAGAACACTGTCCAGCCATCTCGTCCTCTGTCGTCCCCTTCTCCTTGTGCCCTCCATCTTTCCCAACATCAGGGTCTTTTCCAGGGAGTCTTCTCTTCTCATGAGATGGCCAGAGTATTGGAGCCTCAGCTTCACGATCTGTCCTTCTAGTGAGCACTCAGGGCTGATTTCCTTAAGAATGGATAGGTTTTATCTTGTTGCAGTCCATGGGACTCTCAAGAGTTTCCTCCAGCACCATAATTCAAAAGCATCAATTCTTCGGCGATCAGCCTTCTTTATGGTCCAGCTCTCACTTCCATACATCACTCCTGGGAAAACCATAGCTTTAATTATAAGGACCTTTGTTGGCAAGGTGATGTCTCTGCTTTTTAAGATGCTGTCTAGGTTTGTCATTGCTTTTGCTAGGCTCTGAATAATGTCTCTTGCTTCATTTTTCATGTAGGAGACTTGGATTGCCAAAGTTGCACAGGCAGCTGAGCTCCTGCGCTTTTAAAGCTGCTGGACAGGCAGGCAGAAACTCGGCAGGCGAAACTTTTCCCCAGCTCTGTGCAAGGAAAGCATTCACTTGATGAATGCTGCTACCTCAAAAAGATTTGGAGGCTTGGGATGAAACTGACAAGCCCAAGAAGCAGCTTTTCAGGGTGATTGGCAAGGTATTGAGGGCTGATCCCAGAGAGACTGCGTGGTGTAGTTGTTAGCATGCCAGGTTAGGGCTAAGGAGGCCCAGGTTCAAGCCCCACTGCCACCCCACAGCCATGAAGCACACACTCTCTCTCTTTTCTAAATTTATTTGATTTTCCATATTAAAATCCACAACAAACATACTATATAAATTCCACAACAACATACTATATAAAAACAAGATTCCAAAGACTCTCCTGGACTTCCCTCTTCCCCTTTGTGGGTCTTATTGTTAGTCCTTTCCCTCTGCATCTTTTATAGTGATCCAAATTTTTGCATCTTCATTACAGTACTGTATATCCATTCTCTCTCTCTCTCTCTCTCTCTCTCTCTGCCTGGCCTACCTCACCTGGCTGTTGTGAGGGTAAGCTAAGAGGGAAAGAACCACACACACCTCCTCAAGCTTCTTAGAGGAAACACAGTATATACGTGCAAGAGTAGTACGTTATTGTCATTTTTTAAAAAATACTATTAAAATAATAAAACTATATGATTATCAATCTAGTGAAGGGGCAGAGTGCCGTTTTCATTCAGGGGAGATAATTTTGGAAAACTGTGAGAACGCTTATTGCTTATTCACCAGCTCCTCTTGCTGTGGTGGTTTATTTCATTTTCCTTTCATCCTTGCTTTGCATTCTTGAAAATGAATCATTATAAATCATAATAATATTATAAATAAATAAATAACATTTTTCATTTCTTAAAAGAAATTATGGTAATTATGGGGACAGAACTACCTAAATTGTATAGAAATTTATTTATGTATGTTACTAAAGCAGCAAGAATGTTACTTGCCCCAAAGTGGAAAGAAGCAAAAGTCCCATGAAAGGAAGAATGGATACAAAAACTTATGGAATTTGCAGAAATGGTGAAACTTACCGCAAGGATAAGAAATCAAGATAACAAACTTTTTATAAAAGAATGGAAATGGTTTATTGAATATTTACAGATAAATTGTAAACAGATAAAAACATTGGCAGGACTAATGTAATAGCCTGCAGTTTTATAAGAGTATATATTTACAGTAGATAAATAAATGAGCAAGTTAAATGAATTTGGATATGCAGAAGTTATTAAAAATAAATTTTAGGAACTGCAGAAAAGAGGGGGAAGGAAGTCAAATTTTGAAATATTGATTGTGAAGCTAATGAAATGTATAAATTTGAAAAGCATAAATAAAAAACTTAATAAAAAATAAAAAGTGAAGGGATTTGGAAAGGCCTTGGAAATAAGGGGCAAAGCAACGAAGCGAACGTCTGAATGGAAGACACGGGGCAGGACTCCTCCTTTCCCTCGTTTCTGCGAAGGAAACTCAACGGGCGAGGCTTGACGGGTTAAGTTCGTCGCGGTCACCTGACCGAAAACGCCCCGCCCCCTCCCCGCGCCCATAGAGATAGGGAGGATCTCCCTAAGCGCGTCCTGCGCCATGTTGGATTTAAAGGGGCCGCGGCAGGATTGGGAAGAGCTTAGAAGGAGGTTTGTTTTTCCTTCCAGTCGGGAACGGCCGCCGGCGCCGCCTCGTTGGAGGGGGAGGGGGGGCGACACCAGCGGCGAGGAAGTGATAGCGCGAGCCATTTGCGCATGCGTGGCTAGCCATCCATCCTACGAGGCTGTCCCTGAAAAAGCAGCAGGTAGGAGCTTTGGTTTCCTTTCTTTCTGCCTTTTCGGAATACGGCGATTGGTTTCCATAATGGATATGCCCCCCTCCAATCTCTGGCAAGAGTGTTTTTGTTGTGGCAGGACCACCCTGGGGGGTAGGCCTCAGAGGGGTGGTCTTCCTGCTGGCGGGTGGGCCAGCGGCTGCTTGCAAGGGGGAGGGAAATGCCAAGAGGCGAGACTGCCTGGAAGCAAGTCTCTGATCTGGGAGCCCCCGCTTTCACCTTCTCCCCTACCCACCACCCACCAGCCTTAGGGGCAAGGCGATCAAACTCTGCACATGCTCAGGAGCACTGCGGTCTGTCCCTATGTTCCAAGGTTGAGTGCCGGCCGTGAAACACGGTTGCTGGGATCGAGCCCTGTCACTGCTTCAGCCCTGATTTCCAAGCTGTGTCTGCCGAGTTCTCTCTTCCTCTCTTTGCCAATGGCTCATGCCTGACTCACTGGCAAAGGGTTGTTGCGTTTGTTTGTTTTTGGCTTCTGTAGGGCTGTGGCTCTCTGCTGCGCTGGCAAAGCAAAAGACTCTGCTCCAGGCTAATAGAAGATAGAAGGGCAGATGCCCAGGATTCCTGCCACTCCTTTACTGACAGCAGTTGTGTAGGCTGCCAGATGAAAAAGCTTTTCCTTCTATCTCAGTCTCCTATTTGGGCTTAGTCTTCACTGATCACAAGTTGCTTCCTGACCTGACCAGGAAAATTGGTTCAATGCAGCTGCTGGGGCAGATACCAGGTTTGCTTTGGGAATAGGAGCTACAGGGATGCTTTACAAGGCTTATTTCTTATATTGCAGCTGTTTATTCTCTGTTGTGGTGTTATCTCCTCCTCTGATTCAAGGCTGCCCCTATCAGCGGTAAAATCTGACTTACTTGGCTGCAGTCGTGCGTCACACTAAAGTCAGAGGGTCTTACTTCCCATAAACATGTTTAGGATTATGCAATTAAGAGTGGCAGCTGCCTTAGCTGATGATGGGTTTGAGATTCTAGATTTGGGAGCAGCCGCTACCGAGTTCTGCCTTTCTTTAGGAACCGTGGAGCAAGGATGTTTCATTCTCACAAGAGTCTTCCATACCCATTTTCCTTTCTTCTTTTTTAATGCCAGAGAACTATTTAATACATGTGGCATGTTTTGCTTAGCTGGGATGTGGTTAAAAGCCCTCTGATGCAACATTCTGTAATGGTCCTACCACTTTCCAATTCCTGTCCCGTTTTTACAAAGAATTTAGGACTGTCTGGGCTCTCTGTTGCCTTGTGCTTTTTCCTCAACTCCCACCTAAATAGGCTGCTGGGTTCCTGTCATCCTCTTGTTAATCATTCAGATGTCTGATGCTGTTTTGAACTCTGAAACCAGCTCTGGGAAACTATGGGAGGAGCTGGCATGCTTGTTCTGAGTTTCAAGGTCTGCTGTGTATGTGGCACTGACCTGCTATTTATAATCATGATGCTATCTCACCGTTCGGCTGTGGGCTGTGGCCTCCTGCAACAGGGAATTTAATGGATTATTTGATGCGACTTCAGGCATTTCTTTTGCAAAGGACTGAGGTCACACCCGCAACATACATTCAAGCACATTTATAGCATATGGCTTTCCCCAAACAATCCTGGAAACTTGTTTACCCCTCATAGAACTGCAATTCCCAGTACCCTCAACAAACTACAGCTCCCCAAATTCTATGGGGGAAGCAAAATGTGACCTGAGTTACTGCTGCAATTCTAGGCAGGATTAGATGTACCTAGTACATGTGTTGCATGTCTGAGTGAAATAGTTGGCATTGCTTTACTCGAATGAGTCTTTTCTCTAAATTATTAGGTGCACTGGATCTGCACTGGGAACATCCATCTACCACAGCTTTTTAGTGTATTTAGAGTTTCTGCAGATAGATATATTGAACATGAATCACAATCAGTTGTGTCAAAGGGCCACATGATTAAGAGTCTCACACTGTGGCCAGTTGATAACCTGGCTCATGCTTCTCCTAAAGATTAAGTGTTTTGTGTTGGTGCCCCTATTCAGTGCTTTTTTTCTTTTAAAAAAATGTTTAGGCGTACTCTCATTTTGACTCAAGAAAATCACTATTTTATAGTTCAAATCGGGAAAAATAAATACAGTAAATGGACAAAAGTACAAAGAGTCACAAAATGTTTAGGGTTATGTGTTCCCCTACGTCCCCCTAGAAAAAAAAGCACTGCCTCTGTTGTTATAAACTTCTAATCTGAAGATGATACTTGGCTAGGAAAGACGGGGAGAACCGTTTGGCAGGCTGAACTTATTTTCTGAAAGGATAGTGCTTGTTGGTTATATTTACTGATGAACTGATAAATGTACCATTTGATGGCAAAATCAATGTCTTGTTTGTGCTTTGGTAACTTAACAATATTTTTAAAAGGTTGCTTCAGGGAGTACAAATATAGATGAAGGAGCCCAATTTTAAACAAGCTCTAGTATTGCAGAATATGAATTGTCCCTAAATGATGTTCATCTGAAGCCATTTAACAGTTGGTGAATGGCTTCAAAAGACATGACATTTTGCCCTAATACAAAAAAAAACCCTTAACACTTTTGTTCACTTATGGGGTGGTATATTAACATCTGGATATTTTGCAGTTTGTTGGCCTCTTTTTGCCTTTGTTACTGGCAGATGTTATAACATGGACATCAGGTCTTGTTAAGCCTTTGCACTGCTGGCATATGCATTTCCCCCTCCTTTTTAAAGTGTATTTATTATTTCAGTATCATGTCTTTTTCTGTGTGTGTGTGTTTAATTTTAAAAAACCCAGAAACCTGGTATTGCAAAAGCACACAGGGAATACATTTCACATTTCACTTAGCAATAGGAAAGATAGCAAGGTGGTTGCCTGTATGCCTTAGTTTGTAGTTCTTGGAGAGAGGATCAGTAGCAGAGCAGCATAATGCTATGTGTGTTTAGCCTGTAGTTAGACTTAAGAATTGCCTAGGATGGCAGCCTTAGCATGGATGATAGTTGTCTAGCTGGGTCAATGATCTGTCTTTGAGTAAACTTCATAAGCACATGTTAGCAATACGTTATGAAGAGTTCGTGTTTCTCAGACAAAGGATTAATGTAGCAGAGATTGCTAGACAATTCTTAGACACCTTGTATACATCTAAAAACATTATTGTTATAGTGATTGAAAGTGGTGCCTCGCAAGACGAAATTAATTCGTTCTGCGAGTTTTTTCGTCTTGCGAATTTTTCGTCTTGCGAAGCACGGTTTCCCATAGGAATGCATTGAAACGGTTTCCCATAGGAAAAAGGAAACAAACTTGCAAGACGTTTTCGTCTTGTGAAGCAAGCCCATAGGGAAATTCGTCTTGCGAAGCAACTCAAAAAACGAAAAATTCTTTCGTCTTGCGAGGCATTCGTCTTGCGAGGTACCACTGTACTTACCTTGATGCAGTTCTTCCAGCACACATACCAAACTATCCTATTTAGGATAGTTCTACTCTTTTATCTCAGATTAAAACAGTAGGTTGGAGAATTTGTGTGTTCAGAACACCTTTCCTGTATAAAAAAAGAAAAGAACATGAAGCACTTTGAGCACAGTGAAATGACACTGGCTATGACTTAATCATAGATCCGCTGTCAGTTTGGATTATACCAATTTCTACTTTCATGTGATCTATTCGAAAACATTCTCAAGCTAACTTTTCTTGGACAGTAACGATAAATGGTTTGGACAACGAATCAAGACATGTTCAATATAGGCATGTTTTAATCAATTGGACAGCAGCCTTCAACCTTGCCTGACACAGGACAAACTTTTGAACCCCAACCTCAAACAAGGAATACTCCTGTATGTGTTTCTAACTGCCATCTATGTACGTCTATAAGTAACTTCTGATTTACAGTAAAAGCAAAATTAACCAGTGCTCATCACACTGAATATCCCATTGGGAAGGGTTTGTTAGGTTATTCCTTACATTCTTCCCATTCTTGCTCTTCAGATAATTGTCTCCAAAGCAGCTCACAAAGGCATAAGAAACAGGCCCTCACCAGACTCACTACTGAAAGAAACAAGATGCACAAGAAAAGAGGAGTGTAAGAAAATGGTAGAGATTAGTTCTTCAAGGCCAGAATGAAGTCGTAAGCTATGTATGGGTATTTGTATTTCGTTCAGGCCCAGCTGATCTTCCCTTTGCTGGTGTTTTTGCTTGTTCCTTGGCTGCTGGATGGGACCAGAGTGTCCTTTACCCCCGGTTCTGTAGTCCCAGGGACAACTGGCAGTGGGAGCTAGATGCCCTTTCTTGCAAGGAAGGGAAAGTAAGCCCCAGTGGAGGCTAGCATGCCAATTTCAGTCTGCCTTCAGGCAGTCCCAACTTGGCTGACTTCTTTCTTCTAAGCCAGTGATGGCCAAACTTGACCCTCCAGCTGTTTGGGGACTACAATTCCCATCATCCCTGACCATTGGTCCTGTTAGCTAGGAATGATGGGAGTGGTAGTCCCAAAACAGCTGGAGGGCCAAGTTTGGCCATCACTGTTCTAAGCAGTCCAGGGGTAGCACTGGCAATCAGCTTCTCCCTTAGTGTCAATGTTGCTTTTGTTGATCTTAGCAAGGAGGAAGATAGGCACAGCCAATGGATTCTAGTTTTGTACCTTCAGTGTCTCTGGCTCCACCAGCTGTTGCCCTCCCTGCCTTCCACCCTGTCATAACTGGAAAGCACTTTGCAGTTGTTCCTTTTCTAAAAAACAGATGGGGCCAAGCTGATCTTCCCTTGGCTTGAGTACAATCCCTCCATAGCCCTTGACTATGACATGGAGCCCATTTTCCTTTAGATCTCCAGCCCTAGAGTAACTTGCTTGTGTTCCCTCCTTCAGAAATGACCTTCAGAAATAACCCTCTCCTTTCTCCGGCTAGATGACTGGTCATTGCCTCAGAATCTTTTCCCCTGAAGAAACTATCCTGTCTTGTTTGAGAGCAATTAATTTGTCCGGGTCTTAATCTTCCTATATTAAGAAGCAATGATAGGGCTATATACTAAGATTATCCATGGCTAAATTGTCTTGAGCACATACCAGGTACAATGGCATGTAATTAAGAGGATTAAAGTGCAAGTAGTTTGGTGCTGAATAAAGGTTCAGGAAAACGCTGTCTTTCGGAGTGCGGATAATGCAGAGATTAGTGGTGCTGAAGTTGTACAATAATAATAATAATATAATAATAATTTATTATTTGTACCCTGCCCATTTGGCTGGGTTTCCCCAGCCACTCTGGGCAGCTCCCAACAGAATGTTGTTGTTGTTGTTTAGTTGTGTCCAACTCTTCGTGACCCCATGGACCAGAGCACGCCAGGCACTTCTGTCTTCCACTGCCTCCCACAGTTTGGTCAAACTCATGCTGGTAGCTTCGAGAACACTGTCCAACCATCTCGTCCTCTGTCGTCCCCTTCTCCATGTACCCTAAATCTTTCCCAACATCAGGGTTTTTTCGAGGGAGTCTTCTCTTCTCATGATGTGGCCAAAGTATTGGAGCCTCAATTATTATTAATATTCCCACATAATAATTAATAATAATTAAATAATAATTAAAAAGCGATAAAAACTAGAATCTCTAGTTCTTCCCGAAGTTGAGGAAGGAGAGACAGTTCCATAAGCTGCAATTCCGTATGTGGTTACCTGGGAGTAACTCAGTGAGGCTTACTTCTGTATTCAGACACAGAATTGCGTTTTATATTTCCAATTTTAGAAATCCTTACAGATGTGCTAGGCAACAGTACCCAATTTCAAGTCTTCCACACGCTAAACATGAGCCCTGTTGGCTGGAAGAGTGGAGTGCTAACATTTAATTCAGTGGGGAAAAGGGATGATTCAGCTGTGGGGAGTTTGGGAAAGTGCTTTCATATATAGTGGCAGCTTCATCATTGGATGCACTCTCTAGTCTGCTGCTTAAATGGTTGCACAAGCACAAAGCAATCAGACTGCTGTAAATTCATGTTTGCAAAAGCCGACCTTCCTAAGGAGGCTTGGGCAGTTGCTAGGCAAGGTACAAAAGGAGACTGAAGGAGAAGTGATCTTAGAAAGGGGAGAGAACAAAATAAAGTAACACTCTACAGAGAAAAATCTTTCCATGGACACTAGCTCCCCCTTTGCCAGCCCGGTGCTCTCCAGATGAACTACAACTCCCATCAGCCCTTGGACTTTTTGAAAAGGGGGAAAAGGGGGAAACTAAGTATGGCCATTTGTCTTCTTTTTGCTTTGCTACCCGTGGAAGGGCTTATTGAAAGGCAGGGAGAGAGAAACGCTGGGCCTTTTTGTGTCCTCTCTGCTTTACAGTGGTACCTCGGGTTACATACACTTCAGGTTACAGACTCCACTAACCCAGAAATAGTGCTTCAGGTTAAGAACTTTGCTTCAGGATGAGAACAGAAATCGTGCTCCGGCGGCACGGCAGCAGCAGGAGGCCCCATTAGCTAAAGTGGTGCTTCAGGTTAAGAACAGTTTCAGGTTAAGTACGGACCTCCAGAATGAATTAAGTACTTAACCTGAGGTACCACTGTACTTGGACCATAAAGAAGGCTGATCGCCGAAGAATTGATGCTTTTGAATTATGGTGCTGGAGGAGACTCTTGAGAGTCCCATGGACTGCAAGAAGATCAAACCTCTCCATTCTTAAGGAAATCAGCCCTGAGTGCTCACTGGAAGGACAGATCCTGAAGCTGAGGCTCCAATACTTTGGCCACCTCATGAGAAGAGAAGACTCCTGGAAAAGACCCTGATGTTGGGAAAGATGGAGGGCACAAGGAGAAGGGGACGACAGAGAATGAGATGGTTGGATGGTGTTCTTGAAGCTACCAGCATGAGTTTGATCAAACTGCGGGAGGCAGTGGAGGACAGAAGTGCCTGGCGTGCTCTGGTCCATGGGGTCACGAAGAGTCGGACACAACTAAACGACTAAACAACAACAACAACCACTGTACTGCCCACTGGTCTCATGGTGCAACAATAGGCAGCTGCTCTAGCTATGGAGTAGTTTTTGGAAAGTGTGCATTGTGTGGAGTAGTGCAAGAGAAAGTTCAGCATCCACTCTTAATTTGTTTTATTTTGCTGCTGGCCAGCCACGTGGAGCAGTAGGCAAACAGCTAGTTTAAAGATAACTTGTGCATTGGGGTGGGAAATCACAGAGCTCACCTATTGCTTTCCTGCCTGCCAGTTTTGTGGCAGCAGCTGGCTGAGGGACTTTTTTTTTATAATGTGTATGTGGAGGAAGAAATGCACCGATCATCCTGTTGCTGCTTTGTTTGTTTTGCTGGCCAGCAGCAAATGGCCACTGACGTAATCACAGGGCGCTGCTGGCCATTGACAAGCAGCATGTTGTTGCTCTGCCTTCCATGGGCAGCCACCAGAAAAGATGGTGACTGTTGTGTACTGCCTTCCATAACATTTCACTAGCTGCTGTGAACGTGTATCAGACCTGGGCTGCTACTCTTCCAGCTAATTATATCTCTTGGTTCTTCCTTGTTTGTTCTTCCTTTGTGTTGCTTGCCAATCCAGCTGCTGTGCTTTGCCTTTTAAAACTGTGGATCTCTGCAGCTTGTACAGCAATATCCTGTTACCTTAACTAGTGCGCGGTAGGCAACTGAATGGGGGCATGCCACAGTAGGGTTGTCCTCATTGCAGCTGAAAAGCTGCCCCCACTTCATGTATTGCTGGCTGTTTCAAATTGCTGCAGACTCCTGCAGATTGTCATGCCAGAATCCTCTGGTATATCCTTCCCTTTCGGCTCTGTCTGTGTATTTGTGCTTGCTTAAATAAAATTACACCAGAAGAATACCACTGTTAAAGGACATGTTCCTGGTGTGGGGTTTTTTTGGATGTGTGAGTGTGTGTCAGTTGTATAGATTGCTTTGCTGTAAACAGACTTGAATGTGTTAATAGGTATACAGTGGTACCTCGGGTTAAGTACTTAATTCGTTCCGGAGGTCTGTTCTTAACCTGAAACTGTTCTTAACCTGAAGCACCACTTTAGCTAATGGGGCCTCTTGCTGCAGCTGCGCCGCCGGAGCACGATTTCTGTTCTCATCCTGAAGCAAAGTTCTTAACCTGAAGCACTATTTCTGGGTTAGCGGAGTCTGTAACCTGAAGCGTATGTAACCTGAAGCATATGTAACCTGAGGTACCACTGTAATTTGATGTAGGTTTACTCTGCGATAGTAGCATGTTCACGCCAATTCCTACCTAAAACAGTTGTTGTTGTTGTTTAGTCGTGTCCGACTCTTCGTGACTCCATGGACCAGAGCACGACAGGCACTTCTGTCTTCCACTGCCTCCTGCAGTTTGGTCAGACTCATGCTGGTAGCTTCGAGAACACTATCCAACCATCTCGTCCTCTGTCGTCCCCTTCTCCTTGTGCCCTCCATCTTTCCCAACATCAGGGTCTTTTCCAGGGAGTCTTCTCTTCTCATGAGGTGGCCAAAGTATTGGAGCCTCAGCTTCAGGATCTGTCCTTCCAGTGAGCACTCAGGGCTGATTTCCTTCAGAATGGATAGGTTTGATCTAAAACAGTACCACTGTTATTCTGTATGGAGTGGAGGCATATTATCTGCATCTGGGCCTGTGAGATCTGCACTGTCAGCATGGGTATTGATGTGTGGAAAATGTTCAACTCAGACACTAACAACAAATCAGCCCTTTGTACCTCTGGGGGATTCACAGCATTGGTCTGAACACAGCCGCCCCTGTTTCGAACTCTCCTCATAGACTGTGTCAAGAGGGATCTTGAGAGTGGAAGCAGAGGGATTTCCGCTGGTGCTATCTGTTGACATAGGAGCAGTGCTTCATAGTGAGAAGGGGGGAGAAATCAGTATTTGTGAAGTGGCCTAAGTAGATTGCTTGCATCCGAAGACCAGAGTTCGTATGAGATTGTCTTGAAACAACCATGGGTATGAGAAGCCAAGGATTTTAAACCTGCATATGTCTCTTGTTTAAAGAGTACCGTGTTTTTCGCCCTATAGGACGCACCGGCCCATAGGACGCACCTCGTTTTTTGGGGGGGGAAATGAATAAAAAAAAATTATTCCCCCCCCCAGCTGCGGGGCTGGGGCGGGGGAAGCCCGAGCTTCCCCCGACCCCAGCCCCCAGAACAGGCTGCTATCCGCAAGCCTTGCAAGCCCGGTGGCAACTCCCACCGGGCTCGCAAGGCTTGTGGACACCTGCGCGAAGCATGGGGCGCCCTCCGGAGGGCGCCCCGTGCTTTGGGCTGCAGGCTGCCACCCGCAAGCCTTGCGAGCCCGTGGGAACTCCCGCTGGGCTTGCAAGGCTTGCGGATAGCTTCCTGAAGCCTGGAGAGCGAGAGGGGTCAGTGCGCACCGACCCCGCTCGCTCTCCAGGCTTCATCGAAAGCCTGCATTCGCCCCATAGGACGCACACACATTTCCCTTCATTTTTGGAGGGGAAAAAGTGCGTCCTGTAGGGCGAAAAATACGGTAAATGTTGTTGGCATCTGTCTTGAGATACAATGGAGGGCAACTCTGGGGGTGAAGTCAAAATGCTGTGTTAGCAGCACCAAAGTGACTTCTCTGGGGTGCAAGTCTGGACAGTGTGTACGGAGGTCCTGGGCTGCACAAACATCAAGACCCCCACTCGGCCTCACTGATTATATATTATTATTTTATTAGATCTATATACCACCCTTCATCAGGTCTGTTCGCAAGATTAAATCTGGGACAAAGTCCCTCCTGCAGAATGATATGGTCCAAAGGAAAGCAGAGCAATACGTTTGGCATCAGCTTGGTTGCAGGAATTGCCCAAAGAAGTCATGCAAAGCGCCATCCAACCGTCTTAGCCACAGGGGTCAGCAAACTTTTTCAGCAGGGGGCCGGTCCACTGTCCCTCAGACCTTGTGGGGGGCTGGACTATATTTTTGGGGGGAGGGAATGAACAAATTCCTATGCCCCACAAATAACCCAGAGATGCATTTTAAATAAAAGGACACATTCTACGCATGTAAAAACATGCTGATTCCCTGACCATCCACGGGCTGGATTTAGAAGGCTATTGGGCCGGATTGGGTCCCCGGTCCTTAGTTTGCCTACCCATGGCCTTAGGGACTCCACTCCAGATTTGTGTAGGCGTTTAGTCCTTAGCCTTTTCTTCTCTTGAAGATATCCTGCAAGATGGTGGAGGTTTAGGATCAGAGTTTTCCTTCTCCTAGATGGGCTACCTTCCCAAGTTGACGAGCTCCATCTGCCCCTCACTTCCTTCTACAGCACATGCAGAAACCGCCTTCTTGACTGTTGGACCCGTATTGGTCTCATCCAGTCAATCTGCCGGAGTCTTGTCTTGACATGTAGGAGAAGTCCCCAACTCACTGGCAGTTTACACCCATTACAGCTGGTTCAGCCAGCTAGTTGAAGTCATTTCCCAGGGTGTGGACGCTGTCACATTAATGGAGTAAATACCACTCAGCTGGTCTTTTGATTCTCACAGATGGACACTGTACTGCAAGAATGAGGAGCCTGTGGCCCTCCAGATGTTGTTGGACTCCAGTTTCAGCCTTAAGCCCCATTTTTCTCTCCTTCTCCACATTTGCTGTTTGGATAGAATTGTATATGAAGTGTGCAAACACTGGCCATGGGAATAATTCACTGTGGGGGGAAATAGCTGTGTGCTATAGGAAACAGTAGGGATGCGGGTGGCGCTGTGGGTTAAACCACAGAGCCTAGGACTTGCTGTTCAGAAGGTTGGTGGTTCAAATCCCCACGACGGGGTGAGCTCCTGTTGCTCGGTCCGTGCTCCTGGCAACCTAGTAGTTCAAAAGCACATCAAAGTGCAAGTAGATAAATAGGTACCGCTCCGGTGGGAAGGTAAACGGTGTTTCCGTGCACTGCTCTGGTTCGCCAGAAGTGGCTTAGTCATGCTGGCCACATGACCCGGAAGCTATACGTCGTCTCCCTTGGCTAATAAAGCGAGATGAGCACCGCAACCCCAGAGTCGGTCACGACTGGACCTAATGGTCAGGGGTCCCTTTACCTTTACCTTATAGGAAACAGTACCAGCTTTTAGCTTTTATCAAGAGAGTAAATTGGTAGATCCAGGTGAGGCTTTGGGAGGAATGGCACTGAAATGATCATACTGTGATAGTATTAGCCTTTTGCCACTTGTTTATGCTCTGAAAGAAATGTAATACTTGACTTTAGAGGGTTTTAAAAGTTCAGAAAGGAATGGGATATTTGGAGAGAGAAAAATGTCTTTTAAATAAAACTTTGCCCCTGGACCATTGTGGGTACTAAGCCAAGTTCATGTTATGGGCAGTAGCTCCAGATGGCCTTTTCTGAATGGGGCAGGATGCCTAGAGCCCAAGACGTTGTGCAGAAGCACAAACTCTGCTTTAACATGACATCCAAAACAGTAAAGTGTGTGTTGGGGTGAGGGAGGCAGAACCCAAACTCTCCTTCTCTCTGCAGTCATCAAACTCCTGATTTTGAGTGTCCAGGATATTTTAAAATGGATGAATAAACTAATCAAGCAAGGCATGGCAAGGCAAGTGGGACACACTCAATGCAGGAAACAAAGAAACCTGAAGTGAGATTTGTCCCAAACACCATTCCATCTTTCTCCTCTTTCTCCCAGTCTCCCTTCCCCCGGGGTCATGTATTATTTTGTGATAGGCCTTAATTGTTAGAAGCCTCTTGAGTGAATGTTGACTGAAAAGTAGGAGCCAGGGTATATACAATAATTAAAATGACACACTATTATTTTCTTAGGGGAAAGGGGGTGTGGATGGTGAGAACAGGATGCTGGACAAGATAGGCCATGGGCCTGATCCTGCAGGCTCTCCTTACGTTGTTATTAGACAAGTATAGTTCTGTTCAAGCTGTATGAAGTGCTTCCTCTATTCGCTCTTTCCTCCTGCATGCCGATTTTCATTTCACTCAGCAAGCCGCCCTGTTTAACATTTAATATCCCTTGACGTCTTCCGTGCGGCTTTACAGAGTCCCAATGGCTGTAAGCGACCACAGATCTCCATTGGGTGCGGCTATAATTAAACCACCTTGGAATGGGAGAGCAGAGTTAATATTTACCTAGCCGTGGAGTGAAAAGCCTTGTTTTTTTTCTCTCTTGATATAAAGCAAGAGACAAGACTGCCTTGTACTTGAGTTTTATGGTAAGTGCTTATCTTGCACTTGGGGCAGAGCCCAGCCCCACCCAGTACCCGTTTTAACGTTTTGGCTTTCCTGTTAACTCAAACGGGGTAAATATGTATTAGGGAGCCTGGCATGCCTGTCTTCCCTTTGAAAACAGGCATGTTGGAGGGTAGCAGTTGACAAGGGTTGTGTGTCTTGACATGCCATTAAAAGATGAGTCTGGTGCTTCACTGTATACTTTTCTATTTTGACTCATAATTTAAGAACATAGTGCTATATGAATTCTAAGGTCTCATATATATAAATCTTATGTCCATAAATTTACAAGGCAAACATGTGCATAAGTATAGAAACCACATGTCTGAAATAGTACAGGAGAGCAATCCTGAAACCATTTTGACTCTTCCAGTGACCTCAAATATTATCTGCAATGGAGAAGAAAGCCTCCCCGTTGTCTCTTTGCTCAAATTCTGTCTTAAGGGCAAATTTGTGTATGAATAGGGTGAGCCTGTGACCTGGATTCAGGAACTAAGTATTTAGCATCTCGAAATGAATGGCCAGGCTACCCAGGTGGCGCAATCAGTGACCATTGTCAGGTATCCTGACAAACAGGATTTCTGTGGTAGACTGCCCCCTGTGATCTATTTCTGTTGGAGACCGCCTCCTTATGTGATGTTTGTATGATGCTTTGGGGGTGGTATTGAGCTACAGGGTGGGCAATTTCAAAAGTCTATATAAGGGCTTGCACACCATTGTTTGGAATTCCTCTCCACCCTCCCTGCGTGGGGTGAGTGGGGGACCCTGTTGCAACAGTTTAATAAAGATCAGGCTTATTAAGCTGCTTTGCTTCTTAATATTCTCTGGTTGGCCTCTGTTATTTTCTCCTTCTGATAGGGAACCTACTTAAGGACTCTATACGGCCTCTTGGATACCCTATAAGGGAAAAGGAGCAGGTTTTTTTCTTATAACAATAGGAAGCTGAGTCAGACCATTGGTCTATCTAGCTCACTTTTACCTTTACCCATCTAGCTCAGTACTGTCTACACTGACTGCCAGCAGCTCTCCAGGGTTTCAGACAGAAGCCCTTCCCAGCCCTACCTGGGGAGGCTGGGGATTGAACCCAAGATTTTCTGCATGCAGAGCACTCACTCACTAAGCTACAGCCCTTCCCCAAAGGAGGGAGAAATGGGGTAAGGGAAAAGGTCTCAATTTGTTTAATACGAGGGCAGTAGCAATGTAGAGACAGGAGGATGAGCAGTGAGAGGTCTAGGGGCATTACTGAGTAAGGTAGGGGTAGCCAATGTCATGTCTTGCCAGTATGGCTAGTAGTCAGGGATGATGGGAGTCCAACAATGTCTGGAGTAAAGAGACATACCGTATTTTTCGCTCTATAGGACGCACTTTTTTCCCTTCAAAAATGAAGGGAAAATGTGTGTGCGTCCTATGGAGCGAAGACGCCGTAGCCCCGCGACCCTCTCCCGGCTGGAGAGGTGACGCGCGGCTATGGCAGGAGCCTCTACAGCCCCGCGTCACCTCTCCAGCCGGGAGAGCGCGCGCGTGGCGAAAGCAGCCCCCAGCGACCCTCTCCCGGCTGGAGAGGTGACGGGCGGCTATTGAGGCTCTTGCCATAGCCGCCAGTCACCTCTCCAGCCGGGAGCATGCGCGGGCTAAAGCAGCCCCAGCGACCCTCTCCCGGCTGGAGAGGTGACGGGCGGCTATTGAGGCTCTTGCCATAGCCGCCAGTCACCTCTCCAGCCGGGAGCGCTGCGCGGGCAAAAGCAGCCCCAGCGACCCTCTCCCGGCTGGAGAGGTGACGGGCGGCTATTGAGGCTCTTGCCATAGCCGCCAGTCACCTCTCCAGCCGGAGAGCGCCGCGGGGCAAAAGCAGCCCCAGCGACCCTCTCCCGGCTGGAGAGGTGACTGGCGGCTATTGAGGCTCTTGCCATAGCCGCCAGTCACCTCTCCAGCCGGGAGAGCGCGCGGGGCAAAGCAGCCCCAGCGACCCTCTCCCGGCTGGAGAGGTGACGGGCGGCTGTTGAGGCTCTTGCCATAGCCGCCCGTCACCTCTCCAGCCGGGAGCGCGCTGGGCGAGAGCAGCCCCCCGCGACCCTCTCCCGGCTGGAGAGGTGACGGGGGGCTATGGCAGGAGCCTCTATAGCCGCGCGTCACCTCGTCAGCCAGGAGAGCGCGCGCGGGGCTAAAGAAACCATAGCCCTGCGACCCACTCCCGGCTGGAGAGGTGACGCACGGCTATGGCAGGAGCCTCTCCGCTGCGCCTTTCCGCTGCTCCCTGAACTGCTCTTTGGGGCTGGTGGTGGGCTTCCCCCCGCCAGCCCCCAAGAGCAGGTCGAAAGGAACCTGAAGCCTGGAGAGCGAGAGGGGTCAGTGCACACCGCCCCCTCTCGCTCTCCAGGCTTCCAAAGTAGCCGCCTGAACGCACCTTAAACGGCACCTTGTTTTAGAGCGGAAAAACAAGAGGGGGAAAGTTCTCCCCCTCTCTGCACAGCGCCTCCTGCCACTTCGCTGAAGGGCGCTGGGCAGAGAGGGGGAGATTTTTTTTTTCTTGTTCTCCCCCCTCTAAAACAAAGTGCGTCCTATTGTCCGGTGCGTCCTATGGTGCGAAAAATACGGTAATTCTAATTCTAAAACAGGATGCAAGGATTCTCCCCAAGCCCACTGCAGGGCACCTAACAGTGTCTTTAAAATATATATGGCTATAAAATCATTAGTAGAACTAGAGAGAATTTCCTCAAATCTTGATCTAGTCCTCCACCAAAGGCCATCAAGAATGAGCCTTTAACGGATTATCCTGGACAAACGCTTCCAAGTTAGGGGTACAGTCCCTAAAACAGGCTCTGTTTCTTTTTGTTAACCTTGGTGGTCCATGATTTTCTAAATCTGGACCTTTGTTTTTTGAAGCTCAGTATGTGCAGGAAGGTTCAAATGAAGACATGCTGTTCCCTGGATATCGGAAGGCCACCCATTATGTTTTAGATACTTAGCAGAAGCCGCTCTTGTTTGTAGGTTTGTTTTGCTGCAGGTATGGAGTAGTTAAGGTACAGCTATGACCCCTCCGTCTGTAAGTTGCATTGAAATCAGCAGCGCTTACTTCCAGGAAAATGTGTTCAGAATGGGGATAGTCTGACTGCTTAGTTTAGTAAGGCTGTGATCCTGAACCCTTAGTAGGAAGAACTGCTTCAGCTTCAGCAGGGTGGCTGCATGTGCTATCACACTATGCCCAGAATCCCATCGTTCCTCCAAGGAGCTCTGAGCAGGTGCCCAACATAATGGCAATACAGTGGTACCTCGGGTTAAGAACTTAATTCGTTCTGGAGGTCCGTTCTTAACCTGAAACTGTTCTTAACCAGAGGCAACACTTTAGCTAATGGGTCTGCCGTGCCGCTGCTGTGCGATTTCTGTTCTCATCCTGAAGCAAAGTTCTTAACCCGAGGTACTATTTCTGGGTTAGCGGAGTCTGTAACCTGAAGCGTCTGTAACCTGAAGCATCTGTAGCCCGAGGTACCACTGTACAGTAAGCCTGCTGCTTACTGGTGGCTGAGAAGTACTCAGGGTGGGGCATATTGAAGAGCTTGTTTGCCCTGGCTGCAGGATGGGCAGCCTGCAAGGGTGCTGATTGTGTTCCTTTGTATTTCCGTCACTTCCTATGGACCAGTGCCTCGGATGTGAATCTTTCTGTGCTTGCAGGAGAGCATTTGCTCTCGGCAGTCTGGCTGCATCTCTGCTGCTGCTGCAGTGGGTGGGTCACCACCAAACTGCATAGTAACTCTGCCTCTGGTGGAGAGGGAATTCAGAGCATCAAATGCTGCCGTCTCTCTCTGTGTGATCTGCTAATAACTAACGCCATGCAGTTTCTGTAGCATCACTTGGCCCGAGGAGGCTTCTGTGGAAACCGGCTTCTTCGCAGTGTAAGTTGCTCTGTTGGGTTTGGGTGGGGGTTCCACTTTCGGGAGCTGAAGGACAAAGATCAGAGGGCTGTCCGTTCTTACTGGCAAAACGGCAAGCTTATTTTGTTTATTTGTATTCAGATGGAGCCCCTCTGGACCAGACTGATTGGTAGAGCAGGAAGCTGGAGCCCACGTTTAACAAGGACCATGGGTTGTGTCGGGATGGATTGGATTAAAGGGAACTCTGAATTATTTCAGCAGCTCTATTGGCGAGTATTGCAGGGTGGGGTTGCTGGCTGCATCGCAAGACAAAGCAGAGGGCAGCAGCTGGCGTGCAGCTCCTGCAGAGCAACAACTCTGAGCTAATAGGTGGAAGGCAAAGCCTGGTTTTCAGTGTGAATTATAGATGTGGCCTACCAGTGTTGGGGATTTGGCGATGCGCTAGGGAGGCACATCAACCAAGGCCATTCTCGCTTCTCTCTTAAAGTCCTTGTCCATTTATTGCTGCCGCCTTGGTTAAACTTGCTTCTTGGAAGATAAAACTCAATTATCCAGTGCAGTGGGACTCGGCACTTCTGCATCAGCCTCTGGGAATGCAGAGTAAAGTACAGGATTAGTGCACGCCAGTCATCTTACAGAGCCTGAAGTCCAGTGTGCTGCAATAGATGGTGGGTTTGATTTCAGTCTGGAAGCTCCTGGGTTCAGATGCTAATCTGTTTCAGACTTTGCATGGCCTCGGGCGAGTCGCTGTTTCTCAGCCTCACTTCCCCATACATAAAATGGGAGTAATAGCGAGCTCCCCTGCAGAATTGTGAGATGGGCATACATAAAAATGGCAAAGCATGTTGCAGATGAAAAGTGCCTTGATAACTACTATTTTACAACAGCTGTACCTAGAAGGCTGACATATTTATTGTCTCATCCCTTAGTAAGCAAGATGCTAATGTATCAAGAGACAAGAATGTGGGGGCACTTGTGGATTTTGCAGAAGTTAACCATATTCCCAGTATAAAGTTGAAATCCATATGTCTTAGAAGCAGTAGCTGTTTAAAGAAATGTGGGCACAATCTAATATCCCCCCACCATCTATACTTGAATCATAGAGTTGGAAGGGACCATGAGGCTCATCTAGCCCAACCCAGTGCAGGATTTCTAGCTCTCAAAAGCAGAGGTGGGGAGCCATTGGTCCTCCAGATGTTGTTGAACTCCTGTTCCCATCAGCCCCAGCCAGCTGGCCTAGGATAGTGGGAGTTGCAATGCTGCAACATCTGGAGGGTCACAAGTTCCCCATCTCTGTTGTAAGCTGTAGTCCTGGGGAAAGGTGAAATACTCCCATCTTCCAGTTACAGGTAGGTAGCCATGTTGGTCTGCTGTAGTCGAAACAAAAACAAAAAAAATCCTTCCAGTAGCACCTTAGAGACCAACTAAGTTTGTTATTGGTATGAGCTTTCGTGAAGAAGTGTGCATGCACATGAAAGCTCATACCAATAACAAACATAGTTGGTCTCAGGTCCGTATAGTTAAAGCTATGGTTTTCCCAGCAGTGATGTATGGAAGTGAGAGCTGGACCATAAAGAAGGCTGATCGCCGAAGAATTGATGCTTTTGAATTATGGTGCTGGAGGAGACTCTTGAGAGTCCCATGGACTGCAAGAAGATCAAACCTCTCCATTCCGAAGGAAATCAGCCCTGAGTGCTCACTGGAAGGACAGATCCTGAAGCTGAGGCTCCAATACTTTGGCCACCTCATGAGAAGAGAAGACTCCCTGGAAAAGACCCTGATGTTGGGAAAGATGGAGGGCACAAGGAGAAGGGGACGGCAGAGGACGAGATGGTTGGACAGTGTTCTCGAAGGTACCACATTGAGTTTGACAAAACTGCAGGAGGTAGTGGAAGACAGGAGTGCCTGGCGTGCTCTGGTCCATGGGGTCACGAAGAGTCGGACATGACTAAATGACTAAACAACAACAATTGGTATGAGCTTTCTTGTGCATGCACACTTCTTCACGAAAGCTCATACCAATAACAAACTTAGTTGGTCTCTAAGGTGCAACTGGAAGGATTTTTGTTGTTGTTGTTGTTCCCATCTTCCAGTGAGGGAAATGGCTGCTGAATGAAATATTTCCCAGCTACTAGTGGTCAAGAGCTCATGGGTTTTCCCTGTTATGACCAACCTGATTGTGTGGGTTGATTTCTGGACAGGTTGTGAATTAGGAATGTTTCATGTTGCCTGTTCCCAATGGACTGCTCTCTTGGTGCATTAGGAAATGTGTCAGAAGCATTATATCAGGACTCAGCTCTGCAGCTGCAAATAAAATGTTTTAAGTGTGACACTAGATGGTGATGGTGAGCCTTATAGAAAATTCAAAGTGTTTTTAAAAACACTTTTAAAAAAGCATTTTCAGAGTGGTTTTTATATGTTTGTAGATTCCACCCCTATCACATTTCAGTATGCAAAGCATTCTGAAGCCACGTAGATGCATGTTTTAATCTCCTTCCTTAGAAGCAGGGCTTTTTTCAGCTGGAACTCAGTTCCGGCACCTCTCAGGTGGGTGCCATTGCCATTATAAGAGAACAAGGGAGGCATTCACGATGAGTTCCAGCACCTCTTTTTCTAGAAAAATAGCGCTCCTGGGAAGGGGTGTGCTTTGCCCTTTAGAGTACTTGTTGGCGCTGAATGTTTTTTGAGGAGTGAATGCCGAAAGGCTGGATAGCCAAATGAACATAGTTTGGCTGAAGGACCAATGTTATCTGCATGGATAAAGGAGATCCATCATTCATTAGATGATCCAGCAGGTTTTTTTAGCTAGAGATCAGGCTGGAGAGCAGGGCGGGGTTAAAACTCAATGGACATCACCCTTCCCTGCTCTAAACATAAAGCTTGTTAGGAGGAAGAGTAAGGAATACCTGCCCTAAGAAAAGCCTACCCCTTGCATTTCTCCACTTCACTTGCTCTGGACATGCCTCCTGAATGTATAAAACACGCCCAGAGCAATGACTTGCACAGAAGAAGAAGAGGAAGAGTTTGGATTTGATATCCCGCCTTTCACTCCCTTTAAGGAGTCTCAAAGCGGCTAACATTCTCCTTTCCCTTCCTCCCCCACAACAAACACTCTGTGAGGTGAGTGGGGCTGAGAGACTTCAAAGAAGTGTGACTGGCCCAAGGTCACCCAGCAGCTGCATGTGGAGGAGCGGAGACGCGAACCCGGTTCCCCAGATTACGTGACTACCGCTCTTAACCACTACACCATACAGAGATGCAACAGGCACCCTCCTCTGAGGGTGGTTAATTATCCTGGCACTCCTAATGCAGAGAAGCAGCAGAAGTGGCTTCCCTCAGAGGACAGTGGTTTGGAGGAGGAAAGTCCAGAGCAGCAAATCATGCAGAGATGCAACAGGCAGCCTCCCAAGATGAATGCTTCAGCCTTCTAAGACAAAGTACAGTGGTACCTCGGGTTAAGTACTTAATTCGTTCCAGAGGTTTGTTATTAACCTGAAACTGTTCTTAACCTGAAGCACCATTTTAGCTAATGGGGCCTCCCGCTGCTGCTGCACTGCCCCCATGCAATTTCTGTTCTCATCCTGAAGCAAAGTTCTTAACTCGAGGTACTATTTCTGGGTTAGCAGAGTCTGTAACTTGAAGTGTCTGTAACCTGAAGCGTCTGTAACCCGAGGTACCACTGTAGTTGAATCTCTTACAGGGCAGAGTTTTAGCAGTTGTTGGTTTCACCAAAGTGGAAAATTCAGGGGGGAGACCTGAGATATCTTTGCTGCCCCCTTGCAGCAATTCCCGCCCCCCTATTCTGTGAGCCAGGCAAATGAGTTGGAGGCAGTTGTATGTTTAAGACTGTGATGCTGATCTTAGAAATGTTTTGTTCATGGGATATCATGGTGGGTTTTCCCCCCTCCAACTTCGAACACACACCCTCTGCCTCTTAGCTTGTTTATGTGAAATGCTTCTCCCTTCCATATAGTAAAAGAAAGGACGATTCATTAAAGAACTCTGAGTATGTCACTAGATTCCCAGTGTACAACTTACCATTTCCCCCATAATTACCTTGACTTGCCTTCCCGGCCAATTTATATCTGGAAGCACAGAGATCAGAGAACCCAGGAGTTTTTATGGAGCGTCTAGTTTAGAAGAGCTGCTATATCTGCTTTCTGCAAACCTTTTCCATCCCACACCTTACAGCTATGATGAGTCAAATCCCAGCATTGGTAGCCTCAGGGCTGAGAGCTTTGTAGGAACTCATCTGTTGTCTTTGCTAGAAGTAAGTATTGATGAGCTTATTCAAACCGGAGATGCGTGAGGATTTAGTAGGCATGACTAAATGGTCACAGTATTGCTGTGACAAGCCCATTTGGATAGGGGAGGGTGACCATCTGCCTGCTATTCTGGTACTCCCCACCCCCAAAGTATTTATTTTTGTAACCTTGGCAAACAACCAAGATGAGAAGAAAACAGAAGTTGTTATAGAAGCGTCAAATTTCCTGGTTTGTTCTCCTTGTGGGTGAATGTTTTTGATACAAAATTGGTAACCAAAGTGAGTTTAATTGGATCCAGAGATCCAATTAAAGGGTGTTTAGGTAGTTCTGTGCCACTTAAAAAAATATTTTCATTGAAAGGTTTTCATGGATAACAAAGCTGCATATAGTGTCTATGTTTTAGTCCTGTGCCACTTATCGCTTATTCAGTGCTGTGGGAATGACCTCGCTGCTGTACCCCAGACTCAAGAAATATACCGTATTTTTCCGTGTATAAGACTATATTTTTTCCTAAATTTTTGAAGTTTAAAATAAGGGGTCGTCTTACACAGCGGTACCCCGGGTTAAGTACTTAATTTGTTCCGGAGGTCCATTCTTAACCTGAAACTGTTCTTAACCTGAAGCACCACTTAAAAATAAATAAATAAATAATATATTATTTATACCCCGCCCATCTGGCTGGGTTTCCCCAGCCACTCTGGGCGGCTTCCAACAAAATGTTAAAATAAAATATTCTATTAAACATTAAAAGCTTCCCTAAACAGGGCTGCCTTCAGATATCTTCTAAAAGTTTGGTAGTTATTTTTCTCTTTGACATCTGGTGGGAGGCCGTTCCACAGGGCGGGTGCCACTACCAAGAAGGCCCTCTGCCTGGTTCCCTGTAACTTGGCTTCTCACAACGAGGGAACCGCCAGAAGGCCCTCGGCGCTGGACCTCAGTGTCCAGGCAGAGACTGCTAATGGGGCCTCCTGCTGCTGCACCGCCGTTGTATGATTTCTGTTCTCATCCTGAAGCAAAGTTCTTAACCCAAGGTAGCATTCTGGGTTAGTGGAGTCTGTAACCTGAAGCGTATGTAACCAATTCTGGAACATCCTCCCTAAGATAGCCTGCCCAGGCCAGGCCTTCCAGTTTTTTCGAAGGAAAGTTAGATGTCTTTTAACATAGACAGGCATTCTGTGTGATTGCCCGTTGGTATTTCAGTTTACTCTAGTTGTATTTTTTTATTCTCTTTGGTTACGCATTTTTATTTTACCTGTTAGTTTTGTGAATTATTTTGTGATCCCTTTTGGCTCTGTTTATGGAGACAGTTGAAGTACAAGTTTAAAGTACACACACACATGCACTTTTGCCTGGATATCTTCATAGTTAAATGTGCTGGGGAGCCCCTCTCTTTGTCTTGGACATGTGGAAAAGTTCTAGACGTTTGCAGATGTGAGATAGCTCAGTAGAGCACAGGACTCTTAATTTCAGAGTTGTGGGTTTGAGCCCTATGTTACGCAAAAGATTTCAGCATTGCAGGGGGTTGGACTCTATAATACTATAATTTCTATATTTTTTAAAATGATATTTATTAAAAGTTTAAAAATTACAGAAAAAAGAAAAAAGACAACAATAAAAGAGAAAAAGAAACATAGAAAAGCAATACAACAATACAGCAAAAAAAGAAAAAACTAAAACACACATCCAATATTCCATATCTTTACCTTTCCTTTACTTGTCTCATCGACCTCCTCACACCTCCCTTTTTTTGTATTCTAGTTCAATTCACTCTTTCAGCAAATTCTTATATATATCTATAATACTATAGTATATATATAATACTATAATATATATCTATAATACTATAATTTCTATGATCTATGTAATAAAGCACTGGGTGGCGCTGTGGGTTAAACCACGGAGCCTAGGGCTTACCGATCAGAAGGTTGGCGGTTCAAATCCCTGTGTCGGGGTGAGCTCCCATTGCTCGGTCCCTGCTCCTGCCAACCCAGCAGTTCAAAAGCACGTCAAAGTGCAAGTAGATAAATAGGTACTGCTCCGGCGGGAAGGTAAACGGCGTTTCTGTGCGCTGCTCTGGTTCGCCAGAAGCGGCTTAGTCATGCTGGCCACATGACCCGGAAGCTGTATGCCGGCTCCCTCGGCCAATAAAGCGAGATGAGCGCTGCAACCCCAGAGTCGGTCACGACTGGACCTAATGGTCAGGGGTCCCTTTACCTTTACCTTTTATGTAATAAAGCGCAACTCAGTTAAGCTGCAGAGTTTGGCTCTTTAAACATCCTTGTGACTAGATTGTGCTGAACAAAAATGCTTTGTACTGACAGGATTGCGAACTGTGTTTAGAAAGCTTTCGCCACTCCAATAGCTTTCCAGTATCCTAAAAATAAGGGACTATGCTAGATTAGTGATTGCAAAAAATGGGAAAACTTTAAATGCAAATATTTTTGAAGCCTGGGTTTCCCAAGAATGGGACATCTTGCTTATGAACATATTAACCATTTCACAAAAGGAATAATAATAAGGTTTGGGGGGGGGAGAGACTCACACTTTTTATACAACTTAGTAGCCCTTTATTGACTTTGTTAAGACAATCACACATAGTTTTCACCCTCGATCTACTCATGGAACCTTATGGAAAGACACTTTCATTTGATTGCCTTTCTTGGAACGTCTAAAACTACAACCCTCAGCTGCTGTTTTTCTTTCTTTTCAGTACAAGTACTACGCTCTCTTTTCCTTGCATAAGTATGTTTTATTACTTGAAATTAAAAATCTTTTTTTTTTTTAAAGGGGACTATATTAAGCTTAAATGTGTGGAGCTGAAGGTGCTGTAGCTCTGAATTTGGAAGCGGGGGGCTTCTTACTTAAATAGCACCGAAATGCCAACAACATCCCCATCCACCTGTTACAACTAAGGTGTGAAAACTGCATTCTGCAGGGCAGGGTATAAATAAAAATTTATTATTATTATTTTAGAAAATGTATAGACCATTGATCGTTTAAATAAATAAAAACCAAAACCAAAACCTCAAAGTGGTTTACAAAAATATGCCTGGTGCTTAGGCTCCCCACCATTTGCCCTTTCCCCTTCCAGCAAAAACTGCACACCTTGGCCACCCTGCTGGTGGAACGTACCCTGCTTTTCTCCCCTCTGTAGCAGCCTGAGCATCCCTCCCTCACTCTCAGACCCCCTTTCTGACTTGGAAAAGCAAACTAGGGCTCTCGCCACTCCTTCCTTTCCCCCCTTCCCTTCCTTCTTTGTTCTTCCTGCTCCCGGTCTCTATGGCCGCAAGGAGACCTAGGTTTGAGGGACAGACCCTTTCCCACCTTGGGAGCAGGGATCAAGGGCAGCTGTGCTGGGAGAGAGGCACCCATTGCCCTGGCGCTGGGTGGTTTCTTTTAGTGGGACTTTCTGGGCAAACACAGGGAGGCGGGACAGTTGCCTAGCAAAGATCCCGGGGAGAGAACACCCACACCCACAGAGAGAGAGGTGGGACCAGACTGAGAACAAAGGCAGATCTGCTGATAGCCTCCTCCCTCTCTCCTCTCCCCCCCCTTACTCCGCCTTGTCTGGGTAGCGTAAGAGGCTGGCCTCCTGCCAAGGAGGGTCACACCAGCCCAGGTTTCTGTCTCTTGTCTCTGCAGCAAGCCCTGCCACCGGCAACAGCTGTTCTGATGAGGTAAGCCCCCTTCCTGTGGAAGCCTCTGGGTCCATGGAGTAAGGAGACATGCCGGCCGGCTGGCCGGCTGGCTGAGTGGGTGGAACAGATCGGATTGCTGCTGCGCATCTTTTTGAGAGAGGATTTGAGTCCAGGTAACTGCTCGGCAAAGGAGCAGGAGCCGGATCTTGGCGTCTTCTTTTCAACAACAACAAAACAGGGAAAGTGTCCGTGCGGCTGGGGAGGGATGTTGCCTCTGTATAATCTGCATCTCTCTCTCCCTCCCTTGTTTTCCTAGGCAAACTTTCGCTTAGCTTTGCACTGCCGGGTGGCAAATGCGTATGTACGCGTTAGTGAGGGCTGCCAGCTTTCTCACTGTCAAAGCTGTGTGTTTCCGGCTCGTTCGTTTCAGCCGCTCTGCAGGTTTCAAGAATGCATTGGCGGCTCCTTCTTTCTTCTCGCCTGTCTGCCAAGCCCCACAAACCCTAATCCTCGACGTTCAGCAATGGCTAGCATTTGTACAGTGCCATTTGGGAAAACTCAGCCATGGAAATGCAAATGAGGGGTTGTGGGTGGGAGACAGAGCCTCTTCCCAGAGTCTCAGATCGGAAATTAGGAAGGCTTGTCAACGTGCTTGGAGGAGCTGAGCAATTATACAGCACCTTCTCTTCCTTTCCCCCCACTTACTCCAGAACCCTCCTCAGTTCTGAGAGTGCAAATCCCCGTCGTTTTCTTCTATGGAGTTGAGTCCGGAACCAGACCGTCAAAACATTTTGTCCTCCTAGTTCTCTGCAAGATACACTTGTATTTCTTGAGCCGTTGAGGCTTTCTGTTGTGAGGAGAAAGAAATAGCAACTTAATTTCTCATTGTCTTTCGGTGGCCATACTGTAATCTATGTGTCCCTGTTTCATCCCGTTCCGTGCTGGATTTATGTGACCTCTGGGGCTGGAGGTGTGCTCTCTGCTCTTCCTCCTGTGCTCTTAAATGGCAGCTAAATCAGCTTTCTTTATTCCCAAGGGTGTGGGGGTGGTAGCAGCTTTGACGTCGCCATCAACCTTACCCAAGTTGCGCCTACCAATGACATGCCGTCTTCCTCTTTATGCAAGGACACAGAGCCGCAAGGTGTTGTGGGAATTTCCTTCTCTCTCTCTCCCTCTCTCTCTTTCTCTCCAGGTGATAAGGCTAAGTGGGAATAAGTCCTCTCTCTCTATGGGATCAGCTGTGTGCAGCTGTTGCTTTAAACGTTTCAGGACCTGACCTGTCCAAGTGAGCAACCTTGCCCTTTCCTTCCGTAGGTGGGGATCGTAGCTGCGCATGACTATGTCCACGATGGTATATCCCAGAGAGGAGAAGATGGACAAGCTCAGCCAAGAGGAGATCATCTCCAACACCAAACTAGTGATGCAGGGGCTGGAAGCCCTGAAGAATGAACACAACTCGATCTTGCACAGCCTGCTAGAGACCATCAAGTGTCTGAAGAAGGACGAGGAAGCCAACCTAGTGCATGAGAAGGCCAACCTGCTGCGGAAGTCAGTGGAGATGATTGAGCTGGGACTTGGGGAGGCTCAGGTAAGGGGCAGCCCATTGGGGTGTCTTGGAGCGGCATATGGGTTCGTCAAAGTAAGTGAAATACAGTCGTACCTTGGTTTTCGAACAGCTTAGTTCTTGAATGTTTTGGTTCCTGAATGCCGCAAATCTGAAAGTGACTGTTCTGGTTTGGGAACTATTTTTGGAAGCCGAAGCTTTTGGAAGCTTCCTGCAGCCAATCAGAAGCTGCACTTTGGTTTCCAAATGTTTTGGAAGTCGAACAAACTTCCAGAACGGATTCTGTTCAACTTCCAAGGTACGACTGTATGGGAAATCATTGTTTAATAAGGTTGTCAAGTACTGTATATTGCCTTAGCTGGCTCTGTGAAATCATGCTTGCCAAACATGTTTGGGTGTAGGCAGGACTCTGCCACTCTTATACAGGATAATTGCAGCTTTGGGCATAGAATTCAACATCTATAAGCTTTTGTAGCATTTCTTTTTTAAAAAATGCAAGTTTCTAGCCTTTTGGTTGTCAGGATAGGCTTGAAACTTTGTGTAAAATTCTGATGAAGTTGCTGAAATCTTGACTTTGCAGGGCAGGTGTGTGTGTTTGGCTGGATTTCTGTTCCTTGCTCAGGTGCCTTAAAGTCGATCCTTTCTCCATCCCATGATTTAGCAAAAGTGGTAACTTTTGCAAAATAAGCCAAGTACACATTTATTCAGATTTTTATTACTCATTCATTAAACATGTATGTGCACCAGCATATGAAAGTCAAAGGATCAGCTTCTATAGATGCAAAATCATAACAGTTTTAGCACAGCCCTTGGAGATGCAAACCTGGTACTCAACTAATCTGCGTGAATGATGGGGAATGGAGATTAGGAATTTTTGTTCCTCTGTCCTGGGCCCTCTGTCCAGCAGCACTGCCCATCCCTTCCTCCTTGACAAATAAGGGACCCGAAGAGGTGGTCAGGCCCTCCACATTTTGCTGGTCTTCAAGTCTTCCCCTGTCCCACAACCCTTTGTGTTATCTTGGAAGACTCCAGAATACAGCTGGGCAAGCAGCTGGTGTGGCCTGCCTGGCGTGGTTGTCTTGAATATGGTTCCAACTTTGTGTCTCCCCCACTCCCTTTCCTCTTACTCATTAACCGCAGCCTTGCTTCTCCTTGGCAGCCCATAGGTGACTTATGGAGGCAGCTGTGGGGCCCTTATGGCACTCCTTAAGGGGCCATATTCACGCCCCCCCTCAAGACCACAACTTCATCAAATCATAGAACTAGTCCAATCCCTGTATGCAAGAACCTCAAAGCTTCCATGACAGATGATCATCCCAACTTGTTGAACCCAAGCGTTGCATATTTTAGTCTGAGGCAAGGACTTGGGCTAGGTGATCCTCTGACTTATACTTCCTGCAGGCCTTGGAATCTCCTGTAGTAGTTTTTTTCTTTTTACTGAGACGGGGAACCTTAAGTCAGGCCAGCCGGGAGGTTTTTGGATAGAGCAACATGGAAACTGCCACCGAAGAGGGACCTCCCAAGGGGGCACTATTCTTGCAATAGGCCAGGGGTGTGGAGACTCAGGCCTGTGCCTGAGACATGCGCCCCCTCAGGCCTCTTTAGCTGGTCCTCTGAACTGTTCATGGCCATATGTTTTTGCCTGGCTAGAATATGTCCCTGAGCTCTGATAATGACTCTCTTCCCTCCCTGCCAAGCAAGAGAGGGGGATATGTATTGGTGGGTGGGCGTGTTTAGAAACTAGCATGCTGTACAAAGGTAACATTTACGTTCATTGCTCCACCCACTTTTGCCTCTGGCTCCGCCTACCACTGTTAATGTGCCCCCTGCCCCCATCACCCAAAGGTTACCCTGAAGGAAACGCAGCCCTTCAGGGTCAAGAAAGGTTTTCCCACCTCTGCGTTAGGCAACGGCGAACGTCTCTTCTTGCTTCCCTTGGGCCAGGTGATGATGGCTTTGTCAAACCACCTGAACGCAGTGGAATCCGAGAAGCAGAAGCTGCGGGCCCAGGTGCGCCGGCTGTGCCAGGAGAACCAGTGGCTGCGGGACGAGTTGGCAAACACCCAGCAGAAGCTGCAGCGCAGTGAGCAAACGGTGGCGCAGCTCGAGGAGGAAAAGAAGCACCTGGAGTTCATGAACCAGCTGAAGAAATACGATGAAGATGTGTCCCCATCGGTGAGCACCCAGAACATTTTGGAGTGGGGGAAGATGCCTGTGTCTTGACATGGAGCTCTTTCTGCTTGAAAGTCTAGTAGTGATGGTCTTTCCAAGAGGTCCTGATAGAGCATCTAGCAATTTGAGTTTGTCTGGGTGGATGAGATAGACACGGCTCACCCCAGCTACAGTAACTGGGTTGGTCTTCTCTTGCTGGGGAAGAGAACCTTTGAATGGGCTTGGTTGGTTAAGCTTAAGCTTAACTACTTAAGCGAAATATTAAGCACTCATGCTCTCCTTTCCCCCTTTTTCTTTGTTTCTTCCCCCCCCCCATCAATGTCCCAGGAGGAGAAAGAAGGCGATTCCACAAAAGATTCCTTGGATGACTTGTTTCCAAATGAGGAAGAGGACCAGGGCCAAGGGTGTAGGTTGCATTCCTTCCTTATTTTATTATTCATTTATTTAACCAGCAGGATTTGCATACCACTTCCTCATCAAAACCATTAAGCAGTTTGCATAAGATGATATAAAATTTACATTAAGATAAGGTCTTTAAAAACAAGCTTTCAAAATGTAAGTAAAGTCAGCAGTTTGTTTGTTTTTTTAAAAAATACGCATAATAGAATAAAATCACATGTTAAAACACATGTCAAAATTCCATGTGTCTGGGTATGCTTGCCCTAAGCCAGCCTGTCTCAACCTGTGGGTCCCCAGATGTTGTTGAACTACAACTCCCATCACCCCTAGCTAGCAAGGCCAGAGCTCAGGGATGATGGGAGTTGTAGTCCAACAACATCTGGGGACCCACAGGATGAGAACTGCTGCCTAAGCGAAGAGGTTTTTTGCAGACAGTATGGCAAAGGTGCCTGTCTAATATCAATGGGCGGGGAGTTCCTGGGTGTATAATTCCTTGCAAGTGCAGAACAAGCATCATGTGGCACTTATCAAAGTGCTCATTCTGCAGATCAAAGCGGTAACTGGGGTAACTGTGTGCAGAGGACAGATGAAAGGAAGAGTCATAAAGCTACCTTTTTGGACCTATCTTCCAGCGGCTGTTGTGTCTCATTTGAGAGGGAGTGCTAGCCAGTAGGAATGGGCCATAGCCCCCATGGCATTGCGAGCTGCCTCCTCTGTCCTCGATTAATGCGCTCTTATGTTTGCAGTGCCTCATCCGCACAGTAGTGCAGCGGCAGCCGCCCAGCAAGGCGGCTACGAGATCCCAGCACGCCTGCGCACACTCCACAACCTGGTGATCCAGTACGCTTCCCAGGGACGCTACGAAGTGGCTGTTCCCCTCTGCAAGCAGGCGCTGGAGGACTTGGAGAAGACTTCGGGCCATGACCACCCTGACGTGGCCACTATGCTGAACATCTTGGCCTTAGTATACAGGTGAGAGGAGGAGGGGAATGGCGGACACTCACTTCTTTTTAATAATAATTTTTATTAGTTTTCAATTACAACAATCCAATAATAGCCTCGTTATAACAATGCCAAATTATAATACAATTATTAATACCAATCATTCAGATGCCAAATTATATAATTTAGGCGGGCCCCACGTGCTAGGATTGATGGTTTGATGATTTACTTTATTTCTGCATTCCAAAATCTTACTAATTTCAATTACACACCAGTCAAAATAACAATCCCTTATACAACAACTGCTATTTTAACGATTTCCATTTGTATTGACACATTAAATGATTTATAAACTTACAGGTGAAGCATTCAAACTATATCCTTGACCTTCCTGTGTGTGGCAATTATTCTGTCTGTGATGTTTCTTCCTGTCCTTGTAAAATGTTATGTCTATCTTTTCCCTGTTGTTGCTGTTCTCCATCATGCCTTGGACAGAGCTAGTATCCCATTGTTGTTTCAGAAGTTCTCCATTGCACCACCCCGTGCTTCATTGTTTTGCAACTTTAACAGCAGCTGCAAAAATCGCACTGTCCCAATAAATATCCTGTTTTCGCCATTTTTCTCTCAGCCTGGGAAGGAGAGCGATCTTTCGAGCTTCAAATAACTCAGTAATGAACCTTATCAACTCCGGCAGACACTCACTCACTTTGGAAGGAACAGGGCTTTCTTGGTTTTTCCCCTTGTGTGACTACGGAACAGTTGTCTGGGACAGTGAAACTCAGTGCTTTGAATTTAACTGTGGAAAGTTGTGTGGCGAAGGAGGAAGGACCTCCCTGGGTCTTGTGTGATACAATCTCTGTCCCTCCAGTATTGCTCACTATGTGCCTCACTTTGTGCTGCAGGGATCAGAACAAATACAAGGAGGCAGCTCACCTTCTGAACGATGCACTGTCCATCAGGGAGAAGACACTTGGCAAGGACCACCCTGCAGTAAGTAGCCGTTTCCCTGGACTTTGATGAGAAGGAAGTTCTGGGCAGTGGGGAGTTGTAAGCCAGTCATGTGGCCAAGGGGACTTGCAGGAGTGTCACGTTACATGGTCAGCTGACCCTTCGGAAGGGTTTGGTGCCAAGTCAGGGCTAGATGACTCAAAAGGGGGTTCTTTTTGCTGCAAAAGCTAAACAAGGAGTTCAAGGTGAGCGAGTTAGTCCCTGAACTAGGCCATTCTGCTGTAAAAATCTTGGACCATTTTTGCCATGGATGGTTGCAAGATAGTGGTGCTTAAAGGTATCTTGCTTGATAGGTCTTTCTTTCTTTCTTTCTTTCTTTCTTTCTTTCTTTCTTTCTTTCTTTCTTTCTTTCTATAGTTCTTCCATGGCTTTAATGTTAGGTCTGCTTATGTTTCTCTACAGGTTGCAGCAACCCTGAATAACTTGGCTGTTCTCTACGGCAAAAGGGGGAAATACAAGGAGGCAGAACCATTATGCAAGCGAGCACTGGAAATCCGTGAAAAGGTAAATTCCCTCCCCCCTGGAGAAGAAAGGGCCAGGGTGTCAAGACAACCAGCCGGGGGGCCTCTGCAACCCTCTTCAATGCTACTCAGGAAAGGGGAGCATGTGTGTTAGATAGGAAGTTTCCTGAGTCAGTCTAGAATGGTCTGTCTAGCTTAGTATTGTCTGCACTGACTGGCAGCATCTCTCCAGGGTTTCATGCAGGCATCTTTCCCTGCCCTACCTGGAGATGCCAGGGGTTGAAACTGGCACCTTCTGCATGCAAAATGTGGATCCATGTGGATTCAGAGCAATGCCTAGGGAGGGGCAGGTGTCAAATACGATGCAGAAGGAGCTATTTCTGCCAGAGCTGAAGCTCCAAATGACTTTCCACTCCCCGCCCCCCCAAAGTAAAAGGATCCTGCCATATTCCCAGATTTGCTTCTTTTCTTCCTAACTAGCCTTTTCTGTTTGTTTGCCTCCTTTTCAGGTTCTAGGCAAAGATCATCCGGATGTGGCCAAACAGTTAAATAACTTGGCTTTGCTATGCCAGAATCAGGGAAAGTATGAAGAGGTAGAATATTACTACTGTCGGGCGCTGGAGATATATGAGTCGCGCCTGGGGCCTGACGACCCAAATGTGGCCAAAACAAAGAACAATTTGGTGAGTCCACTGGGTGGTGAAAAGGGGGTGGGGGTGGGTATCGCGCATGAGGATCGGTGGCTGCCTGTGCTGCATTTTTAAGATTGTCATTCCTGTCCTCTGTCCCAGGCCTCCTGTTACCTGAAACAAGGCAAATATAAGGAAGCAGAGGTCCTCTACAAGGAGATCCTCACCCGGGCCCATGTGAAGGAATTTGGCTCTGTGGATGGTACGGACAGCGAAGAGCGAGGAGGGCTTGGTGGGGGTGTGCAGGCCAGTGGTGTATCGTGGGTTGCCCGTGCCCAGGACCACACTGTGGGAGGAAAGGAGTGCGCATGCGCATTCAACTGCCAAACGGCGTCTGCGTCACCCAGGAAATCGCAGCCATGGAGATAAGAAAAGAGTCATTCCGTTGTCTGGAAGAGGTCACTTCCTGGTTTATAGGTAGAAACCATTTTCAAAGGAGCCCAGTGCCAGAAGTGCACAGCTGTATTGAGGCAGCACCTGGTGTTGAAATTTTGCACCCCTAACAAGTTTGTGCCCAGGGCAGCCGCCCTTGTGCCCGCCCCCCAAACACCACTGGTGCAGGCTGGAGCCTAGGTGCCTATCTCCTTCTCCAACAGTACTCTTTGAATTACCTATTTCTTTTCATGGCCCGGCTGACAAAAACTATTTCCTCCAAAGAAAATAAGCAAACAGATCCAAAAATTTAAGCTTCTTCCTTTCTCGACTGTACCATGGGAAAGAGTAGCATTCCTTATGAAATATCAACAGGGTGTTTTGTTTTGTTTTGTTTTGTTTTGTTTTGTTTTGTTTTGTTTTGTTTTGTTTTGTTTTTGTTTTAACCAGATTTGTATTTTATCCTGCAGACGAGCACAAGCCGATATGGATGCATGCAGAAGAAAGAGAGGAGATGAGCAAGGTGAGTGCGAGAACATTTATTCTGGTGGGTGAGAGCAGGCACACAGCACACACCTGAGTTTTTCTTGTTCACCTGTCCTGCATTGGGAAGAGCTCCAGAAATGGCAGCATCCTCTCTTTGCCTTAGAGTGGATCTCTGATGGTGCCAAACCTGCTGACTGGTAGCTGCAGCGGAGGGCTGAATACCTTAGTGCAGCAGTATTTTGTTGGGTTGTAGTGTGTTAATGTGTCATGGGGGGCAGTAGGGACGAGGGGTTGCTACTCAGACTGCATAGAAACTTTCTGGGGCAGGAGTTGAAATTGATTGCCCTGTTTTTCCTGTGCCTTGCATGTTTTCTCTTTATTATAGTGCACTCCTTAGGACGAACTGGAGAGTGGAAGATGAAGGGATTTCAGCAGGTTTCTGGGCCACAGACTGCAGAACCAGAATGTTTTTAGAAAAATAAATCTCAAGCCTCAGAATTGGGTCATTTGGAAAGCTCAGTTGACTGATCAGGAAAAAATAGCTCCTTCAGCCCCAAGGCTTAAGAGAAGGGTAATAGGAAGACACTATAGTCTTCTGCACCATCACCTTCTGCTTTAGATTTCCCAGTCTTAGAAACCATGATATGTGGGGGAACCCCTGCCTATTAGAGCTACAGCAAGCCCAAGATACTTAGGAGACATGTTCCAGCCCATGGTGCAGTGAGCAATGGCTCATGGCTCCTTTGGAAACAGATAAATTGCAAAGACTTCACATACTTCTGAAACATTCTGGGCTAAGGTGCTGAGCACAGCACAGAACTTCACAAGCAGGAATATAAAAGCTCCAGCACACTTTCCATGCTGGAATTCAGTTGAGCGGAACCCACCTGGTTTTCTTTTTCTCAATTTCTCTCCCATTTTTACAAATCTTACCTGATGGCTGATGCCTGCTTTAATGTCTCAGGCTGTTTCCCTTGAACATGGGCCATGTCACTACAAGAAATAAGTAGGGTATTGGCACTCTTATCACTACCAGGCTTGCCAAATGCCCTCCTGTGGAATAGATGGTTTAGAATGAGTGAGATGGGTGCCTGTTTCTCAGGTTCTGAGCCAGCCTTTCTTCGCTGAAGAATTTTTGCTGCTCTTGCTGGATGATCTCGGAGTCAAGTCAGAGAACTGTGTGTTTATGTGCTGCCTTGAATATTGTTGGCTAACAAAATCTGACCCTGCTATGATATGATCTCATGTCAGGAAGTGGCTGAAATCAAGAGCCACTTGAAACAAATTTTCCTCTGGAAAAAACCAGCTGGGCGTCTTTTAATTGGATTTCACCTGGATCATGGGCTCAAATGAGTCAGCTGGTTAAATGAGAGACTTCATACATACTTCTTGAGGCAAAACTCCCTCTTCTGTCAACCAGGATCTTTATCAAGAAGCTAAGAGTACTGATTTAGGTCCTCTTCATTGCCCTATCAGCAATCTGTCTGCCGATCCTTTTAATCCTATGTAATTTTGTTTCCACCAACCTTCTCTGTTTCTCATCACATGCTTGAAAAAACACTGCGATGCAACACCTCTCTGTCAAGTACTTGTGAACATGATTTAAATATTTCATGCATTCTTCAGTTCCAGGCAGGAAGCAAATGAGGGGGGCAGGTTTTGTTCCCAAACCTGGAGCCGTGGTACTCTAATCCCACCTGACTCTTTCCTGCATGGTCTTCCTTCAGTGGACTGCCCTTTCACTACTGTGGCTACTTTGGCCTCCTCTAGCAGAGTTTCACTCCAGCACATTGAGCAGGGAGCAGCTGGAAAAAGGTGGAGCAATAAGGCTCAGACCATTTCCCCTCCCAGTTCCTTAATGCAGCAAGCATCTAGTTAAGTTAGTCACTAAGGCCCAGTTCACACTTGAAGCATTATTGTGACTAGGGAGCTTCCTATTGGTTCATCTGTTTTCTAGTCTGATGGGCAATGGCTCTCCATCATCTCATAGGATCATAGGATGCTGCCTTATTCTGGGTCAGACATTGGGTGCATCTAGCTCTGTATTGTCTCTCCAGGGTTTCAGACAGGGAATCTTCCAAGCCCGACCTGGAGATGTCAGCAATTGAAACCTGGGCCTTCTGCAGGTGAATGAAGTGCTCCATCACTGAGGTCTTTCCCATCACCTGCTACTTGCTCCTTTTTACTAGAGGTTCCAGCATTGAATGTGGAGCCTTCTGCAGGCAAAGGATATGCTCTTGTCACTGAGCTGGGGTCTGTCCCCAAGTAGGAATGAAAAGTGTAAATACAATAAAGCTGATTGTGGACACCCATGTGAACTGTGACTGATAGAGACTTCCTGGTACATGCCCACCATGTGGCCCTGCGTGCTTGCAAGCACACCTCTCCGCACATTGCAGTACTCGGCATTACAATTAGAGGTCTGTAAGTAGCAAACTCATTGCCTCTTAAAAAGAGTGATAATTGGAAGACACCAAGTGGGTCAGTCTCTGCTGAAACGGACAGAAAAGGGAGATGTCTAAAGGTTCTGTAGTTTGTGGGAACATAGGAAGCTGCCTTATACAGAATCAGACCCTTGGTCCTCCAGGGTTGCATACAGGGGACACTCGCAGCCTTACTTAGAGATGTTGGGGATTGAACTTGAGACCTTTTGCATGCAAAGCAGATCTTCTGCCACAGAGCTACAGCTCTTTAAACCATCTGTATATCTAAACAGCTACCAACATTCATCTTTCTAGGGAAAACTATCTGAATAATACTGAGTATTTCAGAAGTGTCTCCCAGCCCATATATGTTCAAAGTTATACATGCCATCACAGGAATCACCAACCTTTCTGGGTAGGTCAACACAGTATCCCCAAAGCAGGCGGGGGGCAGGGGGGGGGGAAGAGAAGCAGATTGAGGAGGGGCAGTCAAGAGTAAGTCAGTGGCTGACTTGGGGATGGTCAGTGACCTGGGGACTTCCCAGCTAAGAACTTTTATCTTAACAGCTAAGCTAAATAAGATTTTCTTTGAATGCAGAAGTGAACTGGAGCTTTCCAGAATGGCAAAACAGAGGATTTTTGCAACCAATGCAGAGGAGTGAGATCATATGTTGTTGTTGGACTAAGCAGCTCCTCTTCAGTAATGTACTTGGTTTCCATTCTCCATGATGTCATCTTCTACTGGCATTCTCGGTTTCTTTGCCATGCTATTAAAAAGCATTAAACCCATCTTGCTAGAGCATTCCTTCCTCCCCCCACTTTCCTTTTGTCATATTTTTATCCACGTAACATAGCTTCATCCATACAGATCAGCCTCGTAAATGTTTTCTCAAAACAGGCTTCCTCGAACACAGTGGGATTTGCTCTCAAGTGAATGTGCATAGAATGGCAGCCATGGCCATCTTCCTGTGGATGGACTTGGGGCACCTTTTCGCAGTGCATGCTGTACATGCTGACCCTGGGAGGTGGGAATAGATAGACAATCTTCATTGTACTACTAAGGGAACACTCCTAAGGAACAGGCTAAGGTAGGGGTGGGAAACTATGGCCATCAAGATGTTATTGAACGCCTGCTCTCATCAATCTAAAGCGCCATGGCCAGTGGTCAAGGATGATGGGAATTGTAGTCCAACAACATTGGAGGGTCACAGGTTTCCCATTTGTGGGGCAGCCCCTGGGTAGGAACAACTAAATTCATATTGCCCTTTAAAACAAAAACAAAAGCTTTCTGTTCCGAAAGGGAACAGAATTCTATGGGGCAGAAAGATGGTCCTTTTTACAAAGAGATATCTCAGTGCCATCTCAAAGGTTTTCAGTGCAAATTAAGACTTTTAAGCCCCGTTAAATGGATGAGGGTGACTCTCAGCTTCGTATAGGTAAGCTCATAAGTTTGGAACTCTTCTTGCTGGGCAGAAGTTTTCAGCCAAACTGATGACTCCGACCCCTGACCCCACATCCTGTGACAATGCCTCTTGCGATCCTTACCTACAAAATGCCCTAATGGGCCGTTCTTGGATGCTAAGTCTGCCAGTTCTTCGTACAGAATGATGCAGCTATGTGGGGCACTAGTGTCCATCGGAGCTACTGTGATTGAAGTAGATCAGAGGTGCCTGAGAGATCCAGCGCAGTTTATATGGAAAACCTGTGGGAGCCTGTGTTAGAGGTTAATAGCCATTGATGGTCTCCTGCTACCCCAGACTGCCGTCTTCTGAACGTCATTGGAGGGCCAAAGGTCTGAATTGAATACCTTCTTAAGAAGGTCAGAAGCAGAGTCCTCACCCTTCGCAACAGCAGTAATGCAGCTCCCCATAGCAACCTAATTGCGATTTTTAGACTTGGGTGAAACGCAGCACAATTAAAACCCTGTTCTGGGCATCCTGTTTGTCTCCGTAATGAAGAGCCCACATTTTGAATAGCCCTACTGAGGACTACCAAGTCCTCTTGCTTTGGCCTGGTAACACAGTGCTTGAAACAGGATCACCCAGCCTTGCTGGAATGGAGCCCTGGCATGCATTAACCTACTTCCCCCCACAAATTCAGCGCTTAAACCCTTGTCGGCATTAGCCTGAGGCATGACCGTCTAGGAATCCCCCAGATAGCAGGCCTGCCAGGGAATTTTCTGGAGGAGCAAGTCCTCCTCCAAAGTGATTTAAAAATAACTTCTTCTTTTTTTAAACAACAGGAAGTTTTTCTAAGCCTAGGGAACCTAATGCCTGAATCGGCCTACTGTTCCTTGGCTGACTCCCCCAGAAAAATGGTTAAAAATAAAATAAAACGGTTGGGCACAGTTCCGGTGGGAAGTTGTTAGAAGACAGGAATTTTGTTCCTGGGAGAGGGAGCGGACCAGACAAAGTGGCTTTCAGTTTCTGGCCACACATTCAAGTAGCGCTTTGAGGAACTGTTAGAGTTGGAGACAGTCGATCAGGCCTTGCCTAGCCGAATCCCTTGCTCCGTTCAGGAAATTCAGAAACTGGAATATCCATCTGAAAGGGAGAGGGCACACACACACACACGTAATTGGAACTGTACTTACCTACAAGAAGCGTCTCTTAACGTCAAATCCGAATCTCCCCCTCCTGTAACTTTCAGCCCATCGGATCTAGCCAGCCCTGCCTTCCGGGGCAGCAGATAACAAGTCTTTGCCCACTTCAGGTATTTGAAGAGAAATGTGAGACTGGCTCTTCTGCTTAATAAGGATTTTAGTCGCTTGTTAAAGGAATTAACTTTTATTAAGCTCTTACACTACCTTTTACTGTGACTGCATCTTTATGTACTTAGGCTTGTGTCCTTGTTTGCAGACCCGTGAACTCCAAAGTCCCAGGGATTGCATCACCATTTCATCTCTTGGCTGAAACAGATATTTGCTTAACAATACGTTTTTCTATGCATAAGCTGGGGCAGCCATCTCCCCTTTTTAAAAAAATGTAGCAAGACCTGTGCTACAGCTGAAGCCTGTAATAGACCAGCAAGCTCACTAATTTTTATTTTTTAATGGTCAAAGTTGCCTTTGGTATCTTTGCAGAGTTGCCTTAATCACATACTTGAGTCTTCCCAGAATCTGTTATCTCATTCTCCGGTTTTTAGGGGACAGTGGTGTCATTCTAAATCCGGAAGTGCGGAACCTTTGGCCCTTCAAAATGTTGCTGAACTACAATTCCCATCATCCCTGGCCACTGGACAGTGTTGCTGGGGCTGATGAGAGTTGTAGTCCAGGCAGGCCAAAGGTTCTTCACACCTGTTCTAAATGGTCGTGGTCTATATGTATGTAGTCTCAAAGCACACCAATATTGGAGCCTACATGGCGGCAAGGTAACTGGGACCAAACAAACTTATATCTTTTTATCCCTGCTAGGCACGCAAGCAGAGGCAAACAAACCAGCCATGGTCTTTTGTGCACCGATGCTTTGACTATTCTAACAAAGTCTTCTCTTTTTTCTCTCCTCCCCCCCCTCCCCAATTCCTCTTTCCAGAGCAAGCACAGAGAAAACATTGCATATGCAGAGTATGGTGGCTGGTACAAGGCATGCAAGGTCAGCAGGTAAGTTGCTTTCAGGAGTTCTTTATTACTTGTTATTTCAGCTATTAGTTAATATGCCACTTACTTGCCAAGGTGGCTTCTAAGTGATTTAAAAGTATTAAGCTTAATTATAGATAAATAAACACACATAACTAAAGAGCACAATAAGACAATTTCATCAAAATATTTAATATGTATTAATCCCCAATGAAAATGTACAGGTCCATTGAAACAATACAACAATAAAACAGCAATTGAAACAGGAGGTCCCTTGTTTAGAGAGGAGCCAGTGATACGCCAATACTGATGGGGCTTCATATTTTATCGGGAAGAGTTTTCCACAACACTGGTTCCACCAGTGAAAAAACCCCGTCCTTCCGTGACTCAAAGGGTTGAATTGAATTGTTGCCCAAGTGCTCCTGTAACAGCTTTTGATCCAGTGGGCGGCTTTACTAATGGAAGCTTATTATTTTCCAGTCGTGTCCCCCCCACCTTCAGAGCACCTCCTTCCTTGAAAATTGGCTCCAGAAAGTTTGGGGGATACAGCAGGAAGAGCAAATCGGCAAAAGTCACTTCTCCTTTTCCTTTAGCAGAAGTATCCACTGGATCCAAAAGCCTCCTGTAGTTTCAGATCCCACCCAATTTATTTATTTTTAGCTTTCAACTTCTTCTATTAATATGAATATGCCCATTTAGGGCCTAATAGCAAGGGGCAAGTACCTCTTTCCTTGTGTAGCAGTTTTCTGTGTAATTGCTGGGTAGTACAGTGGTACCTCGGGTTACATACGCTTCAGGTTACAGACTCCGCTAACCCAGAAATAGTACCTCAGGTTAAGAACTTTGCTTCAGGATGAGAACAGAAATTGTGCTCCGGCAACGTGGCAGCAGCAGGTGGTCCCATTAGCTAAAGTGGTGCTTCAGGTTAAGAACAGTTTCAGGTTAAGAACGGACCTCCAGAACGAAATAAGTACTTAACCCGAGGTAGCACTGTAACTGTTCAGCTAAGCAGTCTCAGTGTCATGGGAAGTGGGAGGTGTGTAGACAAGGGCGGCTCAGTGTTCAAGGTATTGCCATAGTAAGCAAGGTCTGCTGGCTTCAGTGTTTCCCTTTCTCCTTAGCCCCACAGTGAACACCACTCTGCGAAACCTGGGCGCACTGTACAGGCGTCAAGGCAAGCTGGAGGCTGCGGAAACGCTGGAAGAGTGTGCAGTGCGATCCCGGAGACAGGTAAGGCCAACACCACCCCACGAACAACTTCTTGCGTAAAGGGAACTCTAGGGAGAAGAAAGCAAGAGTTGAGTGTTTCATCTGATTTTTAGATTTGCCAGGCAATTTAAGGGTTATACGGTGGAGCCTAAACCACTGGCTGTCATCAAATATGTAAAATGCCCTTATAAAGTTCCCTGCTGGTGTTGATTGAGAAGGTGTGGCCAGTTGTTTGTCAGTGTGGCTTTTCCTAGAAAGTTGCAGCTCGATATGTTTTTTTTCAGGATCCTTCCACTTCATCAGCAAAAGAAATCGCAGCAGGCTATAGATTCCGGCCGAAATAATTTCCTTGACATTCTCTGGGTTCAGGCAATAAAATCTTGTCTTATTAAGCTGCAGTATGAATGAGCTTCATGCAATTGTAAGCAGCTGCTTTGCTTCCTTACAGGAAAGCAAATCGGGTAATTGTAATTATCCATAATTTCCCTTTATGTCTGTACAGGAAACTATGGTTAATGGCTTCCAAAACCAAGCCAGAACATGAAGCTACGGTTCATGGCTTTACAACGTTGGCTTGTTGGGAAGCCATTAGCCATAGTTCCCAGTTTGGACGTAATGGGAAGCTAACTGTGGCATCCTGACTTGACGAAGGAGTAGAACAGCTGTGTGCGGGTGCACACAGCTCATTCATATCTCAGTCCAAGATTTGATTGCATAAATGCATTGATTGCCTGTCAAGTGCTTGATGACTCCTTTGGAAAAGTTCTGCTTAATCAGAAAATGAGCTTTAGATGATTAATGTAGATCTGTCCAGCTGGTTGGACTGCAATGAATTTATATAGAATTGTGCCCAGGCCATATAGTTGCTCGAAGGCATGAAATGGAAGAGTTTCAGGAACACTCCTTGTATGTATGTTTATTTTTACCCCGGTTTACTTTGGATGTTCTTGATGGTCTCATCTTGATGTCCTAGTCATTTGTTGCCAGGAGCTGAACTAAGCTCAGTGTGTTTCACAACTGGATCATTTAGATGACTGTGGAATTCAGCATCTGGAGAACATTTGGCTTCATTTTTTTTTTAAGGCAAGTTTTTTAGCCGTTATGGCAGGCATAGGCAAACTCCGGCCCTCCAGATGTTTGGTACAACAATTCCCATGATCCCTGACCATTGGTCCTGTTAGCTAGGGATGATGGGAATTGTAGTCCCAAACATCTGGAGGGCCAAAGTTTGCCTATGCTTGCATTATGGCTATGGAAGTGTGGGCAATGTCTGGTGAAGCTTATGTAGTGATGGAGGAAGAGGGTTTTGTTACTGTCCCATTACTCCATGCCCCACCCCCGAATAACAAAAGTTGGGGGGGGCAGATGTGTTGGGCAAATATATGCATATATTAAAAATGTGTATGCAATCCATACAAGCCGTGCAACAGCCATGTTCACGAAACCAAATCTCAGCTTAGCTTCCTGGGGGAAACAGTAGAAGAAAGCTGTTTCCCTCTTCTCCTGCTTGTGGGTTTTCCAGGGATATCTGTTTGGTCACGATAGGAGATAAGATTGGACTTCAGGGTCACCTAACATTTTGGGCCCCCAGGCACATTTGCAAACCAGAGCAACAGTCATGGGTACATATTCTGTTAGCTGCAATAGAATTTCAGTGAGTGGAAGGACTGGGGAGCAGACCTTGGGGGCACCCGAGAAACCCTGTGCGGGCACATGGGTGCCTGCAAGCGCCATGTAGGCGATCTCGTGAGCTTTGGTCTGATCCAGGAGGACTGTTTTTGTATGTTCCTAGAAAGTCAATATATACAGAAGGCGCATGAAGCCAGTTTTGCTCCTCCTCTGTTCCTCCTCTTCCCCTCCCTTCACACAAGCCAACGAGCAAGCCAGAAAGCCTTAGTCAGCTATAGCTTCCCAGTACATCTAAACCGAGGTGGGAGATGGGGTTGTATTCAGCATAGCACTAAGTAGATAGCTCGAAAGCTGCAAGGATTTCTGCTTGTGCAATGGAACTTTAGCCATCTCATTCCCCTGCATCTCTTTAAGTGCCCTAAATCTGTTCTAGGGGTTCCCCCAGTACTCTGAAGCAGATTTTGGGTGGGATGCATGATGCACCAGAAGAAGGAGATGCAGAGGGGAGAAGAATCCTGCAGTGGTAGCAGTAATCCTTGCAATGACGGGATAGTTTAGTTGAAGACTACTCATGATTAGTGTCTTCCAAACAAGCCAGAATATGAAGCCATAATTTAAAGTTAAATTAATACCCCAACTTGTGTTGAAGCCATTAACCATCGTTTCCTAGTTCAGATGTTAGCTGAAAAGTTGGGTTGCTCACTCACGTGAAGGGAGGAGCGAAGTGGGAATAAAGGGGCATATTTTGGCTTAGGAAGCTAAGATCTGATTCTGCAAATGTGGCCGGTGTGTTGGTGCAGAACTTGGCATGCGTACAATGGTGGGATCCAGGAAGCGAAAGGGCAACTCTGTAGTCTTTCCAATCTCCTTCCTGAACACCTTCCTGTCTCCACCCAAAATCGCCACCAGAAAAAAATAAACACACATGACCTTTTGGCGTTTTAATGGCCAGGAAGCAAGGAAGTGTTTTACATCTCTAGGAAACGTTTGAGGGGCTCTGTGCTTCCCTTGCCCACCCCCAACCCTCCTTGTCTCTTTGTTTTGTGCTTGTCCCCTTGCAGGGCATTGACCCCATTAACCAGACCAAGGTGGTAGAGATTCTGAAAGAGGGCGACGGCTCCGAGAGGCGGAGGAGCCGAGACAGCCTGGGGGGCAGCGTCAAGTATGAGAGCGCCACAGATGGTAGCGAGGAAGTGAGTATGGGCGTGGAATGGAACGGGGTAAGTACAAGTCCACTATCAAGACCCGCCTAGCCCGGCCGAGAGAGGCAGAGGGCAGCAAACTCTACCCAGAGCTGTTCTTTCTTTTTTGTCCGCCAATTGCTGCCCCTGCCATCTCGGGGAGCTGATGGCCTGTCGTGGCATGCCCACCTCCATCCATCCTCTTGCATGCTCCCTGCCCGCTCCTCTTAATTGCTGGGTAGCCAGACTCAGGAAGGGAGCTCTTTCCATCTTGGTTCTCCCCACTCAACTCGGAACTTAGTATCTCCCGTCCCCCCAGTTTCTTTAGGTGGGGGAGTGGGCGGAAGTAAGAGCAGAAGCCACTGATCGTAGGTGCTTTGATCTCCTCTACTAACATCCCACAGTGCTGCTCACCCCTGATCTGTTGCAGGGACAAGGGGCGGGGAGGGAAAGAAGGTTGTTTTGCTTCCCAGGAGATAACTTCGCTCTCAGAGGGAAGCGCGTAAAGGGCTTTGTTTCGCTTAGGATCCTAGGCCTGCTGCTCTCCAGGAAAATGGATGTTTATGGGGTTGTGTGTGTGTGTGTGTGTGTGTGTGTGTGTGTGTGTGTGTGTGTGTTTTCAGCATCTGAAGGGCATGCCAAGAGGCACTGGAATGAATGTGTGAAGACTCAAAGGCATGAGTATGAGCTAGAGCAGGTAACCTCCTTCTCTGCCCTCCTCCTCCTTTGTTGACCCCTGGATTGGTCTTTTATCAACAAGAGGATTTAGCTTCTTCCTATATGCAGCCTGTTTCCTAGCAGAGTGCTTGGGAGCCTTGGGACTGGGCGGACTGGTGGGACATTGTCTCTGGCGAGTAGCAGGATCCTAAGAGATTTCAGGTAGTGGCAACATTACTATGTCCATGTAACAAGTGAGTTTTGGTGGAAGAATTGACGAAAAGCATCTTGACTCTGCCTGGTTTTGGTTTTGGGTTTCTCCCCTCGAAGACTGGTTCTTAGACCTGTTGTCTTTCCTCGGCTTGGCGAGAAGTGCATTTCGTACCCACTCCGAGTTGGGGAAGGAGTGTGAGGATGCGTAGCTTGTCTCGATGCAGCCTTTAAGCATGTTTGTTCCTTTGGGGTTCTCCATCAGATGCAGCTAGCAGCAAGGACTTTGACCTAGATAAAGGATGAGGAGGGACTTACCGACCCATTGTTTTAATGCTTTGGTTACATTTAACTTGCACTCTCTCCATCGCTCACTAACTCTCCATCCTCTCTGCAGCTGCTCGCTTGCTTGCATGCGCCTCTCCATCCCCCATCTATCGCAGGCACATTGCCATGACAGCCAATCAGCGCCAAGGTGTCTTGCAATCTTGATTGTGGATTGTACCTAAAAGGCAGTACGTGAACAAAAACTGTAAGAGAATGCCAGGACCCCATAGAAAAAGAGTGTATAAAACTCCCTAATCCTAAAAGGCTTTTATTCTTCATTTAACCAAAAAACCCCACAAACCAATATTTTTAAAAAGAGTTCCAAAACCGTTCCAGGAATTGTAGGGAGAGGTGGATGGATGATTTCTGAGATCCTTGGAAGATGAAGGTGGTATATAAATTTATAAATTAAAAAATAAATAGATGATAGATAGATAGATGATAGAATGTCTTGAGGGCCAGTTCCTCCACAACTTGGGCGCCAGTTTTTCAGTGGTACGTTTTGTATTTAGTCTGGAAAGGGCGCTTTCAAACCACTTCCTTCCGCTCTTCAAATGTTGCGTTTGTCTTCATTCTTAGACTAGTGTCCCTTGCAAGCTATGACTGGGGCTACCCTTTGTTCTGAGGCTGGCTTCCCCAACCTGGTGCCCCCCAGAAGTTGTCAGACTCCCATCAGCCCTAGCCTGCATGGCTAAACGTTGGGGATGACAGAGACTGCAGTCCAGCAGCTTCTGGAGGGCATCAGCTTGAGGAAGGCTGTTCTGATCTATTCCACCTCCTGGAAAAAAGGACTGCCTGTCCCCCTCCCCATCTTTTATATAGCTATCTCCAGGGCTTAGGGTGGGCTTCATCCCTGAGGAAGAGCCGGTAATTCAGGTGCTGGTTTCCTCTGTAGTCATGTCTTTACTGTGAGCCTGCATTGCAGTAGTATTTCTATATTCTTGAATGCTCTTCTTGCTGCAGAGGCCACACCCTTATGCTACAAACCCTTCCCTCTCTCATTGCATGTTTCTGTAGATCAGGGTTTCCCAAACATGGGTCTCCAGCTGTTCTTAGACTACAACTTCCATCATCCCTAGCTAGCAGGACCCGTGTTCAGGGATGATGGGCACTGCAGTCCGAAAACAACTGGAGACCCAAGTTTGGGAAACCCTGCTTTAGATGTTCAAGATGGTGGATCAGCTTGCTTGAGCCTTAAAGGGTTGCCAGTGACATGGATCAGATAGAACTTCCTTCTCCAGCTGAATGGAGACAGGGCCATCTGAGAGCTATCGATGGAGAGCCTAAGGAGCCACTCCAGAAAAGGGCTGAAACTCACAGCTGCCCAAATTCCCCAGAGTCTTAAAAACAACTGACTGAGATTAGGCACTAAGCCCTGCTACTGTCATACTTCTTTTTCAGTTCAAACTGTATTCTGGTGAGAACTGAGTTTCCTTGGATTCCTCACTGAGAAGATCAGTGAGGCGAACCTTTCTGGAAGACAGGGTTCCCACTGCCACCAGTTGCCTCCTAAAATGTGCTCACTGAAATTATGCGCTTGGTTTACATTGGACAAATGCGAGGCCTTGCTAGCCTGCCCACCATCTCTCATGAGCCGAGCATGTACTCCAGACCGCTTCCCAGAATTCTCAGGGCGATCCGCTTAGCATTACATTAAATGTAACCCAATCCATTTAGCTCACGGGGTCAAGGAGATGGATTCTGGAAAGGAGCAGGGGAGCAGCATTTTCTTTGAGAAACAGAATATGGCCTTTCATATTTGCCACTCCCCGTGCTTTCCTTTCCCCTCTAAACCCTCCCACCCCTCCATATTAGACTGGTAATAGCAAGAGATGTTGGAATAACTGAGGGAGACTTCATTTATGCAACTGCGATGTAGTGCTTCTTCCTTGCACTAGGCAGTCTTCTCCAACCCTGGCATCCTCTGAATGTTTTGGACTACAATACCGATCAGACCCTGGCTGATGGGTGTTGTAGTCCAAAACATTCAGAGGATAGCAGGATTGGCAAAGGGTCTGGTTACTGCCCCGAGGTCCCATGACTATGCAAAGCCCTATGCTGTGAATATTTTGAAGCACCCTTTAGCGAATCGCATGTTGCCCGAGGAAATTCCTTGCCCCTCACCCACCAATAATAAAAATAAAAATAAAATTTTATTTATATCCCGCCCTCCCCAGCCAAAGCCAGGCTCAGAGCGGCTAACAACAGTAAAATAATATAGCATTCTAAAATCTATTCATTATAAAATCAGTTCAAATCAAATTAATGGCAACCATTGGGCTAGAGTTCTGTGAGGATTATAAAGGGCAGCTGTGTGATTTTCTCCCCACCCCACTGACCTGCAGTCGTTTGCTCCCCATGCTTGTACCATTGGCTTGTATCTCCCTTCCCTCCTTTTCGTTTGGGGTTGTTGTGCATCCTCACTATGGCCTTGTAAAATTTTGTCTTTCTCCTCTCTGTGCACTAGGCTTAAATGCCTCCTGAGACTCCTTCCTCCCCACCATCACACACACAAACCCCACCCTACCCCTTCACCACAATCGCCCGGATGTTTGTGTGCCGCCCCTTCTGGCTTTCTTCCTCCAAGCCACCCCTCCCCTCCTTCCACCGTTCCTGCTCTCCTTGGCAAGGACTCCACGGCAGTCCCCAACCCCAACCCGGCGGGCACCGAGGAGTGGAACGGCACCCGCAGAGGAACGTCCAGCTGGCTGCACCCTGGTTCTACTGCTACCATGTCAACCGGCAAGAGAGAGCAGGAAGAAACTCCACGAATCCGCCATTTTGCCCCACCCCTTCCCCTCCGCCAGTGCAGGACCTTGGCAGAACTCCTTGTGACTTCCTCCGTTCTCTTTCCTGTGTCTTAACGGGGGCCCTCGACGAAGGTCTTCTGCAGTCTGAAGATGTCCTTGCTGCCCATCTCTCTGTCCTACTCCTCCTCTTGGCTTCCTTCCACCGTCTCCCACCATCCCTCTCCTTGCCTTCTAGCATAACTCAGATTTTTCTGCTTCCCATTTTAGCTCTCTACCTACCCCGCCTTGCCCTTCTCTCTGCCTCCTCCCCCCTCCACTTTTTCTTGAAGCCAGAGCAGATGGTGGGGAGGCAGGGTAGACATTGGGATATGTGTGTTTCTCACCCCTAGCTTCGGATGGCAGGGAAAGTTAGGGAGATGGGCGAATTGTACTCTGTGCCAGGGATGAGGAGTGTGTGGCCCTCCTGATGTTGTTGGGTTCCCCAGCCTTCATGACCAGGGGTCAGGGATGATGGGAGTTGTAGTCCAATAACCCCCATCCTTGTTCCGTGCTCTGTTTTCCTTTCCTGTTCATCTGGTCAAGTCTGGGATGCTTAAATGGCATTTGTATGCCTGCTGCTGCCGCAGGTAAAGGCCTTGCAGCCACCTTCTCATAGGGATTGGGCCTGTCCAGATGGAGATGGAAGAAGCTTCAGGCTTGTGTCCATTCTCCTTGCTGATAGATCCTCTTAGCCTATTCTTGCAGGGTAAAGAAAGAGAAATGGGGCACATTGTATTGAAAATAAAAATACTGACGGACATGCCAGGGCAAAAGTGTGAGAGGCAGAAGCATGAGATGTGACTTCCTAATGAGGACCTTGTTTTAAATGAGCTGGGCATAGTCCGTCTCCTGTATGGCATGGAGACTTTGGAGGAGGGTAGGCTAGAGGGGCTGCAACTGTCATGGATAGCGTTTTCATGGCCTATTCAGTACTGGCCCCTCTGATTAGACTTTTGGTCTGGACTTCCCCTGCCAGTCTAGCACTACAAGACGCCTGCATTTCAGAAGAAACAGCCTCTCTAGGACTCTGAACTCAGGAACATTTCCTCACACAGTTCCTTTTTTTTCGCAACAGGAGGGATAATCGCAGACAAGGGTGACTCAACTGCCTCTACTTCGTTGCCGCTGCTCTTGTTGTGCGGCGGGGGTGGCAAAACGGGACTGCATATTTGCATCTCTTTTATTTATTGTCATGAATGTAAAAGATTTAACCTTGCTGTGGTTTATCACTGGAGATCTCAAGGTCCCAGCCAAATGTCACACACAAACACACACACACAAAATCCACCCTGAAACCCACACCAAATGGGTTTGTTTGTAGCAATTGTAGCTGCTACTTATTTTAGAAGCCTGGCTAGGCAAGTGGGAGAGAGGGTTGGAACTGCACATCCTTGTATAAAAAGGCCGAGTTCTAAGGCTCTTGCATGCAAGACAGCGAGGAGCAGAGGCAGGCAGAAATAGAAGGCCTCGGTTTTAAGGTGACAGTAGGTCGGCCCATTGTGATGGGGCATTGGGGAATATTTTAAGGGATGGGGAAGGGAATTTCTGGTTGGAGCATGGAAGTGTACAGTGGAAGTGTGGGAGAGACGTGCAGTCCTACATGTTTATATAGAAGCGCGTCTCACTGTGCTCATTGGCACTTATTCCCAGGTACATAAGATTTCAGCCTTGGTGGCAGCCATGCCACTGAATACATGAGGGTGTAGCTTTGTAGGGAGCTGAGAGAGCCATTTGGGGTGAGGAGGAGGAGAGAGAGAGTTCCCTTGGGAACTGGGGCGTACAGCGGGACTTGCAGTGTGTTGTCAGAATTTATTTTTTCTTTTTTTAATGAGGTGGGGATTTAAATGTAGACTGTGAAAAAGGGCACGTTGTTGGAGAGAATACCGGAAGGGATTTGTTGAGTAGAAAGCAAAGTCTGGGGAAGTGTTGGAGAGAAGTCCACTTGCATGCAGAGCATTTATTTTTTGGCCCATTTTACATCATGGAAACCTACATGGCCAGTATCGGTCAGGGCCAAATCCAAATTGGACAGAGCAAGGACACACACACAGAGCATTCATGCATTTCCACGCACTCTGCGTATTCACTCACTTCAAAAAACTATCCTTGTTCTGTCACCCTTCTCCTCCCTCCATCCCCCCACTTCCCCTGCCTGCCCTCTTGTAGTCAAACAGGCAGGGCTGAGTTGACAACGCAGGAGGACGTTGCTGCCTCCCTATATCTTCATCTTGCTGTGCTTCTTCGCTGAGAATAGGACCCCCTTTCTCAGCGCACAGTGAAGAAGCCAAGCCGGCGAGTGTTGCAGGAAGAGAGCAAGCTCCCTTTTACGTTGCCAGCTCGGTGGGCCTGGTTCCCCTGCTTCTCAGCTGTTTCACACAGACAAGGGTTGTGGGGAGGTGGTTGGTTGAAACCTAACTTCCCTGTGATCTCCCTCCCCCTTGTGCTGCTCAACCAATCCGCAGCGAGCATCTGAGAGGCAGTGGAAATGGGGCTGTGGAGGAGGCGGGGAGTAGGACTTGAGGGGGAAGCCGATTGGCCAAGTGGGAGAGCCTGGCAGGCCGTATTTGGCCCACAGGCCGAAGTTCTCCACCCCTGGTGCAGAGGGTCTAGCAATGTCTGAGGGGAAATCTGGGCGCTGGAATTTTCTGGGCTCTGATTTCTAAGGGAGACAGTTAATTCATCCCTTGCACTGGTGCTGGACGTATAACTCCTTTATGTTTCTGAAGGGGAGTCAGGCGCTTTGATCCTCCTCCAAGGCATGCAGGTGTGAGGGAATTTTTCCCCTTCAGCTCTCCTACCCATGCATAGCTTTTGTGGCTGTTTTTGATGTGATTTGGTGTTCTCGTGAGTATAGCTGGCTTTAAAAGAAGACGGCAACTAGATAACGTTTATAAATTAGAATTAGGGCTAGGTGTTAGGTAAGACGTATGCACCCTTTTTGCTCCAGCAGCCCATAACCATAGAGTGCTGGAACTGAATCCTAAGAGTATGCCATTATTGCCCTGTTCTGTTATTTCTGAAGCAGCTGGAGCTGCTGGAGGCAGGATGCAGGTCAAGGGAGTGCCTGCCCTGGAAAGGATGCTCTCGGCTGGAACTGTGTGGCAGGACAGTTTGAAGGCTCTTGGGCCTAAATGCCTCTTGGGGCTCCTTTTGGGAAGTCCTTTGCGGCCACAGCGGAACTTTTTTGCTTTTTTGCCTGTCTGCTTCTGAAAGGGGGCAGCTTAATGCATGTCTGGGGCATGGCAGCTCTTGCCTCCCCATAAAGGGAGCCGGTAGGGAGAGGTGTAACCAACCCATCCAGAGGCAGTTGCTAAGAACCTATTGATGCTTCTTTTACACCTGGTTGTGGTTCTGCCCTGCACCGAGTGGGGAGGTGAAGTCTGTCCCAGGATGCTGTGAAGATGCCTCTGGAGCCCGTCCTGGGAAGCTGCTTCCAGGGCCTCCCCTTAGAGCAACGGAGCCTCGATCAGCTCTCTGCCAAGCTCTGCATTTTGCCTTGCACTGGGGCTGTCCACAAGCCTTTTTAAAAAATAAAAATAAAATAGCACTAGCTGGGGGTGCTAAAAGTGTGTTCTACTTTCTGCCTTTGGCGCATACTTGGTGCTTTCCTTTAATGTTGTGAACTGATTTACCTCCAATTAAAGGCAGAAGGACCTGATCCCCTTCTTCTCCGTGACTCTTTTCACCATGCCGCCGCTCTTCTTACTCTTTTAAGAGAATTTCTGTCTCTTTCCTCCGAGGGCAAATCTTTATAGGCTTCTACACGCTGCAAATGCTCTGTTGTGGAAAGCAGGCAGCAAACTGGCCTTAGGTACGTGTGTAAAGTATGGATGAAGCTTGCGTGTGTGTGTGTGTGTGTGTGTGTGTGTGACTGACTGACTGACTATTATTATGGAGCAAGTAAGGGGAAAGGATTTGCTATTCCCTGTGCAGTAGCCACCGTGTATAAAGTCACTCTGTGAAACAAAAGGGGGAAACAGAAGCTTTAAGAAGACCTGTTGTGTTTTTTTTGTTCAGAATTATTGCTTACCCATACAGTCTGAGGTTCAGTGGGTCTGAGAATCTACACCTCTAAGGGAAAATGCTGCATCAGGCATTTATAGGAATAATAAAATATGAATCGTTGCTGCAGGACAGCAGCATGCGTGCAATTCAGCAGTGGACCTGAATTCATTCCCACTTTCCAACATTATCCCTGAGAATGCATGCTCTTTACCACTGAATCGGAGCAAACAACAATCCACGGAAAACCTGAATTGCCGTTTGTTGCATTTTGGCGATAAAGAGCGGGTTTTCATGGTAAAAGTGCCAGGGCAAAAACAAAAAAAATGGACTCTGACCATGCGCTTTATAGTGTGGACCTGGGCCTAGAAAATGTGAGGCAAAGGTAAGTGTGGATGATCCCTGTGTGACCTTTGCTTAAACATACCTGCGATTGTGGGAAGCTCTGAAGTTCCTGTGCTGCTTTCAATTCTGTCCCTTTACAGATGTATCCAAATTCTCTATTCTCTACTTAATACATATTCCTGTTTGATGCCAACATGTGGCTGGCTTGTCATCCCATGGAAATGGTCCCCTTAGCTCAACTCATAAGGTGACCCATATGGTAAAGGTAAAGGGACCCCTGACCATTAGGTCCAGTCGTGGCCGACTCTGGGGTTGCGGCACACATCTCACTTTATTGGCCGAGGGAGCCAGCATACAGCTTCCGGGTCATGTGGCCAGCATGACTAAGCCGCTTCTGGTGAACCAGAGCAGCGCACGGAAACGCCGTATACCTTCCCGGCGGAGTGGTACCTATTTATCTACTTGCACTTTGACGTGCTTTCGAACTGCTAGGTTGGCAGGAGCAGGGACCGAGCAACGGAAGCTCACTCCGTCACGGGGATTCGAACCGCCAACCTTCTGATCGGCAAGTCCTAGGCTCTGTGGTTTAACCCATATGGTACCTAGGAGGAAATCTGGAGCATCCTTTTGATTCAGGCCAATGGGCCATCTAGTCTAGCATCCTGGTTTCTCAGCAGCCAGTCAGATTCCTGTGGAAAACCCACAAGCAGGACCCAAGAACAAGGGCACTCTCTCTTCCTGTTTTTCCCCAGCAATTGGTATTCAGAAGGATTACTGCCTCCAGCTGTGGAGGCAGATCATAGCTATTGCGTCTAGTAGCCATTGATAGATTTATCCTCCATGAATTTGTCTAATCATCTCTTGAAGCCACCTGCTATGTGTATGCAAATAATATATAATAAACCTGGCCAATTTTCCCATAGCTTCACAGTGTAATCCTACTTCTACTCAGAAGTAAAGTGCCATTGACTTCAATGGGACTTGCTCCTAAGTAAGTGAACATAGGATTGCAGTTTTCAGTAGAGTTCCTGTGCGTGCTACCTGGGTATAAGCCACTTGAACCCAGTGGACCTCACTTCTGAGTTGAGAGGCATACAACTGTTAGTTCAGTAAAGCAGAGACGAAAATCAACATGAAGCTAACATGAGCTACAATGGCAGCTAGCTCAAACATTGCGGAAGGATTTAATGAAATTATGTGCTTCTAATCCGAGTACTTAAGAGGTTTGCATGTAAAAGCCAGATGGAACTCTTGTGAGCAAAAACAAACAAACCCCTGACATCTCTTGGGCTATAAAGCTGGAAAAGATCAGCTCTTGTCTGTAAATCCTTAAATGTGCTGATGAACAGTACCCATGCCATACATGGGTATTCTCAAGGCCAAACACAGCTGCAGAAGAAAGACCGAAACCAATTCCAAATAATTAGGACAAAACTGAGCCCCACATGAAATGTTACAAAACTCCAGGAGCTTACAAGTAATGGTCAGAGAGCATACTTACAGCAAAAACAATACCTCTTCTTGTACAACCATGGGGCCCATTCACCCTCTTTTGTACAGCTACAATGACAATGAAAAGAAAGATTCGTTTGCTGTGGCATAGCCAGTCAAGAAACTGGTTGCATTTTTCCTGAGATTCCTTTGCCCTCTCTATAGCAGGGGTCTTCCCCTTCTGAAACAATTGGAGGGGGTGCCTGGGAGTTACTGGGTGAATGGCTGTGGGCAATAAAGCCAGTGGGAGTGCCCAAATCTGTGGGAATATTCCACAGAGAGTTAGGTTGGTCCAGTCCTATAAACTAGATTCCAAACAGATCTATTTAGTTGAAAAGTACATGAGTGAGGAATGGGGGGTTGGTAGATCACGGCCTTCTGAAGGTAAGGATCTGACCAAGATAATTAGTTTTTCACAGCTCCAGCACCTACTCCCATTTGTTTCCATACCATCCAATAACTACCCAAACTATAGCCTGCTGCTGTGTGTGTTAATACTCACAAAAATGTTCCCGTGAGTGGTATCAAGTTCTGACCCAGCCCACAAATACCTTCCTTGGCATTTATAGGTGTTGATGTCCCCACAACACTAAGTTACATAGTTGGTGAAGACCTCAACGAAAGATCCAGCTTTCCAAAGAATCTGCAGTGCAGCCTAGCAGGTGTCCATAGCCAGGAAAAAACATTCTGTGGCATAAACTCTGCTGTAGAGCCTCCGTATAAGCTACAGCAGGGTTGTAAAATGTGTGGCCCTCAAAATGCTGTTTGAGTCAACTCCCATCAGTCCCAGCCAGCATGGCCAGGGATGGTGTTCAGAAGCATCTGAAGAGTCCCATCCCTGAGCTAGGGCATCTTCATGCATCTCTTCCATTCCATACCTGCAGCAAAACTTAGGCCTGGGGTTGCCAAACTTTTGGGGCAATTGGACATGTTTGGTAATTTGAGAAAGTGCTGCGAGAACCAGTTTCTTTTTATTCTGTTTGTTAAATTTGTATACTTCCCTTCATCCGAAGATCTCAGGACGGTTCACGGCATAAAAATTCAAAAATAAAAACACCTAACAAAAATGAGATTCCGCAAAATGGCTGCCATGCAGGTGCGTTTGTGACAAGACACAAAATGGTGGTTGCGGCATAACACAAAATGGCTGCCACACGTGAAGAGCCGAGACAGGTACACCAAATTTTGGAGGCATCTTCCCCCTCACCATCAATGGGGAAAAGGCACTTGCATCAGTCAATACTTGATAACAGACGTTTTTTGCACTTCTCCTGTGTTTAGAACGGAAGGGAGGGTTGATGTCCAATCTTGTAACATAGGCATGTTTAAGGGGGCACATTCATTGTAGGAGACGAAGCAGTCCAAACAAGAACTGAGCAGGAACAGTGCATTGTGGATTTTTGAGGGGATATTTACTGGGGCCTTTTGCAGATGCCACATGATGTCCTGCCGCCCGTGGGCGCTGTGTTGGCAACCCCTGTCTTAGGTCAACTGCAGACTATATTTCTGCACATCTTGGGTCAGTATTCTTAAATTATGTTGGGGCCCTAGGTAAAGGTAAAGGGACCTCTGACCATTAGGTCCAGTCGTGGCAGACTCTGGGGTTGCAGCGCTCATCTCGCTTTATTGGCATACAGCTTCCGGGTCATGTGGCCAGCATGACTAAGCAGCTTCTGGCGAACCAGAGCAGCATACGGAAACGCCGTTTACCTTCCTGCCGGAGCGGTACCTATTTATCTACTTGCACTTTGACATGCTTTCGAACTGCTAGGTCGGCAGGAGCAGGGACCGAGCAATGGGAGCTCACCCCGTTGCGGGGATTCGAACCGCCGACCTTCTGATCAGCAAGTCCTAGGCTCTGTGGTTTAACCCACAGCACCACCCACGTCCCTACGTTGGGGCCCTAAGTTGCAACAATACAGTGGTTTGACCAGATTGTGTAATGGCCACTTCCTACACGAGAGCCACCTCTCCTTGAATCACCTCTCCTCGAGCCCTGACAGGTGCCCATCACTGTGAATATTCTGTGCCAGGTGGCTCAGAGCTGCCTTTGTAATTTCCCACTGGCCCCTTGTGCTGTGCTGTCAGGGACCTGGTAAAAAGTGTAAACGGCTCCCAAGTTGCCCATTTCAGGTGGCAGCATTGCCACCACTGAGGAAGCAGACGGCGGTCATGGAGTTGAAAAGGCCATTAGGAATTTTCACCTGCTGTTCAGCTGAAATCCACTTTTCACCCCCAGTTACAGTTCCTGCCCTCTGGGCAACAGAGAACAAGCCTGCTCCATCTTCTGCATGACATATCTTCGGATGTTTGGAGACAGCTATCATGTCACTCCTTAACTGTCTCTCCTCTAGGCTAAACATAGAAAGCTCTTAGTACCATTTCCCATAGGCTTTGTTCCCAGAGCTGCGGATTGTGAGCTGGGGGGTGTGTGTGTAGCGGGGAAGAACTACAATTCTTCCCTCCCTCCCCCACCAAGCAAGCTTGATATTTAGGCTCTTGCATTAAAATGAGGCTAGAATGCTGCCCCCTCCCCAACCTCCTTCATTAAGAGATCTAATTAATTCTGCTTTCATGCAAGGCAGCTGGCAAACAATGGACATATTTTCTAGTTACCACTATATGCAGGCAAATCAAGGACACAAACGCATGAAAATCAGGACCATTACAAGGGTTAATTTGGGATAGAGAAACTAGGTTCGGAATAGGGACTATTAAGAGGCAGGAGACCTTTGGAAATATATATATATATCCATGACTAATAGATCTAGATCTGTGGTTCTCAAACTTTTTTATCGGGGGTACACATTCAGAATTAAAAAATTGCTTGTGCCACACCATTTATTTTTTTTACTGATAAGTAATACAAACAGAAACTACAACTAGCAGTGCTTGACTTTGAAAAGATGTCTATCCGTATTCTGCAAACCAAGCAAATAAATAAATAAAATGTTACTATACTGTACTACACCATACTAGACTGAAAAGTTCAAATGTTTCTTCGTCCTTGAATCTTCCAGCCACATGGCCACACCAGTGATCTAGATCAAGGCTATTCATATCCTGCAGCTTCTTGCTGAACCAGGGTATCTGGTTTGAAGTTTGGATTTCAGTGAGTCACAAACTTTCACCGAAGAGAAAAGTAAACTTGACTCACACAGGAGTGAAAATGTAGAGATGTTTGCCTGGATCTTTGCATGCAGCAAGTATGATTTGGTGGTGTCATTTTTGACAGTGCCGATTGCCCATAGGGTAAAAGGAAAATGGCAGGCAACAGTCTCTTGCCCCCCCCCCATGGTAATAAATCACAGTGTCCTTACGGAAACATTTCATTAGCCTTTATGGAAAACAGACTAGATAGACCGTTAGTGTGCTCCAGCACGCCTCTTCTGATAGTCTTCCTTCAGGGTGCAACACACACCTATTTCCTGCATAACAACCTCTTCAAGAACGTGGCTTCATAGTTCTAGCTGCATAGGAGGAGAACTGTCGCTTCTGAGCATGTGACAATCTAAACTTTACTGTAAACCCTCCAGTGTCTTTGAAATCCTCTCTCTGTGTATGTGTGTGTTCCTTTTTCTACATGTGTGTGTGTTCTGAGTGACCAACTTTCCTGGCACAAAGTGCTCACATTAGAGATGTGGTCTATATGGTGATTGTGTGTGTATGTAATACTGTGTTTTAATAGTAATGTTCTGTTTTAATTGTAACCTGCCCCGGGACGCGTTAGGCTGAAGGGCAGGTAGTAAATCATAACAGCCGTAACAACAATTCTGTTTTAAGTAACATACCATTCCAGAATAAGGCCTTCTAGGTAACATTTATTTTGGTGACCGTTCCCATCACTGAATCTGTTTTGCATGAGAGAAATTGAGAGCAGCGGTGGGCGTAATTTCTTGCTCACACAGCGGATATGCATGGCTGTGAGGACTTAGTGATGCTGCGGTAGCTGGGTGGTCACGGCAAACAATGCCCATGTTAATTTTTGCAACTCAGCCATAACTTCAATAAATGTCTCTCACTCACGCACAAGACACACACTGCTTTTCCGTTTGTTCCCAGGCCTATATGTGGGCCATGCCCATTGTTTGTGTTTATCTAGGCGTGGATTCATGGCAGCGAGAGCATATGCCAGCCTCTCTTGTGTGCAAATGATGCGTTTGTCTGTTGAGAAGAAGGAGCGCTCTTAAAAAGAGTGTGTTCTTCAGTATGCAAGTGAAGTTCAGTTTTACACACCCAGCTTTTTTGGGACTGTGCTGTACAGGTTGCTGGTGGGGAAATCAATTTATCCCCCAGCGGATGGAAACATAGAATAGGATGTGAAGGGAAAGAACAGGCCAAATCTTTTACTAGTTTTCTCCCCATTTCACAATTGTGCAGCCCCCAATTGCAACCTGAAGTTGGTACAGTCCCAGAAAACCTCTACCACACTTTTCTTCAAATCAGAGATAGGAAACGTGTGGCCCTGTTACTCCTGTCAACCCTGACTATGGTCTGTGCTGGCTGGAGCTGATTGGAATTAGAGTGCTTTACCTCTGCTTTACAATGTACCTTGGTTCTCGAACTTAATCTGTTCTGGAAGTCTGTTCGACTCCTGAAACCGTTCGAAAAACAAGGCGCAGCTTCCGATTGGCTGCAGGAGCTTCCTACACTCAAGCAGAAGCCACGTTGGACGTTCGACTTCTGAAAAATGTTCGAAAACTGGAACACTTACTTCCGGGTTTTCAGCATTCCAGAGCCGATTTGTTTGTCAACTAAGCCCTTTAAGAACCAAGGTTCCACTGTATATAATACCTCCAAATCTGATTTGCATTTACATAGGCTTGTTTTGGTGTAGGCCACCAGCCCATTTAATACTGGCAGTTATTGTTGCCAGACAGGAAAAGGGAGAGATCCTCTACCTCCGTACTAACAGGTTGCTGTTAAGTTCTGACTCCAAATCGCATGGAGCCGTTTCCTTCTGCTCTCTGGACGAATCACTGTTCACACGCCATCTCACCAGTTATTGCCATTTGTTGTCTTCCTGTCCAGGATGGCACTGGTGCCCTTCGACGCAGCGGTTCTCTAGGGAAGATTCGGGATGTAATCAGGAGAAGCAGTGAAATGCTGGTCAAGAAACTGCAGGGGAATGGCCCGCTGGAGCCAAGGAACACCAAGTAAGAGGCTTGCATATTTGTTTGCTTAAAGCATTTGTACTGTGCCCTTTTTTGTAAAAGGCTCTCAGAGCAGGAAACAAAAATCCGCGGTAAGATAAACTTGTTGTGGCTGTTGCATCTAGCTAGCTGCCATCTCTAGACCTGCACCCTGCTTTCTTAAAGACCTTTAAAAAAAAATTGGCTGTACCATAGTTTGCTGGTTAGGATTGAATGGTAAACTGTGGATTGCCTCAGGAGAGGAGAAGGAGAATCACTGTGCATGAGGAGGGAGCATGCAAGGCTGAGACTTTGTCCCAGGCTTGGAAATGTTCATCTGAACCACCTCCAGTCATTTTTATTGTCTGTACCACCTTACATGGGACGTGAGTGGCGCTGTGGGTTAAACCACAGAGCCTAGGACTTGCCGATCAGAAGGTTGCGGTTCGAATCCCAGCTATGGGGTGAGCTCCCATTGCTCAGTCCCTGCTCCTGCCAACCTAGCAGTTTGAAAGCATGTCAAAGTGCAAGTAGATAAATAGGTACCGCTCCGGTGGGAAGGTAAACGGCGTTTCTTTACACTGCTCTGGTTTGCCAGAATCGGCTTAGTCATGCTGGCCACATGACCCGGAAGCTGTACGCTGGCTCCCTCGGCCAATAAAGTAAGATGAGTGCTGCAACCCCAGAGTCGGTCACGACTGGACCTAATGGTCAGGGGTCCCTTTACCTTTACCACCTTGCATTACCCTTGATGAAAGACACTTTATGTCACATGAGAAAAGTATCTTTTCCAAACTTCCTTTCATCTGAGAAAGGAAGCTGGTAAAGGGCACCTCTAGCTACAGAGGTCACTTTGAGCCTTTATTGATAGAGATTGATCCAGGAGTGCCCCCCAGACTCCAAACCTAGCTTTTCCAGAGTTGACTGACCCCACCCAAAGTAGGAACCTTTCCAGTTTAGCAGACTCAGGAACCGCTCACCCATAGTGCCTCCATCTTGGAAGAGTTCAGACTCAGTTTTTGGCACTCATCCAGCCCACTGCTGAGTCCAGGCACTGGGCTAGGGCTTGAACAGCATCTCCTGAGTCAGTTGTTACAAAGAGCTGGGTATCATCAGCATGTTGAGGACACTGATATCTAATTTGATATGTGGCAAAGGTATATTCTCTGACATAGAGTGGAAAAAGTTTAGTCAAGCTTTCTTGCCCAAAATATTCCCAGATCAATGAAAAGAGCATGCCTGGAGCCAGTGCTATGGAAACATCTTTTTCTTTCTTTCTTTTTAGCATGAAACGGGCAGCATCACTGAACTACCTGAATAAATCCAGTGAGGATTCCTTCCAGGTGAGAGCACCATTTGCTATGTTCCCAAAACAGCATTAGCTGCAGGTTATTTTCACTCCTTCTGTCACTGCAAATGGACAAAAAAAATATTCAGGTGCAGGGAAAGAGAGTTAGATCAGCTAAGGTGAAAAGTATAACCTGTCAGAATGTGTAAGTTCCCCGTGGGTATTGCGTATCACCACTGGAAGGGATATAGTCTGGATTAAGTGCAGGAAGAAACATAGTGGTTCAGTTCGCACCTAATTCTAAGCCAAACTTTGGCTCATCAGTCATGCAAGCTCCCATGGAACTGATCTAGGCCACTTTGCTCTTCCGGCCATGCTGCTGCTGAGAAGTAAACCATGGCTTGGTTTAGTGCATCATCCGAACCTGAGCTCATGCTTTGTCCTCACAGCAGCAGGACTGGAGGAGGAACAAAGTGGGAGCATTCTTCTCTCTGGGAGTCCACACACTCACATGTTCATGTCAAGCCATGGTTTGGCTTAACATTACATGCAAGCCAGGTCACAGATCTGGAAGTATGCATGTGTCTGAAGTATTTGCTGCTGTAGCATTTGAGAAGTTCCCCTGGGTAAGCTGGAAATCAAGTGTGAGGCAAGGATTTCCCCCTCTTAACTTCTGAATCATCACTGTGGGGTGCCTTAATTATCACTTCTGCAACAGAAGTGGTGCAGATTGCATCTCTCAGGGCTAACATGCTTGTGCTGTATTGAGAGAAATCTGAACACTTGCTGGTTACTTTTCATGCTTTAACACAAGCTCTTGATCTTAATGAATACAAGATTGGAATATGTAAGTGAATCTGGGTTTATTTATTTTTTTAGGATTCCCAGGGTCTTCGGGCTGAGAGCAGAGGCCTCAGTGCAAGCAGTGTGGATCTCCCTTCTCACACCTCCTTGGTCACCTCTAACTGAACCTACCACATTATTGATCGCCGCACCCCGTCTCAAATGTTGACTGCTTCACCATACCGATACTTCCATCTCAAGCTGATTGCTGTTTTGGATACTTCATCTGTAACATCCTCACATGTTAGAATCCTCATTATTGCCTCTCGTGTTGATATCACTACAGTGGAAGAGAAGTGTGTCCTGTCATTGGAAAACACTAACCCACACGGGACCGTTGCCAGACCGGAAAGGGGAGCTCCCTCCTTCACCAGCTGTGGAATAGCAGCTTTGGTGAATGCATCCACCCCCATGTTTGCAAGCTGTGTTTTACCGATTGCACAGAATCGAGTTCCAGTATCTCTTCCTTGACCCGCTGCCTTGCTGAACTTTGGGCACAGAGTCTCAGCCTCTTCCTTAGTGCGCATCCTTTCCACCAGATAGCATTGCTGAGAGAAGCTCTCTCGTCCATGCTCTCAAGCTGGCTTGCTCATTCCTTCGGTGCCTGACCCCAATAGTCCCCAGTACCATCTATTTTTGCCCCATCACCCCCCCCCCCGGCAGCCTTCTAGGGCTAGGCTCTTGCCAAATGAGTATTCTTGTGTCGGGGGGTTGTACTGCAGCAGCAGACAGGAAGGGACATAGAAATACGATGGCTAGTTAGCCAATTTTGTGGGGGATTAACTTTGCCTAACCAAAGCAGAGGTGGGAAACCTCTTTGCTCCCTCGAGGGCTGCATTTATTCAGGTCTCTTGTGGGCCTCATGACAGCAGTGGGCAGGGCTGGAATCACCTCCTCTCTCTGTATCACCCACCCACCCATCCATCTAGTCCATACACACACTTGGCCCGCTTACTTAAAAGGACACAGAGAGACAGGCATCGACTTCACAGAGATTCGGTATGTATACACTCCACAAGTCTTGTTCCCACTCTAGCCTCTGGCATCGCCTGTGTCTGCCTTAGCATGAGACACTGTAGTGCAAAGCAATGGAAATAACTGCAGGGAGAACCTGCCACTAGCCCTGTGTTACTACCCGTGATTTACTTCCGATTGTTGTTGTTTTAATTTAATAATTAAAAACGATCACAGAAGCCATTTTGCCAAGCGTCTCCAGAGCAGATCTTGCTGTCGAAACACTTCTTGGGTTTTACATCTGCCACGCATGACGACAGTGGCAATGAAACTAGGGAGAGAGCAGCTGTCTCTCAGAAATGAGCATGCATTGTTGTATAGCGACAGCAATGTTACCGGGGGCGGGGTGTTAAACGAGCACATCACCTCGCCTCTTATTCAAAATAAAATAGTGTGGTTTGAATGCACAAAGGTTTCTTACACCAAGTCAGACCGTTAGTTCATCTTGGCACAGTGCTGGCAGCAGCTCTCTAGGATGGGTGGGGAAACCAGGCCTATTTGACCTGCAAAGCCATTTTGAAGCAAGTCACACCCACCTGCCTGACATCTGATGTCAGGTATGGGGCAAGTGAAGACATGGCTAGGTCAAAAAGGGGTTTGGAGGCACCACTGATCAGCAGCACCTGCAAAGCCCAGGGCTTGTATGGAATCTAACGCAGCTTATAGGTAAAGGTAAAGGGACCCCTGACCATTAGGTCCAGTCGTGGCTGACTCTGGGGTTGTGGCGCTCATCTCGCTTTATTGGCCGAGGGAGCTGGCGTACAGCTTCCGGGTCATGTGGCCAGCATGACTAAGCCGCTTCTGGCGAACCAGAGCAGCGCACGGAAACGCCGTTTAACTTCCCGCCAGAAGGTACCTGTTTATCTATTTGCACTTTGGAGTGCTTTCGAACTGCTAGCTTGGCAAGAGCTAGGACCGAGCAACGGGAGCTCACCCCGTCGCAGGGATTCGAACTGCCAACCTTCTGATCGGCAAGCCCTAGGCTCTGTGGTTTTAACCTACAGCGCCACCCGCGTCCCAATGCAGCTTATAGTTGATGCTTATACAGAGCCATACATGCCTCTTTGAAAGCACTGTGGTTTTTTAGTTAAGGGGTGTACATAAATGTTAAAAATATATAAATCAGCCTAGTATTGGTGCTTGCATAATGCCATACATGGCGCTTTGAAGCACCAGCAGTCAATTGATCTCACACAGTTTAATTTCAAACCACGCAAGCAAAAACAGATCACCTGATGCTATGGTAATATAAAATGATTGGCAGGTGGGCAGCCTCACTCACCCCTGCTCAACTTGGCCCATGGGGTGGGGGGGCAAGGTTCTGACCCACCAGCAGCATGCAGTAGATTTATGCTTATAAAATTTATGCATTGCTCTCTACTTAGAGAAGTCGACCAAAAGGTACAATGATACGACTTAAAACATATTAGAAACAGACCTACCAGTACAATATGAAATAACTGGTATTGCCCTAATGGCTAGGAAAACAAAAATGACCTTACGGAAACAATGGCAAGGTTGGAGAGAGCATTCCATAACTGCACAAGAAGTCTTTTGAACTGGAGACACTCAAGGCTGAGCCTAAGACGATTAATCGCAAAACTCACTCTTCATGCATTGAGGTACAATCCTGCTGAGCGATAACGATTCTGCACTCCCCCCACTCCACCAAAAAACAACAACGTGGGTTGGACTAAATGGTTCTTGGCACTCCTTCCAACTCCACAATTCTATGTTTCTTTTAGCCTTTAAAAGGTGCTTTCCGGTATGGTAGACAGGTGCAGGTGTAGCCTTCCCAACTGCTGTAGCTCTGTAATGTTAGCCACCGAATGCCTGCATTTATCTTGTAACCAAAAGCTGTGGCAGTAGATACCACATCATGATTATTTTTTCATGGAGAAATGTGCTTTCATAGTAGGTAGGGCAAAAGAAGGGCGCACCTAAATGCAGCACTGCGGCTTTCAAGGTGTGGGCAACAGGTAGAAAAGCAGTAGGCAATGCCGTTCTTGCTGTATCTCAACAGAATGTTCTACCCGTCGCGAAGCACTGGAAAACGAACACTGGAGCCCGACGGGACGCGTGTCAGTTGCACGTGGGAAACATCACTGACTGGTGTCATTTGTGCCGCTTTCCGAGACGGATGCGGCGCTTACTTCAAATAACTGCAGGGAGAAACGAAAGACACACATACACCCGGGAGCCCTGCGTGGTTCACTAGTAAAGCACCTGTGTTGCGTGTAGAATGTCTCGGGTTCGATTCCCGCATCTCCAGGCGGGGCTGGGAGGAATCCTCGCTTGAAAGCCCTGCCGAGCCTTTCGACAAGACTGAAATGCCCACGGACCAATGGTACGACTCGGCTTCCCCACGTTCCCGCACCTGACTTAATAAAGAAATAAAAAACACATGCATTATTTAAACAACCGTTCCGCTGCTTCTTGCAAGGGGTTGGACTAGAGGACCTTTGGGGGTACCTCTCCTAACCATTCTATGATTCCGCCGCCTTTGCCCCGCACGAACATTGCCCCGCCTTCCACCCGCTGCAAATGGAAACCGGAAATCCCGGTTGGATTTCCTAAGACCTTTCCCCTTTGGAAGTTGTGCGGTTGGGAGGAGAAGAAGGAGGAGTTGGTGGAAAAGCCGACTCGGTGACGTCACCGAAGCCCCACCCCTTTGCCCTTCCCTTCCTCCTACCTCCGCCCCACACAGCGTGCCGACTCGCGCTCGGCCTCCCGCCTCTTTTTCATTCGGCGGGCAGGAATCGCTTCCGGGGTCGGCCGGAGAACGCAGGAAGTGACAGGTAAGGGCTTCGCCCCCTTTTCCTTCTCCCTTTACCCAACCCAATAGGGGAGTGGGCCCGAGACCCCCTCCTCTATTCCTGGCTTGGGAGCTGCGCGCGCTTCTTCCCCTGAAGGGGATTGGCGGTTTGGGCGGGGGCGGAGTTTGAGGGTCAGGTTCTCCCCCTCCCACCGTCTGGCTGCCGTCCCTGAGGGTGGCAGTTGCCTCCGCCCTCCGTCCCCTCACCGTTACCTGGGAGGCCCGCCTGGGCTCCTGTTACCTGTGACTCGAAGGAGAGCAGCCCCCGCCCCCGGGTCTCACCTGGAGCCCCTCAGGAGCGGCTTCTTTCGCCTCATTCCTTCGTTCATATATTATTATGCACTCCTTCGTTGGCTTACTTGAATTGTTCAGACGCTCCCGAGTTCGAAACACGGAGTGGAGGAAATTGCGAATGCGAGTGTACCGTGGCGTTGTTTTTTCAACGTTATTAGTATTCGGTTGCTTTTTAGTGACGGGTTGTTTTTTAGTTTCTTCCCCCGCTTTTCTTTTTTAGCTGAGCCTTAAGTCTGGGGGGGAAGGCGAGATATATAAAAAAAGAATGATAATAAGAAAGGTAATCAGCAATGCAATAACACAAAGAGGGTTTTTAAAAGCTGCCAGAAAACACACTGCAAAAAGCTTCGTAGGAGAGAAATGCAATACTAAGTCAAGGGGTTGGGCTAGATGACGCTTGTGGTCCCTATGCAATTTTATGATTCTAAGGAAACAAATTTATTGAGAGGTGGGCCTTTTATGTGTTTCTGAAACACCAAAGTAAATGACAGTGCTTTTCCTTTAATTCATTCATGGTATTATAGTGCTTTTGTTACTCTGTCCCCCCTGTCTGTAGGTCATTTCCTTGTTGGTTTTATTTTTTCCTTATTTTATTTGGGATTGTGTTGTTTTTTTGCATGCAATCAAGGATATTAGATGTCTAATGGTTTTTGCTGCATAGTGTCACAATGTAATATGAATTTAAAAATATTTTAAAAGAAAAGAAAACACTGTGTCCTCAACATATACACCTGCATAGACTTCAGCTGTTGCCCAAGAGAAGCTCTCTTGCATGTCTTCCCAACCCCCATCTTTTTATGCTTCATTTCCCAATCAGTACAACCCACCTACTTGCACCTCAGGCTTTGTGACCCTGCACCCATCTCCAGTTCCAGTCCCCCGATCTTGACAGAACAGTCTGCCCTTTTGATGGTGTGTCAGTTAAAAAAAACAAACGTCCCATTTTTACCTGTAGTTCCCACATGGCTGGAAATTCAACAGGTGTTTTCCCCATCACTGCATTGCTAGACTGCCAATGAAAGCTGCATCTCCTGAGTCTTCCTATTGATGATGAAGATGATGGAAAGCAGGGAAAATATGGTGTCAGTTGTATTTCTGCCTAATACCTTCCTATACTGTGACACTGCTCCATTTCTTTCAATGGTGCACTGTTGTCTGACTCTCAAGACAGGAGTGGGCAGAAGGTGGATCTTGACCTACTGTTTTATACAGACCATTAGGCAAGATAACTTTTCTAATGAAGCTGTACCTAACCATGTAGGAGCTCAGAGTAAAGTGGAGAAAACCTTATCTTAAGGGTCAAAGCAGAGAAAGGGTAACCTTTTCTTGGTCAGAATCTGAATTAAAAAAATAAATAGGTATAATACTGTAGTAAATTCTAAAGGGAGGTTCCTCAAGGATCTTTGCTTTGACTGGTTGTGGTTAGGATATTGTGATGACAAAATACTAATCTGTGATGACACAGTAGCGATTTGTTTTTAAAATATGGTTTATGATGAGGCGGCAATAGCTGTAGAAGTTTCAAAATAATTTGGAGAAGTGTACAGTTATAAATGCTAAAGAATTCCTAACAACGGGTTGGAGCCAGAGTAGTTGTATTTGAGTCCTGTTGAAGTAATGAGAATTTAAGTGATGTCTAACTTTTAACATGGGACGCGGGTGGCGCTGTGGGTAAAACCTCAGCGCCTAGGACTTACCGATTGTATGGTCGGCAGTTCGAATCCTCGCGGTGGGGTGAGCTCCCGTTGTTCGGTCCCAGCTCCTGCCCACCTAGCAGTTTGAAAGCACCCTTAAGTGTAAGTAGATAAATAGGTACCGCCTTATAGTGGGAAGGTAAACGGTGTTTCCGTGTGCTACACTGGTGCAGGCTCGCCAGAGCAGCTTTGTCACGCTGGCCACGTGACCCGGAAGTGTCTTCGGACAGCGCTGGCCCCCGGCCTCTTAAGCGAGATGGGCGCCCAACCCCAGAGTCGGTCACGACTGGACCGTACGGGCATGGGTTCCTTTACCTTTACCTTAACTTTTAACATTTATTTTTTAATGGTACCTAAGTGCAAATAATCTCGTTCTGATGCAACCCAATGTGAATGACAGATAACATCTACTGTATATGAGATGAGTTATTCAAGGAAAATATATATTTCATTTATGTATGTCTGTAGCACATACTGTACATACAAACTCCGCTAGGAAACTGGCTTGAAACCAAAACGGATAATTATTTTTCTACCTCATTGTCCATTTCATAAATTAACTAGTAGCAATGGCTGAATGCAATAATAGTCTAGCCAAGCAGTTTCAAAATTTTTATCATTGTTTACTACATACAAGTAAAATAGACATGGAATGATGGGAAATTGTTATGCACTGTACACATATTAATGCCTTGTTCCTTGAGTAGACCCATGAAATACTACTTTAGGAAGCTGCTTGCACGTTTATATGTAAAGAAATTAAGGATCATTAAGGTTGAAATCCTTTGCTTACCTGGGAGTATGAACAGCAGTCAGCAAAACATTTCAAAGTAAACATGCATATGATTGCTCCATGTGAAGCCATAAACAGCCTTGGCCTGTATACCTGAAGGAGCATCTCCATCCCCATCATTCAGCCCGGACACAGAGGTCCAGCGCTGAGGATCTTCTGGCAGTTCCCTCACTGCAAGAAGTGAAGTTACAGGGAACTAGGCAGAGGGCTTTTCGGAAGTGGCGCCCTCCCTGTGGAACGCTCTCCCATCAGATGTGAAGGAAGGAACTGCACAACTTTTAGAAGACATCTGAAGGCAACCCTCTACAGGGAAGTTCGTAATGGTTGATGTTTTGTTGTGTTTTTAATATTTTGTTGGGAGCCGCCTAGAGTGGCTCGGGTATAAATAATAAAATTAGTATTATTATTTATTACAGAAAGAAATGTAAGGCATTTCAAAGATAAACCATCTACATAGATGAATGATAGCCGTATGCAAATAAGTTATTCACATATTGAATACTGGGGGCTTCTTTGGTCATTGAATCTTAAATACTTTTCCTATTCAATAAGAGAATGAAAGGCTGCAATTTGATAATATTTGAGTTATTCTCATGGAATTAATGGTAAATACTCCTGAGTAGACAGCGTAAGTTCATATGTAACTTACTTGCATGTGAACACTTTCAAAATCAGTATGTCTGAAAACTGGCCACACATGGGAAATCATATTTTTGTGACTTCCCTCCCCTAGCCCCACACTGCTCCCATTTTGTTTTGTTTTTTAAACCTGTCCAATAAATAAATTTGCATGTCAATGGGAAGATGGGCAGGACAACTTCATTTAATACAACCCTATGTTGCCTGCGGGTGGCGCTGTGGGTTAAACCACAGAGCCTAGGACTTGCCGATCAGAAGGTTGGCTGTTCGAATCCCTGTGACGGGTGAGCTCCCGTTGCTCAGTCCCTGCTCCTGCCAACCTAGCAGTTTGAAAGCACTTCAAAATGCAAGTAGATAAATAGGTACCGCTCTGGCGGGAAGGTAAACGGAGTTTCCGTGTGCTGCTCTGGTTCGCCAGAAGCGGCTTAGTTATGCTGGCCACATGACCTGGAAGCTGTACGCCTGTTCCCTCAGCCAATAAAGCGAGATGAGCGCCGCAACCCCAGAGTCGGTCACAACTGGACCTAATGGTCAGGGGTACCTTTACCTTTATGTTGCCCCAAACCTTTGTGGCGAAGGGAAATGTCTTAACAGCACTCAGGAAAATGTTATCCTGTGCCAATAGCACTTCCCCTGTAGATGCAGTGGTATCATTACTCAAACTGCTCAAGATATAAAATTTTCTGTTGCATTTTCTGCAGGAGCTACAGTGTTACTATGGCTCGTATTACACTTGAAGAACTGAATGAACTGGATGATGAGGTCCCTGATGAAGAGGATGAACCAATGGATGGGGAGGAACAGAACAGGCTGTTTTCTCATTGGGAGACAGTAGCCAGCACTCACCAAGTGTCTCTCCCCCAAGGTATGAATTTGCATTCCATTCGCAATTTTAGGCTGCACCTCCAAAGAGAGGAGGAAGTAGATTTTTAATCTGCAAGGCGAGGTCTGCTTCTACTTGCCTTTGAACGTCTGCCTTCTCATGCACAGCCTCTAGCTCAAAACTGTTCCCACATTTCATTTTTTGTTTTCTAGCATGCATGCACACACACCAAGGGCTTGTCCACATTTGAGCTTTATTTAGCTGTTAATCTCTCCCCCCCCCTCATTTGAATTAGACCTGATTAGTCCATAGCCACATGTATTTGAATTTGTATGTAAGGAGCCCTTTCAGCCTATCCTGTTCATACCAGTAGGCACTCCCTTTTCTGTTTGTTCCCAACTTCTAATTTATTGCTTCTGTTTTGACAAGTAAGGCCATACTTGCAGATAGTTGTGAGTGCACCTTTAAAAAAAAAAAATCAAGGAAGTGAGCAAAAGCCAGGCAATTATAAAGTCTCATCACATACTTTTGCAGTTTTTTGGTTTTTGTTTGAGCACTCAGGAGCATGCCAGAAAAATAGGAGCACAGCTGGAAAAAAATGAAAGCCTTGAAAAGGTGAATAGCAGAAAGTGATGACTGATCCACCCACCCCAAAAGAGCAGAACAAATAGCCTGCATCCCTAAGTGAGGTGATTTGGAGCCCAATTTCTCCCAATTTTAATGGATTATCCCCATATCAGGTAAACCCAAATTTACAGAGGAAAAGCATTGAGATTGGTAGTGTTTTAATGGGCTATGCAATTTAAATGGGAACGCCAATAGTTGAAAGCACACAGTAAACTGGTGTGGGCAGTCCCAAGCAGCTGTCATGCTTATCTGCTCTAATGCTTTGTTTGGTGCTTTAAAAAAAGGCTTTTAAAATAATTTATTTAAATTTTGAAATGTGCTGCAGTAGAGGACGGGAGGGTGCTTTGTGACACAGACAAGTGAACCAATCAGTGCTGTGCACAACCTGACTCTAGGAAGGAGGAGCAACAGACGGCTCCATGATTGACACAAGGGCCAGCCACTCAGCATTGTGCAAATCCAGTTTCTCCTCTAAGCTAAAAAGCTAAGGTTCTCCTTATCCTTAAAAGATTGTATGTGTACATGGGCTCTCCCCACAAATTGTGGGTTGTCTCCAGTTCTGCTGTTCTACTAGTGCAACAGACTTCCACTCGTGCAATAGTGTTTTCCTCTCCTCTCCCTTGCAGACCCCCACCCCCAACACCCTGAGGGTTGGAGGAGTGGCAGACGAAGCTGCTCGGGCGTCTGGGCGGTGCACCCAGTGGTGGGGTGGACCGTGGGGTCTCTGGAATCTGCCTGCCTCTTCCCACTCAGCTGCCCTACAGCTGGGGATGGGGGAGGCAGCTGGCGGACCATTTGGGCAGGGCGGAACCTGTGCTTGCCCAAGCCACTGCGTCTCTCCCAGGAGAGATGTGTGGCGCAGGCCCTGCAGTGAGTGCTGCCCGGCATTTTGTCACCCCCCTCAGTGGTGACACATGGGGCGGCCTGCACCTATCGCACCCCACTTCCTCCACCACTGGTTGGAGGGCCCTTCAGACCCGATTTTCTCCGCACATGCTCCCTAAATCTGTTCTGGGATTTCCTCCAACCTTCTGGAGATGATTTGAGGAGGGTGCGGGGAGAATAAGGGGAGGTGTTCTGTTGCACAAACAAAAAACCTTGTGTGAACAGAACAAGTACATTGGATACCACCCATTAAAACAACCAGCATCAATCAAAACTATATAATACAACAACCAAGACAAGCTGCAAGAAGCAGATGATTTTTAAAAAAAATCAACCTCTCTCCTCCCTGCAGGACAATATGTTTCTTGAATAGTCCTGTAGTGGCAGCTGGAGAAGGGAGAGGCCTCCTTGGCTGGAAAGTAGGGAGCTAGATTACTGGTGGCTCTCCATGCTGTTATGTCTCCTCTTTACATGTTTAGATCTATAGCGTACCCTATAGGTACTAATGAGGGTTGCTTGCTTTTAAAATGTAGGTTTCTACAGATTTTTTTTTAACTTCTAAAGATATTTTTCAGTCTTAAAGTGAATTCCCCACTACTTGACTCTGTTTTGCTAGAGATGGCAGGTCCAATAATGCAAATGGCGCGCCATAACCAGACTCGAGAGCCTGTGCCCTACGCTACTTTATCACAGCATGAAAAGGTGAGCACTCTCACATATACAAACTTGTTCATAAATAAAATAATGTATGTGTATATACCTGGCCGACATAGCTTTGTGGTATATTGTGGAGAAAAGAGTGTATGTCATGTAATATGTCCCTCTCCCCTCCAACATTCTTCAGAATAGCATCTGTGACTCTCCCAGCACTCCAATGCAAGTTTTTGCCATCCTTAAACTTGTACAAAATCTGTCCTCCTGGAATTCTATACTTGTCTACTCAGTAGCAGGCCTCATTGAGTTCAGTTGTCTTGTTCCTGAGTAAGTGCATATGGTACGATCAAATCTTACGCAGGTGGGTCGCTTCTAAAGGATCTGTGTATAAACAGAAACCACATATACCCAAACCCTTGGAACCAACCCTGCCCCCATGGCTAGTGGGTTATGGGGAATGAGAGAGAACGCTCTGTAATCCCAGAGCCATATGCTGAGCTGGCCTTGCCCAGCAAGCAAGGCAGAGAGCTTACAAGCTCTTCACACTGGGTAACCCAAGTGGACCCACTATGTAAATAGTTTTTAAGCTGTTTGCTGTGTTTGTTGGGCAAGTCTCACTCAAGGCATGGGCTCTGGGAGACTAGGGATGCTCATACGAGTTCTCACGGCCACTCAGCTGGCCCCACAACATCTCAAGCAAGCATCCCAGAGTTGGTGCTCTGACCAGGCCTTTCCCCCCAAGCAAGGCAGAGAGTTTAAAAGCTTTTTATGAGCTGGATAACCCCAAGCAGGCCTGTCTTCAACCGCATATGGTTGAAATCGTGCAAGTTAAATGGGTGTAAGATGCAGTCATGCTGTATAGCAGGGGTGGCTACCACAGATTTTGGGATGGCTCACTGGGACCTCCTGACAATTTGGCAGGAAATCAGTGGTGATTAAAACCCCCACCACTCAACATTACCCTCCGCCTCTTTAAAAAGTTTCAGTTGTTGTTTGCCTTTTTTGTGCTTCCCCAAGTGCCTTCAGAAACTTTTTGGCAATTTCATGTGAACCAGGGCTTGTAAAAACATCCCTTCCTGACTGCATGTTTCAGCATCCAGGTGCACTATTAATAGTGCTAGTTGAAAACTGCCTGCGATGTCCTTGGCAGGCTGCAAAGAGGAACAGTAACTTGATTTCTGCTGAACGCATCACAGCTGGTGATGGCACAGTGATTAGCATAAGTAGGTCAACAGAAGCTTCCTGTAGTTTTGCACCAATGGCTGTTTGCACACTACACCTTTGAAGCACATTCAAATCACATTCTTTCCCTCAAACAATTCTTGGCACCGTAGTTTGTTAAGGGTTGCTGGGAATTGTAAAAACTAGGTTAAACTACAGGGGAAATAATGTGTTTTGGATGCGCTTTATAGTGTGTACACAGCCAGTGTCTGATGAAGAGATACAGATCTCTAACTATAATTCTGAAGCGCAGCCAAAGCACAGAACAGCAGAATGCAAACAGAGCACTTTGCCGGCTCTAGAAAATTAGTGTGCCAAGTTCCCAGGGTTCCAGGTGCTTGCCCAGAGTTCATGCCTCCTTTTCAAATGAGGCACAGTGGAGACTTTGGTGTCTTTATGATACATGGTTTATTTACACTTATATACAGCCTGAGCCTGTGATAGCTCACAGTTCACAGCATTAGCACTGCAAAAGGCTCTTGTTTCTCCCCTTGGATCCAAACAGAAATCAAACATTCTCTCAAGCATTGCTCTGGCTCGTCTCTCCAGCTAGCTGCTTTCCCTCTAGGTTGCATCACTTCACTCTCTCTTTTTTCTTTTTGGGTGGCATCACTTCACTCTCAACTCCAAACTCTAGCTTTGTCCTGCTAACTTACCAGGAGCTGTGAGAGGGGCCTCACCCACTTGCCATCTCACACAGAGCTTCTTTCCTTTGTCTCCCTTAACAGCCGGTCACCAGGCTATCACCTCAACACAGGGTTTATATTTTAACACTTGTTGGATCCAGGGGTCAGAAGGATCTCGCATACAGCTTACTTCCCCCAACCCCAAAATCGCGACATTATATTGTTGGAGATGGAGCTTTTTGTTGGGCATTGGCACGAAGGTGCAGGAAGCACCATAGCAGATAACTTCTCCGCTGCAAGGAAGAAATGGGTGAAGAAAATGCCCATGGTCACGGTGGTGGTTGCTGCCTTTGGGCAAGTTCCTTGGATATGGGTACTTAATTACCTGGCCACCTTTCTGCTGAGTATATGCTTCTGCCTGAATCTATGTGCATCAGCCTGCCTGTGTAAGCTACTCTTCTGCTGATTTGCGAGCGTGTGTGCCTCAAGCTGAGAAAGGTTAGCCACTCCTGGCCTACCCCTCACATAGTGCCCTTCCCAAACACTCCCTCTTTTTTGTTCACCCACCACTGCCAATTGCAGCGATGGGCATCTTGCTAGTATTATCTTCCTGTTGTCATAACGTTAGCTCAGCCTCTGCATATCAGTACTAACAGGATCAAAAGCATGCACTATCTTGGGTTTCTTCAATACAGATGTCTATATTGAATTCAGTCCACCTGGTCTTTTGCATTGTCTTCTGTTATTTTTAGTATAATGTGAGGGGAAATTACTTTTAAGTAGTTTCTGTTTTCCCCTGGTTGTTGAAGGAGCAGTAAGTCTATATTTGTCAGTCTGCAAGCACTTCCTTGTCTTTTGTTTGATTCCTTGGACCTGTATTTGTATGGAGTCAGAAAGCAAGGTCAGCTTTCAGTTTTAGTGAGAAAACTGCATCCATTTCCTTAAGTGCCGCTTGACTTTCAGACACACAGAGGTGGGAAAGTGGCCTCAAGCGCCCGCAAGTAACCTAGATCCTACAAATAAATTTTCCAGTATTCCTTTTGACTCAATTCAGATGTAATAACAAACCAATAATCATTATTATGAGAATGAGTAGGTGTTCCTTCTTGGTTCGCTCATTCCTTCATACGCAAGGTGAGATTAAAAGCAGAAGCTTCTAATTTGTGTCAAACCATAGTTTCCTGTTTTCATCCAAATGCAAAAAAACTGTCATTTCACAGACCAACGTTTGCCTCATTCCAAGATCCCAAACCAGCATCAAATCGTGGTTTGTCATTACATCTGAACTGAATTTATATGGCCATAAGTAAGGGCAATAAAAGTGGTATTTATCAGCTTTAATGCAATTATACTACTCCTAGCCTTCCATGTTAAATTGTGCTACTGTCTCTGCATTTACTCCCTGAAGTAAAGTCTCTGAAGTTGTTGTTGTTTTTTTGTAGTTTTCTTCTTCATTTCTCATTAGCCATAATAATTCCATGCAAATGCTTTATGGAAGAGTCACTTCATCCCCTCTCTGTCCTGTTCCAACCCAAAACTGCATGCATGCCTTAGAAAAGTTGGATATTCTGTCTTCTGAAACATTGCAATTTGTCTATACAGCTGTTGCTCCAAAGATGTGCAGGATAGTTCCTGGGACTGCTGAAGACATTGTTTTGCTTTCTATATTTTTTCTGCACCAAAAGGAGTTGGATGTGCAGTTGTTGTTTTCTTTCTTTCCCCACCTGCATTGATGAGTTTCCTCCCTTCTCACTTTCCATTGAGCTAGCAAACTTGACTCCTATAATATAAACATACAGACTTACCGGCTCCTGCATTTTAAAAACCCTTACATTAATAATTAATCATTCATTTCTGTGTCTTTAGTAATTTTTGTTTAGCTTGCCTGGGTAGATTGCACCCTTTAGGGCAGGGTTATACTTGTGGTTACGAGCTCTGTTTTTACAGTGTGCATAAGAGAAAAAGATGTAACAGCCGGGATAATAAACCTACCCTAGTGATAACTGACAAAATAACTATTTAAGCAACTTTTCAATGCTGTGGAGCTCCAGGTTAATGCTTTTATTAATTCAGGAACAATGATCTAAAACAGTGACACCTTTTATTAAAGTATATTCTGTAGATAGGACATTGTTATAAACTGTTTATTATCCCGACAAATATATTTTGAAGAATTTCCCAATTATCTGTAGTGATTTAGAGAAGCAATAATGATTACCTTAATGAAAAGCATCCTAATACCTTATGCTGTGTTGAGTTTGCTTTAATGCAGCTGATTCTTTAAAAAAAATAAAAAACTTGGAAGATGTTACAACCTGTCGCAGTGGAGAAATCTATATTCTCTTTGTAACGGCCAGTTTTTGCCTAACAATATTGAGATGTATCTGGCCTATGCTATCAGCCTTTCTGTTTGGCTAGTCCATGCAAAGAACCAGAGTGGTGTAGAATATTGAACTAAAGCTGGGGAGACCTGGTTCAAAGTCCCACTCTGCCAACAACCTCACTTTGGGCCTAACCTACCTCACAGGGTGGTTGTTAGGCTAAACAGAAAGTGGGGAGAACAATGTCTGCTGCCTTGAGCTTTTTGGAGGAAAAGCGGAATATAAATTTAGTTACTATTTAGTTAAAACATCAATTATCTTGTATATTTTGATAAGCAACAGTACCAGCTTTCATTTGTTAAGCAGCTTGGGGTAATTGGAGGGGGGAAAGGATTTCATGTTGTTGAGATGACTTGATGTTATAAATGCAAAGAAGTTGAAATATTAAAGAAACCTATTTTCTTAAAAAAAAAAGTTAATATTTGCCAGTGAAGATGCAACACTTCATTTGCACAGGACGGACTGTGAGTTACTCTTCCCTTTCCTCCAGTGCCAAAGCTTTACTCAGTACGTAATTCCCATCCTGTGCTGTTTGAGTGCCTAGCTCTCACTAACTCTTTTTCCTTCTTGGTTCAGTGTGAGGAGATAGCGTACGAGGAACGACTGTACCCAGCTGGGAAATGGGCATGCATTACCAGAGGAGAACCCAAATATGAGCAAAGCATCTCTATGGGTTTCATGAAACTAATACGGTACATCTGCAAGGAGAACTCCCTAGGTATGTGGAAGCACGTGTCATCGTGGCAGGGACATGGAAGCCTGCAGCAGCTAGACCCACTGGAACTGGAAAGGTCACAGTTGGGTTTCTGCAGATCCTCCTCTTTCACTCTGGTGTCTCTATGTGTGTTTTTATCTAGGCCGCCAGTTGGGGATGACAGTGCCAGTGATCAACGAGATCCACCTGAACAAGGAGGGCACAGAATTGCTTCAAGAAGTCATCACTGCCTATTACCTCCCTGAAGAATTTCAACCTAACCCCCCTCTCCCCTTGGACCCCGACATCCAGATACAAGAGAGAGCACCACTTCGGGTTATCTCCAGGTGGGCCCTGACTCATGCATGCTAGGAATATGTTTTATGTGCCACAGGTCTCTAAAGGAAGGAAGGAAGGAAGGAAGCTTGCTTATCCTAGCTGGGAGAAAGGGAATGCATGGCAGGGAAGAAAGTGGCTAAGTGAGATCCCATTATGGAGACGGGAAAGAAAGCTGGCTCTCTCCAATTCCCCCACCCTCCAAGATGTAGTGAAGGATAGAGGGATGGGTGAGCAGAGAAACAGTTACAGCACTAGATCTTTATGGGCAATTGTTTTGTTGTTCACCTTGTGTAAAGGGTGTTTTATGGGACCACCACAGAAGAAACAATCCTGCGGGAGATTCACCTTCTCTGGGAGTTGCTGGGCTCCACAGACAATGTGCTCCGCGAAACCTACTTGGTGGCTGCGTACCAGAACCCTGGCGTCCCTAACCGCCGCAATGAGATCTGGTTTATCCGGCGAGCAGACTGAGAGCACCTTGAATCCCTGACAAGATTACAATCCACCCTCCGTGACTGGATCCGGTTTAGATGGCAGTTTTGAAGGAGAGGAATGCACATCCTGACTCACTGTAGAATAGATGAAGTGCTCCTTCCCCCCCTGCGCGAACCAAGGAGTTACTAGCACAGATCTCCCCGAGATGGTTTCCACCCTACTCCTGCAGGGGGTGCTGTGGTGTTGTCGATGGAGCTGGCGTTGGAAGGAACAAGGGGTGTCTGCTTCAGTGGGCCCTGAGTGCAGCCGTGCCACATTTGGATGAAGGCGCATTAGGAGCACAGGAAGCTGCCTTATGCTGAGTCAGATCATTGGTCCATCTAGTTCAGTATTGTCATTGCTGACCGGCAGTGGCTTCTCAGGTGTTCAGGTAGGGAAACATTCCCGGTCCCACCTGGAGATGCCAGGGATTGAACCTGGGACCTTCTGAATGCAAAGCAGTTGCGCTACCACAGAGCCATGGCCCTTCCCCCTCCTCGGGGATTGTATCAGGGATTGTAGCTGTTGTGCAACCCACAGCTCACATTCCAAGGGTTAGGTATCAATCCTGAAACGAATCTAGCAAGAGCAGGCCAGAACACCACTGCCTACAGCCGTGCCCATAACTGGCAAATGCTGATGTACTGGGGCACAGGTTATGACTAAGTTACTTGTAGAAGGAGGGTTTCACTTCTGATGCCTCGGAGTATCCCTTTTAGCCATGCGCACGAGAAGCTGCTAGTCAGCTTTGTTATCCAACAGCAGAAGAGCCGTTCCCACAGTTTGGGATGAGGTAGCTGTAGACTTCCTTGACTGGAATAATGTGAACACCTGTCCAGGAGCAAATGGGAAAATCCCCGCCAAAGGGCTAAGGCTCAAAGGGAGATCTGAGAAGCAGAGATCTCTGGCCTATAAGTCCTCCTGTTTTCCCAAGAGCACATAGAGAGATAAATGCCACCCACTGGCTACCTCCTGCCTATGAGCCAGTTTCTCAATCAGGCAGGCTTGGTGCGAGCTGAGCAGGCCACATAGTACGTGTTAAGTTGTCGCTGGCAGCATTTTTGTCGCTGTGTGTTGCGTTGTGCATTGACTGGTTGGTATCACACTCATGAATGCTGCTGTCCTCTCCCAAAGAAGGCTGGTAGCACAAAGCAAACCTGAAATAAAATCTAGCCCGACCCTCTCTGTGTATCTCATTTTACTGACTTTCGTGACATTCGACTCCAGTAACCAATGGGGGTCACCACTCAGATGGAAGATCCAGAAACAACACAAAACCCTGACACCCAGAGAGTATCCAAGTGACATGCAAGACATCTGCTTGCTCAGAATCAGGTAGGTCATTTTGATACAAAGGAGCAGGCTATCACCATGCTGTCTTCTTAAACTGATGTGATCAGGGAAGGCACTAAATAACCACCGTGCGTCTCCACAACTCAAGAATGGGGAATACGTCTGCATTAGGGATCAGATCTGACCATGAGAAATTGAAAGTCTTTCCCTCTTCAAGGAAAATTGGATAAGATGATATGCTTCTGTTAGTTATGTTCTGTGGCCAGTATATAATAGCCACTTACCAATATAAATTCCCACTCAGCTGCGCGTCTGTAAATGCTTTTTTTCTTTTTTCAGCAGTGAAGGGTGTGCATTGCCTTATAATTTGGAAGCCATAACCTTGACATTGGAAGCATAACCTTTTAAGTTAATTGGAGTGAGTAGAAAAAGAAGAAGGAAAAAAAAGAGTGAGTGGCTATCCAGGTTCATTATTTCATCACCTCAGCAGAGCTAACTTCAATACTGTGCAGCAGTGGTAATACTCAGGAGTAATTTGTGAAGTATCCTATTGTTGCCTTTGTGTGGAAGAAGCAGATTTTGTAGGTTGGTGTTTGATTGCTTCTTCTTAACACTGACAACGATCTCACCTTTTAAATAATTGTTTTAGAAGTTTGAAAACATGAAGATTAAGCCACTTTTTTGCAGTGGTAAATCAGGTTTTTTTTAACATAATATCATTTCCTCCAGAGGCTGCTCTTGTCTAACAGTAGGCTTTTGTTGAAATGATGATGAACCAAATATCTAACAGGAACACAAAGACCCACACAAATAGTAAAAAGCAAGGTATTTTAAACACATTAGAAACGACAGCTACCAAAGACATTGTGAGACACATACTGAATTGTTATAAGCCTAGGAACACATGATGCAGCAAAGGCAGAGGCATTAAATGTATTTGTCATCTTGATATCTGAAGATAAAACTTAACAGGAGATCAGTAGTCCAGGCACCTGACAGAAGCAATAAGACAATCAGGTTTTAAGAATTGAATAAAAATTGTATGGATTAATTCCACATTTTAAAATCAATGGGCCTGGATGGTGTAGCCATAGGGCTTGTTTTATTTAAAGCAAACACAAAACATCAAAGTTCTGTGTCAAGAAAAGGTGAATTCTGTAATCTGTTTGTTATGCAGATAAAGCAAATGTGCGTCTATTTTGCATAATTTGCTGGTTCTGGGAAGTTTCAAGGTAATGAAAATTCTCTTGAGAGCTAAGCTGAATTCCTCCTCTGACTTGTGAGGCACTGCATTGCACCTTCCCGTGTCGTATTTTTGCAGCCAAGGCTAGAAACTTGCTCAACCCAATACAAAGCAAAAACTAAGCTTCTTGGGATGCTGAATTTTGTATTGAGCGCCAAATTCTATATTTTGCGTAGATTTGTAGAATACAAAGAGTCCTGCCTGCATCCTAGTTACCTGAAAGGGGCCTGGGACTTTGAGGTCTTTGGCAGTCGTTACTGTGAAATCCTGCAGGCTAAGAGAAGCCCCAGAAGAATTGAAATGCTGCACCTATCCTAGAAAAATTAGGCCAAAAAGATGTAGAGCCTTGCTTTGGTCTTGTGTTGGTTTGTAGCTGAGGCTATAGGTGAGGCCACAGACTACGCAGTTATATTCCATACAATTCAGTGGAATAAACCAATACTTTAGTAGCCTAGAAAATGAAATGAATGGCAGCACCACTTCTCCCCAAATGGCTATCTAGCAAGTGGCAGTGCAGGATCAAAACATTTAAAATAAAGCTATCCTGCAGTGCTGGTGCAAACCTGACTTAAGTTAAACATCTGTAGTAGTCCAAATATATCACTGATTATATTGAATTAATATATGAACTTCCATCTCTCCAACTCCAGGCCACAAACATTCTCCTCCTTTTGTCTGCTATCTTACCTAGTTGGTAGTACCCCCTGCTGAATTCAATGGGGCTTCATAGAATCCCACTGTAATGCATTATGCTCAGGTTGGTTCACTTTCCCTTACAATCCATATTAAGAAAGCTAGGAGAGCAAGTGGTGGAAATATGCATAGCCATTAAAATACTTCTCCCCTTCTAACCACCTTAGTACATTAATACATATCCAAGAGAAATCCATTATTCCTCTACCCTCGTTCAATTGAATTTCCTCGCTTGGTTTGGGCACCCCTTCCATTGTTAAATTAATATTTCTGACATAAAAAACGCCCCTTTGTTCTGTGGAAATACTGATACACATAATGATTTCTGTGTTCCCCCTACTGCCAAGGGAACCTCACAACCTTCTGTCTTCTAATGAAAATGCTCTCTGATGTGCAGCTAGAAAAACGCCCAAGAAAACAAACAAACCCAGCAACCCTGCTATCTCAGTCCACAAAGTAGTCATCTTTTAAGGTTTATTGGTTTGTATTAGGGATACCTTTTAAAGTCAGCATTCTTTATGATGTGAAGGGGCTTAACAGGAATTTCCTGGGTTGGCAACGTATTAGTGTGAGATTCTAAATTGCTGTGTTCTGGTCTTGGAAGGACAAAGGAGTCAGGAATTCAAGTTGTGAGGTATTGACCCTAATTCCACCTTAGGAATGCCCCCCCCCTCAGTATGAGATAACATCACAACCAAGGAAGAGGCACCTACTGTCTGTTTCTGCCTGAAAAACAGGATCATAATATAAGAATATGAAGGCTAGCCATTAAAGAAACATAGACTTTCAAAGTGAATTATTTGCCAAAGTCACCACCTTGGCAAGCAAGCTTCTTTGTGTTTTTTGTCTAGGGCAGGGTGGCTAACCCTGGACCCTGCAGATGGCTGTTGGAGTCCAACATGGCTAGTGGTGACAGGAGTTGTAGCCATATTCAACTATCCAAAGGACTCACATGCAAATGGGGCAAGCTTGTCTTCTCCAGCTCCGGGCTCAATGACTATATGGTCTAATTGTGTTATGCCACACCCCCTCCCAGCAGCCAGCTTATATTATGCTACGTGCCATGGCAGCCATTTTGTGACTGGCGCCCACAAGCCTCAGAAATCAAAATGTGCCCACTGGTCCAAAGAATCTGATGACGCCTAGGGAGTGCAGAACTCACCTGTGATAAAAGAAGTCTGGCTGCTTTTTGTACTATTTTACAAGCAATCCGATTGTGATGTGTGTGTGTGTATGTGTGTTCAAAACTATCATTTATGATATTTTATACATTTCCCTTCAGCTTGGGTAAGAAAGGGTAAACATAACTACCTGCTAGTTTATTTGGGAGTAAAATTAATCATGCACACACAAACACATTCTACATAGAGGCTTATAATTCAATCAAAGTATTAGCCCACACATTTTCTCCTTAATATTCAGAAGCGAATAGCAGTGATAGCTAGCAGGTGGGAGTGTTCAAATGAACAGCTTTATCCTGGTATTATGGGTAGCCTTCAGTGAGGATAACATTCTTTAAACTCCAAAGTATTTTCATATGTACTTTATAAGAGAAAGAGAAGAAATGCCACAGTTTGCAAATTCTTGGGAGTAAATGGCTCTTTATCCTGCAATTGAACAGCATGCAAAACTCCCTGAGTTGACAAAAGCCATTTACCACACAGTAAGCATCTTGTGAGAACATGAACAAAGGTTATAATCTTTATAGCCTCATCCCTAGTTGCTAGCCTGGAAAGGAAATAGGGTTGTCACCCGCCCTGCTGTTCTCAGCTTGAGACAATAAAGAAATGGAATAGGACTCAGAGCTCTTTGATCTTCTCTGCCAGTGATCAGAGAGAGGAAAACTTCTCAGAGCCTGGAGACTAGTTTCTTTAATGGTTTTAGCAGACCCCTGTAAAGTATCCTCAGGCCAGGAGACTGCAATGTCATGTTCCTCCCAGGCTAAAATCCACCCATACAGGTGTGATATGAATGCAACAATAATTTAAGTGTGAGGGTAGGATGTAGAAACCATTTACAGACACTCGCAGGTAATAAGCAGGGGGGAAATATATACATAGACCAAAAATATATATACTGTGAAACTGGAGATTAGCAAGCCGCCTATGGCAAGAGCATACTTGAAAACTTTCCAAGTGGTTGAGAAGTTTGTCCAGCAGCAGATAACCAACTTAACCAATTTTGAACTTCCCAGTTTTACTTACTTGGGAACCCTTGATTGCCTAAAATAAAAAGCCCATTGACCAGAGAGACTATTGTCATGGTTTGAGTCAAGACATCTGGTAAGCAACTTGTCAGGAAGACTGAGAGGAACTAACTTATTTATTACTTCCCCAAGGGCTTGTGGTTTCCTCCTCCAAAGAAGCTACTTTCATTCATCCCTGGTTACAGACTGTAGCCAGACTCTGCGCTTTTCAAGGTCTTAACCAGACTCCTCCAAATATACGGTACACTGGAGGTTCCTTGGTCTGTTTCCTTGGAATAATTATTCCTTGCAAGAATTGTGTTGCTCATCTCTTGGGGGTGAAAAGTTGGGATGAGTATAAGAACCTAAAAGCATAAGATGAGCCTGCTGCTTTGGGCCAGTGGCACACCTATTTCAGCATCCTGTTCTCACGCAAGATGCCTTTGGGAAGCCCAAAACCAGGACCTGAGCAGAACAGCAGCCCTCTCACCACTCGTGGTTCCCAGCAACTGCTATGCAGAGCCAAACTGCCTTCAGCAGCAGAGACAGAATCTAGCCACTGAGAATCATCCACATTGAGATTCCTGCATTGCAGGGGGTTGGACTAGATGACCCTTGGGGTCCCTTCCAACGCTACAATTCTGGGGATTCACCAAACCCTCTAGCTCAATTCGTGTAGGGTGCTGGCTGTTCATGGTGGGGGGGGGGAGAGTTCTGTTGTGGAAGCAGAAATCTTTGCATTGATTAAACACTTTAGTTGGAATCTGCCCAAGCAAAGCCTTATGAGGAACGTTTGAAGGAGCTGGGTATCTTTAGCTGGAAAAGAGGAGACAGAATTGGCGCCCCGGAAGCTTTTATATGTGAAGGGCGGTCTACAAATTTAATAAAAATACAGTGGTACCTCGGGTTAAGTACTTCATTCGTTCCGGAGGTCCGTTCTTAACCTGAAACTGTTCTTAACCTGAAGCACCACTTTAGCTAATTGGGCCTCCTGCTGCCGCCGTGCCGCCAGAGCACGATTTCTGTTCTTATCCTGAAGCAAAGTTCTTAACCTGAAGCACTATTTCTGGGTTAGCAGAGTCTGTAACCTGAAGCCTATGTAACCCGAGGTACCACTGTAGTTTGAAGATCAGCCACAGGAAAGATTTGGGACCCATCGCCAAACCCTGTATTTATCACGTTGGTGTCCAAAAACCAGTTCTGTGTTGGCCAAGGCACCAAGGCACCCACGAACATCTCCTCGTCGTGGCTTCCAAGTATCTGGAATGGGGAAAGACGAACACGGGGCAGGGAGCTGCTTCTC